GCAGCAGCAGCAGCAGCAGCAGCAGCAGCAGCAGCAGGAGTAGCAGCACGACAAAGCGCTTTTTCCCGTCCAAGGACGAGGCTCCACCAGAGTATCAACCTTGCAGCTCGACAACAACAGAGGGGGCGCCTTCGCTGTGCTGTCCTCAAGGATACACCTGTTCCCCCGAGAACAGCCTGTGCGTCGTGACGGCATCGAGCCTACATTCGCACCCGGGTTCAGAAAGGAGCACGGCGTTGAGGGGCGCCTGTACGAAGCGGGACTGGGATGAGGCGGCCTGCGGGAGAATCATCTGGCCTGGAGGTGAGTGTGAGAGAGAGAGAGAGAGAGAGACACGACATGTGATGATGCAGGGACTTGAATTAACTTGAATGGCCATGTCTAGCCTCGGACAGCGCAGGCAGGAAATTGGTAGCAGACTGTGCGCCCTCATGCGGCGATGGCGATGGAGACAAGAGCGCGGAGCACTTCTGCTGCCAGGCTGACCACGATACTGAGACGTGTACGTGCTCGAGCGGTTCTGGAACCTTGACGGTATTGAGCACAGCGGCGCAGCAGAAGGTCCTGGAGAGGAGGGGCGTTGGTTCGACCGAGACGACGTCGTCCCTGGCGATAACTACAGAAACGAGCCAGAGCAGCAGTAGCACGGTGACAAAACCAGCGACGACACCCTTCTCCTCCCCCTCCTCCTTCATCCTCTCCCCACGATCGCCGTCCTTTACCCTCACCGGCATAGAAACCGTCGTCCCATCCTACCCACCCTTCACATCCACAACAGCCACTTCGTCATCATCATCCTCGGCCGGCGGCGCAAGGGCCGTGCAGTACTCCCGCGACCAGCTCGCGGCCAAGCTGTCTCTGGGCCTGGGAATTCCCTTTGCCGTCCTCTTGATCCTCGCTGCCGTGGTGCTCCTGCACCGGCGCCAGAGACGACTTGCAAAGCTGAAGAAGTACGACAATAACCCGCCGCCATTTGATTTCAACGCGCCTGAGATGGCTCCTGTTTCGCAGGCGGATTTCCCACGTCGTCGGCATCAGCAGCAGCAACGACAGCAGCCTCCTCCTCCTCCTCCTCCTCCTCCTCCTCCTCCTCCTTCTCCTCCTCTTCCTCCGGCCCCGACTCCTCATGTCCAGCCCGGTCCTATACCTACACAGGCCCAATCCCAACCAGCTTCACCACAACCAAGAGATACCACACGATACACCACCATACTAAACCTATACACCCACCTGCAAGACCTTCCTAACAACCCCACCCCCACAGCCGGCAGGCAGAGCAGACAGGCCCGAAACCGCTCCTCGAGCATGTACAGCACCGATCTCCGCCCGCCAGGCCTCAACCTGCCCGACCGGTACCACCAACCTCGTCCCAGCATGACAATGACGCCATCCCCAACACCAGTCATACCAAGACGGTCCAGCGCCAGGCTCGCCGTCCCTCAGGTCATGACCGTCGGCGCAGGAAGAGGAGCGGCCGGGCCCATCTCGTGGATGCAGCGCTGGGGCCAGAGACCTGGTGGTGGTGGTGGTGGTAGCAGTAGTCACGCCGGCGGGCCCCTCAGCTCGAACCCGGCTCTTGACCTCGCGAGGCAGGGCTCCACGTCCTCGTCTGCATCCCCTGTGAGCAGTGGGCTGCACGGGTTGGCGGCACCACCGCCAGCAGCAGCAGCACCAGCACCCGAGCCATACCCAGCAACAGATCCCTACCTAACCTCCTCCTACCCACAATGGCGCCCCTCCTCCTCCTCCTCCTCCTCTTCTCCCACAACACCACCACCACCATGGCCAATCCTCGACCTGCCAGACAACCAACCACACCGCCACCCAGGCGCCCGCGGCTCACAAGGGACCACCAGCACCACCAGCACCCAGTACCAAATCTCCCCCTACCCATTGCCACCTCCTCCTCCAGAAAGCCCGGCCTACCCTTACCTGAGCCCCTACGGACAATGGGAATACTGGCACCCCAGCCCAAGCCCCCACTCTGGACGTCACAACAACAACAACAACAACATTAACAACGTCGGCGTCGCCAACAACGAGGGCCACCACCACACCATGCCTCCCTCCCCCATTGGATCCGCATCCCAGTCCACCATACCAGACGTACAAATCAGCAGCGACAGCAGCGACACAGAGAGCCAGAGGTTGCCGATCCAGCACCCCCCGCCTGTGGCTACTACGATAGTGCCACCATCGACGGTCATGGCAATGATGAGGCCGCAGCACCTGGCGGTGGATGTGAGCGCAGCACAGGGGGTAACAGACGAGGTCAGCCCGCTGAGCTCCTCCGGGAGCGGGCCGCCGCACCCGGGCAGGATATCAGCCATCTCGGGACTCTCGCCGCGCTGACAAGGAGAGAGCACCTGGTCAGTCGGTATATACCACTAATGATTAATGTCCTTCAAAGCTGTGCACACACGCAAGAGTCCAATAAGCTGAATGGAATTAGGATATTTCTACCCCCATTGTATGCAAATGTGATTGGATTTGGTATCTTCATCTGATCATACCACAGCATATCAACGCCAACCCTCATGCAACCTCGAAATGCCTAGATGATGATATCAGACTCATCATACATCGCCCAAGCCGTCCCTGGCTTGGTTGTCTGCTCGTTTATATGCATGCCCTCTTTTTCTTCTTTTTCTGACTATCCCAAAACGCCCAAGCGTAAAAAAAAAATGAAAAATTAAAAGAACAATCGTTCATCATTCCAGATGGGAAACTTCATGCTTCGACTTGTCATGAACAAACTCCTGCGGCAGACCAATCGGCCTGCTCTTGGCGAACTTGACGGTCGACCAGATGGACGGCGAGTCCCTGAACAGGAGATCAATCTCCTCAAGGTTGCGGCCCATGGTTTCGGGGTAGAAGAAGAAGACAGAGAGCGGGATGCAGGCGCCGATGCAGGCAAAGACAATGTAAAACTGCCACCCAATCGTGTCAATGGCGACAGGCGTGATCATAACAACGACAAAGTTCCTGCAAGAGAGATTATCAGCAAGAGACGACTTCGAGAAAAAGAGGAGGAAGGACATCAACCTACCAGAGCCAGTGATTCGCGGTGGAGATGGAAGACATGGCCATACGCAGACGCAGAGGGGCGACCTCGGTACAGTACAGGAAGTTGGCACCGAGGAATCCGATCGGCACAAAGGTATTGAACAGGTAGATGAAGACACCAGCAACGATCTGCGCGGAGTGGTTTTCGACACCAAAGGATGTGGCGACAGCCAGCGCGATCATGCAGCAGGACATTCCTGCGCCCGAGATCATGAAGACGGCGCGACGGCCCAGACGATCAATGGTGAAGAAGGCGATGAAGGACGAAAGGAACTTCCAGGTCAGCGCGCCGCCAGTAAGGGCGCGGGCGTTGGCTGAGCTCATGCCGAGGTTGGTCTGGAAGATGATGGTGGCGTAGACCGAGATCAGGTTGGTTCCCCTTTAGGAAACAAAAGCCTGTGTTAGCAGGGAATCTAATTCTCTAGAGAGGGATCGAGGAGGGGATGAAGTGCAGGATGGGTACATACGACATCTGCTGAAAGAACTGCAGGAGCATGCACAACCCAAAGCGGTACAGCAGCTTGTCCTCGCCCATGGAGAGCATGTCGCTGAGCTTGACCTTCTTGCCGGTGCCCTCCTCCAGCGAGAGTTCGATACCAGACACCTCAGCGTGCACCTCAAAGGCGTCGCCCGGCTTGGCACGGAAGGCAGCGATGACGTGGCGGGCCTCGTCGATCCTGTTCTTGAGCACCAGCCAGCGCGGCGACTCGGGCAAAAAGTAGATAGCAGCGATAATGACCATCGAGAAGAAGCTGGCAATGGCGATGGGAGGGCGCCACGTGATGGGGCCGGTCTTGTACTCGAAAAAGCCCAGGTCAATCCACGACTCGAGTGTGTATCCGAGGCAGATGAACAGGCCATCGATGACAACGTGTCGCCCTCGGTTTGCCGCGCCCGCTGTCTCGCTCTGCCACACGGGCACGATCGAGCTGAGCTGTCCAACACCAAAGCCCAGGATCACACGCCCCACGATGAACTGCGGCAGGCCGAATGACGACGCCTCGAGGATGATACCGATGAGACTGCACACGGCGGCAAAGAAGATGACATTGCGACGACCAAATTTGTCTCCCGACCACGAGCACGAGAGGGCGCCGATGAGGGCGCCGATGACAAAGGTGGCCACCACGAAGCCCTGGAGGGTCGATCTCCTGCTCTTGGTTTCCCCGGTGCTGTTGACCGTGTCGATTTCTGGAAACGTCTTCACCCAGTTGTCCTCGGTGAGCAGACCACCCAGGCCGGCTTGATTGTAACCGAAGCATATGTAGGCAGGAGCCACAATCAGCGCCGTCTGGATGAGGTTGAGACGGTGCCCGCTCTGTCCCAGGAAGGTCACCGGCCGCGAGCTGACCTCGTCAGAAGGGCCATGGTTGATGCTGGCAGCTGGTGAGGCGCTCGTGTTGGGGGCCTGGTCGCCGACGGCCTCGTTTGTGTTGGCCATCTTGTGCGTGTACAGCCAATTGATGGGCGAGAGGAATCGTTCGTAAATGTGTGCTGTTTCTGCTTGTTTTACGACTTGAGAGTGAGGACGAAATAAATTCGTGTGCCTGTGAGTTGACGGGGCAAAGACCACACCACAGACACAACGATCGAGGGAAGGAGAGATCCCAAACAAATCCTAGGTCTGAACTCTTGTTCAGAGAGCAAGAGCGAGAGCAGGAGTGAGGGAAAGAGAGACAGAGCAAGCGTTAGGGAAATTAGAAAGAGAAAGAGAAACAAAAAAGGAAGGACCCATCCAGGAAGCAGCAGCAGGAGAGAAGGCAAACAAACCTCTTATACGATAATATCAACAAAGCACGGCACTGTTCTCGCCGACCTCGGTCTCGGGCGGTTTAGTGTTTTTCCACCCACCTCACCACCAACTCAGCAGAGCTACTACTATGGTATGCACATTTCCAATGGTACTGACTATAATAGTACCCAAACCAGGGTCCAGTCCCGTTCCAGCTCAACTCCAGGCAATCAAGACGACGCCCGGTATGGTCAGCAATGGAGCCCTTTCCCCATGGCACGATATCTGACGAGAGGTGTCACCCCACAACGGGGTGATCCAACTGGCCCTGTGGTTGGTTGGTTGGGCAGACAAGGCGAGGCCCACACTGGGGCAGGTTGCGTTGCGATGGAGCCGCCTTGGTGGGGTGGTGCCAGTCTTGCTCCAAACTTCTTCCCTATCTAGATCCGGTGGGGAGGCAAGAAAAGTGAGGATTTTTGTGACGCGCGACCTTGGTTAAGGCCGAGGCGACATTGCTTGCGGTGCAAGCTCGGCGAGACTCCATGGTCCAGGGCTGGACCCGGTGGGCCTGTGCAAGAGTCATGCAACTCCATGCATCTCAACGTCCCCGGATTCCCAATGTCATAGAAATTAGGCCTCTTGCCAAATCAATTTCCGTAAGAGACATGACTGACAAATTTGCGTTGGCTCGCCCGTCGTCATCTTCTTATTCTTCTTCTTCTTCTTCTCTCTCTGTGCTTGTCTGTACCTGCGAGCTTTCTGCGAGCGTTGGGCTCATCATCATCATCATCATCATCTTCTTCTTCTTCTTCTTCTTCTTCTTCTTCTTCTTCTTCTTCTTCTTCTTCTTCTTCCTCCTCCTCCTCCTCATCTTCAAGACCGACCACCAATGGGTCGTCGCTCGCCGATCACGCGAGATCAGGCCACAAATCTCGTTGGGAATTTTTGAGTCACAATTGTCAGGAAGCGAAGGCCGTGACATCAACAACTCGGATGAGGATCACCAGTCCACTCCGAACTGAATGGTGTCTATCGTTGGGTCAAACCAGGCAAGATTGGCGTTGTGAAAGTGATGCTGATCACGGCTCGTGCCTTGTTGAGGCTGATAGCATGTACACAAAATTACTCGTCCTACCAATTTCAGGAGTGAGTACACCGCCGGCTTCGCGGCAGCTAGACGATATGACGTACTTTGTGCCCCTCTGGCCCATCCCAAATTTGACTGAACTCGGGATACTCCCGCTTATCCGTCGCTCTCCTATTGATAAAGCGAGGGACACCCGTGTCCGAATTCCACCCAGCGGGCCTCGTGTTTCCGACATGAAGAGCTGGGGCTCAACCGCCCCAAGCGAGCAGAACGCCTCAGCCGAAGCGAGCTCCTAAAAAGTGAGGAATACAGGCACTATGGTAAACGAAGGGAGACCAGTAAGGAGCCCCTTTCTCGAAATGGTCTCGCCCATACCAGGATCCGCAAGATCATGGGATGTATCTTTGATGGGACCCCAAGCACCAACTCCCAAACATCAATCTTATTATTACCAGGTGCATGTCCTAGGCTAAAGGGCATCCGAGTTTGCTTTAATCAGCATCTTGAGCGTGATTTTAAAGTTACACTAGTTTCGGCGCCAGGTCCAAAGCCGTTACCAGCATGCTCCTCGCGCCGGAGATGAAGCAACTCTTCTACCCCATGGTCGACGAAAACGCCGTTGGCTCGTACAGCCTCGCAGAAATATTGGCTTGAAGCTGGGAAGATCTGCTAGGGATCCACATAGTACCACAACTTTAAACGTCAGTGATAAGCTTCTTCCAAGGAGCACGTCGGAGATCTATATGCGCCTCTTCCGCATCCTTCCGCCCGACGGCAATAATACCTAGGTATCGGTAGATGGCGGTGATCCTGTGGGCAGCAAGGAGTGAGTCGAGTGGCCTAACTACCCACACTTTTCTGAAGTTGGTGTGATCGGAACTGGCGGAATCCCTTTTGCGAAGGTTTTGCCTCACATAGCCTACATTCGACGCAGAAAAGAAGTCTCTGTCCATGGTATCTTTGTTTGCTTGATTAAGAAAGAAAGGAAGGAAAGAAAAAGAAGAAGAAGAAAAAAGGTCTTTGATTTGTCAGATACTCGAGTACTTGAATACGCGCTGCCCAGACAATCACAAGCCAACGCTTTCCGTTTGGATCAAAAATATCCGGACGGAAATTGTAATCAATGCAGCGCCAGAAAAACAACAACAACTTTCGTCACCCGCCAGTCCATCTCTCAGACAACACGCCAACTGCTAGAATCCAGTATCAGCGGCGGCTGCTACCATGACTGTGATTGCTGCCATGGTTGCGATTGCTACCGTGGCCGCGATTGGCACCGCTGCCGCCGCTAGCACCGCTCGTGCCGTTACCACTATTGCCAGTATTACTACCACTAGGACCACTGGGAAAGTCGGTTCCAATGGTATGGGTGAGACCACCGACCATGGGCTGCAGCACGTGTTGATCGCCTGGACAGTATAGAGTGGCCACTGTCACACGCCCATGTCCAAGGCAGACATTGCAATCGATAGCCATCTGGACGGTATAGGCGTGCTCTTCACAATGAGCACATGGCACAGTCTCCCATGCGATGGGACCGGGCATCTGTGCCCTAGGTCGGTGGCACACAGTGCAGAGCTGTGAGCCTTCAGGAAGCGAAATGGTCTGCGGCCGAAGGTCTCTACGGCGTGGCCTCAAAGGCTCGTCTGGATCCCAGAATATCTCTGAGGAGGGGTAGGGTGCAGCTAAGTTAGCAACATAAGTACACAAGTAGACGGTGGAAACTTGAAGGTCATGAGAGCAGGTCGTAGTCTAGCTTGAACATACTGTCCGTAGGTTGTGGCATTGAGAAAGAGTTTCGTCTTTGTATCTGTTAGAGAAGGAAAAGCTGATGCCTTGGTGGTATTAGCCGGAAATGGAATGCTGAAGGGAAATGTCAGTAAGCTGTGAATCTGCAGATATCCACTCGCTTGTTCAAGAGCCTGACACATACTGGAGATCAAAGTCAATTCGAAGTAGAAGAATGGGTTGGCTATTCGCCTTTCTGGATTCAAAGTTGTTCAGCTTTCAAAATGTTGTGCTTAACAATGCTGGTGAAGTCAAGTTTCGTCAGCGGGAGAAAGTTTAGAAGATGAACGCTTATATAGAGGCAGCCCAGGTGCAGGTGACTGGCATTTTGTTGTGTGTAGGTAGGATTTTATTCTCATGATTGTGGTTGCAGTGTTCCTCCTGGAATCATGTACCCGGCCTGTGATTTCTGTCTTGACTGAGATGCGTAGGTCTGTGTCTGGAATACACAATGTCATTGGTTTTGTCATGGGATTTCAGGAAAGCTCCAAGTCAACATACCTCACACCCTTGATTACTTCAAGCTCAAACTTTGGATGGCAGAACGCGAAACCTGGTCCAGGACCACATCATGGACGAGTTTCGAAAGTTGGTGCAGGCAGCACAACACTAAGGGAAAATCAAAGTCTACAAGTAAACGTGCTATATTCAGTCCCCTTGTAGCAAGATATATCTAGCTAAAGATTTCTTCTAATAGATATTACTTGTGTTCAAATCCTGGGCTCATTGGCCCTGGCTCAGTCAAGGAGAATTGAACAGAAAGCATAGACAGAAATTCTTTGATGACACATAGCGAATGCGTTATTGGGTAATTAGGCACTTGCTTGCCCATTTACTCACTAAACAGGTTGTGCATCTGCCTACCAGATTCTGTTTGCCTAGCATTAGGTATCTTTGTGTGTTCAAATCGTGTCTCTCCATTTCTTCTCCCTAATAGTTGGTGGATTGAAACATGGTCTTCTTGCTCTCTCTTGTGCGAATCTCGCTTCTCCAATCTCACCACTAGGTGAAAAATTGCAATGCCTATGAACACGGCATGAGTGATGAGTAACTCTGCACCTCATCTCAATACCGGTACAAAATATTATTGCGATTAATTACAGTCTTTTCTCTCACATCATGCCAGCCCTTGATATCCTGTAATTAGCTATTTCAAAAGTTTTGTTCTAGTCCTATGTGGACCACTTGGAAATGTTGCTTGTCTCGTTCATTTTACATCCCCCCCCCCCCCCTCAGGCCTCCCCAGCTTGAAAGAAGGCAGCAGAAACACATTGCCACAAGACAAAAGGAACAAGATAATAATGGGATGAAAACAATATCAAAGCCTTTATCGTATGGGTGAGAACAAATTGTGCCATTATGTAGCTACTTTGGCAACATCCTTCGATATCAGAGTGTGGAGTTTTGTCATAAATTACTATGTGGCCCAATACTCTCATATCAACAAGTAAAGTAATACTGATGCTTTCATAACCTTATAGGGATGATGTATGGTCATGAGGAGGATAAAGGTTAACCAGAAAGCACCAATTGCCGAATTCACGAAGGTTCCATAACTATCCCATAGCTAGATTGGGCTGGAACAGGCAGTCTGGCTTGAGATGCCTCCTTCACTCAACCAGTAGATGCACAGGCCACTTTGTTTGCTTAATGGTAGGCAGCCTTTGGAGTTCAGAAACTTTAGACATGGAGGCACAAAATACCCTAAGCCTGAACTTTTGCTCTAAGAAACCATCCCACATCTACCCCAGTATTGGAACATTTTCTTGTGCAAAACATTCAATCTTTCTCCAACCCCACCATAACCAACACCGCCAACTTCACCATCACAGCCATCACCCTCGTCGTGGCCATCACCATCACTATCGCCATCACTGTCCACCACTGCCATTGTCACCACCACCACTATCATCATCACGACCATTACCATCGTCACCGACACTGCGTCCCCCCTCCCCCTCCCCACTACACGACCATGTCTTCTCCCAACAACAACACAGACGAGACGCGCCAGCAGGCCCAGGGTACCCTCTCAGGTGAGTCATCCAGACTGAATCCACCATCGTATCGAGACTCTTGAACATGCTGTGATTCACAGATGTGTTCTAGGTGCAGCTATTTCCTACTTATATCAACACAGACTGACAACCGTGTTCAGGCAGCGTTCTGGCGGGGGCCCTGCCTGCCTGCCTTTTCTGTGAGACCCAAGCCCCTCCAGATCAGATGGTTGAGCTCCCGTGCGGCCACAGCTGTAAGCATCTTCCAGACCACCCTCCTAGAACATTTCAACAAGCCCCAACCTAGCCACAGTCTTTGCAAGAACAGTCGGCCCCTCCCCACCAAGCCATCCACAAGCAGATACTCCTGGATCACAAACAAACACTGACTCAATAATGGTTCCTGTAGGGTGCCCCAGATGCCTAGAGTACTCGGTTCGAGGGGCCCTGCTCTCTCGAGTCACTTACCCACCAATGTGCTGCGAAGACCTCCCCGGTGGCATCCCCATCTTCCTGGTCCAGGGTCACCTGGACCAGAGCTTACTGGCCCAGTGGGACGAGAAGCACAAGGAGTTCTCGGACCCCGACCCCACATACTGCAGCAACCCGAGATGCACCACGTATATCTCGAGCCTCGAGATCGAGGAGGGCGCCCGGTACGTCAAGTGCCAGAAGTGCGGCGAGCAGACTTGCGTCTGGTGCGGGTCTGTCAAAGATGCCCACGTCAACTCTGGCGAGTGCCCCGAGGGCGGCCTCGGCGAACAGGATCACGAGGTCCTCATCAAGGAGGGCTGGATCCAGTGCCCTCGTCGCAAATGCGGTGTCATTGTGGAGCGTATCGACGGCTGCAACCACATGATATGCGAGTGTGGCGCGGAGTTCTGTTATGCCTGTGGCGGGTTCCTTCAGGGGGATCATACCATCACTGAGAATGGCGCAGTCATGTGCAATTGTTCGGGCGAGGTGAGTACATGGACTCTTTGAGTTTTTTTTTTCTTTCTCTTTGCATTCTGCATCAGTCATTTTGGTGTACTATTTCAATCTAGTATTCAGCCTCAATGCTAAAAGAAACTCTCACAGGGCGACGAGGATGATGAGCTTTCTTTCAGCTCCAGCTCTTCTGAGGCCCAAGATGACGACAATAAAAGAGATGATGACCAGCCTGAGGGCCAGCCTGAGGATCAGTCCCAGGCTATCAAGAACAGAAACACCATCTAAAGCATGCTGCCCTCGAAGATAACTTCAGCCCGAGGGTGTAGAACAGTGATGATTTGTATTCATGCTGCCAGCTGCATCCGTAACGGCCCCTGATTAGGACTCCGGCATACATCTGTCAGTACGTCTTGCCTAGTCTACTATTGCCCATACATCTTCACCTTTATTACTGCTAACCATTGGTATATTCAGGTCCACCTACAACTGATGCTGCTCACAATGGCACCTCGGCAACCATGTTTCTGCCTGCGACAGCCTTGGAATTACCAGGGTGGACAAGAGAAAGGAGGACGAGGAAGAATCAAAGGAGTAGAAAGGGGCTTGAACAAGTAAGGTGTTTCTAGAAATTTTTGTTTTCAATTCGGTTCAGATTTAACAAGTCAACAGGATCAATGCCCTCCAAATTCAATGTGCTTTCCCCCCAGGGAGACCCGAAGAGGCGCTTCCACCCTGGGTCTCTCTTCCGCTTTTTTTTTCTTTCCTTCTTTTTCTTTGTTTCTTCCAAATGAAATCAATGTGCTTCTCTTGCCAAAGTTTGGGTAGGAGGAATGTAGGAATATAATCGACAATACCCATTCTACAGCACATGTTGTGTACACACGATCAACCTCGATGGAAGCCCGGAGGGATGCTTGATAAGCACTAATACTACTTAAATCCGGCCGGACACATTCTTATTCTAATTCGCTAGAAATTAATCCGCCCCGGCATCCGGAGGGACTCAGTGCCTGTCTGGACTGAAATATAAATCATGTCGTGAGTTTCTTCTTGTTTGTTTTCTGTATTCTTCGTGAATTCGTCCAGTGACAAACCTCTGCCTGTGTTCTATTCAAAACATTTTCAACTGCCAGATATTCCCCGACCCACCCAAACAAATCCAAAATGTCTATCGATACGATCAAGTATCCTTCCCTTGGAAAGGTCGATGCTGAGGATGATGATTATGTTGAAGTACGTTGTCTACAATTTCCATCATTGTTTTTATTCCACCCTCGTCGGCCTCGTCGGCCTCGTCGGCCTCGTTGACCCATCCCATTGGCCATCACTGATCATGATCCCGTGTCGATAGTTCGGAGACGGTCGTGAGGCCCGCGTTCTCGAGTTTCTTCAGAACCACCCTTTCGTGTCCGACCTGCGCGGCAACCCGTCCAAGGTCCTCGCCGCCATGGATGAGTTCTCCGCCCAAGAGGACTTCCTCATCAGCGTCGGCTCAGACAAGGAGCGTCTGCTCACCGGCATCCTCGCGGCCGAGGCGCCCAAGGTCCTCGTCGAGCTGGGCGGGTACCTGGGCTACTCGGCCATCCTCTTCGCCGACGCGATGAAGCGCGCCAACCCCCAGGGCTCGCCTCCACCAGTGGTCTGGAGCTTCGAGTTCAGCCAGGAGTTTGCCGACGTCGCCGCCAAGATCATCGAGCTGGCCGGCCTGTCGGAGAGCATCAAGATCGTGGTCGGGCCCGCGGACGAATCCATCCGCCGCCTCAAGGAGGAAGGCAAGCTGGCTACTGCGGGTGTCGACGTCCTCTTCCTGGACCATGTCGAGGACCTGTACGTGCAGGACCTCAAGGTCTGTGAGGAGCTGGGCCTGCTAAAGCCTGGGGCTCTTATCCTCGCCGACAATGTGGTCCGTCCTGGCGCCCCTGAGTACGTCAAGTATGTTCGTGCGCACCAGAACCTCGAGAGCCATGGGGTTAGAGCTTTGATCGTTCCGGGCGAGTTCGAGGTGCGTGTCTCTGGCCCTGCCACTGTAATCTTGCCATGTCGCGCTGACCATGTAACCCTTGAACAGGATGAGATTGAAGTCACCCGCGTCAAGAAATAAGCCTACCGTGTTTTTGCTGTTGTTTGTCAAGGAGACATGAATGACTCAAACGACCTATGTAGATCAATCCTGCAGGATCCATGAAAGAGGCACAAACGTTATGTTCTCGGTCACAACTCTTCCTCCAGGACTGTGCAATGCTGCTTAAACCGGTGTGAGAGAGCCTCAAGGCACCTCGTCCACTGTCATACGTATGGAACACCTAGGCTTCAGCATTACCCTCACAATCAGATACCTTCTCTTCTTTCTCTTCTCTGAGGTGTCTCACTGTGTGTGTCCAGTACAGAATCATTGTGTTGGCCTGTGCACCGGCCCCTGGGACCCCAAGACCTAACATTGTTCCACTTTCCCTTTCCGGCCGCCCAGCCTCGATTTATTGGATAACGATTGTGCCCTGAAAGATGACAGGGTTAGCGCTGTCATGCCAAGCCACCCGTGCACAGCTTTGATTACGCTGCGATCGTTTTTATTTAATTGCCTCTGGAAGTACTCTTTCTTTTTCTGTTTACCATTTTCTTCCTTTCTTGCTTCTTCTTGTTTCTCACTCTTGCCTCTTGCCCTCGTGAATTCCTCGAGACAGTAAATCCTGGAAGTCGTGCGAAGTATTTTTCACCTGGAAAGTGAACGACGCCTCCCAAGGTCTTTGCGGCTTGTACACAGTACAAAGAATTGCTTAGAATGTCTGATCAATACTCAAATCAAGGCCTCCTAACAAGCATTCGGCTCGACAAACTCGTTAAGGAGCGACAACAAATCATTCCGCTGGATATGTGTACCAACTCTGAGAGAGAGGGAAGTCTTTGCGAGCATATTGATTGCCAAGTTATCTGTTTAATTTCCCCCAAAAACCAGAGGCGTTTGGGGGGGGGGGAGGGGGGTTTAACACAACCGCGGCCAAACCTCTCATATTGTGCCCACAGCTAGGGACAAAACGGTATGTTTACGATCGGTCTAATTCTTAAGCATAAGCCTGGATAATCTGGTGCATTCCTCAGATTTTTGAAAGGGACAGGAAAATGGAAGATCTGCCAATTGACAGCGAACTGCGCATCACGAGCTCCATGACAACCTGGCTTTGAATATCATAGCATTTAGGATATGCTGATTAGGTATCAAACTCTCTCAGTAGAATATTTACACATAATCACTCCTCCACAACGGCACAACCAGCCTTTAGTTTGACTTCCACTGTCCCGCATCCCGAGCCGCCTTGCCAACGTCCTGTCCGGTGCCCTCAAGCGACGTGCCTACATTAGCGACGCCGTCGCCGAGCGGCTTGCCCGCCTGACCGGTGACGCCACTGACGGTCTCTCCCAGGCCGCGGGAGGCGCCTCCGACAGCACCGCCGACGGTGTTTGTGACGCCAGAGAGGGTGTCACCTAGAACTGCGGTGCGGAAAATCATTAGCTTCTTCTTTGCATCCTGTGAGTGGTCAATGCAAGGTAGCAAAGGATTTTTGCTTACTGCCTGTGCCGGTCTTGGCGACACCGGTCGCACCGTCAGTGACGGAGTCGGTGTTGTTCTGGTCCTTGTTGTTGAAAAGGTTCGACATTTTGAATGAGGTGAAAGTTTAATTTGTTTGTGTTTCCGGAGAACCTTTGAGTCTGACTTGTAGGAGGAAGAAGGATGATGGTGATGAATGATTCTGATTCTGTAAAGTATCAGAAATGTCGAATTGCTCTGCTGCGTGACGCCGTGATAAATAACCATGTGTTTACCGTGCGTGTATGCACCCAAGCACGACTGTGATGTAATCTTGATGTAAGCCTGCCTTGCTGTGGCTGATGAAGAGGGTGCGCTGTGGCCAAAAGTTGACGTCGTGCGCCGATCAACTGCCTAGATTGTCATGTCGTGACATGCTGCCAAGTTTCGCTGATGTGGCGGTGCAGGGGTCATGATACACCCTCACTATCAGGCCTGCCACACCACAGATTGCAGCATGGAAACGTGTACAATGCTTATGCTTCCCTGTGGCAGTGGTTTCTCTCAGCCGAAGAGTGTCGGACAAATACTGACGTAGCAAAATGGAGTGTGACACTATCGCTCAGCACCCCTGAGCAGATACTCTCCCACGTCTTCATTCTCTAGAGCCATCGAAGCTCGTGATCGGGCGCTCTCTGCTCATTCGACCGATCTTGTAAGAGCGCGAGACCCTGCGTGGATCGACGGATTTCTGTGCAGCACGACCTCTTCATGCATGCAGATGCTGATTACTGTGGGGTGTAGGCAAATCTTGGTGGGTGACAGGCCTGACCAAGTCTTGCCACTGTATGAAGGCATGCTACAAGAATGGCATACAATTTTGAGACTTCTTTAAGTGTGACAGGCACTACGTCGAGATGAATATGAGGTAAAGATTTGTTTATGATTGTATTGACTAGGCCAAAGGAGCCTCAGAGAAGCGTGAATACCTACTGATGCTTCTCCCTATTGATTCAATGTCGTTCCGGTTTTCATGCTATCGCTACCAGCGTCTTGGTTCGGGATTGCCATATTCGCTCGCAGGCTTTCAGGCCTAGCTCACAACGGGTCACTTGATTTCCCCAGCCGACGTACTCTGTGCCTTGCCCTGATATTTCGCCAACTAAGTCACCTAAAGTACGCTGAGCTGGTAATCTGAGCTGGCTTTCACTACTGATTGACCCAACTCATCTGTTTTCTCTTTCTTATCGAATTATTAATCTTTTTTGTCGTCTCGAGGGGCCGGGAAGTGGCTGGTGTTTGAAAATCTGCCATCAAGAGCGTCCATGATCGTTGGGTGGATGAGGACCGACGTTCTAGCGACGAAGATGGTGATGGAAGTTGGGCTCAGTGCACTACCAAGGCAAAGGCTTCAAACTACCCGGCGAAGTTCATCCTCCTAAATGAAGACAAGCAGCCCGTATCAGGTTCAAGTGGAAATGATGATCGCTAAGAGCAGAATACTCTGGACTAAGCTCAGTTCTCCTTCATGCCAAAGTCCGTTACAAGGCATCACGATGGTCTTCCATAACTCTCTACGGTAGGTCAAGAGAATGCTGGCTTTATGCTCGACGAAAAGGTCATCAGAGTACCGCACTGTGCCGGCTGACAAGGCGAAAAAGTATATGCGTCAAAATCTTCAGCTTTGGGCTTCTTGACGAGCTCCGAATTCTAATCATTGCACGGTACGACATTTCGTCTCAAGCTTGAAATGATACAAATCAATGCAATTCAGTCGTCACTTTTTCAGCAGTCTTTTCATCTCAAATCCTTTGACCCCAGGATGCGTGAGAATTCCCTCTCAGACCACGCCCTGACTTGCCCCAGGATTTAATCAGCAGCATACATGAGTGCCTCGCCCCTGGCCATATCAACGTGAAAAGGCTTCTAACGTATCCACAGACCGTTGTCTCTGCTCTCTATGAAAGATCGGACCCAGCCAATTCTACGGCCCTCTTCGCAGCCTCGCCAAACTCAGCTTCAGTATGGAGCCCTAGATGAGCGTCTTCCAACTACAACAAGTAAGTCATCCTGTATACAAGTCGGCAATAATTCAAAACACACACTTACGAGCTTCAAGCCTTGCTCCAAGCTGGTTCCTTGCAGGCGCAAGACCCACGGGCATTCGGAATGACCCGATCTTCTTCGCAGCCCCAATGATTGATTCCGCAATCATATCACAGCGAATGATGCCTGAAAATCGCGAACAAACCAGTCAGTGGTTATCCTGCTGACAGGGATGGATGTAGGTACGCACCTCCGTAGATATTGACCAAGATGCAATTGACTCTGTCATCCTTGCGAATAATCTCGAAGGCTTTCTGCATAGTTTCCGTTGTGGCCTGCCCACCTGCATCTAGGAGATTTGCGCTGGTGCCACCGTGGTGTGCAATCGCGTCGTTGGTGGCCATTGCGAGGCCCGCGCCGTTAACGACATGACCAATTGAGCCATCCATCTGGATATAGACAAGGCCGTGTATCTCGGCTTCTAGCTTTTAGCTGTAGTGACACCGCTCTCGCTGTCTCGATCCCTTATAGCAAAGAGCTCCTGCTGCCGAGGCTTCGCGGCATCACCAAAAGAGAACTTGGCGTCGAGACAAGTAAAACTCTGAGTGTCGGCGTGACGGACTAAGGGATTGATCTTCATCAGTGTGGCATCCTTGGAGATGAAGAGCTTGTGCATCTTGTTGAGCGCCTCTCCAAGGCTGGCCTCGTGTCCAGACGACGTCCACATGGCTTCCGCAATCTGACCCAGAAGTTCGACCGTTATACCTTCGCTAATGTTTGAAGTGGTACTTGTTAACCTCGTCTGGGGTCTGCTTGGCCACGGTCTCGATGTCCATGCCACCACTTTTCGAGATGATGACCGCCGGGCGGAAGTTCTCACGGTCGATAGCAATGGCCAGATACCATTCTTCGTCATACATGAGTACCTCTGCCACGTAGACTTTGTCTACCGACAGGCCGTTGCCGGTGGTCTGCTTGGTCTTGGGGCGATGGCCCAATATCTGCTCGGCTATCTTCTTTCCGGCGCTGGGGCTGTCGACAAGTTGGATGCCTCCTTTCAGACCATTGTCGAACGTCCCCTTACCGCGTCCACTTTCAGGATCTGTGAATTCACTACACACTTCCCTCCTGCAAGGTTGTCAGTCAGGTGAAGGCTCTCCATCCTTACCCCCCCCCCCCCCCAAGGACCCCCTCATCCCTAAGTGATCACGTCACTCACCGAGCTCCTCGACAATGCGAGCAACATCCTCCGGTATTCGTGCGAGCTGGCCTCGTGGGACCGGAACGCCATAATACTGCGGTCGGACTCATGAGTTGAGGTCGCCATAATGTCGAATTATGATCCACTTACATCCTTCAACAAGCTCTGGGACTGGTACTCGTGCAGGCTGAGCCACCTCACTTGCTGTCTTGGATGCTTAATGTCTCAACGTCATGAGCACGTGTTCGTCAAAAGGCCATGTTCGTAATGATGGCCCATACATTTCGGGCAGCTCTCAGGAATATTTGAACCGTAGTCATTGTGAAGGCCGTAGAGGTCAGTTACATTGAAATTAAATCTAAGGAGCCATGAACTACGATCTCTCGAGTCTTCTTATTTCCTTTCTTCTCGCGTCGTCGTAGTTGCTACACGTAATTGCTGCCCGCTGCTAACCTCCCCAGCCTCCTTGAACCTCAAGATTCCTATTCACCGAGGCAAACACTACGTAGGTATTGGGGATCAGCCGCTAGGCCGCGTCCGATCTACGAGCAGCTCTGATTACTCGTGAAGACCGGCTGTGTCATGGAGACCTTGGGCGATGGCCTTTTCGTAGGCCGCGGTGTCTCAGCGGGGTCATGATTACCATTCAGCTTTCGAAAGTCCTGCAGAAAGGATTCGATGTGATAGAATGTATGGGTGGGATGTTGGTTAAGAATCACAGCGTAGTTAACAAGAATACCCCGGTGGTCATGGATATCAACTGCCCATAGTCTGACTTCCAGGCCGGCGGGAGCATGGTGATGAACGTCCCTTAGACTGACGGCGGAGGGCTCCATTATACCGTCAACTCGCTGAACGCGCCGAGCGTCGTGGAGGAACTTCGGCGGATCAGCAAAGGCGGTCGAGGCTTGGATTTTGCTGCGGATCATACGAGGGTTCCTAAGGTTGTTGAGGACATCGTCGAGGCAATGGGGTTTGTAGACACTGCTGTGTTGATGCGCGTGCCGCCTGTGGGCGCGGAGGGTTTTGGCTGCACCGAAGTTTTGTTGTGTTAGCTGTCACTGCTGTGGACACAAAGGAAACTGCGTGGTTGCAGCGTTGCGCAGCAGGACCAGCAAATCCACACGCTCGCTCACGTCTCGACAGTGTGGCGAAAGAGGGCGTGGATAGTGTGTACAAGTCCTTTCCAATCGTCAACAAGACGTTGAAATAAAGTTGTGCGTGTGGCACCTGCGTCCGAACTCGCCCGTCAGTCTATGGTCACCGCGCCGATAGACAACGGCGCACGCTCAGACCCCTCCGCTGCAGCGAACTGATTGTGGATCGCCTCCGCCCGTGGATGGTGAGACGGACCGGGTCATGGATTTCGGACACTGAGAGTTTCACGCCGCGCAAGCCGATAGAGCACATCATGTCCCTCCTCTTTCCTCTCTTGTGTCCCTTGTCTGATTCCAATGGCGTGTTGGAGGCTGCCAAAATTGGGTGGCGCTGTCGCGTCATTGGGCGATCATGGTCTGTTCTGCCGGTACGCGGAGTGTTGGTGGTGCAGCTCTTTGTTTCATCAAAACGGATGACCTGGTTCAGGCTTCGGATGGCCCTGAAAAAGAGGGTGCCATGCTGCAGGTTATGGGAGTGTGCGTTGCTGGTTAGGCAAGATGGCGTGCGTGATCTGGGGGTGTGGTTGCTATAGTGGAGGGTGGGAGCCCGCAGTTGTGGTCAACATTGAACCCAAGGGACTGGCAAGGGTGTGATCCGAGATGCAAGCCACACTCTTTGGACATGTGACAAGGATGGACTGTTCAGTTCTAGTGCTTAGAAAAATGGTCTTGTGGATAGGTCAATAGCTATCATGCTGAGCAGGTGTTTAAAATTGCCATTTGTAAAAATAGGAGGCATTCTGTAGGCACAAACACGAGTTCACAGGTCTGCTTTTGAGGTCAACATTAGAATTAGGATGTAAGACGTCATAGCAATAGTATGCTCTATCTGTGCTCTGGCAAAATCTGCTGCAGTTCTGTTATCAAATACCCCCCCCCCCCGCTGACTGCCTCTTACTCAGCAAATTAATCCCCCATTCACCAGTCCCACTGAATCCTGGGAGTCAGCCAGGAAATAGAAATTCGTTCAGAAATGCAAGACAAGATGTCCGATGGATACAACGGGGGAACTGAACAATTTCCTGGGCACGAGATGGCATACATTTGTAGAAATGACACTAGGACAGCCTGACCCCAGGTTCAAGAGGAGCTAGACACAGCTCTTTGGGTGGGGTACATGCAGAGCATCCGGCTTCATTGGACCTCATCACTGAGGCGAGGTGACCAGCTCTTGGGATCAGGTTGAGTGCAAATACCAGAAACCCCCTCATTCCAGCAATTATCAAGGTTACAAAAGACTGCTTGTTTTTACTGGATTACCATGAGTTTCTCATAGGCCTAGCCTGAATATAAGTACCATATAGCACATGCTCGATGGCTCTTAGCTCATCCACAGGATTAATGACTGAATACTGAACAAAATGCCACGCGTAAAATGTTGAACAAGTCAATTGTCCAGTTACGTAGATTAAAAAACCCCAGGCTGCATCTCTTTCTTCTTCTTTTTGGGGGGGCGGGGGCGGTGGTGGTCGTCCCCGGATCGCGATGGATTTCTTGCTGATGTCCATTCCTGGGTGTGGCGGCTGTGGGTGGCCCCCATAAGCGGATCACTGGCCAGAGGAATCCAGCTGTGAAGCAGGGGTCCAGTCTCGATGCAACCCTGAACCCCTGCTGGACATGCCGCAGTGGAAACATTATGTGAAGGGAACCCCAAACAAGAGACCCTCAAAATTCACTGCTGCACTGCACCTTGATGTCCCTGCACCAGGAACTCGCCTATGACGCAGAACTCCCAGCCCACCTCACTACCAACACAACCCACTACGCTTTCAACGCTGCTGCTGCATCATCAGCTTGCACACACACACGCGCCCAAGGCCATTGGACCTTCCCAACAATCTTGGACAACAAAAACAATACCAGAAATTCTCAAATCACTGCTGGATCCAGAGCGTGTGCCCTCTGGAGAGGAGGAGGAGGCATCATGGCTATGTTTGATGCGCCTGCGTCAAAAGGCGCCATGGGAGGAGGAGGTCCTACACTCTTTGGCCTGCCTATGAAACAGGCGTCGCTCATCACAGTACGCCATTGGATCCCTTTGACTTCTTGTCCTTCCCTTTGTCTTTCGGAGCTCTTGGCTAATAATGTGCCGTGCGCGCGCGAACAGTTGACCTTTCAGAACTCCGCCTTAATACTCGTGCGTTTGAGAACTCGATTCGAGACCCGCGAAGTGCCCCTGCGATTGCTCGGACTGACAATGCTATTGCTGGGTAGATCATGCACTACAGCCGTATTATGCCCCCCACGAGCGACCGAAGATACTTTACAAGCACTGCAGTCCTGCTGAATGAGGTCCTGAAGCTCGCCCTGTCGTCCACGTTTGCGATATACGAGGTTTCGCGGAGTCTCGCGCCCCAGACGCCTGCCACGGTGCTGTTCGAGCAAATATACCGGTCTGTCTTCAGTGGGGATGGGTGGAAGCTGGCGATACCGGCGACGCTGTACACGCTCGAGAACACGCTGCAATACGTCGCGCTGGGCAATCTGGACCCGGTGCACTTTCAAATCCTATACCAGCTCAAGGTTGGTCAACACCTCAGCGCATCCCAGGCCTTTGCGCGCTCCGCTTCGATGAACCTTTTGTCACTGACCCGCAGTCGTAGATTCTCACCACGGCCGTCTTCAGCGTATCCCTCCTCGGTCGGTCCCTGAGCGTCAAGCGCTGGGCTTCTGTAATCCTCCTTACCGTCGGCGTGGCTATTGTCTCTCTACCGTCCGGCTCGGCCAAGGAGTCCGCACTCGTCATCCATGATTTTAGTGATCACTTCTTCCCGCGGTCTATGCATGAGCTCGGCCAGGCTGCCGGTGGGGTGGTGGATGTCGCGCACGAGTTGACGCGCCGGGCCGTCGAGGGCCTCGCCGAAGGGGTTTCGAACGTGGTGAAGCGGTCGGCTACGTATGAGGGAATCGAGGCCGACATGGATCCTGATCCAGAGATGAACTACTCCCTGGGCCTGACAGCGGTGCTCGTCGCGGCAGGCGTGTCCGGGCTGACGGGAGTATACTTCGAGAAGGTTCTCAAGGAGTCTGCGACACCTGTCAGCGTGTGGACGCGCAACATCCAGCTGTCCTTCTACAGCCTGTTCCCGGCTCTGTTCTTTGGCGTAATCATGAAGGACGGCGAGGAAATTGCCCAGTATGGGTTCTTCGAGGGATACAATAGTGTGGTGTGGACGGCTATCGTCTTCCAGGCGATGGGCGGCGTGCTCACTAGTCTCTGCATCAACTATGCGGACAATATCGCCAAAAACTTTGCGACGAGTATCAGCATCATCATCAGCTTCATTTTCAGCCTCTGGTTCTTCGGCTTCGAGGTGTCGACAACAGTACGTTTCTTTCTCCTTTTTCCTTGTGTCTGGATCTCGTCTAGCGGTTGGTGATTTGTCTCCACCCTTGCCCAGCAGCAGGATATACCATGGATGGCCCTGCAGTCCGGCATCAGTACCCAACCCATCTCTTAGGGCTAGTCGCATGTGAGAGCGTGTCCCCTACTGCTAAACATCACTGGCAAGTGCCGGGGGTGGGGGGTTTCTTCTCTCAGTTGGGCATATCGAACAGCGTCTTGTTGCACTGCCAAAGGCTCGGCAATACTGTGTCTATATAGTAGCTCTAGGGCGTACTAGGGCCCTAACTTTGTGATCTCGCCCTTGATGGGTACCGCGACTCAAATACGCGTCGATCGTCACATTATACCTTGGCCTCAAGTCACACCTCGATAGCATCTTGGCAGTACTATCAAGGGGCAGCACTAACGGGATCTTACAGTTCATCATGGGCACCTTGTTGGTGCTGTTCTCTACGTGGCTCTATAGCGGACCCGATCGTAAGCGAGGTCGACCGCCCCCCATCAATATCGTCAATTTTGAGAAGACGGTCATCGCTTCAACGCCTAGGGTACCCTCCCCTGGTGGCTCAGCATTACTCAATCCATTGGATTCTGCAAACTCACTCGGCTTGTCAACATCAAGACCAGCAACCCCGTCGTTTCATCATGCTCGAGTACCGTCTGCTAGAGGGAAGACACGTGATGACTGAGTGACTCAAGACTCAGCGCTAGGAGTATTGACAACGAGAAAACTTGGGAGGGGAGAGCCTAGCCCTATCAGAAGCTCAAATGAGGCTATTTTTAGGGCGAACAGAATATGTATGTGTAATACACCTTTGATAAAAGGTCTGTATTGTACATCAGGACAGCACCATCTGTCTAGAGTGATGAAGGAACAATGAATTATACCCGATAGATGGACAGATTGTGGGACACTGATGTCGAGGATGGGCCCAGGGCAGACGGCTACACCAACACCACAGCATACTGGAAAGACATGCTGGGACACTCGTGATGATTGTTTCACGTGCAGGGTGGGCTCACAGCGTTCAGGTCTACAGCATGTACATGCATACACCTGCATGCATTGATGAGGAGGCAGCACCTGGCATATTGACACACTCGACAGACCAATTCACAAACCGTGTTTCTAGACCTTTTGTCTACAATTAGGATTTCGTTTCTCGAGCTCTTTTTGTCATCGTCCCAAGTGACCACCGGATCCAAAGCAAGCACTGTGCACCTTACTGATTCACTATACGACATAGGTGCAGCAAGCACTAGGATGCTCCAAGGCCGTTCCTTCTGCCAATAGCTCCTGGGACTACCAAAAATTGACAAAAATGCCTTTCTAGGAAAGGACGAAGCTTCTTCGCCCAGTTCTCACATTAAAGATGTGCTCCTGCCCTCTTCCCAAGCACCCAGGTTATAACTTCCTTCTCCCCAACGACCCTCTGAAGCAGAATCTGGTCTACTTGTCTCTATCTTTCCCAGACATCATACAGCCTTCTCTACCCACAGTCTCAAAGAACTGTTTGTTAACGGCTCCTTGGTCATTACTGGCAAAGCCCCCACAGCCTTTTCAACTATCCATATCCACCAGTTCTTTCCTTGGAACTGCCCTTCTTTTCTCCTCCTCATCTTTGTTTCCCCAGGTCGATCATCATCCACCCAATCGTCGCCCTACAGCCTCCAAGATGACCAAGCCAAAAACCTGGAAACAAGATCCTGTATGGGATTCCCTGAGCCACGAGTTGCGCCAGGAGATCCAGAACAGGATCAAAGCAATGGGCTATAAGGGCACCCCAATGCTGTCTTGGACTGAGGATGGCAGTGGTGTCATGCTCTATCTTCCTGAACCTGGGAATGGCATCCACGGCCATGCTCAGCCGGCGGCGAACTGGCCGTGTCTTTTCCTGCCCGAGGCCCACCCCATGCCCCAGGCAACGCCTGTGCCTGACTTTGGTCCTCCACAGGCGTGCCTCCCGAACATGGTTGAGTCTGCCCAAGAGGCTATGTTCGTCCAACCGCACATGCCTATCCAGCCGTATATGCCCATCCAGACGCATATACCTGACCAGGCAGCTAGGTTCGAGGATGTCTTTTGGTCAATTCCAACGCAAGCTCCTGAGCCAGCGGTATTTCCTTTTCATGTAGGTACAATGAGTCCTCAGCAGTGTGCGCTCCACATCTCTGACGCTCCCTCACAGCCTACCTCGCAGCATCTGTCTGCTGGCGGCATGGGAAATGCCAATGATTGGCTGAACGCTCCAATTTTCTCTCCCCCATCGAGCAACGCGTCCGCGTCCGCGTCCGCGTCCGCATCCGCGTCTCCGTACAAAGGCATGTACCCGAACGCCCAGAATCCGGTGGCACAACATCCACGGTTTCAATCAGCAAGGAGACAATTCCCGGCCGCGCAGTTCCCGGCGAGACAACGCCCAATAAGGCAGAACCCGATGGCCCAAGTCCCAAGAGAGCACGGTCCTAGGAAGCGTTCACTGGCTGGCCGAGCCCCTCCCAGCCAGGGCAAACGACTCAAGCCCGCTTCGGCTGTAGAGGTTGCGGGGATCCCCACACCAGAAGATGCCCAGCCGCGCGTCTTGGAACCTGGCTATTTCGATTTCCCATACACGGGTGCTCCGCCTCAGCCTCTAGAGGATCCAGCTGCTTTTGCAGCGGGCCTTCGTGAGTTTCAATGGGATCTGGAGTTTGCCAACCCAGTCTCAGCTGACGTCTTTATGGGAGCTCAGGCGTTGCCTATGCGGATGGCAGAGGACTAGGACCTACTGGATCTCATCACGCCGCTTTCAATGACCCAAATAAAGGAAGAGCCGTCCCCACTCTTCCAGTCCCCCATACCGTACGGGGGTCAAACACAGCAGTAGGAACTGTGACCTCGTCACGGCAGACCTCACCAAGGGCATCAAGATGTGTCGATACCTCTGAGAACCTTGACGCTCCTGGCACCATCCCCACGGCAAATGGGATACCTCTCATCAGTCCGGCACAGGTAATCCCCGACAGGTTTAGAACCGCATTCCCTTATAATATTTTTAATTCTGTACAATCCAAATGTTTTCACGCGATGTATGAAACGGACGACAACGTGGTCGTCTCCGCGCCGACGGGCAGCGGCAAGACGGCGCTCCTCGAGCTGGCCATTTGCAAGCTTGCCAATCAGAGAAGTAATGACCAAGCGAAAATCGTGTATCTTTCGCCTACCAAGGCCCTGTGCAAGGAAAAGGCGGTGCAGTGGCAGCAAAGGTTTGGACCGTTGTCGATGCCGGTGTCAGAACTGACTGGTGACACATCGCGATCAGACATGAGAAGAGTGCGCGAGGCAAGGATCATCGTCACCACGCCAGAGAAATGGGATTCAATCACTCGCAGCTGGACGGACCATCGCAAGCTGCTCGATCTCGTCAAGCTTTTCCTCATCGATGAGGTCCATATTCTCGGAGAATCGCGGGGCGCGACTCTCGAAGCCATTGTATCTCGCATGAAGACGTACGGCGCCAAGATTAGGTTCATCGCACTCAGCGCAACAATACCAAATTCTGAAGATATCGCAACTTGGCTGGGCAGAAACCACGCCCACCCTTCCATGCCGTCTTACCGTGAAGTGTTTGGAGAGGAGTTCCGTCCGGTGAAGTTGGAGAAGAAGGTCCATGGGTTCAACGTGAAAATGTCCGACTACGCCTTCGACAGCTATCTTAATTCCCAGCTTTGGGAGTACATCAAGATGTACTCTCAGAGGAAGCCCATGTTGGTCTTCTGCATGACACGCAAGAGTTGTCACGATGCTGCCAAGCAACTCGCAGAGAAGTGGAGCCAGCAAGCACCAAGTGCACGGCTTTGGCCGGAGCCAAGGAAGGCAATACCTGTCATTGATGCAAGTCTGCAGGAGATGGTTCGGTCCGGAGTTGCGTTTCACCATGCAGGACTAGACGCAGGCGACAAGAAGGCAGTCCACGAGGCGTTCATGGAGGGCAGCATCAGCGTCATCTGTTGCACCTCTACCCTGGCGGTTGGTGTCAACCTCCCATGCCACACAGTCTTACTGAAGGGCACTGTATGCTACCAAGAGGGCCAGCTCCATGAGTACAGTGACCTCGAAATCATGCAGATGTTGGGACGAGCTGGCCGACCTCAGTTCGAAGACACAGCGCTGGCCATCATCCTCACCAGGTCTCGCAACAAGAAGCGGTACGAAAACCTTGGATCGGGGCAACAGATTGTTGAGAGCACCTTCCACAAGAACATGATTGAGCACTTGAACTCGGAGATCAGCCTTGAGACATTCAGGGACATCAATGGGGCCAAGGACTGGCTCAAGGGCACCTTTCTCAGTGTCAGGCTTCTTCGGAACCCTAGTCACTACAGGGACCTGACCGCGGGCTCCCATGCGAGAACAGCCGAGGGTCGACTCCAGCAGATCTGCGAGTCCACAATCTCAAGCCTTTGGGATGCTCAATTGATCACCGGCAGCTCTACGTATTTTTGTCCTACCGAGTACGGCCAGGTCATGTCTAAGTATATGATCAGGTTCAGCACAATGAAGCAGATACTGAACATTCCTCGTGGCGCGAACACACAGACTCTGGTAAGACCTCTCCCTCAAAGCTGTCGACTCTCGCTGATGTCTCACCACAGCTCAACGCACTATGTGATGCCGATGAGTTTCGCGAGATCCGCTGGCAAACAGATGAAAAGAAAACCTTCCGAGAAATCAACAGCGATCCCTTCATCAAGTACCCCGTAGGCAACAATGTGAGCACCCTTGCTCATAAGGTATCTTTGCTCCTGCAAATAGAGGTAGGGCATGTCGAACTCAAAGAGTTCGAGCGACGGCGTCTTCGCGGCGAAGCCAGCCGAGTTCTGGAAGTGATGCACAGGCTGGTACGGGCGGTGGTAGAGTGCAAGCAAGCCGACTCGGACGGCAAGGCTTGTCGGGCTGCCCTCGAGCTGGCCAGGTCGATGACAGCGAAAGCATGGGAAGGCACGGTGCAGCAGCTCTTGCAAGTCCCACAGCTTGGACCAGCCCTGCTGCGCAAGCTTGTATCGAACAACATCAGGACCGTTGCGAGCCTGGCAAACGCAGACACCAGCACCATCGAGAGAATCGCCAGTCGAAACCCGCCCTTCGGGAAAAAGATGGCGGATACTCTGCGCTCCTTTCCAAGGCTAGCGATCAAAGCCAAGATCAAAGACAGCAGCATGGACGCCAAGGGAAGGCCAGTGGTCCATGTTGATGTTATTCTCGCTTTCACGAGTACGAGAGGATACTGGCAGGGAAGAATGCCACTTGTCAATCTTTTGGCCGTGACCTCGGAGGGTATTTTGGCACACTTTTGGCGCGATTCGCTGGGGTCGTTCAGGACGGAGAATGGGAACAGCTGCCAGGTTTGTTTCACCTGGTCACCAACTACTCTTCAGGAGACGCTTTCTTGCCAGTTTGCGTGCGAGGAAATTGTTGGAACCGTCGTCTCCGCAGAAGTCAGTCATGATATACCTGCGGCCAAATTTCCGTTACACCTGAAAACCCCAGTGCATACAGCGGCCGGATTCCGAAGCCTCAAAGCGCAAACTGCAAATCCCGATCAGCTGAGCATCGACGGTGAGATCGACGGTGAGATCGACGATGTTGAGATGCTGAACTGCATCGAGGCATTAACACATGGCAGTGAGATTGGCTGGAACGACAGCGAGTTTGATGCAGACGATGGCCTTTTTATGGTAATTGACCCGGATGGCAACCTTCCGGAGCAGCCATCAGGACTTTTGACGAAGCATCAAGCCGATCGGACAGGTGGAACCGATGTGGTACCACCAAGCGAAAAGCCTGTGAAAGTTCCCAATAAAGGATACGAGTGCCCAAAGACTAGTGAGGCGGGCCGCGGACTCGGGTATCAACTCCCCTCTTGTAAGGACCCCGAGACGTTAGGCCAGCCAACTGGTTTGCAACCTAGGAAACTACCAGATGTGAGTGCCTACACCATCGATGAGGAGGCCATCATCGATCTCACGGAGGCAGATGAGTGGCCTGAGGACCGCGTGCAGGGAGAGGTCAGCCGCTTTTACGAGCGCAAAGTATCAAGATTTGGCGATAAGAAACAGCAAGCGGGGGCGAAAGACATGCACGCTTTTACGATATCTGATGACTTCTCGGATGACGAGTTGATGGGCGTGTATCTCGATCAAGATATTGGCGTCGCAAGAAAGGAAGTGCCGGTCGAAAGAGGAAACAGCCTGGGCACTGAAGACGAGCATGACGATGAAGTTGCAGCCGGAGCGATGGTTCAAGCCCTTCAAGAGAATGGCTGCCGGCGCAAGAATGCTGAAGGTTCCAGAGCTTCGTTTGACATGGAAGGCGACATGAAAGGAGTTGGCTCGTTCACATGGTCGCTACAGCGAGCGGAAGGCCGTGGGACCAACCGGCTTGTCAACCAAGTGCAAGAGAAAGAGGGCGTCGCGAAAGCGCAAGAGGAACTAGCTGGAGAGCCAGATTGGTTGAAGGATTTCGAACCAGGCTTCATCGACGAATTCCGCGACGCTGTTGACTTTGTGTAGTTCACGGGGTTTTTCCATGACTACGCGTCTCTCGCTTGATGAGACCTATGAGAGCCAGGTTCGGGAGGTGGTCTCCGAGTCTTGCATCTTCACGCTCCTTTTTGGGAGGAATCGAAACACGCCGGGCTGATATCATCCCTTGGGGTTGGTGGAAACATGTTTACAGTACGAGTGGCTACAGACCTTTCTTCTCTCTTTTTTTCCTTCTTTCTCTTTCTTCTTCATCTTCTCTTGGGCTCGATTTTACGGCTCTCTACGGGAATCATGTGAGCTACCTCAAAGCACATAATCGTAAATGCAAATCTCTTTCATCTAATCTCCAGGCTCTCAAAACGTGGTCTTTGGTCAGGTGTGGTGTTCTGGAAGGAGAAGGCAGTGGATCACTTGGTCGGACAGTGGTAGAAACGCCAGGGGGAAAGGGTGTCCTAATTTCAGCGCTGCGACATGGTACTCGTAAGGGATTCGTAAGCGAGACCCCCAACCGTCAGAGACACTGGTTCCCCATCCCTTGCAAGGACGGCATGCACATGGGGTCGGCAATTTTGAAAAGATATTTACGTCACTGCGATATGGCACCGCACGCTGACGATCCTGGGGCCTTACCTTTCTTCTTTTCCAGATTCTCTTTCTCGCCCACTTGCCAAAGAGAGTGTGTGTTGTGTCCTAGATGGCCATAACGGACCATCTCAGACTGGGCAGCGCTAGATGGATGACGGGGCCGGCCTTCCTCCGCTCCCGGGCCGGGGCGCGGTGGATCGCCTCGCTTGTGGGCGCCACTACGGTCCTCTCTGTACTCTGGATGCACCAGCACGATGCATACCCGAGCCTCACGGCAGGCTCAGCGACGCTGCACAACCTGCTGCCCCTGGGCGGTCAGCAGCAGCAGCCTGTCGACGTCGTAGCCGCTACGCCCGACATGGCGCCAAGCAAGTCGCCTGCAGCAGCTGGCGGCTTGGCGGCTTCCTCGCTACCGCCGCCTTGGATCGACACCCCACAGCCGTTTGACACGTCCCAGATCGACGAGGAGCTAGTATCTGCGGCGCTGGATCGGCCGGTCGCCCTGGGCCCAGGCCTCGCCGAGGCCATGGAGCGGTTTCTGGACAGGCCCGTGCTGAGCCACGAGCAGGCGGTCGCGCAGAACGAGGCTGCGTGCCCCCGGAAGCAGCTGGACAGGCAGGTGAACGCGGACCAGCTGGGCGGGGAGCAGAAGAAGTGGGCGATGGTCGACGAGGCGCAGATTGTCAGCATGAGGCGGGCTGCGCTCAAGTTCCTGGAGGACAGGGCGGGCGAGGAAAAGGAGGAGGCGCTGATCGGTCCTGGGTTTGGGCCGGACGGCGAGGCGGTCAAGAGGGGCAGCCGGGGCGTGGTCATCGCGGCGGGGAATCACCGCACCGTGGAGAGGGCGATCGTGTGCGTCAAGGAGATCCAGCGGCTGGGGTGGAAGGGCGGCGTGGAGGTCTGGCATTTCGAGGGCGAGCTGGAGGCCCAGAAGGACCGCGAAGCCCTGAGGGCGTTGGGCGTCGAGATCCATATGGTGAGCTACTCCTCGACGACGACGAGCAAAGACGGTAGCTGTATAGCTGTGTACTGACGTGTGTGTGTCTGTGTGTGTGTGTGTGTGTGACGATCAGGTCTCGACCAAGAAGGCACCTGGGAAGTGGAAGAACTTCGAGCTCAAGGCCGAGGCGGTCCTCCGCTCCTCCTTTGACGAGGTGCTCTACCTCGACTCGGACAACTTCCCGCTGTCGGACATCAGCGCGCTCTTTGAGGCGTCTCTGTTCCGGGATCCCAGGGGTGGCCGGGCCGTCTTCTGGCCGGATCTGAACCGCGACCACCCGGACAATGCGATCCACCGGGTGCTGGGCGTCCCGTGCCACGACGCGTGGGAGCTGGACAGCGGCCAGATGCTCATCGCCAAGAGCGGAAACAACGGGCTGAACCTTGCGGCTCTCTATCTGGCGTCGTATATGCAGACGGAGGGCGATTATTGGTTCAGCGGGGGGGACAAGGATACTTTGTGAGTAGACGTCTCTCTCTCTCTCTCTCTCTCTCTCTCTCTCTCTCTCTCTCTCTCTTTCTCTCTCTCTCTCTCTTTCTCTCTCTCTCTCTCTTTCTCTCTCTCTCTCTCTTTCTCTCTCTCTCTCTCTTTCTCTCTCTCTCTCTCTTTCTCTCTCTCTCTCTCTTTCTCTCTCTCACCCACACACATATCTCCATTTCTAACTTCGAGACTAATCATCGTGATTATCAGCCGGTATGCCCATCTGGCCTTGGGTATCCCCTACGTCCCCGCCCCACGCTGGCTCGCCGTACTCGGGAACCGATTCAAGCGGGGCGGCACCACCGACATGTTCTGCGGCGCCGCCATGCTGCAGTACGGGCTCGTCCCGCCGCGGCCTGGGTTCACCGAGGCGTCAGACCCAACCCACCCAGAGCCGCTGTTTGTCCATGCCAACCTCCTCAAGCACCAAAGCGGGGTGCGGCAGGGAAACGTCTTCACCATCATGCGACGGCTGTCTCTTGCGCAGGATGATGTGCGGGTGCAGCTACCGGAGCTGAGCGATGGTTACGACGAGGGAGAGGAAAAGCAAGGGAGCAACGATTTCGAGGGGAGGGAGGGGAGGAAGAACGGAGCTGCGAGGCCACTGGACGGTGTCGCTGGGGGTGCGAAGGATATACCAGGAAGGGGACTGTGTAGTGATATCTGGGCGTTTGGAGAGGCTGCTGATGTTGAGGAGATGGATGCGAAGACGGTGTTTGGGGGCGCGATGGGCTCGTTTGAGGACATGTACTTTCAGGCTGGCGTACGGCCTGGGGCATGGAGATAGATTGGTATTAACAAGAGGAAGCAATGGAATATTAATTTACAGGAAATAAATAATCTGACCAAATCTGGTAGGCGACAGCCTTATTGGTAACTACTGAGGCTCGTCTCTGCTGCGCCGCCTTGGCATAATATAGTGCATTCTGTCTCTCATCACGACAACAAATTCCCAATCGCCAACGGCCCGTACCCATCGCCCTTTCTTCTTCTTTTCTCTCGCTTCCTCTGTTCCTTCTATCCTTTTAGTATACTACTGTATGTACAAGCGTATCCAGGAAAATGCACAGTTCAGACAAGTCCCTCTGCATGCTTCTAGGCGCAGTGATTCTCCCTGCCACCTCAGCATACATCTCCTCCTCCTCCTCCTCCTCCTCCTCCTCCTCCTCCTCCTCCTCCTCCTCCTCCTCTCCCTCCACATTCCCCTACCATTCCTCCTCCACCTCGCCACAAGCGCCATCCTCTACCTCACCGCCCTCACCGCCCTCTCCCGCGCCGCCACAGAGCAAGTGCAGCTGGCGGCCAAGTTCAAACGACACAACAACCCGCCTTTGGCCCGCCGCGACCTTCCCCAGCATCATCGCAACCTTTGTGGCGCGCGCAACGGGCCTCATCGCAGCCACATACACCCTCGCCCTACCTTGCGTCTTCCCCTTCCAGAACCCCGTCGCCAACACCGTGTTTCGCATCCCTACTTTCTTCCTCAGCCTCAAGCTGCTCGACCTCACCCTCGTCGGGGCAGACAGGCCGCCGCAGCTGGTGCGTGCGACTACCGCCGCCACCGCCGCAGGGGGGGGGAAACTCGGCAGTGAAAGTGGGGGTAGCAGCAGTAGCAGTAGTAGCAGTGGCAGTAACAACAACCCCTCCCGCCCCATCTTCACCAAGACCCATCACGCAACATACATACATCTGGCGCCTCCTCACCGAGACAAGATACGCCTCCTTCAGCACAGCAGTCGACGACGAGTCCCGCCGCCGCCGCGCCCTCCTCCTCCCCAGCCCCAGCACCGGCCTGGACACTCGCCCCGCCCCCTGACCCTGCTCCCGCTCGCCTACCTCGTGCCCCTCGCCGAGCTGCACCCCTACTGCCGCACCTGGCTCTTCTGGCAGCCTTTTTGCGTCGCGGGGTCTGCTAGAGTTTTTGGTCCTGTCGCTGGTACCAGGGGGCGCGGCCCTTTTTTGTATCGGCTTGGCTATGTGCCGTCCAGGGCTGTCTTTACGAGGGTTGTTGTTGGTGGTGGTCGTGGTGGAGGGGGAGGAGAAGGTTGGTAGGGCTGCTGGTGTGCTTGGGGCGTTTGGGCTGCGTGGTGTGTGGCATGCGTGGTGCGGCATGAGCCTGATCAGGGAGGAATATGTGTGGGGTGTCACTGTGGGCTTGTGGGGGTTGTTTGTGCTGCAGGGCGTCGGGTGTCTGGTGGAGAAGCACCTGTTGAGGGAGAAGAAGTGGAGGACTGGTTGGAGGCGGAGGATGTTGACTGTGATGCTTTGGCTATGTTCTGTCGAGTCAGCGAGCATGTGGTTGAGATATGCACTTGCCGCGGTCCAAACTATATGGAACACTTGGCTAGAAATTCACAGTCTCGATTTGCCAGTGGAGGAGATCCACTGGCGTGTGTCGGTTTGCTTGATTTCGCTGCTGTGGCCTTCCTCGGACGTTATGGCAGCAACACACACACACACACACAAACACACACTCGCCTACCCAAACCTCGCCTTGGCCAGCTCCTTGAGGCTCTTGAGCTTCTCCGCCTCCCTCTCCCTCCACTCCCGCAGCCTCTCCTCGCGCTCCTCCCTCCGCTCCCTGGCCTCCGCCTCCCTCCTGAGCTCCCTGTCCGTCTTCTTCCTCTGCTGCGCAGCCGCCGCCTTCTTGAAGTCCTCGATGCCGTCCCCGCCGCCCAGCAGGTCCCTGTCCCCAAACTCCTCCATCTCCCCGCCGCCAGCCGCCCCGTCCCGGAATCCCTTCATCTTCTCGTTGAGCAGCGCCTTCTTCTCCAGCCGCCGCTCGCGCGTCCCGGCCTCGGCCCGCGGCAGAATCTCGTCCAGACGCTCCCTCTGCTCCACGCGGTCGGCCTTGCGCGCGAGGCGGAGGTCTGAGAGCCGAGACTGTTGGGCCTCGAGGACCGCCTCGCGCTGTAGGTCGAGGTCCGACACCGAGGGGAGCCCTGGCCCGTGCCGGCGACGACGGTCGGCGGGTGGCGGCGGCGGGCCATAGTCGTCCTCGTCATCCTGCTCCTGGCCACCCTCGTCCTCGAGTTCTTGTTGTTGTTGTTGTTGTTGTTCTTGTCCTGCGGTATCTCGACGGCTATAGTCATCCTCTAGGTCGTTCACTCGTTCCCACGAGGCAGGCTGCTCGCCAGGCGGAGGAGAAGCAGCAAGTTCCTTGGAGATCCGTTGAAACATCTCGGGGTCGTACCACCCTTCAGCCAGCTCCGCACGATTCCACTTGTTCACGAAGCTCTTCCATCGCCCCTTCTGCTCGTGCACGTCCAGTGCGTCGAGGTCCAGGTTCTTCTGGACATCGAGGTAGTATGCGAACAGCGGCCGCAGGACCTCGGTATCGTGCTTGTACGACAGCTGTCTCGCCGCGAAGGGCAGCTCGGCTGGGACTGCCGCCGCCACCGCCGAGGAGGGAGTGGTCTTGTGATGGTGATGATGCCGTCTGTGGTGTCGGGGCCTGTCTTCGTCGTGGTCATCGTCTCGCCTGCGTCGTTTGGGCTCGCGACGGTCGTCCGGCGCCTCGTCTACTTCTCCTGCTCGTCTGCCCCGCTCTGCGCCTCGAGAACGAGAACGGTGTCGGCGTCGATGTTGGCTGTGGTGGTCGGCTTCGTCGTCTTTTCCCTGTGGAGACCTCGATCTCACGTCGTCAAAGTAATCCGACGCAACAGGCCTCCGCCTGCCTGTGTGCCTATTTCCGCCACCATGCTCTTCCTCGTCGTGATGCCGCATCGTGGGCAAAGAACAAGCTCCTCGCCCCTCCGCAGTCGGCTTTTTCCTGACCCTTCTCTCGTCACAGCAGCTACGTCACAGCTCTTCGGATGGAGATGTTGTTGCGTGCGTGTGGGATTTGATTGTGCGCCACGTGGATCTGAACCCCCCAGTCTAGAAGGGGCCTGGGTAGAGAAGAACAAGCGGGGTTCCTGGATCGGACAAATAATTTAGACGTATTTCTCCAGGTGGTGGCGGGAAAGAGGGTTGGTCGCCAAACATCAGTTGTTTGACGAATGTTTTGAAGAATGGCTGGATCCCAGAACTCGGGGCTGCCTGCCCCCTAAGTGGGAGAGGCACTAGAGAAGGGCTGAAGGGGTCAGGGGGGTCAACCACTAACTCTTGGTTGCAGCGGGGGTCCCGGGATTCGGCCAGGGGCGTAGGACGCTAGAAGGGTGCCCACTGTGGCGTTGTCTTCTGCTGCTGCTGGGGAATTGATTTTATCCCTCGTAGGTTCCACTGTAGATCTCCCGCTGAGATAGATCGGATTCTTCCTCTTGCCTTTGCTTTTTTCTTGAGGAAGAAGAAGAAAGAAGAAGGAGAGAAAAAAAAAGTGGAAGATTCATAGAGGATAAAGAAGGAACAGCAGGTTCTCCAGCGTCAGACATATTGTAAAATGATCTAACGGTGTTCCTACAGTACTTGCTCTTCATCGAGGTAAACTTGCGCCTGGTCATGTTTTGCTCCAGAATAATGTATATATATGTACACATGTATATACATAGAAAAATAGACATACATGCTGCAACCCGACAACGCCTCATCCATCCATCCCTTCCTTTCTTCCTGCAGAAAGGACGAAAGAGAAAAAGGAAAGGGAAGGGAAATAACACCAAACAATCTTGTCCTCCCCAGGTTTGTGTCGGTTTTTGTGTCGGTTGTGTTTTGGTGATAAACTTTTGCTTGAAAGCAGGATTTCCGCCCAGGGGTATCATTAACTTTCATGTGTAATCTGTTGCAAGGGAAATAATACAGGTCTCGGAGAAAGACCCCTTTTCTCACTCTCTAAAGAGGAGGTTTCAAGGCATCTACCTTGCCGAGGGGAGGCGAGGCCAAGAGATCACCATGAGGATCCCAGTTCCAAGAACGTCGTGTCTGGCAAACGATCAAGCTCCCAGAAGAGGATGGCGCCGTCGGTTCATCTATCCTCTTGCTATAAGGCCGAATGCCATCCAGGCGATCCGAGTCCTCCAGCACCAGCAACATGTCCGTTCCCGAGCCCAAGCCCAAGCCCCATACCATTCTCGGTGGCGGCATCAACGGTGGTGGGCTTGTGGATCAGACACCCAATACACGCGCAGTCGTCACCACAGGGACAGCCTTCTGGCGCTCCTCCGCAGAACCCGTTGATGTCCATCAGATCGTCAGTGGTCATTGGATCCAGACCCACGCCCATCGTCTGGTCAAACTGCTGCTGTTGGTGTTGGTGTTGGTGGTGGTACTGCTCCCCGTCTTCCATTGGTGGAAATGCAAAGTTGATCATCTCAAAGTCTGCTGGGTTGAGAATGATATCCATATCCGTCGCCTGCTGCGGCGGCGAGTAGGGTTGCGCGTTACTATTGTGGCGGCTCATCATCGCTGACGGGTCGGCAACAAGGCCAGAAGTCATCATGCCGCTGCCGTTGTGGTTGGGCGGCCAGCCTGGAGGGTAAAACTCAGGCCTGCCAAACCCTCCCGCATGATGGCTGACGGCAGGGGTGGTGACGGGCGAGAACGGCGCGCCGCTGGACATCATCTGGCCGAACTCGGTGGCGATGTGGTGCATGGTGGCTGTGTTGTACGGGTGGTCGATACAGAGCACGCAGTTGCAGGTCGGCCCGCACTCGCACACGTGGTCCCCCGCACCCCCAGGTGACAACGGGCTGAACTTCATGACCGGGAAATCCGTCGGGGGCGGTGTCGTTGTCGACGTGTGGAACTGCTGGATCGGTGTGAAGGGCGGTGCTGATACAGACTCGGTTTTGACGTGCCCGTGTGCCCTGTATCCGTTCGTGGTGGCGGTCAATGACGGTGGCGGTGGCGGGGGGTTGGACGCGGCAGTCTCCATCTCTGCTGGTCCAGAACAGCAGGATGACCGTGCTGCTGTTGCCGGTGGGCCCGACACGGGCATCTGGATGGGAGCAGGGAGGGGGGCTTCGGCTGGTCTCGAGGAGCAGCATGATGCCGTCGTGGGCGGCTGTGACGGCGGCAGTCCATACTCGACAGGCTCCGATGTTACCTGCAGCCCGCGCGACACAAGGTCCTGGTAAAAGATGGGCTGTGTCTCATCCTCAGGCGTGGCGGCGCCCGCGCCGTTTCCATTGCTGCAGCAGGGGCACTTCTTGCTGCTGTTGCTGCTGCCACCGCCGTTGCTGCTCGAGCCACCAGAGCCCGAGTGTGCCCCCGACGAGCCGGAACAGGAGCATTTCTGTTTCCTGGGGACGGCCGCCTTCAGCCAGGTCAGCGGGAAGTAGTGGGCGCAGAGGCACAGGTCGCCTGGCCCGTGGATGCAGGCTTTGTTGGGCCGGCCGGCAGGGCGCACTGCCCACAGTGGCCCGCCGATGTGGTTGCATGTCGAGGAGCGATGTCCCTTGATGCACGATCGACTGTGCACGGCGCGTCAGTAAGTCACTCCGTCCGTCCTAAAGATGATGTTAAGTGTGGACGTGAGCATGCCAGGCCCCCCATCCCTTGGCCCGCCATCTTTCCCCCCGTCTGTTCCTGTCCCGCGCGTGCATGGCTGCAGCTAGCCGACCCGTGGTTGTAATCGACGTTCAAAGAGTCTATTGTGCTACAGAAGCGGCTTGGTCGGGTTGCGGCTCCATTGTGCGACAACTTGGTCTCTCTTTCTCTCTCTCTCTCACTCACACACACACACACACACACGCACACTTCCTTCTGGACCAGGAGAGATGGGTAAGATGTGGAAGTGGGTGGGCTTTGGGTTGGCTTACCAGGACATCTTCTGCTTCCCGACCCAGATAGCCATCTTGTCGGTGTGGTAAGCGTCAGGCCGGCTGGGCTCGGCTCAAGCAGAGAGGACAAACAGAATCTCAGAAGAGGGGCTCGTAGATGGTGTGAGCCGAAAGTAAGTGCGTCAAAATGGAAGAGAGAGTGTGTGTTGTGGTCTTCACTCTCGGCTGGTCAACCTGCTGCTTGCTGTTGCTGATGTGGTCTTGGTGAAGAAAGATGTTGGATTCCAGATTTTGGACCCGAGTCTGCATATGAATCGCACGCGCGCGCACACACACATGCGAGTCCGTCGGCCGTGACGTCGAATGAAACGCTGATACGAGCAAAGAGGGAAGATAGAAAGGCGCTGTGGGTTCGTTGTGGGTTCGATGCGGGCGTGCGGTCTGTGCTTTTACTGGCTGGCGCAAAGCAAGGAACTAGTAGTCTTCTCTTTCGCTCTCTTGTCTCTTTCGGCCGGCGCCCTTCTCTTTTTTTTCTTTTTTTTCTTCTGGTTGCCCAAACCTGAAGTGTTTGATGTTTCGCCTTGGGATCCTCTTTTCAGACGTTCAGGGGTTGTCGCCGGGAAACAAGAGACATGGTGTGATGATAACCGAGGAGGTAAAAGGCGCAGGGTAGAGGCCGAATGCCACCAGATTGAAGGAATGAAGGGAGAAGGAAGGGAGGGAGGGGGGAGAGAGTATGTGTCAGCGCGGTGTCGGTGTCTGAGGTGATCGAGGGTCAGAGGTCAAAAGGTTCGATGTGAGAAATCAAGCCCTTGACATTTGTCGCCCAGCATTTGTGTTCGGGCGGTGGTTCAGTGGGGCGTCCCTCAAAACCCCCCCTGATCATAAGCCAAGAAGGCTCTTTGGTACGTACTCTCGGTACTGTAACAAGGGAAAGGGTCCAGAGCCGTCGGCAAAGGCAAGGAGAAGTAAGTGGGGCGGGCCACGGGCGTTCCTTCCGCAAGCATTAGTGCAGCATCTGTACTTCAAGGTACATGCAACGATGTGCCAGCAGCAAATAGTAACTGTAGGAATGGTGCATAGTACAGTACAGTAGTAGGCAGTAGGCCATCGTAGCATGCACACGCACAAACACAAGAACACATGAGCCTTGGTGGCCATGCATCATTTCCCCCACACTTTTACTTTAAAAATGTCTCCGTCTTTTCTTTTTTTTTCTTCTTTTGTCTTGTTTTTGCCCAGGTAGATCCTACTTACAGTGGACTCCAGTCTGGTCTCATTGAGAAAGCCCTACAGCCTGGTGCGACAGGAACACACGAGTTAAGACGAAAGGCAAGAAATTCCCCGAATCAGGATAGCAAAAGGAGACTCCTCCTTCTCTAACTGAACGGGTACCCGGAACACGGCAGCCAATGGGGCTTTTCACATGTTACAGGCTGCAGGCTGCATACTACAGGAGCTGGACCCCTGCCCCCCTCCCTCCTCTTTTCCCTCTGACCATTCTCGTAAGCGGCATCACCACGCAATGGTCAGCTTCCAACCCGCCCGATTCCTCTTTCGAGACCCAATAGCGATCTCGAGTGAAATCAATAGCGCGTCTGCTATTGTGCTGATATTGGGGAAAACAGACTTATGCCACCAAAGGTGAGTAAATGTATGCATTTCTTGACGAGGCACAACTCGTTTCGGTGTGTCTCGGGATGCTCTCGACGCAATGCTTTGGAGCTTTGAGAACTTGAACGCTGTTGCACGCAAACAAGCTTGCATGACACCCCACAATGAAGTTTATTACTTCTCCTCTCCAGAGTCCGAGTCTGCAAACATGTCGGCCGCCGTCATCCTCTTTCGCTTACTTACTGCCGCCGGCTTGGACACGCCGGCTTTGCTATCATCCGCTCCCGTGTCCTTGGGCGCTGCTGGCTCGGCCCCTACGTCTTGGTTACTTGGCCCTCCCATCACAACGTCTCCTTCCCCTTCGATAGCCAGTCCGACAATGTCGATATCCAGAAGAGACTCTCCGTCGATGTGATAGTGCGCGAGTAGCTCATTATCCATGTCCTCGTCGTCCGTGTACTCATCATAGCTCCCATCATCAGACCACCCGGCGCCGTCGTCATCTCCTGCGTCGGGCGAGGCACCAGCCTCGGGCGTAGCAGCAGCTGCAGTTGCGGCAGAAGAAGAAGCAGCAGCCGCCGCCGCCGCCGCCGCCGCCGCCGCCGCCGCCTCCACCGTCTTCCAACGCCCCTTGGCCCTTTCCGCCTCCTCGCCCGAGGCTGTCTTCTCGTCTTTTCGCGCCCCTGGCGGGTTCTCGAAGCTGCGCGCAAACAGCTCCTGCGAGTCGTTCGGGAAAACGCACCACCCGTCCCACAGACTCAACACGAGGCCGATGCTGCGCTTCCACTTTTCTGCCCGCAGCCGGCCCCAGCTCATCCTCTCTGGCAGGAGGCCCAACCCCTCAAACACATGCCGCGCCTTCAGCGCCGCCTCGAGGAGCTGCCTGTACCGCCAGGCGTGCCGCACCCCGCTAGTCGAGGACGAGGACAGAATGTCGCTGATCACATAGAGGCCCACGAGTTTTGCGCCGCTCGTGTCCTGCGTGGCGGCGGCATCACCGTACTGCTGTTGTTGCTGCTGTCTCTTCTTCTCGCCTGGGGCTGGCGAGGCGTCGCGCGAGCCATCGGAGGGATCTGGTGCGTCTCGCTGGTATTCTGGGTTGGCAGAAGAAAATGACAGGGGCTTCTTGATGTTGGAAACGATGAGGTCGACAATCTCATCTGCGCCGCGGTTGGCATGTGTGATGGCAAACGATGTGATCCTGGCGATGTCGCCCTTGCGGATCTTGCTGAGCGTTGTAGGTAGTCGTGCTAGCAGGTGCACCAGCTTGGCCTTCTCGATGGGGTTCAAAAACACCTCTTCTTCAGCCTTGTTGTTGTTTCCGTCCGTAGTGATCTTGGGCTCATCATCGTTCTCGTCATCAAACTCTGAGTCATATTCGGACTCGGACACGAAGCCGTCCACGGCCGTCGTGTACTCGTAGGCCAGCTCCTTCTCTGGGACCTTCCAGGCATGACTCCCCTCGAACAGGGGAAGATACCTGCCCTTGCCCCTCCTCGACTGCGCACCGCCCGTCAGGATCTCCCACAGCCGCCAGCGGTACCAGATGCCACCCTGTGACCGTGCGTCCCAAATCCAGGCCCATCTCTCCTCCCGCTGCACATCCGGCCGCGTCATCAGGAGAGCCTCGAACTCCGGGCCGTGCTCGAGGACCGACTCGACGACCTTGTGTATCATACGCAGCTGCTTGATATCACTCGGCGGCCGGATCGGCACGTGAAGTAGATTCCTGTTGAGCGGCGCACCTGCCGGGCCATACGAGCTCGGCGGTGCGAACCTCCCAGGGCCGCCGTGGTGGTGTCCACCGGGACCTCCACCGCCAGGGCCAGGCGCGGCAACAGGCTTCGCCCCGAAGGGATGTGAACCCATCGTCAACCCAGCCACGCTGGCTTCTGAGGCGGTAGCCATCGCCGCCGAGGACAGATGTCGGTGCAGCGATAGGTAGTGCCCAAAGCCTAGGTAGCGGTTCTGCAGCGCGCTCACGACGGCGTCGATGTCCGAGGCAGCCGTCTCGGGGGAGAGCGTGACGATGGCGGCAATCGACTTGCGGTCTGTGCCCTGCGCTGGCGGTGGCGGGAGGATCTTGACTCCTTCGACCGCCAGGCTGGTAGGCACCAGCGCCTTGATGACCGCGGGGCTGGTCGCAGGCGGCAAGTTGGCCAGCCGCAGCGTGGGCTTCGCAACCGCCTTGTCCTCTGGCCTCGAACCCACGCGGTGCTCGTCGTTGTCATCGTCGTCGTCGTCGCTCGCGTCGAACACCCTTGCGAGGGATTTGCTGCCGCTGCGGTTCCCATCGTCGTAAGACTCGTCGTCGAGCCCAAGCCGCCCTGCACCGCCCGCGGCGGCCGTGAATCCATCGTATGTCCTCTTCTTCCCGAAGCTGGGCGGCGCGGGCCCCAGCGTGCCAGGCCCGCTGCTCTTCATGCCGGCCAGCCCACCTGCCGCCCCTCCAAAGTGTCTTCTGCCACCTCCTCCTGCTGCTCCTCCCCTGCGACCGTCGAGGCCTGGGCCTCCCACTCGTCCACCTCTTCCTCCCCGCTGGCCGTGGCCATGATCGCCGTCACCCGCGTCGAAGCTCTTGACAAAGTCTTCATACACGGCGGCGGTCTCGGCTGCCTCGCGCTGTCGCTTCGCCTCGGCCTCGGCTTTTTGGCGCTCGAAGGCAGACTGCTTGGTCGGCTTCTGGAGCTTGGCCTCGACGTCAGGGAACTCGGCGATCTTCTTGGACGAGGACATGATGGGCGGGTTGTTGGGTTTCTTCCTTTTCTTCTAGTTATTATGTCATGATAGCTTCTGGTGGGAGGAGTGTCGATTGCACCTTGACAGGTGGTCGAGGCGCTGCCATGGAACGGAATGGGTGTCGGATCGTCGATTGTCTGGTTCGTTGATGCTAAGCAATTCAAGGTCAACAGCTATGAGTGATCTACGCTTGGCTCGTTGAAGCTACAGTGGGGGGCCCAAAGCCCAGTACTGCCAGGGTTAGGGCTCTAGGCCCGTTAAATACAGCCTTATTACATGCACCACCCCAGATTCGTCTTTCTCGATACCCTTTTTGATCTATCATTATTTTCTAGATCTCAACTTGAGTTCTATTAAGTCTTGTCTCCAAAGATATCAAGATCTCATTCTTGTTTCTTGTTTCTTGCCTTCAATCCCACCTACATACTCTGCAAAAGACGACTTTTCCCCCGCACCCTCGCTCCATACACTCTGAAAAGATACGGAATAGGAATCATGGCCGCAGCCAGACAACCCAGCAGGGTCCCCGCCCACTGCACGCCCATGCCCTCAAACATCTGCTTCGAGAAGAGCGGGAATGCAGCCGCCACGGTCGAGCGCAGGATGATGTTGGCAGCAACTGTGGAGGCAGCCCTGTATGCCGCGTGAACAGTGCAACAAGTCAGCTCAGGCTTCCTGTCATAAAGAGAGAGACGTATAGAAACATAAAAGAGGCAACTCACAATGGTAGGTACGCATCGATGAGGTAGTTGAAGCACGGGAGGAAAACGCACAGTACCCCGAAGCCGATGAAGACCCCCGCGATGGTCGGCACTGCCCAGTGGATCTTGGCCGTGAACCCAGTCCAGCCAAACCTGGGAGAAAAGCAGACAAGAATGATCAGCCTGGTGAACATAGACGTCGGGAGGGAGGAGAGGGAAAAGAGCATGTAGTTCTTGAGAAGAAGGAGAGGAATATTTGGGCAAAAGGAGATCATCACCTACCAGAAGATGCCGACCGCAAACACGGGCCCTCCAAGGAGAGTTGGCCTGAGCCGCCACTCGGGCACAGGCACGTTCTTATTCTCTGCCAGCTTCCGCCTATACGATCCAAGATGCGACAGGATGTAGCACACGCCCAGAACCACCCCTAGCAAGACGGCGAGAAAAGGCAGTCCGCTGATCCCAGGCTCCATACCATACGTCGACTCAAAGACGACCGGGTACGCCTCCAGAAGACAATACACCAGCCCATAGATAAACGACATGTACAGCGACACAAGCAGCACAATAGGCTCGCTCGCCAGCATCCGCAGCGGCTGCGCCAGGTACGTCTCGGCCAACACCGCCGCGTCCACCTCGACCCTCTCATGCCGCGCATGAATCCCCCAGATGCCCGTCCGCCTGCGCAGCGCCACAGCCTTGCCAGCAAGCAGCACCGGCGCATACGTCTCGCGCAGGAAGAAAACCGACGCCACACCGTCCACCAGGCTCAGGATCCCCGGCACATACAACGTCCACCGCCACAACGCTGCCTGCCCCGAGCCGCCCGCCGCCGCCACAATGAACCCGCCCACCGGCGCCGCGAGGAACGGGCCCCCGAACACGGTCAGCGCGTACAGCTGCACCGCCACGCCGCGGTGCGCGTTGTCGTACAGGTCGGCCAGCACCCCCGGCACCACCGTGAGCTGGCTCGCCCCGCACGCGCCCGCGAAGAAGCGGCACACCAGCAGCGTCTGCATGTTGGTGGCCGAGGCCGCGGCGATGCTGAGGATCCCGCCCAGGACGAGCGCCGCCGCCAGCGGCCACCTGCGGCCGTGGAGCTCGGACCCGGGCGCCCAGAGCAGAGGGCCGGCCGCGAACCCGAGCACGAAGAGGGTTGTGCCCAGCGTGGCTACCTCGGTGGATGTGTCCAGGTCTCTGCTGGCGCTGGGGATGGCGGGCGCGAAGACGGCGCTGCTGAAGGAGACGATGAACGTGCCGGCGCACACGAGGAAAGAGGTAAAGAGCCTGTTTCAAAAAAAAAATAAAAAAAATTTAAAAAAAAATCACACTGTCAGCAGCCAGGTTTTGTTTTTTGGTAGAGAATAAGTCAAGTAAGTTGTTGGTCAGAGAAACATACTTGGTGGAGCGGCTCCAGTTGAAAGGATGGTCGGGGTCATCCTCGCCCTCATATTCGACGGTGTACTCCTCGACATCTGGCAGTGGTGGTGGAAGGGGCTTACCCATTCCCATGGATGTCTTCTCGCACATGGTGTCACGAACAAGAAAAATTATAGCAGATAAAATACGCAGAGGTTCAGGCAGAAAGGCTTGAGTTGAGATGCCCTCCTCGTCAAGCACGTAAATGCACACAAGAAGAACTAACACAACTGCATCTAGAGAGACCTGCAACCTACGACCTTTTTACAATGAGTCACTTCTCATTTTCTCCTGTAGGATCTATTCATCGCATCCCTGATGAAGCTGATCATATCCTTACTAGATTACAAAGTTGACGAATGGACGCGCCCTTCATGTCTTGTCGTAGCCCCAGAGCACATCGGCCAGGCTAAGTTGCTAGTAGTAATAACCCTTGAATATCATTGTTCATATGGAAAGCCGCAATATCCGCAGAAGGCGCATTGGGCGCGGACCCTCGCCAAGGGTTTCGCAGTATTCGCATGAAATACCGTCAAGTTCCAGTAATGCGCAGGAATTTGGCAAGTATAGGTGGGTCCGGATTGAAACTTAAATTGAAGGACGCATTTTTTTTGGGTATATGTGCAAAAGAAAATTCCTGAACCATCCCATAGACCGCTAAAGTGAACCCTTTTGGGTTACTAGAATAGTCTCATACTGACCCACCCATGAAGGCAGGCACATTGCCCATGTCAGCATTCAGGAATTGATCAAAATCAACTCGGGACAGCCCAGGCAAGTCCGAGATCAGCGCCCCCAGCCACGAGAAGTCCTCATCGTTATCATGAGGCTGTGTTGGTGTGGCGAACTGCCGGTCGGGCTGGTGCGTGTTGAGAACCTCGCCCAGGATCGCCAGATCATCCTGTCGCCGCTGCTGGTGCAGGAGAACCAACAGACACGCAGTGCTATATGCGTCTCGCAGTGTCTCCGTGTTGCATGTCGAAGCAATCACGCTCAGGGTCTGCATCGCCTCTGGGAGCATTGCGAGAGACGAGCGCGTGTCGAGCACCAGAAGGACACAGATGATCTGGAAGGGGACATTGGCAACATGGTGCCATGGGGCGCAGTCAACAATCAGGGTCCGCGAGGCTTCGAGGCCCCGCCTCAACAATGCCAGGATCTTCTGTGCCAGGTCAGATGATATGTCAAGATTCTGCGTGTGTATACGCCGAAGGATACAGAGCACAAGGTTGCACTGCGCCAGGACGGACGGTGGCTGGGTATGAGTTCCCTCCAGGACCTTGGAGAGGGTGGACGTGAGATCCGTCTCGTCCTTGATCCTCCCGGGATCCAGGCTCAGCGAGATGGGAATGAGACGTAGAAGCTCAACTGTATAGTCCCCAGGCCGTACCGATGGCAGTGCGGGCAGGTCGCTGTTTTGAAAGGAAACTCGGGAGAGGCCCAGGTCGAAAGAGGTCCACACGTTCATATGATGCGCCATGCCGACGATTCGCCTTGTGAGATCGTCGTCCCACTGCGCGCTCGGGAGGAGGACCGCAGATGGCGACTCTGGGTAGACGCCAGAGGCCTCGACGAGGTGCATCAAGGTACAGCTGGCCATCCAGGTCGCGTGTGGGGAGCTTGTGAGCCGGAGGTAGATGGTCTGGAGCGTCCACCCGGTGATGAGATCTAGGCAGGGCGGGCCAGAGAGCTGATAATTATCAAGACTTGCACGAGCCGAGCGGGCCAGGTGCAGCTCCGTGACGGTGGCATTTCGCTGGGAGAACAGACATCCAAGGGCAGCCACACCGCACAACACACTGTCGTAGATGTCTGGCGGACCTCGTAATGTCCAGCGTGCCGCTAGGCGCTCAAAGAAGTGACGCTGGTCGATGAAACCATAGCACGGATCGACCTTGTCAAAATAGACCTGGGCCAGGACCTTCAGGTGCTCGTACGAGGTGATCTCCACGACAGACAGTGCAGGAGTGCTGTTGAGTGGCTCTGATGACAACTGCCGCGCGCCGACATTCCACCCAAAGAGGTTGAGCTTGGGGGCCTTTGTGGGATCGATCCTGAGGGCGAGCTTTCTGACAAAGGCCGCCCCAGAGTTGGCCTCTAGGCGTCGTACCAGTCCGCCCTGATCAGATCCAGCTGTGCTTGCCTCTGGGAGGTCGGACTGCAGGGGTTTTGGCCTGGGTGCCACTGGACGGTCTGGTGTTGCCCGTGTGGCCGAGGTCGTGCTTGGTCGAGCTCTTCTCGCCTGGACCTCATAGTGACATTCGTACCCCCATTCCGTGCAGGTCGTGCAGGGCTCTCGACCGTCACATTTCCGTTTTCGTTCTCGACAGGGTTGACAGGCCAACCTGGATCGTTTCCTCTTGAGTTGGCTGCTCGTCGCATCCATCTTCATTGGCAGAGACGGCGCGGCGTATGGGGGGTTGTGGACCTTGGGTGATTCCGAGGGTTACTGTGCGGAAGGCATGGAAAGTGCGGATGTCATCGGCTGCTGCGGGATCTCGGCCAAAGTGTCAACTACCAGCACGTGACTTTGACCGCGCAGTATCATCACTCGTTAGTGACCCTTTGCAGCTTTGGCGCAGGCCGCAGCACCCGACGATTGGTAAGGCAGGGGCGGGACAAGACACGACCTCGCAATAGCCTTTCATGAATTTACTAGAGAGTAGAAGGAGAAAGTCTGACGAATACTATAAGTGGTTAAGTAGGGAATCAATGAATACGATACGTACGAGGGCTTCCATCTCTGCCATCACGCAGTAAGCTTTCATCGTCAAGATTCGAGACTTTACTCGGGAGTATCTTGCATCGTCGTCGTCGTCGTCGTCGTCGTCGTCGTCATAGTCATCATCATCTTCATCATGGCTGCGAGGCTATTGTCTCGTTATACATGGGCAAGACGCCCCTTCATCGTCGGCGCCCCGATGAGAGTGATGTCGGGGCCAGCACTGGCCGTGGCTGTGTCTCGCGCAGGCGGTTTGGGATTCATCGGGCCCAGTGTCAAGACACAAGACATGAGGGCAGATCTCGAAGAGGCATCGAAACTGCTAAGGGAAACCTGCTGCTCCTCTTCATCATCCTCCTCCACATCCTCAGCGTTGCCCTCGACAGACTCTCGTCTCCCTATCGGCGTGGGCTTCCAGCTGTGGGCAGATGACATCAATGTAGCTATTGATCACATCGAGAAATTCAGGCCATGTGCTGCCTGGCTGTATGCACCCCAAGAGGGACCAGGAGAGCTGGCAGACTGGTCGCGCAGGATCCGCAGTGCGGCGCCTGGGATCCAGATCTGGGTTCAGATTGGCACGCTGGGAGAGGCAAAGCAGCTGCTGGCCCTTTCGGAGCTGCCAGACGTCGTTGTCGTCCAGGGCGCAGAGGCGGGCGGTCACGGCCGGGCGAGGGATGGGATGGGCCTGGTGACACTGTTCCCTGAAGTGGCGGATGCCATGGCGGGCAGCCACATCCCCCTGCTCGCAGCAGGCGGTATCGCGGATGCGCGCGGTGTTGCGGCGGTGCTGGGCCTGGGAGCAGCTGGCGCGGTGATGGGCACCCGGTTCCTGGCGAGTCACGAGGCGCGCGTCAGCCGGGGGTATCAGGACGAGGTTGTACGAGCCTCTGATGGTGCTCGCTCGACGACACGGACACGGCTCTACAATCACCTGCGGGGTACCTTTGGCTGGCCGCCAGAGTACAGCCCGAGGACCATCATCAACAGGTCATTCGTCGAGCACCAGGATGGCGTCGCATTCGAGGAGCTGAAGAAACGGCATGACGAGGCTCAGAAGATGGGGGACAGCGGCTGGGGGCCGGAAGGAAGGCTTGCTACCTATGCTGGAGCCTCTGTGGGGCTCATCCATGAGGTCAAGGGAGCAGGTGAAATCATCCGAGAGGTGCAACAAGACACCCTGCGGAAGATCCGGCTGCTGAATTCCGAGGGGAAGTAGTCAACCCTTGTTGCTGCTATTCCCTTCTTCGAGAGATCATCGCACAGGTCTGGAAAATGTACTTTATTTCGAGCGCAACTGCCGAGACACAACCAGATGAGATGCTTTACATAGTATACGATGTGCATAGTCCAGAGTATTGCACCAACAGCGGTGGATAGCATCTCACCGTATGTTTAAGGTTCATGGTGGAATGTCGTGTCACCACCGCCTGGGAAAGACAGACGGAACGTTAACATGGCCACCCTGCACAAATAGCGACAACAAAATCTTGTGATCAGAGAACACACATCTTCATAATCCTCGAACCGTCGTTATAGTGCATCACGCCATGTAGAGGTGGGCTGTGGTCTCATCGTGGAACCAAGACGAATCTCGAAAAGGTGATGGGTGATAGTGGGAAGTAGCGAAAATGGAAAAAAGCCGGGGCTGGTGCTCAGTGAGCCAGCCGGGTTTGCGCACTTGCGACGGCTGTGATTTGCTCCGACTCCGGCGATACCTCCACACAAAAGCTCCGGTGCGACTAAAGAAGAGAGTCATTTATTGTATTGTCTCTGACCTTTTTTTTCAGGGAGATATTTTCTTTACATATTACTACAGACAAGTATCTATCATCAGCTGATGCTGTCTCACTTTCTGGTCCTCGCCCTCAACAAAAAAGCATCTCTTTTATAGGTGTGTACTACAGTGCAAGTCTTGGACTGAGACAAGATTAAATTAAGAACTAGACTCTTTATCCACCCCACCCAATATCTTCCTCACACACAATACGCAACGTCACTCACACAGAAAAATCAGAAACTATCGAAACTCGAATGTTTTGAGTGACTCGTCAAGGGTAGAAGAAGCAGAATAAGTCAAAGGAGGCAAAAGACAAGAAGAAGGAGGGGAACAAACCTTGTGATCTCAAGCCGGGAATCGCGAGAGCTCAGATCACAACCAGATCCTGGCTTTGGATGCAAATCAACCCAAACGGCCCATTCTCGTCTCCCTGGCCTGATCCATCTCCAATCCTCTCTTTCCCCTCTATTCCCCATTCCCCAAACCAGGGAGGCAGTGTAGGAGGGTCCAGAAAAGTGAACCCCCCCCCCCCTGACCGCTGCTCTTTCGACAATAAACATGACTCTCCTTACCTCGGACCCCGACCACAATCCTCCTTCCTTTTCTTCGCCCTCGATACCACCACACTCACCCTCCAACGTCAACACCACCACCACCTCCTCCTCCTCCTCCTCCTCCTCCTCCTCTTCCTCTTCCTCCTCTACCTCCAGCTCCGCCTCCTCTTCCCCCACCCATCATCATGAAATCCCATCCTCCCTCCTCATCGTTGGCGCAGGCGTGTTTGGTCTCTCCACTGCCCTCGCCCTGACGAGACGCCCAGAGTTTAAACACACCACCATCACCGTTGTCGATCGCTCGCCCGAGCCAGGCGTCTTTCCCTCACGGGACGCCTCCTCGATCGACACCTCCCGCATCATCCGTGCAGACTACGCCGACCCAGCGTATGCTGCCCTTGCCGCAGAGGCACAGGAGGTATGGCGCCAGCAGGGCCACCCAGACGACCTGGGCGCCCAGGGTCGGTACAGTGAGACGGGTCTGCTGCTCGTTGCCGACGAGTCTCCTTCTGTAGCAGGGGAGACCAAGAACAACAACGACAAGAAGAAGAAGACCAAGAAGGACCACGGCAGTGGCAAGAAGTCTGGCCTGGACTACGTTCTCGACTCGTATGAGAACGTCCTCTCCCTCACCGCCGCTGCAGGCCCTTCTGGCCGCCCTCTGTCTGCCGCCAACAAGATCCAGGAGCTGCCCAACCCCTCCGCCATACGCGACACCTATGGCACGGGCGGCTGCTATGGATCCTACGGCTACATCAACAGGCTCTCCGGCTGGGCCGACGCCGAGGCAAGCATGGACTGGCTCTTCCGCCAAGTCAAGGCCACCGGCCGCGTGACGTTTATCAACGGCACCGTCACCTCCCTGCTGCACTCGCCCACCACAGGTGCCGTCACAGGCGTGGCGCTCAATGTCGACGGCGGGACCACCACCAGCAGCAGCAGCAGCAGCTCCAGCACAAAACTCGAGGCGGACCTGACCGTCCTCGCCACCGGCGCCTGGACCCCGACCCTCGTGAACCTGACAGGCCGCGCCATCGCCACAGGCCAGGCCCTCGCCTACATGGACCTCACAGACGCCGAGCAGGCCCGCCTCGCCCACGTTCCCACCCTGCTGAACCTGTCGACGGGCTACTTCATCATCACCCCCGGCCGCAACATCCTCAAGATCGCTCGGCACGCCTACGGCTATCTCAACCCAACGCCTTGCTCCCCGTCTTCCCCCACCAGCGGCAGCGGCAGCGGCAGCGGCAGCGGTATAGCAGGCACCACCACCATCTCCCTCCCCGTCACCCACCTCACCCAGCCGTCCCTGTCCATCCCCCGCGCCGAGCAGGACGCCATGCGCCGTGCCCTGGCCGAGATGGTTCCCTGGCCCGAGCTGCAGGCCAGGCCGTTCAGGACCACCAGGCTGTGCTGGTACACCGACACCCCCGACGGGGACTTCATCATCGACTACCACCCAGAGCACAAGGGCTTGTTCCTCGCCACCGGCGGCAGCGGGCACGGGTTCAAATTCCTGCCCGTCATTGGTGACAAGATCACGGATTGTATTCTGGACCGGTGCCCAGAGGCCTTCAGGGGAAAGTGGGCACTCAAGAAGGGGTCGTTGGACGGGGCAGCATCTGCTGTTTGGGATGGCGTTTCTACCGAGGACGGGAGCCGGGGCGGTGTGCCAGGTCTGATCTTGAGCGAGGAGATGGGTGACGCGACAACGACGCGCATGTCACGGCTGTGAACGAGGACACACTGTACACGACGGTTTGTACACGAATGTTTGGCATCACCGGCAAGCAAACTCAAACAGATGAGAGAGAAGTGGGTGCAAGTATGCTGGCATGAACTTTGGGACTATCGAAATATGGCTAACAAGATCCCCCAGGGACGCCAGTGTAGGTCAGGTTTACACCCAGAAGAGAGAAAAGAGGAGTGCATCAACATTCGCCGACCAACCCCTAGGGGACCCCAAAGTCCAGAATCAACATGGAGGCACTGAAGCCTTGTTGATATGGATGTCTTCAATCAAGCCATCATCGAATCCTGCATCGCAGCAGTTCAGCCTTTCGCCTCCACGCACCGCAAATCAACACTTTTCCCACCTTCACCCCTACTCTCGCGTTCAAGAGCCAGTCTGTTTGGGTGACCTTTTACCGATGACCAAACATGGAAAGACTGTGGCATGCTCCGTCGACCTCCCTTACCAAACCTCTCAAATCCCGCTCAGCGCAGGGCGACCAATGACGACCTTTTCAGGATCGCCATCCCCGATATTACTTCTTGGTCTGCACGCTCAAATCTTTTGCCCAGGCGCACTCTCCGCATCCAGTCTCGGATACGGTCTATCGTCTTCCGAAGTGTAGTAATAAAAAAGGGTAATTGGGTAGCAGTTTTCTTTTCCCCCCTTCGCAGATAGCCGAGCCGACTTTAACCTCTCCGTGTCGAACGCCGATGCAATGCAGTTGCAGAAAAAGTAGTAAAAAGGAAGAAAGAGAAAAAATACAACAGACAGGCTTGTCGGGGATTGTTGCTGTCGTGGGATAGAGTACGCAGCAACCAGGAGCCGGTCTCGGGTATGCGTCGTGAAATCATGAATGTGCGTAATCTTACAAGTGGCGAGGTTGGTAAGTACGGGCGACGAGGTGGTGTGAGGTCGGTCTACATCTTGCGGAAATCCTGCAAGACGGGGTAGATGAGCTCGAAGGCATGATAAATCTCGTCTCGGACCTTGGCGCCAGTGAGGACTATCTTGCCGCTGACGAAGATCAGGAGAACGATCTTGGGCTTGACCATGCGGTAGATGAGACCGGGGAACAGCTCAGGCTCGTAGGAGCTGAAGTTGTGATGACGCGAGGCCAGACCCTCCAGACGGATGGGGAACTTGATGTCACAAGAGCCCACAATGTTCTGGATCTTGAAGTCGGTGAACTTGGCATTGAAACCTGATAGGGGATTCCCATGTTAGTTATGCCGTCCTTAATATGCACTATCTTTCTTGTCCGTGGAGCAAATGCAACATACCCAGCTTCTGGATGATCCGTGCATACTTGCGGCTGGCAAGCTTGGAGTCATCCTCAGACTTGGCACCAGTCACGACCATCTTGCCAGAGGCGAAGATCAGGGCGGTGGTTTTTGGTTCGCGAATACGCATGATGACGGCAGCGAACCGTTTGGGGTCTGCATCTGTGTGAGCAATCATGTAGAGCAGCCAAGGCTCCAGATATACTCACTGTACTCCGCATTACGCGCATGAAGTGCGATGGTCTTCAGGTCCAGGCGGCAATCCAGGTTCACAGTTGCCACAATGTTCCTTGAATTCTAGCATAAGCACAAGGGTACTTCACAAAGTATCTTCACGGCAAGGGCGAAGCTTACTGGAGAGTTGGAACGAGACCACTGCCGGTCTGCTGTGCGCCAGGGGTAGCAGCCGGGGTCGCAGGGGCGACGCCAGTGCCTGGGGCAGGAGAACCAACAGGAGCACCACCGTTGGGAGTGCCGTTGAGCTTCTGAGCGGCATCGCCAGGAGGGGTCAACTCGTTGTGACCACCGGGGAACGAGAGCGAGCCGGGAGAAATAAAGTTCTTGGCCTGCGTGGCGTTTGACGGGTGCGTTTGGATAGCCTCCATGATTGCGATTTCCTCGAGAGGTCTCGTGACAATCAGGTCTGTGGAAGACGGAAATGGAACAGGTCTGAGGTTTTTTTTGGACGAATGTTAGCACGCTTGTTGACACTGCTTGGCTCATAACAGGTGAGCCGGGTGGAGTCGCGTGTAAGGGCCGGAGGGCGGGGGAGCAGGGATGGCTCGTGATTCACAGGGTCTACGGTGGCAGGTTGGGTGTGCGTGTGTGTGGGGATAAATGGGAGGTTGTAGTGAAATGACTTCAGGTGATGGATGGGCTGGGCATGATGGCGATGCGATGCGACAACTGCTCAGGCTCCCACAGACGTGTAATGCGACGCGACTCGAGCGCGACTCTCCAAGTCATGATGTGGAAGAACGCAGTGACGTACCAATTGTGGGAGATAAACAACTGAATGCCTCCCCTACAGCGACTGTTCACACAAACAACGACACGACAACACAGGATGCACAATGGCAAGCTGGGCTGGTCCGTTGATGTCGAAAGTCGGTATCGATCCTGACTCAAGATAGTCTGTCTGCGAAGACGCAATGCGTTTCTTGCTCGATGGTTCGTCGGCCGAGGAGATGAGGCTCTCTCTTTTCTTCTTGTCAAGTAGACTCGAGGACGGCGACGACGATCGAAGAGATGCGACGCGATGCGAGAGGACGCAGAGAGGTAATGGAGTGTGGTTGATACCGACGCCTCGAACCAAATCGGGTGCCCGCAAATGGAAATGGTCTTCTATTCTTTTTTTGTTCTTCTCGAAATACACGACACTGTGACCCGTGCCAGTGCAGCTTGTTCTTTTTCTCGACTCGGTCTGGGACCTCGGAAGGGTTTTAGAGAGAGGAGAGAGGAGGAATGGAGACGAAGATCTTGTTTTGCTTCCTGGTCGGGTAGGCAGGATGCACAAACAAGGGTCGGACCTGGCCAAGATATCTCGGATCTCCTATGCGATGATGATAAGACACTCCGGCGGGCCAAGGAAGGCACGAGCCGTGACAAAAAAAAATTAGAAAGATGACGAGACGGTAGTCAGGTCAACGAGCGATGCGATGGGGAAGATCGCTGTCGTCAAGAACGATGACGTTGGCCGTCGTCGAGAAGAGCTGGGTAGGTGGATGGGGTGGGTGGTGGATAGGTTAGAAAAGAAAATTGATCCAGGCCAAACTCTCTGTTGCTTATGTAACAGGTGCGTAGGGCCAGTTGGATTTCGGGGACAGACTCCGCGGGAGCGAGCAGGCAGCCAGAGGTTCGAAAATTTTGGGGGTGCGGGCAATTTATAGTCGAGCAGTGTGGCGCCCATGAGTCGGTGCTGACGGGGCTAATTTTCTACCTCGCTAGTGTCCCTCGACAGGGATAAGGCAGGGGGTCAGGCCGTCTGGGACCACCCTTGTCAGTGATGTACCTGTACTTGTGATTCAGTTCCAGGCACTAAACTTGTCTCCTTTGTGACCGAGGAAGGGCTGGCTGCCTTGCAATTTCTTCTCCCCCCAGCTAACAAGTTTCGCTATGGCTAGCATCTCAAAGCGCCCCCGTTCTCCGAACCCCCCTACCACCTCGCCAACCAACTTTGCCTGTAATCCATGCATTTTATCAGCTGCAATTTTCCTGCCTCTCTCGGCGCACACACACCCTATCGCGATTCTGAAACAATGGACACGATTTTTGCCCCCTAATTTTCATGCCTCCTTCAGATGCAGCCCATGCATCCTCCTTCTCCTGATTCACACCAAACCCACATTCTTTCAAACCTGCCTGAGAGAGTCACGATGCACCGACAGACGGGAAGACATGAAGAGGTGGATGGCAGATGCAACACGATAAGGTAAATAACACGTGAGACTGACCAACGGAGCGAGCGAAAGCAACGAGAAGACAGGCCACAGCCAACTGCAGGCCATCACCAAGAGTTCACCGCAATTGTCGGACGGACCAGATGTCTTTGCGTCTCTCACCATTCATTCAAACGTTGCGCCGCGCCTGATCAACGACTCTGCCCAGACCGTCAGACAGCTCTCACTAGAAGCGAACACGGGCCTTGGGTCGCAATAAGAAATTCCCTGTTACCTCTTCCCCGACCGACAGCGTCCTACGACAGACAAACAGACTACGGTTATGATATCCGTCGCAATTGATGATACCAGGCAATACCGATCATGAACTCTGATTATCGAGACATCTCGTGTCGATGCATGACTGCTCTCGGTGCCCTGTGATGGGTAGGGTGGGCAAAGCAGGCTACGTGCAACCAGCAGCAGGCTCTGCCCCTGGACAGTGGCAGCCCAGATTTGCCTCTGGAGGCCCCATCCATTGCCACAAATCGGCCCGTGCCAACTCTGTCGACCGACCGACCGGTGCCGACTCTCCTTACAATAGAAGAAGACAAAATAATCGTGACAAGAGAGAAGCCGGTTGACCACTTTTTACGAACGAGGCTTGCACAACAACACAAAAGGCCGTCTGGTGCTGCTTGGCAGTAAGTAGTACAAGCCCATGGCACGCACACAGTACAATGGGACGACGAAGAACTATGCGACAGGCTGTATAGTAAAGCAGGACCCTAGGCCTGTCAGCAAATACGGCGACATTATCGGCTCTTCCATGGAAATCCTGGTCCACCAGCAACCCTGGAGATAAGCTTCTGCCACCTTTTTGGGCCCACCTCGATCATGATTGGCTGGTCAGAAATGATCACCTCGCCCAGCTTGTGTGGCCGGCCTCCGTTTCTCTCGCGCCCGCGAGGCATCTTCTTTCGTGGTGCCGCGCATCTCAATCTTACTTTGGGACGCCGCCGCTGTTGGGCCGGCTTGGTGGCTTTTGCCCTCATTCAGAGGGATACTGTCGCGCTTCTCACCTTTGCCTATGATCAAACAGCCTCTTCTTCTCGTGTTCAGTTCATGTAAGCTAACACATTGTACGTCTATCTGACGATATGGCATCGCGAATGCTGCGCTGTTAATATAGTCACATGAATCAACACCAGACCACAATGTCGCTCACACTCTCGATCGACGATGACGTCTTTAATAAAGAAGCAATCACGGTGACCGATCCCTCCACGATCTTCGCAACGCGTCGACCACCCCCTTAGAACTCTCCCGACACCGACCTTGATTTTTACCTTTTCTTTTCCTCTTTTCTTTCAGCGCGTTTGTGGGCCGGCGACACCACCTAAAAAAGCAAGGATATGGTGCACAGAGCCCCAAAATCCACAGTATTCCAGCGGCATCCAACGGCCAGACTGAGGTCCTGTGGGGGCAAGGAGCGCAATTGGTGTGGGCGATTGCCCCCCCCCCACCTTGTGGTCTATTGACAGCAGCCAGACGGGCCATGTACCGGTACAAAAGCATCGTCCAGGGTTACGTGGAAATTTTTTGCACTTGTGTGCCGCTGCGACAGTACTGGTTCACTAAAATCCGTAGAGGGTGGACCGTGCCCGCCTCTCATCCCAGCCTCGTCCACCCTCCATTTTCTATGTCCGGCCATGCACCATCGGCTGGCGCAGAGGCGTTCCCTCCCCCCCCCTCCCTGAGTCTAAGAAGAAAAAATATGAGTCATTTCAGGTGGCCTCTCTCTTCCCGCCCGCGACTGTCACGCAATCATTTCACTTTTGTACTGCCGCTGGCCGTTCCCAACCGTTCTGTGCAATGTCTTGGATGCACGCGAAGGGGGGTTTCTTTTTTCTCCATGCGAGCAAACGTGTCCTTTTCTCTCTTTCACCCTCTTCCCACCCGCAACGTGACGTGTTGAGAATCGTATGCGCCCCTCTATCTGACGGCAAAGAGGGCTCCATCGTATTACTGTGGGGTACTAAATCCGGAGACGAAGGCTAGGTCTGGGTGCCCAGGATGACGAGATCGGATTTGAAGGATCGTTATGTGCAGGGAGTCCTTCGGGAGTGTTGCAGCGCAGGACTTTTTCCTTGAGGGGGCCTGGGGGGAGGGGGTGAAAAAGGGCTCCAGTGATGACCGCTTGGGTGTGTGATTTCAAAACTGGCCCAAGGCCGGCGGCGTCTCACCCTCATACCCTGCCCCCTTGCCCTGCAACCCTCCCAACCTCCATACCCTCCCTCTCCTGCAGCCCCCTTAGTCTAACGCAGCTGACTGCAGCTTGCTTTCCTTTCCGTGCTTGCAGCGACCCAATTTTGGGCTTTTCTCCTTTTCCCGTTGCGATGCACACACAATAGGCTTTGTGCTTTCGGTTCGCGACCGTGAAGGGCCAATGACAGTAGAGTCGCAAAAAAGAAACCTGTGACACCCCCGACCCCAGCTGACGGACTGCGCGAGCTGGACTCTGCGCCGCCCAGTCCTGCTCTCCTGATTTTGAGTTTTCCCGATCGTTCGCACACGCTGTTCATCTTCATCGCCTCTTCTCAGAGAAATTGGCCAGCCTGAATACACACACACACACATTGCACACACACAGTCGTCTTTGGGGGTGCAAGGACAGCGTCTCATAGGCAGGAAAGGACGGCAGGGGGCCGCACGCCAACCCCCTATCAGCAACGAGAGCGCAGATGGACCTATCCAATGAGGCACGCTTACGCCAACCTACCTTACAAGGGAGGGCGCGCAAGCGGAACTGAGAAGAAAGGGCGGCAACTAGTGGCGTCATTGACTGCGCACGCACACTGGGAAGTTTTTCCTCCGGCCCAGAACCGTGTCGGTGTCGCGCACCTTTCGTGATTGAACTGACCTCGGCAGGGCCTGCAAATCAACCCCTTTTAGCTACTTTTTTTCTTCTTCTTCTTCCTCTCTCGTCTTGTAGGTCAGGGAACCTCGGGTAGTGGAAATTGACAGCCGACCTAGCAACCAGCATTGCATTGCCGACAGTCCGAATGTTCAGACCAAACCTACCTGCCTGCCTGCCTAATTGTCGAGTCAGTTGATCCGCAACGTCGCAAGAATCCGGGTCCCTTTTTTCTTCTTCTTCCTGCCTCCCTCCTCTGCTTTTTTGGCCTTTACACAAATATCCACACATTGTCGGGCCGGGAGTGGCAGTACAGACCAGACTTGAGAGGATTCACCTTGCAGCTTGCCTTGCCTTGGTTGGTGGTCCCCACGGCCTGTGTGGCTGACACACTACACGTGGAGATCCAACGGGCATCTATGCCTGAAGGGACGACTTCAAACGTCGAAAACGGGACGGTTGAGAGAAGACCGTTGAAACCGTTCACATCTCACGTGTTTTCTTCCCTCTTTAAGCAGGTGATCACGGCGTCATACCGCTATTGAACTTCTTGAAAACAACGGCGCGAGGCGGCGACATGAGGGTCGAGATGAGTCCTTCGCCGCGGCCATCCTGTTTGGACAGTCACTCAGTCACATGCTTGAGAGATTCCTGACATGCAAAGTAATAATATTCTTGATTGATTTCTCCATATACAAAACATGCCCCACGCCACCCCCAGCCAACCATCTCAATACACAATACACCACCAACTACCATGGGACGCCTTCCATTTTATTTGCCCCCCCCCCCCAGTGCATAAGCGCCCCCGATGCCATGGTATTTTTATTCTCTTTATGTCATGTAGTACTTTGGCCCTTCGCCACCTTGGGGAACTTGCCAGTTGATGTCTTGATTAGGTGCTTTGATATCACATGTCTTGCAATGTATACAGCTGTACAGGGCAGTGTTCAGGTCAGCGCCTCGTGTTCCTTTCACATAGGAGAAGGAATGAAGGGGATACCAAAGAAGAAGAACGACTCACTTTTGTGCATTAATCTGGAACCTCACGCCCTCTGGCTTGGATGCATCGTCCACGTACTCATACACACCCGCCGGGCAGAAGCGGTTCTCCAAGCCCTTGAAAGCCGGCCAGGTCTCGGCCGTATGCTTCTCCCAGTCCTTGACCTGGAGGTGCACAGGCTGGTCCTCCTCGTGGTTTGTGCCCGTGCGGCTGACGCTGGTGAGGATGTCAAAGGTCAGCTTGCCGTCGGGCTTGGGGTACTCGATCTTGTTGCTCTGGTCGGCGCGCTTGGTCGCCGCGTGGTCCATCGTCTTGTGCTTGAGCGTCCACGGCACGCGGCCCCGGAGGAAGAAGGCCTCCAGGCCGCTGTACATGATGCCACCGTACAGGCCGAGGGCAGTGTGGAAGGACGGGCGCATATTGCGGACCTCCTTGAGCTCTTTCCAGATCCAAGACTCGCGGAGCGACTTCTCGTAGTCATACAGGAAGACGGACCCGTCGTCCGTGGACGACGATAGCGCGCCCCACGCCGCCTCGGCCGCGAGCATACCGCTCTTCATGGCGTTGTGTGTACCCTTGATCTTGGGCACGTTGACGAACCCAGCCGAGTCGCCGATCAGCGCGCCGCCGGGGAAGGCCACCTTGGGAATGGACTGGAAACCGCCCTCGATGAGCGCCCGTGCCCCGTACGAGATGCACTTGCCGCCCTCGAGCACGTCCGCGTACAGTGGGTGCTTCTTCATCTTCTGGAACTCGCCGTATGGGCTCATCCAGGGGTTCGGGTAGTCCAAGGCGACCACCAACCCCACAGAGACCAGGTTGTCCCCAAAGTGATACATCCAGCCGCCGCCGTATGTATCATAGGGCAGGGGGTACCCCATCGAGTGCGTGATGTCGCCCTTCTTGAACTTCTCGGGCGCCACCTCCCACACCTCTTTGATGCCGAGCCCGTACGTCTGTGGCTGGGCGTCGGACCGCAGGTCAAACTTGCGGATGACCTGTTTGGACAGAGAGCCGTGGCAACCCTCGGCGAAGAGCGTGACACGGGCATGGAACGCCATACCGCGCTCAAAGGTATCCTTGGGCTGCCCGCTGCGCCCTATACCGAGGTCGTTGGTTGCAACGCCCAGCACAGACCCGTCGGACTTGTAGAGAACCTCGCTAGCGCTGAAGCCTGGGTAGACCTCGACGCCGACCTCCTCGGCACGGTCACCCAGCCACTTGGTGAACTGGTTCAGCGAGACGATATAGTTGCCCTTGTTGTGCATCTGCGGCGGCGCGGGGATGGGTACCGCGTATTTCTCGGTCAGGAATCGCATGTGGTCCGACCCGGCAGGGGTGGCGCCGTCGAAGGCGGAGGGGTTGTCGGGGGACAGCCAGTCCGGGAAGAGCTCCTCTACGGCATTCGGCTGTATGACGGCGCCAGAGAGGATGTGGGCACCGATCTCGCCCGGCCTTCTCGAGGAGGAGGACACGGAAGTCGTCGTTGCCAGCTTCTGTGGCGAGCTGCTTGAGGCGAATGGCGGCTGCGAGGCCGGCGGGACCTATAGTAGACGGGCGAGAAGTTCAGAGACGAGTTACACAGACGGGGCGAGGGCGTGTGGAGGAAAACAAAAAGAGACAGAAGATGGAGTTTTGAAGAGCATACCTCCACCAACAATGCAGACGTCGACCTCGTCGCTCTCTCGTTCTATGGTGTTGGGGTCAAACGAGTCATCGGGAGTGGCCATCCGTCTCCTGGCGGTGCAGGCAAAGGACCTTGTCTGCCACGGTATCCTGCCAATTGTTGCTGCTGCTGCACATGACTGTCGTGATATGCTCGTCCTCGGAATGCATGCCGATATTGTTGCGCGCTTGGCAAGCGGTCTTGCCGTCCGGGCAAGGCGCCCAGATAATCTGACAGGCGCAGACATGGCCTCGAGTATTGCGATGGGGTGTTTGGTAAGGTAAGAGGAATGACAGTTATGCGGTAGTTCTCTCTCAGTGCAGTCAGAAAGGCATTGAAAGATCTCAAGAGGGAGGGGTTCAGCCAAAGTCCAGGTGTACGTCAGTGTGCATGAGAAGGCTATGGCATTGTCCTATCAAGTCTGCAGAAGAGGCCGGTTGGGTTGTTTTGTGGTTGAGGACGAGGACGAGGAGAATCCAGCATGACGCATCGAGAATTGCTGCGGACGCGATTACCTAGATAAATCGACAAGCTCAAGAGGTGAACTAACACTGACTGTGCGGCCCAAATCTCGCTGGAGAAAGCTCTCTCGTTAGCCGAGGACCGGCGATGGCCTGGGCGATTCGAATCAGCTGTCTTCTGAGTGGTCAATTCTTCTCCAAGGCGGGAGGAAGTGGGTCAGGCCGGGAAAATAAGAGGGTAGGAGAGAACAAGACCGACGTGACATGTGCTTCCGGGGTTCCGTACCTCCGTCCTCTGATTTTTGCTTGTCATCAGATCGCCCATTTTGAAGGTCATGTCCAACAACCACTCCATAGCGTGCATAGAGGGCTACTGGATGTCGTATCGCAACGTCGAATTCGATCTTTTGGGGGTTTTTTTTGGTGCAAGTTGACATCTTAGCTTACTTGCCCAGCTTGCATCTTTGCTGTAAGACAAATATCTCGACGGACGACCAGGTTGTCTCACTCCCCTGCGCATCATATTTATAACGTAAACATGGCTTGACGGCACGGAAGTAAACACCCATTCTAAGAGTCGCTTTCAACGTGATTATCATTTGATCTTACGATGTCTACCATTTTTTTTTTAACGTGATCAGCATTGTGGATCGAGTCAGGCCATCCAACTTGACTTAGATTCGCTGCTGGTATAGGCCCACCCACGACCTGCACTTAAGTATGGCTGCTGCTTGTGATGTAATGAGCTCAGCCTTTTCCTGAACAGTTGACCAAAGATTATGGAGGTTACCTCAGAGGTTGGAAAGCAGGCAGCCACCAGTGAGATCGCAATGTAACTCTCAAGATCCTGGCAATCATGCAGACAACCGTCGACGTGCATTTTGTCGTGGACTATGCATGGTATCCTTGTAATTCTCAGGAGTCTCAACGGCCAGTGAAATTCCTCGCACTTGCATCCAGTCATGTCAGGTTGAGTGTTCCAGGACTACAGCTTAGATTGCACTATCGTATATAGTGCTCGAGAAGGATCTCAGTGCCTCTCTGAAGACAGTGTAATCCTGAGGAAGTCTCCCATGATCATCCAAACCCGAGACTTTGCCTTCCTTGTGCCCTTGCCCCCTCCCCCCACCCTCTACAGAAGTCAGCAAGGGATCGAAGTCTCAAGGTCTCGGCAGCAACCATTAAGTGAATCTACAGTAGCATTCCAAATATAAAGACTGATGAAATCTGTTAATAAAAAAAAGGGAGGATGAGAAAGACCTCTTATACTATACATGCTTCTTCGTTTGAGCTTTTTCGTCCGCTTCACCAAGTCGGTTGTCTATTTTCTCCAGCCCATCCTCTATAGTGACTTTCGGCTTATAGCCCAACCAGCCTCTTGGTCTTCTCTCCACTCAAAATCCGCTCAAGGACAGTCAGACAAACGGTTTCCTGAGTTATGGTCGGCTGGTCTTCTGCCATGGCGGGGGGAGACGAGTGTCATGACCCTCGAGAGGTTATATGACTTCCTGAATAAGATGTCGTTTGTGTCGTCTTTGCGTGGGGAGGATTGCACCCATGCAGAGCATGGCGTTCTGTCGAAACGAAGGCAAGCAGTTCCTCTGGGAAGCCAGGGGGGAATTCGGATCGGTGCACCAACGCTTACTGCTTGATTACATCTGCGTTGTTTCTCGCTGCTGGATGCGCTTGCTCCCTTGATACAACTTGCAATATACTCTGCTTAACTCAATTGTGCCTCCTACAGGGAAATTCGCAGTGGATGGCGCTGGATCATGTGTCGTCGCCCTGCAGATCAAATACATGCCAACGGCACATTGAAAGCGGAGGGACGGCTCCCAAGGTAATTACTCATTTGGCCTGCTGCTTGACTACGTGATAACCGCCTGACTGTGGTAGCAGTATCTTGCGAAGTCAATCCTGTTCGTCTAAAAGCAGTTCGGAGAAGCCAAGAGTTGTAGTACTGTGCAGTAATCATACTTACACTTCAAGGAGCCAGTTTATGTTAGGGAGGAGAGATTGGAAACTCAGCTGCTGAATATTTACAGAGGGACAAATGTATGAAGACTCAACCAGCGAGCAAGACATTGGTAGCAGTACCCAATGCCGCATGGTGTGTTGATGTGAGAGAGGAAGAGGAAGAAGGCTGAGGCCATTACGAGATTCGCGACTGCCGTTTAAGAAGTCGGACAGCTGCATGCAAGCACGTTCCACGAAGAACCTGCTATCTTAACTGCATGCGATTTCCCTTACAAGCCACAACTACATGCATTTTAAATCGCCAAACTTTTGCTCCCTGGGTAGTCCAGTTAGCATTCTCAAATTTTCCAAGAGGCCATTGCAACCCTTCTTTCCATGTTTTTTATTCTTGATAAAAGCGGAACACTCGAGGAGGCACCTTTTCTTCAATGTCGACCATCCTCCAATGCGAATTCTGCTGAGCCACTAGCATTTTGAGATCCAGAGCTTGCGTAAATCAGTGAATATTAGAATATTGAAAAATATTGAAACTAACTTTTTCATTGAAGAAACGAAATCGTCTGCTCAACTGTTTATCCTTTCCTAAACTAAAGCCTGCCACAAATTTTCCTTTTATCAAGAAAAAAAAAATAGTTATACTATTTGTTGCTTGCTTAAGTGCATTTGAGAGTAAAATTCCAAGTGTTCCTGTCCAGAGATTTATGAGCTTTGTGGGCTGTCGGTTCAAAAATTTTGTGAAATTCTGGGAAATTACTATATGAAATGTTAATATTGTGCTGTTTTCAACTCAGTTGGTCTTGTGGTCTAGTGGTATGATTCTCGCTTAGGGTTCACCCTAACCATCATTTGCGAGAGGCCCCGCGTTCGATCCGCGGCAAGACCCGTTGGAATTCTCTTTCCAGTTCTTTTTGGCTTTTATTCTTTTTTTATTGCAAGATATTTGTCCTACTCGGCCTATCCTCTTTTCCTCACACCATTTCAATATGAAAGCTGTGTGTTGCAAGAACTTGAAGCTGAGAAACAGATTGTTCCAATGTTTTAATCAGAGCCTAGATATAATGATTCAATGTCGTGGTTGGCGTTGTCATAAGTCGATGTACGGATAGGAATGTTTAATAGACCCCCTGGTTGTTATTTCCTTCCAGCATACCGTGGAGACTGAGTGGCAGCCTGCAAGCACAGGATCGTTCAAGCTCAGTCTGTGATAATCTTGGGTGGCTGCCGATTAAATTAACTCCGAGACCACATGAAGGCCACATAGCCAACCACTCCTGCCACCACGACACGGATCACAAAGTCCTCTATCGCCTTGCCGTCGTTGATGTGAGGAAACGGCACGCCCTCCGGCACAGGCAGGCTCAGCGCCCGACACAGCGGGTCCCACCCGTCCTTGACGTCCACAAAGAACAGCTGGCCTGGCGGCACGACCTCCCTCATCCACTCGACGTGCCTGTGGTAGCTCTTCCTCGTCGGCGGCTCCGTCTCGCCGTACAGCGCGAGCCACTGGCACCGCAGCGCGTCAATGTAGCGGACCGTCCACCGCAGCGTCGGCAGCGGCCACAGCACGACGCGCAGGAATCACATGGTCGACGCGCTGCTCACCCCCTCCATCGACTTCTCCCACGCCTCCACGCCGCGCGTGGTGCAGAGCACCCGCGCCTCCGGGTACAGCTCCAACAGCTCCGGCACGAGCCCCGCCGCGGGGCTGTCCGCGACCGCCACGTACCCCTGCCCCACGAGGCTGTCCAGCAGCCGCAGGTTCTCGGCGTGGCGCACCTTGTCGCGAGGGGGCCAGTAGTGCAGGATCTCCAGGGCGGTCTGGATGTCTCGCTCGGGCCCGTTGAAGACCTGCGTGCCGCAGTGGTAGACAGGCCCGTCGAGGAGCACTTCGAGGGCTGCGCTGAGGGAGGCCGTCCCTGTGCGTGGGAGACCGGCGCAGATCACCTGGAGCTTGGCGCCAGGCTTGGGCTGGGAGTATTGCTGGCCCATTTTGGAATTCACTGACGGCAGGTGAGGTTGTTTCGTGAGTACAGGAGTGGTTCCGCAGTAAGACTGAAAGGCAAGAGATGGAGGGGAGAAATACGTGTTAGAGAAAACATATTCCTGGCAGGGTCGTGTTTTGGGGCGTCATAGCGTGCGGCGCAGTATAAGATAATTATGTTGTTGGTTATGTTTCTGGGCGGGAATGTAACATGCTCACAAAGGAAGACCAGTGGACACAAAGCAAAAGTAGTGGGGTGAGACGATAAGTTGGAAGCCAATCCCACTATGTGAACGTACTTTTGATCCAATTCTCGCCGCCCATGAAGCCTCGCAAGACTTTGGATTTGAAATTCCGTGTTGCTGAAAGGCGTGGTGGGTTCAACTCAATCAACATGTCCCTACAGCGATGCCTGTGTGAAGGAGTTCTGTACGGTTTAGGAACCAGTGGAAGATGCTTCATTATGATGACGAGTCTATGGCAAATTGGACATGGCCTGTACAGCCGACTGCACTGCTCGAGATGGGTGGGTTGCCGCCGATGATTCAGCAGGTCGTCAATACCAAGGGTGTTGAGGAAACGTCAAGGTCGCCTGCAGAGGCATCTCACTAATGTTTCGCATGACGTTATCCTCCACCTCGGCCATCTCCTCGCGCACCCTATCCTCGAGGACCTCCTGCATCCCGTCGCAGCGCTCATCCATCTCCTTGCGAAGGGCGTCCAGAATCCGGGATTCGGACCTGTCCAGTAGCTCTACCATTTCCCTCCTGTGAGCACCCAGCCTGTCATCAAAGTGCTGTCTGAGCGCGGAGAAGCTCGCGTCTAGCATATCCTGCATGACCCTGCGGCTGATCGGCTCGTTGGGCCCTGAGCTGCTGCCACTCGTGCGGCGCCGCTTCTTGCTATTACCTGAGGCCATCTCAGCGGGGTTTGCGCAGGAAGGCGAAGACAGTTGAAACCGAACAAGATGTGACTTACCGTATTCATGAGAAGCAGAAGATTGCTCTGGAGGCTCGTTGTATTGAGGCGGCGGCTCGTCTGTCGCGGGTGGACCATCAGCAGCGGAATCAGCGAGGCTGTCTGCCTCGATGATCTGTCCGCCCTGGCCTTGGTACAAGCTTGAGGTACTTGCATGAGCCGCCAGACTGGCCAATCCAGAGTTTGCGACTGCGGCACACAACTCTCGACAACGTGCAGCAGGTAGTCCCCTGTGAGGTATGTCGGCGTAGATGGTAAAGTAGGTCTGCCTTGCAAGAGCTCGGAGACCATCCATCGCGTTCTTGCCCACCTTCTTGCTAGGCTCACACGGCATCTTGGGAAGGACAAGGGCAGGGGGTCTGTCCATTTCGAAACCCAATACTAGTGTGCCCGCACCGAACATCCTCTCTCTTGGGTACCGATTTATTGATAGCTTTCGTATACGCTCTGGATAGATAAAGAGGTAGATGCTTGTTCTACTGTCGCGGCGGCGTTCTCCTCCAGACAGGGGAATTCGAGTGCACAGCTTGAAAAAGGCTTTCTTGGATGTTGGGTGCCAATGGAGGTCGAGGATGAGGTTGGGTAGAGATTGACCATCCCATCTTGCTACGGCAGGGAGTTTGGTCTGGTCAACTGCCTTGGGCCACGAAGGTTCAAGGTCATACCCGCGGTCGCCAGAGGACGTGGAGGAGCTCGGGGACTGCTTGGCTTCTTCAGGGGCAAGCTCAGCCACAGTCTCAGGCTCACCGGGGGTGGCACATCTTGGGGTATTCGGGTTCGTGCTTGAGCCGGTCGATGGACGCGTTGGCGTTCCAGGCAGGGAACCGGCGTCAGACATGGACACGAGTCTATGAGTGGTCAGCAGCGATCAAGGTCACAAGAAAGTCTACGATCAAGACGTTGTCCTCAAATCCCACCCTCCCAGGCTTCTGTTCGAAAATGGGAGCAGCCTTGACTCCAGTCGCCAAAAGACAGGTCGGCCGTGTCGTCGTGTTCCCGCACGCCCAGCCCAGCCACGTCGCTCTAACGATCTCCAGTGTCACTGAACGTCCCAGCACCCAGGGTCTTTCGCCGGCCGTAGACGGCGAGTAGAAGCCTGTAGATTGGAGCTGGTCGTGAAACACCGGTCGTAGAACAACGTAGCCTTGAGCAGGCGATGCGCGGAGACTCGCTTCGGCAAGGAGGCAAGCACCTTTGAACAGACTTCCACAGCAATCTGTCTGTCGACAATTACACGAGGTGATGGTCGTGATAGATTGTATCGTGGTGCAGAAGAAAGAGAGAGAGAGAAATGGCAATGGCCAAGACCCGCGACTATATGTAGTAGCGTGCTGGCTGTGAATGCCGATGCCTGTGAAGGCAGGTAGGTGAAGTGGTTAAGTGATTGTAGGCTTTGCTGGCAGTGAAATTGGGTGGCTGGTCGGCGCAGTAATAAACCCTAACCCTGCATTCTTAGCAAAATCATCTGGCTCTTATCGATACGACCACCCCTAAACACAACCACTGACAGCTAACAACAAAAAACTGATTCTCTTGCATTTCACCTCCCCAACTGAGGTTGCCCAGCACCCGTTTACATCCACGCTCTGAGCTCGCAATATCTTTACGGGCTGACCATGGAGACACAATTTGTTGATCCGCAGAAGGATTTGCTTCGTCATGCCGTGCCAGCGCCACTCGCCCGAGAAGTGCTGTGGCTTGTCCCGCAGGCTGAATCACTGCAAACCTTTGATGCTGGCTGCGCGGTACTATCATGCAAATAAAAATCAACAGGGTGGTGTGCTTCAGCGCGTCTTCGAGTGGAACGGACTGTCGGTCACGAGGGACCGGCGTACCGACATGCAACCCACACGGCACTGCACATGACCCACTCTCTGACCACCACGACCGATGCTGGGGTGTATCTCAGCCGCAACGCTGGAGTCAATGGTCCATGAGAGAGAATGGCAAAGTGGACTTGTATGCCCCTGTTGCAACGGGGCTGAATGGGTCAGCTCGCAGGTCAGCTCGCAGGTCAGCAAGTTGCATTTGACAGACAACCTTGTAACCAAGGGTAAGATTGCAGCTTCGTCGATCCTAGGCATCAACCTCTGGCTGAGTGTATATTTCTCTGTTCTTCTCATTGCTTTGCGTCCATTCCGATGGCTGCCTGTCCTTCTCGTACGAGTGTCGAGTCGACTCTAGACTACGTTCTAATATGATTTTGGGATTTGTATGAGGTTGAACCTTGGAAATGAGCAATTGTTCAAAGGCGTGAGCGAGACCCCAGCGCGCCACCACACTCCAGCGCCGCACCGGGAGACTTGATGGATTCCCTCGACAATTCCCACAGGCTTGCAGACGTTTGTGATAATAGTCTGGAACGCCCTCGGTCTGAGCCTGTCCCGTCTACGCCTGCGCCCGATGAGAAGCCCGGATCTGTCTCCGGCTTGGTCGAAGCCAAGGATCACCAGCTGTCTGCAGCGACAGCTGTCGCAGACAGCAACGATGGCGCGTCAAACCGAACAAGCATATCTCACTGGGCTGCCGAGCCTGGCTTTGCTCATATAGACGGGGAAATAGGAGGCTCGGGCTACAACGAGACGAGAGTCGACATCATCACCGTCCCTTGTCCAGGAGCCGATCCCCTCGTGACATGGACTCGAGACCCTCTTCCAGATGGATACTTCGGTTCCCATTTCGACAATGAGGAGCTGATGTCGCATCCTACCCTCAAAGAGCTCGCCGGTGATGCCATATTGACGCCCGGCATTGGAGGGAACTTTCCCAAAGCGGCTCATCTATGGGTTAAGCAGGGCATCCGTCGGTTTGCCGACACGGCAAGGGTCTTGCTGTACAGACACCGAGAGCTTGTGGAAGGTGTCAGCCTCGACAGTCTCGCACAGGACCTGCTGGAAAATGTTCTCTTAACACGAGACAGCCAGCAGACGTCACGTCCAATATTCTTTATCGCACATAGTGTAGGCGGTCTCGTTGTGAAGAGGGCTCTTCTCATGGCCAGGTTGGACCACAAGTTCCGTACCATTCTGTATAATTGTCACGGCATATCATTCTTTGGTATGTGCCTCAAATTTCTGGTATCTTTCTTTTGGACGGTCAGAACTGACAAGAGCAGCAACTCCGCACCGGGGCTCAAGCTATATGTCGATGCCTCATCTCTCCGAGAGCATCCAGAGTCTTCTTTGCCTTCGCAGGCCTCTGCCCAGGTCCATCGCGCGCGATCTCCGTGTAAACAATAAGGACTTACTGAAGATGCACGAGGGCTTTGCCGACATTGCAAGTGAGATGCGGATCTGGACATTCTACGAGACCATCGACTCTCAGCTTTCCGGTTCCGGCATGGGTATTGCGAACGAGGTTTCCTTCACGGCACCCCTAGTGTCCATCAAGTCTGCCCTAGTTGGCGCGAGGCAGGAGATCATCTACTCTTCCCTTGAGAGCGACCACGCCCACTGCGCTTCCTTCGGCATCTCGAACCCTCGGACGCTGAGGAACTATCTGCTCAACTTGGCTGAAGCAATTGCTAAAGCCGAAACACTATGCCGGACGACGCATACACCGCTCAAGCTGAAGGACGTGGTCAAGGTAGAAGTCGTCGGTTTTTACGAGGATCCGGATGCCGCTACCGAGTCGGATGTCCGACTGTACACCACAAAATATCACCTCTCTGATTTTCTTTCCATAGGCCCAGAAAGATGCCTGGAGGAGCGCCTGCGACGAGTTCGGCGCCCCGGCTCAGGGGGCCACCCCTTCTCATCGGACCATGCTGATACGGATCGACTGGGCCGGGGCGTTGTAAAGAATGTCCAAGAGAAGCGGAGCACGGCATCTCGGTCCTCAGAACATGAACGGCCGCCGTCTCCTGGCATAGTTGTCACTTCAGCATCAGCCAAGCCAGGCATGGATGCCGAAGAATCGTACATGCCACCTGTGAGACAGCCGCACAGCCACACACCGCCAACTTTTTCTCCGCCTGTCTATCAGCGTCCGTCAAGTAGGAGAACAGACGGGACAGCAAGTACAATGTCGGAGCCGACAGGTTCGCAGCACTCGCCCAAACATGGTCCTGCACCTTTGCATCATGTTGCAAATCAAGGACAAATACCTGATATGGATAGGCTGGGGTTGGGCATCGCACCTAGAAGTCGATCTGAAAAGCTCAGCAAGTCATCGATACTACAAGAACTGAGCGCAGGGTTCTCAAGACCGGACCCAAATCGGAGGAAATTCATGTGGATTCATCTGCCGTTTACGAACCCCCTCTGGGTCAAGGCAAGTACCGATTTCTGATCAACCTTGAGGGAAGAGAGAAGTTGGAAGGAAGAAGGAAGAACGTGGCGCTAATTAGCATGTAGGACATCTTCGACAAGCTATCAGAGACACATAAGCAGGATTTCAGCAGACTCTTTGGTAATGAACACTGGGTATCAAGGCATGTTCAAGGCCGACACTCGCAATCACAGCCTTGCTTCATTAAACCCGCTGTCAACTTTATCACCGACGACTCAGCGACCTCACCCCGAGCATCCCATTCGAGTAGCACGCCGCCCAGCACTGGCCCGTCGCCAAAGTATCTCTATGTGTATCTGCCATACCTACATTTCGATACATATAGGCATATGATCAAACGCAGAAGACTGATTGAGAAGAGGCTAGCTCATGGACGTACTAGGCCAGTCCCAGAGGAAATTGCCAACCTTGACTCCCTAGAACTCCGTGTGATATGGGAATTTCTGGGACATGACCCCCCTCTAAACGGCCGCCGGACCCTCGACCAGTTCGGCTACCCTTCACTCAAGGATACACACGCTCGAGACGACGACCAGATGTTGTACAAGCTCACAAAACAGGAAAAGTTTCGTCCTCCGCCTCCAGCCCCACTCGATGATGCTCAATCGATAGGATCTCTGGAGGATAGGTATTCAATCCGAACGAAGCAGCTACATGAGATGATTGAGCGAGACAAGGGCCATGCTATGGATTCCGACTCAGACAGTGAGGCGCTGCTTGGTCTCCGGGATGGCAATCTGCTGATGGTGGATCAACTTTGGCTCTGGGCCATTGATACAAGTGAGTCTGAACAAGTAGGTGTGTCCTTTTGGCATCTGTCTGATAGTGAACAGCCACCCTCACAACATTTTTCCCGAAAAGAGAGTCTCGCCCATCAGAGGGTGCCCTGTTCCAGCAAGCAGACCTCAGGAATAGTATCTACCACGAACTCAACGGCGACCTCACGGGACGTTGCGAGAACTCCCTAGACCTCGCCGCCTTTGTTGTCCTCCACGCGGTAACGGTGCTGCTTGATCGGTCCTCCCACCCCGATCTCGAGGTTTTTCGTATTTTTGAAGAGGCCATAGGCATGCTGGTGAGTCACCCACTCTCTTCGACGTGAACCGAAAATCCATCACCGTCTTGCTGTAGGAAGCTATTGACACAAAAATGGGATCTAGACCGAGCGCATGACGTCCAACCTCAAGAAGTTCCGCATGCAGAGTTTCAAGGAAGCCGACCTCGACTCGGATGAAGAGCCTGAAGACAATACCGCAGCGTCGATCAAAAAGAGGCACAAGCGTGAGATCGAGAGGGCTGAGCGGGAAAACCGAGAGAATACCTCGGCGCTTTTGGAACTGCGTGACATGGAGGACGAACTGAAGACCTTTCATCGGCTGTTCGACACGCAGGTGACCATGATCGAAAAGATGCTTGATATGTATACTGGTGATAGTCTCAAGGATCTGACGCACTACGGTCAAGGATATTTGAGGGAGGCACTTACCAGACTCGCCGAGTACAAGGCTCAGACGACTGAGATGCTGGAGCGGGTCACTGCTACCAGGGGAGACGTAAGTTATATGCAGTCCTCGTGTTGATCAGGTCGTGTTCGAGAGTCCTGCCGCTGCTGACACTTGCGATTTCCCCCCTTCTTTTAGTACGAGAAACTCCTGGAGATGGCCCAGCGCCAAGCGCAGGTCGACGACGTCCGCTGGTCCCGCCTGCAGACCGAGCTGGCCAGCTCACAGAACCTCTCTGTCATGATCTTCACCATCTTCACCGTCATCTTCCTGCCCTTGTCCTTTTTCACGAGCCTCTTCGGCATGAACACCCTCGAGTGGGGTGGTGCCGACGCCCAGTACCCAAGCCTGGGCTACATCGGCGAAATCAGCCTGCCCGTGTCGGTGTTTATGATCCTCGCGACGCTGGTCGCGGCCTTCAGCTCGCACGTCCAGGTGGCCTTCAAGTCCCTGTTTCGCCGGCTGTACAAGGCCTGGGTCTTTGCAACCTACATGCTGAAGGCGCTGGAGCCGGAGGCGAGCCGCAGGGCGCAAGAGATCAGGCGGGCAGAGAGGGAGCGCGAGGAGAGGGAGGAGAAGCAGTGGCGGCGGAAGGAGAGGAGCTATGACTTTTGGGCGACGGTGCGGGCGCAGCGCACCCTTGGTTCGTATGAGATTCCGGATTTGAATCGGAATCTTGTCAGGTCGGGAACGACGGGGTTCAGCAGTTCGGCGAACGGAGTTGGACGGGGCTGGGTGAAGCTGAATCCGTGGGTGAGAAGCACGACAGGAATAGGATGAGTTGTGACGGCGAGAGAGAGAGAGGAAGAGAAGGAGAGACAAGGGGGACTGCAAATGGAGACGCAGTAGAAGGACGACTTGGACTTGTTCAATAGACGGATTGGCCTAGTCATCTACGACATTGCGCGCAGGGAGTCTTGTGCGCGTATTTGCGTTCGGCTGACTACAGACTTGTCTGTTGGCATATCTAATGTACAGAAACCTGGAATCGGATGGTGAACCTGGTTCTATTCTCCATCATACAAGGTACTTCAAGGCAACATGCATCCTACAACCGTAGATTGACCTGGTTGATACTTGTTCGTTTGTCTTTTGCCTCCCTCAACCTACCCCCTTTCGCTGCGTCATACAATGGCGACATCATAATACTATGGTACTCATGCACCTATGTCATGGTTCGAATTCGGAATAATTCAAAAACTTCATGCATCTCCTACGAAGCAAAAAAATACCCAACAGTTTTTCCGTTTCAATTATCCAGTGATTTACCGCCCGCCTAGACGGGCCGCCAGTCTACCAGGTAAATAGAGATTTGCTTATGTTGGTCAACGTACCGAGAACCGACCCCAAGTCCATGATTCATCTATTATCCTTTTTAGTGCTTCAGGGGGACCGCACCCTTTTTTGTCGTTTAGTTTCGGGGGTGGAGCGCATCGTGTGAGACGGACGACACGGCCCCCTGAAATCAGAATGAAAAGGAATAGGGTTCGGATCTTGGCGTGTGTTTGTGACGAAAGGAGAAAAGGCAAAAGGAAAGAAAAACTAGGCGCATAAAAAAACTAACTAAGGATGGATGTTTTATTATCACTTATGCACATCTTGCCTAGCTATGTGCATCTCATCCCACGCAGGCACTCTTTCTGAGACCTCACCACCACCTCCTCCTACTTAGGTGGGTAGGAGTGCATGGAAGCAGCAGCGGAAGAGGCCGAACCTTGTTACTACCTCTGCAGTGGATACAAGTCTACCTGGTTAGGCAACGCCAGGTCTTGTGCATCCCCGCCCTTCCCCCCACGGGGTGGAGTACCGGCGTTTCGAAGGGTGGGTATGACATGCCTGGAGATGAACAGAGGTTCATCCCATGGCGGCAAATGAACAATGAGGGGTTCATGTGTGAAACGCGCTTCCAGAAACATTCTTATTACGTAGCTCAAGCGAAGGGCAATACTCTTTTGGGTTGTACAGGAATCCCAAGGAAGAGTCGTAACTACTCTCACTCCTTGGTGAATGAATCGGGGTCCATCTCTCGAGAAGTAGTTGCTAAAGACTTGTACCATTGGTTCCAACGGAGTAATTAACGTTTAAATCATAGTTACTTAGTACTCAAATAGATGAACCCCAAGAAACCATCTAGCCACAACTAGGTTGCATAGCATACGCTTAAATTGTCGATCAGGTCGGGATCTGGATAGCCGCATCAAGCATCTTGACAAAACAAAACCAAACGAAGATCGACAACTATAATTTTTCTCTATGTGAATCGGCCGGCGGCGCACTCCAAAGGGGGGAAGAAGGGTGTGGTTTGGCTGACCCGTTGATCGTCTGCCTGTCAGCCCCATAGAAACGAAACCACGGACGTTCCGAACAGATAGAATGCAGAACATTCCCACCAATCGCCGACGAGGATTTGTTTGCCAGGAGCAGGGTATATGCCACATGGAGGCGTGCGGCTCAAGAGAGACGTCAAACAACTATGCATATTCCCTTCCTCCTTTCTTCTCCTCCAGCTCCAGCTCCTGCCCCCCCCCCCCTCTCCTTTAGCGACTTATGGCTGGGGAGACAGTCAAGCCATTTCTTCCGGGGGTGGAAACACCGGACAAGGGGATATATTATTTATTATACCCATGCCCAGGGGCAAAACATCGGAATAAACGACTTGGCGACAGAGAGTGAGAGAAGCGAGCCCAGAGCCTCAAAGTACTGTGCCGTCATGTGCCTAAGCGAGCTGGGTCTCTCGGCAGTCCTTGGTATCAAGTTGGGACGACACATGCATGCACATGGCGGCTAGAAACATGTTCCCCCTCGCTAGGTTCGACCCTGGCCCCGACCTGAGCGGACCGGATTGGAGCACTAATCCATCGACAAGCCCCATAATAGCAGATTGCAGTGGGAGCGCAGTCGACGGAAAGAAACAACAGCCGCTCGCGAAAGGAGGGAAACAGGATGTCATTGACCGCTGAAAGGACTCAGGCTGAAGACGAAGAAGATCGCACCTGATGCGGAACAGCCATGGAAGGATCCTTCGGGGTGAAGGGCCGTGAAGACCGTATGAGCGGAAAGGAGAAGGAGGAGATGTCGTGATATAAAAGTATAGTTCTCAGCCCGCTGCTTCATCAAGTGTTGAGAGGCTCATCATCATCATCATCACCATCATCATCATCAGCAACCAGCTAGTCTGTGTTCACCTTCCTTCACATTCCCTTCTTTTCACCCTTCCTTGTTCCAACTACCTACTTTCACTTCTTAACCAACACAATGGCTCAGCGAGCTGCCCTTCTTTCTGCCCTTTTGGCCGCCTCAGTGCGTGCGCAGCAAGCCTGCACTTCCACCACCGAGACCAAGCCGTCTCTCTCTTGGTCGCAGTGCACCTCGTCGGGCTGCACCAACACCAGTGGCTCCGTTGTCATCGATGCCAACTGGCGGTGGACCCACGATGTCTCGGGCTACACCAACTGCTACACCGGCAACACCTGGGACGCCGACCTCTGCCCGGACGACGTGACCTGCGCGGCCAACTGCTGCGTGGACGGCGCCGACTACGAGTCCACGTACGGTGTGACCTCGGCGGACGATGCCCTGACGCTCAACTTTGTCACCCAGAGCACCGACACCAACGTCGGCAGCCGTCTCTTCCTGATGGCGTCGGACACCGAGTACCAGATGTTCGACCTGCTGGGCAAGGAGTTCACCTTTGACGTGGACGTGTCCAACCTGCCGTGCGGCCTCAACGGCGCGCTGTACTTTGTGTCCATGGACGCGGACGGCGGCATGGCGCGCTACTCTGGCAACAAGGCCGGTGCTGCGTACGGCACGGGCTACTGCGACAGCCAGTGCCCGCGTGATATCAAGTTCATCGGCGGCGAGGGCAACGTCGAGGGCTGGACGCCCTCCACCAACGACGCCAACTCGGGCGTCGGCGGCCACGGCTCGTGCTGTGCCGAGATGGACATCTGGGAGGCCAACCTCATCTCGACGGCCGTGACCCCTCACCCTTGCGAGAACAGCACCCAGACCGTGTGCGACGGCGATGACTGCGGTGGCACCTACTCCACCGACCGGTACGCCGGCACCTGCGACCCTGATGGCTGTGACTTCAACCCGTACCGCCAGGGCGTGACCGACTTCTACGGCGCCGGTGCTGCTGGTGTCGACACCTCCAAGGTCTTCACCGTCGTCACCCAGTTCATCGAGGAGAACGGCGCCCTGTCTGAGATCAAGCGCTTCTACGTCCAGGACGGCGTCACCATTGCCAACCCGGACTCCACCATGGCTGGCACCTCGGGCAACTCCATCACTGCCGACTACTGCACTGCCCAGAAGGAGGCCACCAACACCACCGACTACTTCACCCAGCGTGGAGGTCTCGAGGGCATGGGAACTGCGCTGGCCAACGGCATGGTTCTCGTCATGAGCCTGTGGGATGACGTACGTACCAAAAAGAACTTTCTCTGAACTTCACTCCTTTCCCCCAAGTTTTGTAAAAAGAAATCAGTGACCTCATCCATCATCATTATCGTCATCATACTGACTGGAATGTTCCTTGTGATTAGCACTACGCCAACATGCTCTGGCTTGACTCGACCTACCCCGCCGACTCGACCGAGGCTGGTGCCGCACGTGGAACCTGCGCCACCAGCAGCGGTGTCCCCTCCGACATCGAGTCCAACAACGCCACCGCCAGCGTCATCTACAGCAACATCAAGTTTGGTGACATCAACTCTACCTTCACTGCTTAAGTAACATTTTGTGTGTGATTGGTGTTATAGACTTTGAGGGTCTCAAATTCTTGTTTATTTCTGTGGCGTGTGCATTCCAATCGGCGTCCGGTTGAAGGGGCAAAGCAAGGTGGGAAGACGAATAGAGCCGCCCAGGGCAGAAGATGATTGGAGGGGGTTTTTACCTTTTTTTGTGCAAATTTCTTGCTTTGGACATATATATCATATATCTTTCTCATGTATATAGATGAAAGAACAGCTACTTGAGCTGTGGTTGCTTGTAAATGGGAATCAACCTTTTTCGATGAACCAATCTTGGTGGACCAGTCTTGATGGTGATGATGAACTTTGAAGTTGTTTTGCTTGAAAAATCAACAAGACTTGTCTGTTTGTAAACAATAACTTGCCCTTTACTGGCTCTTTCCCACTGCTAAGCCCACTAAGATAGCAACTACACTGCATGCGGCTAGTTAGCCAAGACACCGATGACAAACTGGCAAGGTGAGGACTGCAAGGAGTATAGTCATACACGGCCTAACTTGTTTATTTTTTCAGACTTGGCCTGCATCCGGCACACTTCACCTCCACCACGTTATCCCACCCACTCTCATGCTCCGAACAGGCAGCGGCTTACACATTTATTTCTTCTTCAAGATCGAAAGTCAAGGTCAATTAATTAACATTGAGTATTAAATACCGAGCTGTAAATGCTCTAGTTTAAGATACACAGAGCCCATAACCAAACGCCGTATGCAGCAGCGGAAGGAGAGGGGCCCCGCGTCCAATTAATCGATGCTTCCACAACGCTTTGGCGCCTCGACATCGAACAAAAGTGTGAAGAAAAAGAAAAATGCAACCACTGCCCCCAAGATTAAAAGTCCTTTTTGGAGGAATTACAAGAAATGAAGCTACCTATGGTTGGGTATCCTTCTTGCAAAGCACACAATCACACACATCATGACTGACTGTCTATCGTTTCGCCACACTGCTGGTGGTTGTGAATTTACCCTTCCATCAGGAAATTAGACCAAGAGGAAGGCAAAGACCGACAGGACAATGGCAGAGACCGAGGCAAAGGCCTGGCCAGCACCAGCCGTGACATAGGTCGCCTCAGCAGGGGAGCTTCCTTCGGTTGTAGCTGCTGGGGCGGCGGCGGCGGCGGCGGCAGCACTAGACTCGGCAGGGGCAGCGGCAGTGACGGCAGCAGCAGCCGAGGTCTCAACGGGCGTGTAACCCGCGGGGACAACGGTAGCGACGGGAGTAGGGCTGGTGACGGTGATGGTGGACACGGTGGAGGTAACGGCCGTGGTGAGGATCTGGGTCCAGGTCGACACGGGCGTCGTGTAGGTGACGACGACGCCGTTCTTGGTGCTGACGCTGGTGGTGCACAGCTCAGGTGGGATGGTGACGAGGGTGCTGTAGGTTGAGCACGTGGTCGACTGCTCCAGGTGCGTCTTGCGGACGCCGTTGGTCGGGCAGTACGACACAATCTGGATCAGGTTGAAGATGGTCGCCGTGATGTTGATGTTGGTGGTGATGCCTGGCTTGCCCGGGTGGCGGGAGTGGGAAGAAGTGGGTGTAGGGGTGGGTGTTGGCGAGCTGGTGCTGGTGGACGTGACGGGAGAGCCCAGACAGGTGGCAAAGTTCCGAGAGCCAGGCGTGTAGCCAGGCACATCAATGGTGACCTCAGTAGCCTCGCAGCCCTCGCAGAAGCTGTAGAGGAAGATGGGGGTTGGGTCAGGGACAGCACCAAGGGTGGAGGTCTAGTTTTTTCCCCCCCCCAGGTCAGCCAAGTTGGTCTTCATTCATAAAAGAGGAATAGGAAAGAAGATGACGGTGAGGACGACAGTTGTAGTGTGTCAACTTACAGTCTGCACCAAGAGAGTCTGCTGAGCCGTGGGCTCCCCAACGGCACATGGGTAGCAAGGCGCACCAGGAACCTGCTGGGCGTAGATGGGGCAGATGAAGACGTTCTCAACAAGTGCCTGCCTTGGAGCGACGGGACCGCGCCTGTGTCGTGCCAGGGTGGCGATTTCCACGAGGGAGACAGTTTCGGCGCCAACGATTCCATTCGAAGATGACGAGGTCGGGCTGGGGGAGGACGTGGTCGTCAAGGGGATGCTCGACGACCCTGACGTGATTGGAGGCACTGTATAGGAGCTATTCTGGGCAGCCACGGCATGGCCGAGCGCCAGAAGGGCGAACATGTACTCGAAGTGCATCTCGGATGAGTTGAGGAAGAAGGTCTAGAAAGCCTTTGCGTATAGGAACGAGTGTGTGGTAGAGCGAGAGTTTCAACCCGAGTGGTAAAAAGTCAGAAAGAGGAGAAATGGTGACCTTGCCTGGTGTAGTCTGAACGTGCCAGGGGAGGAAAGTCATGTCGTCTCTTTATAGACAGAGATTGAACAATGTACTTTGCGCAAATAAGCCGCAATCAAGTCCTGGTTGCGGCATCGTCACCCGTTGCCATCTAGTTACTAAGGCCAAGCATTCGGGAGGAATAACAACGAAAGGCCGTCACTGGTATGTGGCATGTAAATGGGATCGCCGGATCAAAGGCTGTCATTGGTTGTATTGTTTTCGTTTTTTGTATGTCTCACCGCGAGGAATGTACAAGCTGCCCTCGAAATCGAGATGATCTGCAACCATCGATGCTCGTATTCTACCAGACGTCACTTTAGCCTTGTCATTTGTTTCCGTTGTTGCTCTGGCGACTTTCACCTCTTACGGTTCTCGAAACATTCAACGCCCAGGCCAAGCACCTGAGCCTCATCTCCAACATTCCCACCGTTTCCGGTGTTTCTAAATTTAAATGTTTTCCGGCTCCGCCGGTGGTGGTTCTCGATCGGGATTCTGCTCTCGTATTGGTTGCATGCGTCTGGGCCCGCTAGAGACTTCTCATGTACGTTTTCATGAATCGCTTGACCATGCTCGCAGCATTGTTTGCATCGAGCTAGACGCCGTCTCCAGAGCAATCCTGGACAAATAGTGCCCCATCACCCGAGTGACATCCCGTCCAGACATTAGTTGAGGGCATTCCTAATGCCAAGCTGAGTGGTAAGTAATTCCCCACATTGTGCTATGGTATGTCATTGATCTACTCTTGCTAATCAATGGCCTTGTATGGTTTGCCACCCGTTTGCGTCTTTTGTCGTGTGCCCAGTCGTTCAAGGCAGGTAAGTAACGCATGATGCCTTGAAATTAAAAGCGAGAAAAGAAGAACAAAGAGACGGGCTGGGTGGACCTGAAGCTAGACATGGCACAGCACTTCTGTACTATAGTATACCATGTAGCTACTGCTGTCCTCCAATGTGAGTGTAGTATCTGTTTTCATTCTGGTTTCCTTTCCCTGCTCGCCTGCCTCCCTCGATTTCTACGAGATATACTGATACCCACATAGAACTCAGATCTATTGAATGTGAACAAGGGAGGATAACCCCCCCCCCCCCCCAACCAAAACTCCTTCTGTTCTTGGCGCCTATCAAGAGCAAAGTCTCGGATATTCTCACAGCACGTGGAAGACACTCTAGGTGGAATATGTCTTCGACGCACATTGATAGACTGTAAATGGTACTTTTTCTTATCAAGCTAGCATGCTACCGACTTCCTGTCGTGAGCCAGTCAAAGTTGGCTAGAAGCCCCTAGTGCCATGGTATTTGGGATCCTCAAGTCCTCTACCATAGGGCACGTCCGCATGCATCATGCCAACGTCTGTGCGCGGTCGGTGAAGAAATTTGTATCATTGATATCACATGATTAAGATAAATCAACAGATATATTTGAATTGCTTCAATTCATATTTAATCAAAAGCTTGAATTAAGCACCAGAGGTAGAACCTCCGAAATCCATTGCCTATAGCGCTGCGTGCGGAGCTCTTGCTGCAGCAGCTCTTTCCACAATTGCCGTCCGGATTAGGAAGGTACGATGCCACAATTTTTTCCTCTTGATCCTCTTCAAGCGCTACCGAGTAGGGGGGGCTACCCTACTGGTACCTCCTCACGTGAGTCTCGACCAATCTCCGTATAGAAAATATTATAGTTTAGTGGAACCTAGTCAAGAACACTCCGTTCCTGCCGTGCCTCCAGCAGAAAGCCGCTTTCTCCCAATTCTTTGGCCATGGACTGTGTTGGTGCCAACAAGCCTGCCTTGGCTGCCCCGTATGGCGCGAGAAACTCGGTCGGACGGATTTGCTCGGTGGATAGGGTAGAATTTACGGAAGAGCAAACCCCGACTTCAAACTATCTAGACACAGCACTCAGTGTTAAAAAAACTGGTCTGTGTGGGGGGCGGGGACAGACGTCTTGAAGCACTAGCACTAGAAACAAGAGCAAGCAGATATACTTTACATTTGTATTGACTAGTACCTGGTTACATTCTGCAAGTCTGCTCGTATTGGTTGAGGAACCCAATATAGAACCCTTTCATGGTCCCAATCAACCAAAACAAGAACCTTGTCAAGCGTGTAGAAACTATCTAGTCAACTTTCCCACAGGACTCTAATGAGTGGATTCACAAACACTTGCCAGCGACAACTTGTCGATGGCTACCTACCTAGTTCATCAAGATTACCCCACTTGCTGGGACTTTTAGGCTCCAGTAGCCGATCTCACCACCTCCGGATCGGGTCTCTCTCTGGGCTTGAAGGAACTTGGATGACTGGATCGATGTTGCAAACTGGTCTAGGAGATTTGAGCCGGGTTCGGATAGCGCCGAATGCCTCCTGATTTTGGATGTGTCGATGACCTGATTGTGCTTCTTTTGATGGTCCTAAGCTAGTGTTTTCAACCGTCTTCCATCTAGCCGGACTACAGATTGCGCGAATTTCGTTCCATGATATATCGCGAGGTCTACTCTTCGCTGCAGAATACCTAAAGGTCATATCTTGCCTCGCTAGAAAGAATATTACAATGTAAAAACTGCCTCAAGGGGAAAGTAAGGTGAAGTATCTCAAATCCATGCAACTGATATGCTCGAGGCTTGACGCTTTTGCCCATGAGCAAAAATTACTGGACATCTTTGATACTAATTAGCTGGTTGCATTCCGATGTAGAATTGTTTGAATAAGAAACAAGAATCTAAAGAGGCAGTTGGGAGAAAGATGCAGCGTCTGCCCTGAATATTCTCTTTCCACAAGATGAGAATAGAGCAGCATGCATTAGATGACTGCTGCATATGGAGACTATCTTATAATCGTTGAGAGCTATAGCAAATATTCAGAGGCTCGAGGATCTCCTTTTCAATATGGAACAGAGTAATGTCCTTTTGTGAAGTATAACGAAGCCGAGCAGATGCACCGTGACGCACTGGAGTATGCGTGAAAATCGCCAACGGACGAAGGAATAGAGGCCTAGCCGCTGGAGTCAACACATTGGACGAGGTGGGAACGATGTTGTGCTGTTTCCCCATAGGTGCTGCACGGTGTTCAAATGCGTCGAGTCTCGAACAGATGACTATGCTAATTACGCTCAATAAAGCTACTTTCAATAGCCGAACCCAAGGCGTCTGTCATATTACTGTCTGAAAAGGCGGATGGAAGCACCGGAACGAGATTTCAACAGAAATGGAAGGAATGGCCACGTTGGCCGTCATCGAAGCCGAAGACAGTCGCCGCCGATAATACGGACGTGAAATAGAAATTACGCTAGGGCAATGTCTTCCTCCACAGCGCCCGATGTCAATGCCTTGCCATACATGATACCATGGACATATGCGTCACCGACAAGTTCGTAAGATGGTGCCTCGCCTGTTGACGAGGGCACCACTTGCAGCAAGATAAATGGCACAGGGTCCCCACGAGGCAAGAACATCTTGTCTCTAACCTTCGTTCTCGAGGACGCAAGACCAAGCAGGCCCTGAGATGTGGTGCAGAAGCGTCTCTCGTATCCTACCGACGATGGGTCCTTTACGCATTCGAAGTACAAAGGCTTTAGCCCCGTTTTTCGACTGTGGAACATTGGTGGTAGATCCACTAGCGACTGATACTGGTCAGCTTGATCCTGCAACTCTGTTCCTTGGTGAAATTGGTGTATCTCGTGGGAAACGACCCATCTTCACCCAAAGGGATAACAAGAATGATACGAATCCTGTACAATCCTGATGATACCGTTCAGATCGATCGCGCGTGGCCTGAATTGTCGCTTCGGACACTTTCACTAATCCGGTTCCTATATTCTTTTCACGGATAAAAGTAAACCCTTCTGCAATGAAGGCAGCACGTAGCCACATCGATCCCTCTTGGAGGGAGCTTGGGTCGATCTGTCATCTGAACGATACTTATTCATGGAAATCATAAATGTGTGCTCTTTGGTTCCTTTCTGCTTCACGGAATAAAGAGGTACCAGCTAAAAGCATATCGATATGTCTCGGCTTGTCGAGGAACATGCTGTGATCTGCGCCCAGGTCTGACGGAAAGGTTCAACAATGGATGTCGTCGCTGATATGACCCGGCGCAACCAGTAAGATATGAATGCATGCTGGCCCCTGAATTGGCTGGTATCGGAAGTCTGGATTGTATGACATCTTCAGGGTTGTAGGAGGAGGTGAGTGGTAGGTTTCGAGATCATGCTGCCTAGATTCCAGCGGGGATGGGCACTGCAGAGCCGCATAGTAGGGAGAGAGAGAGAGAGAGTATGCGACAGCTAAAAGGAGTGACCACTCCCAACTGACTGGAAACGGCTGTGGCCTATATAGCTGCGTAACGGTCGGACTCACACACACACACACACACACACACACACAGAGAGAGAGAGAGAGAGAGAGAGAGAGAGAGAGAGAGAGAGAGAGACGGCACTCGAGTCCAGGTCTTTTACAACTCAATATTTCACTAACCAGCGGCCCGGCGCTTACTGTCGGTGTCTACCTCTCGCTGCAAGCCACCACGCCTGGCTATGATATTGGGTAGACTGATTAGTCAGAACAGGGCTTACATCAGGCTCCTTGATATCTCAGTAACCCCACCTCTCTCTGTGTTGAGTTCTGTTTAGCAGCACTCACTACTAGACATACTTAGATGCTCAAATTTTTCTCAATTATCAACACCTCTCCTGATATTAGCCCTCAAGATAGGATCAGGCTTTATCGTATGATACTTAGACCGATGATATGGCTTCCGACCCTTACCAAGTGCTTCCCGAGGAGCCACCGGCATATGATCCTTATGAATCCCATTCTGATGCTTGGGCTACATCAAGTCACATTGAGATCCCGCCGGCCAGGCAGTACCCAAGCACAAGCTCTGCTTTCAGCGCGTCGGCACATCCGGACGAGGACTGGACCAAAGTGTCAGATCTCGCCGAGCGCCGCCGGATACAGAACAGGATCGCCCAGCGCAACTATCGTAGGTCCATCCCAGATATCTACCCTGCAGGATCTTCCTCGCCTGTTTACTAAGCTGAGATTCTGTGGGTCACAGGAAGAAAGATCAAGGAGCGCATGCAGCTCCTAGAAAGGGAAAGTATCAGAGAGGAAGAAGCAAAAGGCCTCTCACTCGACAAGAAAGAAAACCAAGGTCATAATGCAGAGGATACTACCAAGAACAAGACAGTGGAGAACAGAAGAAATGGTGAAGAGGCGATAGGCCTTTCCCCAGACAAACCGAGGGAATTCGTTGATACTCTGCGGCTAAGAGTGGTTGATTACGCCGGTGTCAACTCTCATATCTTAGACAGATTGCGACTCTCTATTGAAAGCTACATCGGCGACGAGATCGATTGGTGGCCGTTTCCTCCGATCAATCGGCTGAAATCGCCGCAACAGGCGAGACTATGCTGGAAAGTAAGGTTGATGCTACGTAAAGTCTCCGAACTTCCTGGATGTGCCTAACAGCAAATAGTACGGAGGCCAAGACCTGTCGATTGTTGTGGATAAGCATGACGTCCAGGAGTTGGTAATGCGGCTTCAAGACCACAGTCAAGACTCGAGTATTCTTCCGATGGCTCACCCAAGCTCAATTCCTCCAGAAAGCCTAGACAAGGGGTCTCATCAAGCCTCGTATCAGCCATTATGGAAGGTACTACTCAAGAGGATCATGAAAATCTCTCACGTCGATGCCCAGACTACTTCCTCCACGACCAATCCCACTGGTAATCCAAGAATGGAGACGTACTTGTGCGTTGACAAGTGTTGGACTACCGTCAAAAACACGAGAATGAGTACCATCCGTATCATCGAGGACATGAAGAGTGATTACGACTACTTCTGCCACGCACGACAAATCTTGAGTCAAGCCGAAGGGAACTGGCTCCAGCGGAAGCTCTCATGGAGGTCATACACGAGGGTCAACTTACTCGAGGTATATTTCCTCTAGTACTGGACTGGATAGTGGAGCTTACTGTTATAGTTCCACTTTTTATGGGACGACAGTGATGAGATAGCGCTCGAGACTCTGGACTCCTTGACTACTACACAGGACCTGTGCCGGGACTACCAGTTCGTGCGACTCAAACACCTCAGCCTAGACGTACAGATGCGGATATGTGCCGAGATCATACTCAGGGGCATCCACAATCCTGCATGTGGCCACAATACAACGCAGCTACTTGATAGCATACCCAAATTGTTGGCGCCTCCTGGGCTAGAAAGGAAGCAATTCGCGTCTGGTTGGGGCTTCTTCTACGCGGGGCAGAGCCTCTGTATGCAGAAAGTCCTGGGGGCAAGCGGCGTCCTTTTGGCATTTGGCACTGCCTTTGTACCCTACTGGCTTTCGTCGATCGACAAACTCGATCTACAAACTGCTATGGCACCACTTTCATTCCTTACAACACTGATAGGAATTGGTCTGGCCATGTTGGCAATTGCGCATAACTGAGGGCCAGGCTCAGTCGAGGAGCTTGGAAACAGAGCTTCTTTGGATGTGTTCAATAAGAGGGCGAATCAAGTAATTAGTTGTTCCTTTCCTTCAACTCAATGTGTTGTGAGAAGTCACAATCAAGGCATGCTTAAGCTACTGAGTCACTGACCGTTGCCCAGTCCAATCCTGTGAACACTCTGAATCCTTGTAATTATACCGTGTATGGATTTTGTGGGGTGCGTCAATGTTTCTTGACAACCGACCTTAGATGTAACCTGCATACAGAGATGCTCGATACAACCAGCCGCTGCATGCCGCCGTCATAAACAAGAGACTTGCCGCAGCTTTTCAAGTCTGTCAATTATTTACCTGCCCACCATTTGTCTCCAGGATGAGTACTTAAAAGTAGAAGATAGTTTCCCCTTTCTCGTACTTACCATTTGTATACAACTAGCAGATCACTAGCACCTCTCCAGTAAGCGAATATTTATCGTGAGATTCACTGTGCATTTTTCTCTTCTCTAACACCATACGCTTTCGCGCTCCATATTAATATAGGATGGACATCCCACATCGCAACTCTCACTTCACACTTCCTATCCATTCATTAATCCTTAACCCCTCCTCTGTTCATTTCTACCGAAAGAACAAAAACCCCACAAAAAACCACATTCCCAGTATATGGACGGATCAGCAGAGAGCAAGGTCCACTTCTTCCCCAAGATACTGGGGAGCAAGTTGTTTCTCCAACTCAGCACTATGATACAGTCTCACCGGCAGATGATTACCACGATGGGTTGTTCTAGTGGTTGTACTACTGCTCTCCTCCGCGACCTGATGTTTCCGGGTTATCTCCTATGCATCGAGTCTTCCTGTACTCGGGAAGCCGGCTGTCATACTACTGTGTACGCGGTAGGCACTGGCGAGGCTCTTCCGGACAACGTCCCAACAATTACAAGAAGGGAACAAAGACTTTCTAGCAGAACATATGTGAGTAGTGCGTCTGTGTCACCCTTCCTTTCCCCGCAGGTACTCGGTGGGATGGACGACGAAAATGCCCCACAGAAGGTGATCAAGGCGCTCCAACATACAATCTCTCTCATTCCAACTACAGTATGGATCTGACCGTGTGTTCTTGCCTTTTTTTTTTCTCCCCCTCTTTCCTCCTCCGCTTCCTCTGAACGGTCCCACAACGAATGTCGCCTTATACACGTGGGGCATGCGGGCAGGTACTTGAGAAGAGATCCCAACCTCGGGACGAAACCCACCGGAGAGAGATCTCACTGCTCCATCAGCATCATACATCCACTGTATCTGTCAATATTATGAGAGTCATCTCTTTCGTCTGGAATGAGTCGGCGAACATAACGATAATCCACGCTCCGTACAACACCAACTCTTTCTCGCTATGGCTAAGGACCGTTACTTTGGGATGCGGGGCAACCCTCTCGTGATATGGATCACAGTATGCTGCACCTCTGCCATGGCCCTGTTCGGCTACGATCAGGCTGTGTTCAGTATGTATTCAACATTCCTGTTTCCCCTACTTGACATGCCAGTGAACCAGTGGCCTCACATTCTGCCCTAGGTGGTATCATTGTGACCCAGGACTTCCTCGACACCATGGGCAATCCTGATGCCAACCTACAAGGCACCATCACTTCGCTGTACGACGTGGGTTGCTTCTTCGGCGCAGTCTCGGGTTCCGCCTTCGGCACAGTTCTCGGCCGCAAACGATCCGTCATCCTCGGCACCGTGGTCATGATGATAGGCGCCATCCTGCAGATTACGGCATACAGCGTGCCTCACATGATTGTCGGTCGCCTGGTTGCCGGGCTGGGCAATGGCCTCAACACAGCGACGGCACCTGTCTGGCAAAGCGAAACGACCAAGCCCTCGTGGCGAGGAAAGCTTGTCGTCCTGGGCTTGGTGGTCAACGTCGTCGGCTTTTCCCTGGCGAATTGGGTCACCTTTGGCTTCTCGTACCTGAAGGGCAGCATTGCTTGGCGTTTCCCTCTCGCCTTGCAGCTTCTCTTTGGAATTGTCATCCTCTCCACCAGCCCTTGGCTTCCTGAGTCTCCTAGGTGGGTCAGCCTAGGATAAAGGGCTACTTTGTGCCTACGTAGCTCCGTGGCTCTACGTGTCTGACCAGTGAACTAACCTTAAAATACATATACAGATGGCTCATCTCCAGAGACCGCGTCGGGGAGGCCAACACAGTCCTGGCTGACCTCCAAGGAGAGGGGGCGACTGAGTTCACCCCCGTCGTCGTGGCCGAGCGCAACGAGATCTTGCGCGCCTACCGCGCCGAGAAGGAGAACGGCATCACCTGGGGCAAACTCCTCCGCGGGCAGACTGAGGGCAGCGGCGCCGGTATCCTACGACGCTTCATCCTCGGTCTGGGCACCCAGACCATTGTCCAACTTTCCGGCATCAACGCCACCTCGTATTATCTCCCGACCGTGCTGACCCAGTCCGTTGGTCTCAAGGAGAAGCTCGCGCGGCTCCTGACCGCCGTGAACTCGGTGCACTACATCTTCTTCTCGTGGCTCGGCATGATGCTGATTGACAAGTGGGGACGTCGCGGGGCTATGCTTTTCGGTAAGTAAGGCAACATCTTGACATCTCTTTGCCTCCACTACGTCTGTAACGAAGCCTATATGAGAGACGTCGGCAAGGGATCGAATACTCGCAACTGACTGAATCGCCCAATACAGGAACAAGCGGCTGCGCAGTGTGCTATCTCGTACTGATGCTGCTGATCCGGGCTAATCAATATACCGACGACAGCAGCAAGTCATACGACTACGGCGCGGCATCCGTCACGATGATCTTCCTCTTCTATGCCTTCTTCGGCACAGGGTGGCAGGGCACCGCTTGGTTGTACAACACCGAGATCAACTCCCTCGCAATGCGTATGAAGGGCGCGTCGGCCAGTGCGGCGGCGCAGTGGGCCGTGAACTACATGGTCGTCCAGATCACTCCAGTTGGCATCCAGAACCTGGGCTGGAAGTTCTACCTGATCTGGGTCTTCTTTAACACTTTCTCCATTCCCTTCCTCTACCTGTTCTACCCCGAGACGGCCAACAGGCGGCTCGAGGATATCGACATCGTCTTCGAGGAGGGCCTGCGTACCTGGGTGTTCCTCGACAAAGAAGCCACGCAAGTCAGGCGCCCCGACCGTTTCATCGCCCTGGACCAGCAGGAAGTTGCGCATGTTGAGGGGGACATCAAGGCGGGTCAAGATGTCCAGCATGCAGAACTTGCTTAAGCTTGCTATGGGCGGTGGCCTTCAAATTATTTTGATTTATGAGAAATAAAAAGAAAGGAAAAAAGGAAAAATTCAGGCTTGTCACCATGCCTTCATAGTCCACTAAAATAGCAGTGAGGTTTAAGTATGATGTGCTTCTCATGCAAGCATTAGATAGGTTGTGGCAATAGGCATATGCAGTCGTCTAGATCTGTTTGGTTATATGAATGTCTTTTTTCAAACATTTATTGACAGCACAACACAGGAGTTTGCCTACCCAATAGAGCTCTGAACTGGCCTGATGCTATATTTGACTTTTGCACTGTTTTCCCCCTCTCCGACGGCCAAAGGCATAACGTCCAGGGACCGCACTGAAAGTTGTAACGAATTCGTTTACAGTATGGCTCGCTTTGCAATTCCGACTTCTTGACTCGAGTCTGATACTATCCAAGGTGACTTCCATTGCCATTAGCTTTGACGCAGATGTGAAAGCTGCAGCAGACTCACAGCTTTCTCCCAAGGATACGGCCACAACATTATGACCGCTCTATTTATTTCGAAGATGGGTTGCTTCATAGGTTTGAAGAGCATTTGAGGAGACAGGGCTACCGGTTGAAGTATTGATGTGAAATTGCCTAATTACTCCAAAGACGGCTTCTAATTATGTTTCAAGCTTCATTCGCACTCTTCTTGCACCTTCCGGGCCAGACGTTTGTTCCCCTTTTTGTCTTTCTTCCACGTTAAATATAACCCAATAGCAGCGAGAACCAACGCGAAGACGCCGAAAATGGTTCCCAAGATCGTTGCTACGTCCGATGCGTGACTCAATCCGTTAGACATGCCTCCATTTGACGTGGTATTCGACGGGGTACTTGATGGTACTGATACTACGTCGCTCGTTTTCGACGAGATACTTGGTGATGATATCGCCGAGGAGAGAATGAACTGCTCGTATTAAAGTCAGTGAAGTTATTTCTTTTCTTGGACGAGTTTCAATCGCGATATTATAGGAAATGCAGATGTTCACCGAGGAGGTCGATGCTGCAGTAGAGGAAACCAGTATTGACGAGGTGGTTGTAGAAGAAGCCTGGGCACCGTCCACTATGAAGAGAGCATCACTGTTGAACGAATATTCAGAAGTCAAGCTGGAAGAGGCTGATGCGTCGCCCTGCCAGAGACAAAAGTGAAACCCGTTGGTCATGGGCAGGCCATCAAGAGTTTCTGCTGCCCAGACATAACTACCGGGATCAATCACGCCGTCTGCGTAGAAAATGTCAGCCTTTTCAGTGCGCACCAATTCGAAGCCGTCCAAACTTCATACCGAGCAGTATCTGTGACGTCCATCCATCCGCGTCACCATTGGGATCTGCCTGATATGCAGCAAGCGACACTGAGATGGAGCCCCAATCTGTAGTCCATTCAATATTCACTTGACTGCCTGCTGTGACGTTGATTCCGCTTTCAGGCGGGTTCAAGAAGATATTATCGGCTTCTACACCAAGCAGGAAGAGAAAATATATGACGAAATGGGCCATTTCTATAAACATGGTTGATGGCGACGGTACTTGAGGCGTGAAGCATTATGAGGGACCACTGCGTTCAAGAATGCGAAAGAGGAACTGAGGATCAGCTAGCTCGACTGTCTGGACCTCTCGGGTTCCTTTTACATTACTTGTTTCTTTTGTTATTGCATAAAGTCTGCGCGAGGCTGCGCATTTGGGGCGACACTAGCGGAAGGAGGGGTCATTGCTATGAAACGATCTATGGGGGCGAAATCTTGCAAGTCCGCGATGATTGGGTGCTGGTTCGCAATGTCTCCAGGGGCTTAGATGATGGCGGTTGACGTGACACAGCAATTATCTTATCTTCAATTCCTTCAACTGGTTCTTGAAATCATGCTGTGCTGAACCGCAGCGGCGGGACCGGGGCGCAGTCGCACGAGAAAGCTGACATGGGAATTCTAGACAAGGGTCCTGTCGACCCAAAGTGTGCCTGTGTAGAGATGATGATGGGCGAAAAAGGTCAAGAAGGAAGATGAAAGTGAAAACCGTGGTTGAAACCGTGGTTGAGACCGACCTAGAAGCCTCAGATAAGGGATGGAAGCAATGATCTCTGGACAAAATCTGAACTAGTAAACCTGACATCCATCTGGCATTTTGTATAGTACAGTATCGCGAATATATACTGCTTGTGTGGGTAAATGTCAAAATCAATCCCCTAAGGGGTTGTACAGTAACTGTACAACGACGTAGGATTTATCTGCATCTCCTGTGCTGACCTACATTGGCTACCACGACACCAGGATTAATACAAATCCTCATTCTTATAATTATGAAAAACAATTCAATAACACATAGCGGTGCAAACGTTCAATAGCTTCAGGTGTGATAGAAATGCTTTTAGAAGGATTAATTCGCCGATTCCCGAAAAAGTCGCGGGGTTTGAGGTGATAAGGTTGGGAAAGTTGCAGGGAAAAAAGAATGGGGAAAGCCGTTCGAAAACGCCTGAGGAAAACGGCCCCCAACCCCCTAATTTTCCCCCCTCTCCTGCTCTTCTTCCTCGTCTATCGAACTGGCTTGGCATAGCAGCCGGTCAGATGGGCGCTCTCTTCACCCTGCCACCACGCATGGGGAACCAATGCACGAACACACACATCGTGGCGCTGCGGCGGGTCCCACCCCCTCCCCATGGGTCAGCTCGAGGCCCGATGGGGGATAGCAACATGCAGCACGATGCAGCTGCTGCGGCTCCTTGTCCAGAGCCAGGGTTCGCAGCGCGTAGGACGTGCCGATCCTCTTTTTTTCTGATCCTCTCCTCACCGTGACGGCCAGAGCCTCATCTCTTGACTTTTCATACCTCCTCTTTCCGTCCACTGTTCAGGTGTCCTTTATCAAAGGTGTTGCTGCTGTCGCCGCCGCAGCTTCAAGTCTTTACACCATGGCCTAATAATTGACATTGATTTTTCCAAGGCTCGCAGCAAGTCTGATCGACCTACGCAGCAACAACCATGAAGCGTGCATCCGGTTTAAAGCGGCGGGCCACTGGGCTCGGCTCGGGCCTTGGGGTCCAGCAATCGCTCAATGCCTATAACATGGGCGATGTGAACAATCCTACTCCCTTGATTACTTGGAAATCAGGCGATCGTGGTTGGCTCAAGCTTTTCCCGCAAGAGTACTTTCTATTCCCTGAGAGATTCCTTGTGCATGTGTGGAATAGATGAGGAGGCAGGTTGCTGACATGACGTATCGCAGTGGTGACTGGAAGTATTTGACCTATGTCAAGCAGTTGAGCAAGAATTGGCCTCACCTCGAGCTGCTGGCCGATTTCATGATGGTGGGAACGATGCCTATGAGATGGATACCGAATGCGTTGGGCAGCTACCCCGATGATTGGGATGAGAAGCGTAAGTCGGATCATGTCTATCTTATGCACAGTAAGCTCACATAAGTGCCTTCACAGTCGAAGCGAGACAAGATCGTATGGCCCGGACGAATGTCACCATACTGGAGTACGCGGATGATGCACTTGCTCCTGCCCGAGAGGACTGCCGCACGTCCTCTGCCCTTCGCGAGCATATTGCACATCTCGACAAGACAGCAAATACAAACACAAAATTTAGGTTGTTTGTCGTCGAAGACTTGTCCAGCGATGTCATCGAAATACTGGGCGCTCGTTATGATGTGAACCCGCTCTTCTTTAGAGAACATCTGTGTGACAATATCTGGTACAACATCAGTACGTTCATTCCCGCCTATCTGTCCTCGTACAATGACGAAGCTCCCTCGTCGGAGTCCCTCCACGGCTTCGTGCTAAGTTCTGCCGCACGTTAACTTGCTCACATCGAATTCTCAAGGGGACTGGTGGCGTGATCCTCCGAATCTTGATCTCGTTTCCAAAAACCAGAACTGGTTCCAGATGCGGTTCCAGCGAGCGAGATATTTCAAAAGTAAGGAGCACATGAACACGGGAGAACGTCAGGTATCAAATTTCAACGTCCACCGACAGCTGCAGGGCGATCGTAACACCAGTCTGCGCTGGGATACCTACCATGATGACGACGGCACCAAGAGAGCGCCCAAGATCGGACAAATTCGTTCCCGGGCGACGTTCTGGATCAAGAGGCCAGACGCGACGAGAGACTCTTCCAATGACCAAGTCAACGGCAACACCGAACAACAGCAGCAGCAGGGTGAGCAAGGGGACAACCCCAAAAAGCTTGAGCCCACGATCGGAATTCTCCTGCTGGACCCTACCATCAAGGCCGGCCACCCTCTCTGGCGGCAATATCGTAATTGGAACCGGGTGCCCTCCATGGCCGAAGTGCCGCCGCCTGCAGAATCACGCCCGCCACAAGCCCACGAGAGCTCCTTCTTCGAGGACTTCATCTACTGGGCCTCGCGGCCAGATGCCTTCGACCAGGGGCCCTATCATGAACACAGCAGCAGCAACAGCAGCGAGCCCTCGGTAGCCTGCCTACCAACTCAGGCCCTGCTGCATATTATATGCAACGAGTGGCTCACCCTTGTCGACTACATCAAGACGCGGCTGAACCAGATCGACTGGGAGATTGCGGACCCAGATAGCTTCCTGACCAAGGATGAGCAGATCGAGACGGCCCTTCACAAGCTGCACCTCTGGCGTAGGGTGGTGCCCGTGTACCGAGCGATGCTGGCTGAGACTTTTTTACGCGTGTTCAGGGAGGCCAAGCACCCTGACCGCATGCACCCGGGCCGGCATGAAGGCGTGAAGGACTTCCACGCCGATGCCAACCTGCTGAGCACCATCCGCGAGGGAGACGGCCGGCACGCGTCGCTGGACCTGTCCGTGCAGGAGAGGAGGGGCAGCATCATCGTGGGAGGCGGCGGCGGGCAAAGAGCTGACCACCAACGGCCCGGAAGCGCACTCCACGACCTGCTGGGCCGCGAATGCATCAAGGCATACCGGCACGATTACACGCTCGTGCTGAACTACATGGAGGAGTTCCAGGCGCGGATCGACCGGCTGACGGAGGTGGTGACGGCAGTGATTACCATCCAGGACTCGCGGCGGGGCTACAAAGACAACAAGAACCTGCAGTGGCTCACCTGGCTGGCCACATTCTTCATCCCGCTGAGCTTTGTGGCAACCATGCTGTCCATGACGACGGGGCCCCTGACGCAGCTGCACGACGCGGTCGTCATGTGGGCTGAGATTTCGGTCCCGAGCGGGCTGTTGATTATGAGCTTGGTTTTGCTGATGAGCATCGCCAAGGCCAGGCGGGGCATCAGGAAGTTCTTCAAGCAACACCTTCCGTGGTTCGGCAAGCAGAGCAAGGATGATTGAATAATCAGATCAACGGGGAACGTAAATTGTGTGCGTTTCTCCTCTATGGAGGATGGAGAGAGAAGAGAGAAAGTCACGGTCTGGGCAATGAGTTATCTCGCATGTGTGCTTCCGAAGAAAAGGAAGAAAAGAAGGAAGGAAGGAATAGGTCACACAAGCTAGGCCTGGATGAAGCTATCCACACCAGCGGCCTGAGGCAGGCGCCATCCAGGCAGGCATGGGCCAGTGAGTCACTGGTCCCCCGCACACATGACGTTATGACTTTACGACATTCTACGACATGGCATTGCATTGCATTGCAGCAGCATGTTCCTCTCCCCCTCTATACTATACGGGATAGTTTGGATTTATTACGGCAGATTGCATTGCATTGTCTCGTCATACACCATCGAAGCGTTGCGATAATCATTTGCATGTTCTTTTTCTTTTTCAACGGGTCAACGAGATTGTCATCAGAGCTTGGTTCAGTCATCAAGACTCGGCCAGAGATTAGATATGAGAAAGGATGTATTACTTGGTTTGCATCACATCAAGTGAAATCAGGGTTTTTTGGTTGTTTTTTTTGGTTTTTTTATTTATTTAATTTCTTTTGGGAAATGGAGAAAAACAAGAGGGTATCAATTTCCGCCAGTATCTAATCATGGCCATTCCTTATTATTCCTTTACCAGACATCATGCAACGCCGCGCCCCCCCCCCCCCCCGAGTCACACCAGAAAAGATGACATCCGGCCTGCGAATGCTTATCCTATGGAGAGAAAGTATGTACATTTTAAAGAATCAAATGTGGGCCTGGCCTTGGCTAATTAATCACTGCTGGGGAACACAGTACTACCATTATCACCACCGTCACCACCACTACTCTCTGGTCAACACATAATCAACCTTTCCCTTTCGCCTTTAGATGCCCCAGGGCCGTGCACGACGGGCCCTGCGGAGCAGGTTTACACGAATCTCGCGTGCCCAGAGGGTCTCGCTCTCGCCCTGCTCGCAGGTGGTACCGGCGGGAAGGGCCTGCATGGCGGTCCAGGCGCCTGAGGCGCACTGCTGGTAGTCGCTACCAACGCAGTTGAACATGCCCTCGTCGGTGCAGGTGCCAGACTTGGTCGAGGCGCTGCTGCTGCCACCTGAGCTGGTGGAGTTGGAGGAGCCTGAGCCGGTGGCGGTCGCCTTTGCTGAGGAGGACGTGGACGTGGATGTGGTGGAGGTGGCAGAGGTGGCGGAGGTAATGGAGGTTGCGAAAGAAGCAGCAGAGGAAGACGAGGCCGCAGCCGAGGCCGCAGCGGTGGATTCGGTCGTGGTCTCTGTGGAGGAGGCGACGATAGTCGTGGCCACTGCCGAGGCGGAGCTGGTTGTCGATGCCTCCGCTGCTGCTGAGGAACTTGTTGACTTGGAGTGAGCGCCTGGTGTGACGGGGGACACATACACGCTGAGTGTGTCCGAGGAAGAAACAGCAGCACTCGCGCTCGTAGCAGTCACAGAGGCTTCAGTCGTTGTGGCCTGGGACGCCGTGGTAGCGGTGGCGAAGCCACCACCAGAGACACCACCGCTGGTGGCGGTAGCACCGGAGGAGGCAGCACCGGCGCCCGTCTGGCTGGCCGCAGCACCCGTGGTCGTGCCCGACGAGCCGCCCGCCGTGGGAGTGGGCAGGGCGGCGTTGGTCTGTGTCTGGCTCAGGGGCACGCAGTTGGTGCCGGAGGTGACGCTGGCGAAGCTGGGGCTGGCGCCGGTCAGGAGCTTCTCGACGTTGGGGCCTGGGGCAGGGTACACGGGGTCGACATCAGGGCCAATGGTGCATGAGTTGATGGAGTCAAGGTTGGCGACAAAGAGCTCAGGGTAGTCCGTGGCGGCACGACGGCTGACCTCGGAAGATCTCTTCTTGGTGGATGAGCTCGAGGTGACGGTGATTGGGGCGCAGTTCATGTAGTACTCGGGCTGGCCTGCCTCCTTGGAGATCCAGGTCCACGCGAAGCTGTACTTTCCTGCCTCAAGGTCTTCGGGGACGGTCCAGTTGTAGGTAGCCGCGGTGGTGCCGTCAGTGGTGGGACACCCGCTCTCGATGGAAAGGATGACGCGCCAGCTCGTCTGCGCGTCGGGCTGCATGTCGTTGGTCAGGGCCAGCTGGCACGAGCCGCCACCGTGGACGGCCGAGCCCGTGAAGGAGAGAGTCTGCGAGGAACCAGCCGCGTACGTGTTGTCGATCTTGTCCTGCGAGTACCACGTGTCGGGATCGCTGGTGACCTTGCACGGGTAGTTGGACCCAGAGCTGTCCAGAGGGGAGTTGTCGATGCTGGGGTTCGCGTACTTGCCGTACGGAACGGGGTTGGCCATGATCATGTGGCCCTGGACGGCAGTGCCGAAGAGAACGACTGAGAAGAGGATAAGAAACATAGCCGGTATGTTGGAAAGAAAATACATCTTGACTGATGACAACATCTAGTCAAGGAGTTGTGTGTGTGAGAAGAAAAGAAGAAGGAAGGTGAAGGTAGAAGTGCCTGACTTCTCAAGGGTAGGTGGTGTTGCGAAAGGTTGGGAAGAGGAAGAAGAGAAAGAAAGAAAGAGAAAAACGGCGGCCGTGGCAGCTCGTGTCTCTTGTCGTCCTGACAGTCTTCCTTCTCGACCTTTCTGACTGATGTAAGTGAGTGATGATCTGCTGGAGAAGAGATGGAAGCAGATGCAGGGGGCGTAAAAAGGTGGGTTGGAGCGTGGTTAAATATGGGTGGGGGCTCGAGCTCAACAATCAGAGGCCATTGAGAAGCAGCAAAGTGGTTGAACTGGTGACAAAGCAACTGAACCCCATCGAATCCCAAGATCCCGTGTCTGTGTGAGTGATGTGGCGTCATGTCATGAGAACAGAAGCCTTGTCTCCGTTCGCTGCGTGTGTATGTGCTCCGTGAGCTTTCGCATCTGGTGCCCATTGTTCCCACTTGGGCTTGTTGTTTGTAGTCGTGGCTGGCGGTGTAAGTTGATTGGCTGAGACGAGCCGTGGCAGGCGACAGGGATGGCTAGCAGTGGGGGTGGGCTGGGCACTGGCTTGCTGGCAAACTTGCGGTCCTGCCCTGCATCTTCCAGTGGGATGCCCTGGCAGCAGTCCATTGGTCTTTGGCCATTTGATTTCTGTTTCAATCTAGACTAGGGCCCTGGGGTCAGGAACCTTCAAAACACTACGTTCACCACCTCGGAGAACAGAACCCCCGTGCCGTATTTTCCTGTTGGTGACTCGACTCAGCCAAGCCACGCCATAGCCATTTGGGGCCCTGGAATGCACAAGACAAACCCCACCAAGTCCCCCTGGGTAGGGTCAGTCCGTCTGCCCATACACCCACTAACCCGGCAGATTGGGGCCCAAACCCAACCAGCATTTTAGGTTGGGCTTAACAAACGTGTATTAAGGAAACCTTACCAGAGTCTGGACGCTCAGGTTTCTATGGCACTGCATTCTCCCATCAATCAGGAGCATAGCCTGTTCTTTGCTCGTGTCGTACAGATTTCGCTTAGGGCTACGCTCGTAATCCTGGCCGGGTCGGTTCCCCTATCCCATCCGTCCCCTTTCCCCCCGTCGTCTCTCTTCGAAAGGGAAAAGGAGAATGACCGAAAAGGGTGGAGATGTGTTTTTTTTACACAGACAGGAGACGAGAAAATAATTGAAAAGGCGGGAGAGCTTCTCATATTCTGTGCGACATCGCCAACTCCCTGTGTGAAAGATTGTCTGTCGAATCCTCAAGTTGTACCACGCATCTGACGGGTTCAGTGGTCACACAAGCAATCTAACACGCGATATCGTAATGCGGCTCCGAGTCCTAGATTTCAATGCACAATACTGTAGCATGTACTATTGTACGACCAAAAACATTGAGTTCGAATGTTGTGGGTTACATCAAGGTGAAGGGGAAGATATGAGAAAGAAAAGGGGAATGGGTTCCACCTCAATTGACCAACTCCAAGGCTGACTCACAAAGTCCAGTGTCTCAGATGAGCACACTCAAGTCTAGCCCCGCTCACAGCTTACCAGTTCATGAATGAGAATCATCAGTGAGTGAGCCACATATTGAAGTCAAAACCTGATACTTTGCAGACTAAGATCTCTCAGGACTATGATATAGCCAGATTCTCTATGATTGTTATCATGTAGAGCTCCAGGCCTCAGGCGCCAAACTCCACATTGGCTGATGAACATTCAAGTGAGCAGCTACTTCAGTCATCTGCCATACATACAACATGCCATACATTCAACATCAGCATCAACTTACAATGCCGATTGTGAGATAGATGATCCGATCCTCATGACCTTGGATTGTGACATGGTCAATGATGAGATCAGTGCTAGGGAAACAGCCTCGAATCTTTATGCATACTTAAGTAGTATACTTCAGTGGGTCTGCTTGACAAGAGGACCTGTGAAGTGGATTGAATGTGCATGCAATCGAGACATCCTTCACACCATTCTCCTTGATCTCTCTCATTTCTCGTACCATCACATTGATGATGTATCTTTACCGTCCTTCTTTCTCATTTTCGATGATGATCCTCAGCTCTACAGTAAAGTGTGCTCGCTCAGTCTTCGCCATATACATGCCGCGTGAGCCGTATATCAACGAGCTGCCAACGCGCTGTCGACGCGCGCGACTCATGTATGCACACACACTCTCTCTCTTTCTCCTCTCGAAATTCGTTGCCGTGCACCCGCCTCATTACATCATTTCATACGGCTGCCGTAGCCGGCGCAAAGACGTCGGAACACACGGCTCATGCTTTCTCCGTCACAGTAGACTTATGACACAGCTTACACACGTGGACAAATGTCAAGCATCAACGTGGCGAACTGCAACAGGATCATCTAAAAAAACTGCTCAAAATCAATCGGCAGAAATTGACTTGAGCGACGGCAGATTAGTTCTTTGTGTCTACCTTTCACCGTGTCTCTCTCATTTTACTGGCACATCAGCACTCATGGTCAACCAGCCCCGTTGACGCGAGTACTATAATAACAAGCAGAGAGCTGTGAAGGGCAGAGAAAGAAAAAGAGAAAGAAAGCGTCCAGGTCGTCTACCGTGTCGAGAATGAGCTAAATTCATCTTAGGGTGACACGTGGACCCAGAGACACAACCAAACAAGAGACATGTACCGTATCATATGCCTCGAATTTTCTACGCCTGCCAGCGCCTTGACCTCAGGTTTAGTGCCACGTCCTCAGGCGTACCTTATAGAGCCTATAGTAATTTACAGAGCAGGTCTAGGCCAAAGTGCGGCAGTTCGGCAACTAGCGCAAGAGACGAGTGGGTCCGCTTCTTTGTCTCCTTGTTGCCCCTTTGCGTCAGTCTTCTGGCTCCCGAAGGCAAGCCCCAAAAATAGACATGGAACACTCATGCATGTGGGCGCAGTGCCTCTGGGATCATCGGACCTAGCAGCCAAAAACCGCCTGCCGGGTCGGGTTCCCTCCTGCAGCATTGATGCACATGCCCTGGGGAACTCTCTTCCACAAGCCGGCACATCTCCATGAACCAACTCAACCCAGAGAGAAAAGCCTCAGCCATGCCGCGTGATTCCTTAGTTGCTCGAAAGGCGGCGCCTATGCAGGATTTTATCTTCCTGCGCCTCGGTTCTGTCTTTTTCCTCTAAGCCCATGTGGTGGCCAATGCGCTGACGTCGCTGCCGCGCGTCCCATTTGAACGGGAGACACGGAGCACTGCCCATTCATTCTCTCACAGATCCCAGCTCTTACTCAGCCTGCCTCAAACGCGCAGGCAGGCCCTGTTGCGACCTGGGCACCCCCCTTGTTTGCCTTTGACGTCGGGGCCTCAGGGCGCTGTGGGCCTGCTCTGAGGTACATAATTATGAGAGGCGCCACTGAAGAAGTGCAGCATGCGTCTCACGACACTTTCTTGAATTGCCGATTGCCCGTTTTCATTGTGGCCATATACATTTAGGCAGGCGTCTCATCTATACCGCAGCAGCAGGAGGAAGAACATCCATTCTCCTGTATTTTCTGTTCAATTCAAACTTCTCACGTCCATTACCTTCTGTCTTCCTCCGTCTCACGGTAGTAGATATCTTCTTCTAGTTTGAGTTTGGTGTTGTGTGCACTACCGCTCCTGGTATATACGCGACGGGACTATTTTGATTATGAGACTCGAAAAGATTTCGGCGCTCGCAGCCGTGTACGGCCCGACGGCTGTGGCTGCGGCGGGCGGCGTCGTTCCCATGGGCATCAAACACACACGCGGCTCAAATCTCCTCCGCAAGCGAACAGACACATACACAGAGACCATAACAAACAATATCACATATGGTGGTTACTACGCCTCGATATCAGTGGGAACGCCTGCGCAGAGTCAGGATGTGGTTCTCGACACCGGTTCTTCAGACACGTGGTTTCTCAGCTCGGACTCGTCAACGTGCGCCGAGTCGGACAATTCAGGAGGATTTGGTGGTGGGTTCAGACGCAGAGGGAAAAGGCAGAGCTCTTCCACATGTGTGTCAACTTGTGAGTACTTACCATCTCCGTGTCTCTACTCTGCTAGCTGTGGTTCTGGAAGAACAAGAAGAAACACTGCTAACGATGCCACCTTTACGAAACAGTCGACTCTTCAAGCTCAACAACGTTCAAGAACCTGTCAACAGTATTCGAGATCGAGTATGTCGACGGGAGTGCAGTAGAGGGTTATTACTTTACGGATACCATCACAGTGGGCGGTGCCACGATTGACTCGTTAGAAATGGGCCTGGCATACGAATCCAACGATCTCACCTATGGCATCATGGGCGTCGGTTTCGAGGCTGATGAGTCAGCTGCGACTCTGTATCCAAACATTATCGATAAGTTTTACACAGAAGGATTGATAGGGTCGCGGGCGTATAGTTTATATCTGGTAAGTTCTTAGGTACCCAAGGGTCTGTCACATGCAAAAGGCGGCAGCTGACTGATGCATTGTATTAGGACGATCTCGCATCCTCCAGCGGTACTATACTCTTCGGTGGCATTGATACGGACAAGTATACCGGCGATCTCATCGCCGTCCCGATCATCAAGGATGCCGCTGCCGACAACTACACCTCATTCCTCGTCACGCTCTCCTCCGTGACTTCCGTTAAGAGCGACGGCACCGTGTCGTCCAACTTCACAACAGACGCCGAAGCAGTCGTCCTCGACTCGGGCACGACCCTGACCTACCTGCCCGAGGACATGGCCGACTCCATCTTCGACGCCTTCAACGCGACCTACGACGACCAGCAGGGCTACGCCACCATCGACTGCTCCGCCGCCGACGACACCAGCCTCGCCCTCGAGTTCCAGTTCGGCGGCTCCGACGGCCCCTCCATCAAGATCCCCCTCAGCGAACTGGTGCTGTCCGACGGCTCCGGCATGGGCGTCGGCGACGGCGGCTCCGAGGACGCGAGCTCCAGCAGCTGCGCCTTTGGCGTCTCCATGTCCACCGACACCTACCTGCTGGGCGACACGTTCCTGCGCAGCGCCTACGTCGTCTACGACCTCGACGCCAAGCAGGTCGCCCTCGCGCAGTCCAACTTCAACTCCACCTCGACGAGTGTCGTCGCCATGACCAGCGGGAGCAGCATCCCGGAGGTCTCGAGCACCGCCACTGCGGTTATTGCTTCCTCCTCCGACACGAGCGCTGCAGGCGACAAGCACAAGTCGGCCGCCTCAGATATTGCGGTCGCGCCGTTGCTGTCTGTAGGGATCGGAGCCATTGTTGGATCTTTGCTTCTCATATTATAGACTAGAAGAGACAAGGTGGGGGCAGGGGCGTTAAACAAGTTTTCAAAGACATTGGGTGTCTATCATGCAGATTTCAAGATCTAGACATGGCATTATGAAATTCTCCATAGAGAGCAGGTCATCAGTGGCATTGGGCGGATGGGATCATCAAGCATTACCAGCGAATTTTGTTTCTGAATGAATATATCATTACCACACAATGTGAAAACTTTTAGATCTTTTGGTGACAACTCTGTTGTAAATATACTGAATGTAACGGTTGCAGTTATCATTGGCAGTATCTGGCGGACAGACTTACGGAGGTCATCAGGATGCCGAACATCTCACAAGCTCTAGCAGATCATGGACTAATTCATTCTTGAGATGTGACATATCCTGAAGAGTATGTTTCAGAAGCCCAGGACTGGGGGAAAGCACTGTGTGATGCATGGACAGTTACGAGAGGATGAAAAGGTTCTGTCAAGACCTGTACTAATTGTGGCTTCACCAGCACGCTACCAGATGAAGGACTAACCAGCAGGAGACATGGTTTGTAATTGAATAAGAGTGAATATTCTTTTAGAGAAGATATAATCTGTGACTCAACTGATTCTTGTGATCTCGGTAACATAAGTGGTGCTGGAGAACCGAGTCAACCTATGACTTGGAACACTGTACTGTGACTGTCCTACCGCGTTCTGGTGCAAGAAGTCGTGATTCCCTAAACTCTGAATTAGTGATTAATCCAATAAGATATAACATAGATCCAAAAAACCTTCCAAAAGTCAACTATATTTGTCTTAATTCTTGAACTGCACCTCCGCCAGAAGTAAGTAAACCTCCTGGATGATCAACAACAAACCCGTGCCGTGGAATTGGGAACGAACAAAGACAGAAACGACAAAACCCTTTTCACTGAGTCGTACAACACACATCAACGACGGAAGGGAAAATGCCAGGCCATAAATCTCGAAGCCATAAATCTCGCGGTAGCTCCAGCCGCCGCCACCCGGAGGAAGCTGGAGACTCTAGCCGTGGGACCACAGATCGTCCGTCGGAGCCAGTCATACCTTCTCAGCTGCAGCAACCCATGGTCCGAGATCCCATACATGGTAGGTACTCTCGCCTTGTCACGGGCATGGGATTTGGCACGAAGGCGATATACGACTGCCTGGAAAACACCGAGGGCGCGCTCGAGGATGAACCCGACGTGCCCGACATCGTCGACTCTGGTTCCTATCGTGTGATGGACCAGATGATGGCTGCAGCCATCGACGGGCCTCCGATCGACGGTTGGACCGCAGAGCATTGGCGCAACTATATGCTTTCTGGCCAACCACGCATAGATTCTTGGGACAACTTCACCGACACATGGCGACCTCACCACCTCTGCTACTCTTTCTCGCGGGATCGTCGAACCTATGTGGTCAAGAGTGCTAGCGTCCGCAATAATGCAGTACATATCATATACCCTTTCGCCCTGTCGAACCTGATCGGTTTGACGTGCCTCCGCCACAACGTTAGCGGAGAGGGTCTGCGGCATCTCATTTTCCATGATATCTGTAACCAGAACGTATTGAGTGCCATAGATGGAGCATTCAGAGCGGCAGGGATGGACCCTCCCAGGCGCCGCGGCTATTCATCCGGGGGCTCATCGTCGAGTTTGCGGTCGAGCGCGACGCCGAGAGGCGGAAATGAATACCATCATGTACAGCTGATCATCAAGGCGCCGGAGCAGGATCCCACGCACCAGGACGCCTGGAACCAGCTGCATACAGGCAATCTTTTCACCAAGGCAATTAACCATCTTCGCTGCGACGACACCAGGATATGTGAGAGCCTCGGTCCTGTCACGCATTGCTCGATTCTTGTTGTGGCTGCGGCCCATTACACTGAATGTACACTCATCTACCACTTTGGAGAGCCAGGTCGGCCCACCACCACGCATGCTGGGAAGGGAAAGGGGATAGCGCGTGGTTGACGGTCCGTACCGACACGCCATTCCCTCCACTACTAACAGACGGGCTTCAGATGTATTCATTAGCAGGCCTTGAAGGATTTGAAAAGAAATGTGTGGGAACAAGGGCCTAACCCATGGGTAATTGATGAATTAGTCAAAGATAGCTGGACGAAGTGCTTACTTTTGAGTCCACAGCAAATGAACCTCGCCAAGGGGGTACAACAAGTACAACAAGTACAAACTTATACATACATCGTAATTAGTAGTTGTGTTGCGTGTGCGTCTGTTCAAGTAATTACTTAGCCGACCCCATCTGTGTCGTTGTTACTGGCCAGGTAAGAATAGCACCGCCACGGGTTCTGCATGGCCCACCGCCAATTTCCCCTTTGAGCGTGCTTGCGCCATCGCCAGTGGATACGAGGAGATTAGTTCCTTACTATGGGCATGGCGAGTCCGCTATAGGCATGAGTTGAACCCTTTTCCCACTATACCCATGGTATTGTTCAAAAGGAGCGCGCCCGCCGGAGTCAAAAGGGTAGAAACCACTACGATCTTCCTTGCCTCGCTTTTTCCTTTACCGGCGCCCATCACCCACCGAAGTCACTCATTCTGCAACCCAACACCGGGCCTCTCTGCTTTTTATCTGATCTGTCACTCTTTTTTTGGTTGCATATTTTGGTATCTACTAGTTCAAAACTTAATTATCGGTCCCTCTTCCTCTCTCTGTCTCAAAGAAAAATAAGAAACAATGGTCACTATTCGCTCTTCCCTTGTGGCCGCTATGGCCGGTGTCGTGCTTCCCACCCTCGTCCAGGGCATCGCCTTCACCTCGCCAACCTCGTCGGATGTGATCACCAAGGGCACCGAGATCACTGCCACCTGGACCAGCGTGGATACCGACCCCAGCGTGTTCAGCCTGTACATCTGGAACTTTGTGGACTGGCCCCCTTACTACGAGGGACTGGCCTACGGCATCGACACCAGCGCTGGCGAGGTCACCGTCCGGATCCCATGCCACGTCGACAACGGCGAGGGATGGCAGCTGACCGCCATCAACGACACCAATGTCTACGTCCTGTACGCTCAGACTTCCGAGTTCAACATCACTGGTGATTCCTGCACGGACCCAACCACGTCGGCCAGCTGCTACGCTCCGACGTCCACTGTCTATGTCACGCAGACTGCTGGTAAGCCTTACTTTTTTTTTTTTTTTTTTTCGTCACCCCCTTTTCTTTTATTGCTTGATCAAATCATATCTTATAAAGTATGCACGTGAAAGCTAATTTTATTACGTGTCCAGCCGAGGGAGCTGCCGTGACCACTTCGGTCTCCTCCAGCACCGTCACCGCCTCAGTCATCCAGCCTGGTGTTGCGGATGGAACCACGACCAGCTTGCCTGCTGTGACTGAGACCACGGCCAGCGCCACTGCGACCGTCACTGTGAAGGGCGACCTGATCATTTAACTGGTCAGGGAAGAGCAGGGCGAACCTGGGAGTATGCACTATGAATCATATCTTATAGTGCATATTCCGGGGATGTGGACGACCAAGCTCAGCCGCGTACCAGGTTCGCAAAAGTAACCATGGTAGGGGGGAGGGGAGTGCTTAATAATAATTTATTGACCCTTTTCTATGGCAGACCCCTGATACTTCTATGTTGTGCACAAGCGTGAGCCTAATATGGATGTGTAGCAGTAGTAGTAGTAGTAGTAGTAGTAGTCGCAGTAGCAGCAGAGATGGTAGTACTGCCCCCCACGCCCCCATTCGTCTCTAACTTTGGCGCGAGCGTGTACAAGTCTTCCAGCGCCTTGCCTGCTTCCGGGTCACCGCTCTCAGCCCAGCGGGCCAGGTAGTCCCGCAGCGTCCACAGCTTCGTGTCGCCCGTCCGCCCGTACTCGGCGATATCCCTGGCCGCCAGCTCGTGCCTGTGCTTCTTCTCCGCCTCGGCCAGCTCCCTGTCCTTGACCCGCTGCGTCTCTTCGGCCGTCACCCTCCTGGCCGCCGCCGTCAGGTCCAGCCGCTTTCTCCGCACCAGGTAGCCGAGCACCGCACAGTTCTCCATGTCCAGCCTGTGCACCTCGTCCTGCGTGTGGCCCATGACCCTCAGCACGGACTTGTTGGAGCGGTTGTGCAGCACCAGCATCGCGCAGTTCGCGTCGCCGCCGCCACCGCCGCCGCCGCCGCCGGTGCTGCTGCTGCTATTACCGCTCCCCAGGATGTCGTCCAGGACCCTGCGTATGCGCCGGTCGACGTCGACATAGGTCTCGCGCATGACCGTGTCGTCCACCTTGTCCTGCTGCCCGTCGACCTTGAGCCGCACGTCTACGTTCAGCTTCCTCTTGAGGTCCTTGAAGAGCTTGACAATGTTGGGCGTGACGTCCCGCCGGTCCGCCTCGTGGTTGTGGTCAAAGCCCTTCCACTCGCGCAGGCCCTCCTTGACGTGCAGCGTGACGGCCTGGTTGAGGCGGAGCTCGGCGATGGTGTACATGGCCGTCTGCACGCACCGCCTGAGGGGCGATGTGTAGACTGTGACGGGGCGTGGAGCCCCTTCTTGCTGAATGAGGCCACGTAGGAGCTGGCCGGCGTGCTGGGCATCCCTCACACCCTCGGCGGTCAGGCCGGGGTCAAATGTGTTGCGGAGCCGGCCGAGGAAACGCCAGGCGATAGGCTTGGTGTATTCTGACGAGAGGGCATTGTGGTGTGCTTTGCCGTGGCGGATGGTGTAGATAAACTGTTGCGTGCTACCTGCTGTGTAGATGGCGTCGTTGACCCGGGCGAATCCTTGTAGTGGCTTGATATTCTCCTTTGTCCGACGGACCTCGCCGTTGGGGTTCTTGTGGCTCTCCAGGGGAGACGAGATGGTCTTGTTGTATGAATACTCATACTCATAAACCTTGAGAAGAGACATTCTAGACTATTTCTATACGGACGTTTGCTATGGGCCTGAACCTGGAGAGTCTGGGTAGAGTGCGACAGATATAGGATACTCGTCCAGTCTCGACGTGCCCTCACTCGGCCATATAAATACTCTCGAGGACAGCGTCAGAGTCAGGTGGACAGCTCCTGGAACGAGTCAAGACCTTTCTTCTTCCAGTGATGGTTGCTAGTCAAGAGTAAGTAGGTACTTTCGTGAACGGTTCAAAAGATCCACACCGGTCTGGGCTGGTGCGGAGAGTAAATGAAAAAAGAATTCCTATCCCTGCTGATCACAGCAACCAGGTCTTCGCCTGCCTCGCCCAGGGCCCTGTGTGTTGTTCAGATTAATACTCATGGTTGTGTTTGACAAGGGACTTCTCACCCACCTGGGGTAGCTAGGTGGTAAGTTGAGTCTCTTCGGTCCCATAGCCAGGAATTGACCTGCACACAGGACGAAAGAAGGGGGGAGGGGAGGGGGGGGGGGCGGAAACAAAGTTCGGTGAACTGGTGGCGAAGGATGTCATGAGACTGAGAAAGTAGTGCCTCTATTGGCGAGTATGAATGAGTATTATACATACTGGGAGTTCTTTTATGTTCCAATAAAAAACGCAGAAAGGAACAAAAGGAAAAAAGAAGGTGCAAAAATGCAATTGTGATTTTGCGCAGAATCTGGACTCCCGAGAGAATGTTCTCTGCAACTAAACTTTCCACTTTCAATACTTGTGATGCCTTCGAAACAAAAACACTGACTCGTATTGGAGGGGGAGTGGGAATTGAAAGTACCTGCGGGTCCAGTGAGAGTCCAAATAAGTTGAAGGTATATTGGACTTGTTGCTGGGAGATCAACCAAACAACCTTGGAACCACTAGTGTTGCGCCACTGTCCCAGTTTGTATGCAAAACCGGCGCTCAACTCTACGCAAATTCAAAAGTCATAGTCTCGGTAAATACTCGTTATCGCTGCGCAAGCCATCGGTTGTGCAATATATGGCTTTTAATCATTTCACCCACGTTGTTGTTCTACGCACAGCCTTTCTAATGTAGCCGCTTACGCCGGGTCATCCGGTTTATGCAAGTGAGAGCCAATAGTCCAGAAGTGTGGTACTGCAGCACGGTAATCTGGCGATTCCAGCATTGTCAGTAGCCGTAACAAGTTTGGCCTCTATTACACGCATGGTCCCATGATCACCATACTGTCTGTGATTCGACACTGGACCGAGGGACAGCAGCTCCCGTCATCCAGACTGACTACATGTAATGAGCACTTTTGTATTTTTTTTTCTTTCTTCTTCTCCAAAGTCAAGAGAAGCGTCTGAATGGTCCGGTAGATGTGGACTGTTGCAGCCCTATAATCTGTCAGCCAAAGATCAACATGGGTGCCCCGATTGGTGTTGCCCGTTTTCTATCCTACTGATAGTTCTTCCTTTAGTTCGTTTGCTTTACAGACCATAGCATCTGAGTTATGCATGGAGTGGGATGAGATGATGGCTGCACAGTAGCTGCTCGATCTTGATCTGTTACCTTGGGTTCTGCTTCCTGGAAGGAAGTAGTGGCACGAAAGCATCTCTCTTGGGTTCTCAACTCAACATGCAGGGCGCTTCTCCTCGGGCTGTCAAGAGCATTCTGCTGTTTCGCTCCCGTCAGTCATGATTCGTGTGAATTGACGCCTCGAGTTTCTTGTAATCATTCAGGCTTAATAGCGCCAAGTAATCCTCGGTACCTCCGACATGAATACATAGACTTGAGGACCATGTGTGAGGGCAGAAGGACAGATCTTACGTCTGACATTTGTCGTAAATATCCAAGCATCTGCTCCAACTGCGGACTTGCTTCGCATGACTCTTCTCGGGCTCGTTGATGCTTTCACTTGTCCGACCGCCTTGCAATCACGAGGAGTCGTCTAGTCTGGGCGTCGTGACTCGTCCCTCTGCATCACGTTCAGCACCGCACTGCGTCCAATATCTCTCACCGAGTGCCTTACTTGTGGATACCATATCCGTTGTGGCACAGCCATCCTTTCCTTCAGCCATTCTATGAATCATGGTGGCATTCTCCTCTTTCTTGGAGAAGGATCGATCGATCAACAAGCCGCTCCAGCCTCGACTACTCCCAAGAGCAGCAATCCTTCCGCGATTTCAACAGGCTGTTTTGGATAAAGTTAGGAGTTGGGTGGTATGAATCGCAGTACATATCAGAATGTCCCGAATGAAAGCCACACTCTATCATATTTCTCGCTCTCGATTCAGGTCAAATGGTTGGCGCGCCCGGAAATATTCCTCGGATTTGCCCTACCGCCCAAGGCAGTCTATGACGATCATGATGGTTCATTGGCTGCAGTACGAAAATATGGGCTGTGTCTCAGGGCATTTCCGTAATAGGGAATTCCTATGGGGCAGCCTGTCCTGAGGTTGTCCGTACTTTTGGGAGGCGGAAGAACCAACAGCTTGTCGGCATAGCCGACGCGGAGATCTGACGTTCGCATGACCCATGGCCCCGGGTGTACATAGTACTCCTCCGCTTCAAGACGTGCCCTGAGGGTTTTCCGGGCCCTTGCTATCGCTGGATGTTTCCCATCATAGCAGGCGACGTGCTACCTTACCACAGGACGGATACGTCACCCCGCTCCTCTCGGTGTTTCTTGGTGGGCGACCAAACACGAAGGACGAAAGGAGATATGTACAGAGAACGACGAGGAGCAGGGGAGGCCAGCGGCAGCACGAAGCCATACCAAACAAGCCAGGGCCCTTGTATCTGGAGGAGTATTAGCGTGGTTTTGGGTGCATTGCAGCGACCGAGGTCATAAGAGGAGCAGCACATAGAAGGTGAGGTAATGCGTTGCAGAAAGTAACACAACACAGCCCAGGCTAGCAAAACAACCCTGGAACCAACAGGCCTCTGCTCAAGTACACCATTGGATCGTCCGAAGTTCCTCGTTGGCAGCTTGTGCACAATCCGTTGATACAGCTGAAGCGGGTCATGAACAACGTCAAGGGAGAGGAGCCAGGAAAAAATATATAAAAAAAAAAAAATACACAAAACAAAGACGGAGAGTTAACAAGAAGAAAGAGGATATCAAAGGTGGGTGGGCGACACAAAGAGAGAGAGAGAGAGAGAGAGAGAGAGAGACGGAAAGAGAGCTGTTGAGGGACGGGCCGGCTCTTTTGCCCTGATCTACGATCTTCAGTCATGAGACGACGTGTATGAGCGGACAGCAGTGCCGGTCTCGTTCCTGCCATCGATAGGAGGCGGCCGATGGGAATACGGTCCGCGGACGATGGTTGTTGATATACTATAGGGGATGTCGATTTGATGACATGCTAAGATGACAATCCCAAAGTGGATCGCAGCGGCCGTTTCCTAGCCTGGAGGATCTTTGCTCGATGCTATGCTGAAAGTTATGGCGGGACTCTGTGCCCTAACCCAGAGGGGTTTGGGGGGCGACTACAGGGCCTAGCCTGGCCTAGCCCTGGCCTACCAGCTTGGCAAGGTAAGAACCCCTCTCCCTTCCTGCCTGACCTGAGATCTCTTACGGCAGGTTGCATGGGGCGTGCATAATGCATAGCAAGAGTGCACCATAGTAGACTCATGTGGGCAATGCGGGGTGCCGGCTGATAAGATAGGCAGCAGTGGCTCCTAAGTGATCATCAGGCAGGTCCCTCATGGTGGGGTTCGCCGGCATGCGCAGATCTTCCCGCGAATAGCCTCAGAAAAGTTAAAGGAAAAAAAAATTGAGTCACCTAGCCAGATAGATTTTCTCTTTAATTAAGCTCCCCCCCAAATTGACCTAATGCTTTCCCTCAATCTTAGACTAAGCGCTAAAACTTTACAACCCTCAGCAAGTGATTTTGTTTGTTTTTTTGTGCATACTTCCACGCTGCAAGTACCCGAGAAGCATCCCTGACAACGCCAATCTCCTGCAACCACCCACACAGAAGCGAATCGGTACTCTATCAGACTGTCAACATGGCTGAGAAGCTTTACATCACATACAATGATGTACGCAGTCCTTCGTTCAACCTGCCCTTCTCCCTGAGTCCACCCTGCACGAATTGCCTCGAGCCGGCACGGCCCCTTCTTGTTCGCTGACCTTGTTCGTGTTGTGTTTCGTCTTCAGGTCCACAACCTCTGCAAAGAGTCTGCGGAACACATCCTCGCCAACTTCCAGCCTCAGCTGATGATTGCGATTGGCGGCGGCGGCTACGTCCCTGCGCGCATCCTGCGATCCTTCCTCAAGAAAACCGGCAGCCCCAACATCCCCATCCAGGCCATCGGTCTCTCTCTCTACGAGCAGCTGTCCACGGACAATGTGGTCGAGGAGCCTGGCAAGAAGGTCACCCGCACCCAGTGGCTCGACCTCACCAGCCTCGGCGAGATGAAGAACCTGATTGGCAAGAAGATCCTCATCGTTGACGAGGTCGACGACACCCGAACCACCCTCGAGTACGCCGTCAAGGAGCTGGAGAAGGATGTCGAGCTGGCGAGGCAGAAGCTGGGAGTTGATGGCAAGACCGAGTTTAGCATTTTTGTGTTGCACGTGAGTACAAGACCGGAGAAAGGACAGCAGCCATCCGGGCTAAAGAGGTCGGTTTTTGGGTTGCTGACAGGTTGGCGCAACAGAACAAGGAAAAGCAGAAGAAGGGCACGCTCCCTCAGGACATGATGGACAGCGGTCGATATCTGGCTGCGCGTACTGTCGGCGACGAGTGGATCTGCTACCCGTGGGAAGCTGACGACATAGAGGAGCATGATGAGCTCGCGCGACAGGCCAAGACCAAGCAGGCCAACGGCAGGGCATGATCACTGTACAAGGGTCAACTACATCGACATACCTCAGACGGCCATCGACATCACTGCAAAGTGACACCCCAATAAGGGTGTAAATTCCTGGTTTCCCCAGAGCGCGACCGAACCGCGTAGCCAGTCTTGGGTCCCCAACGCCTGTGTTCACTGGCCCGCCTGATCAGTGCTTTTGTTTCGCCAGTGCGGTATGTTTTGATACCACCGAGTAGACTCGAAGACGCAACAAGCCGCCCTAAGGCAGCCATCCTTTGGCAATTGGGTTTCGAAACAAACAAGTAGCGAGGGGAAAAGCGACAATAAAATCTAGAGGCTATCTTCGAAGCCTACCTCTTGGTGAGGTACATATACAGAGGCGGGTGGCAAATTGAAACAAAAGAAGAAATTTATTCCCAGCTTTGTATTCACTTCACTCCAGCACTACGGCTGGTGACGTGCCCAATCTTGTGACTGCTGCATGTGGCCTCGTACCGCTCAGTGGCTGCGAGAATGCGTCGCGCCCCTGCCTTGATTCCATATTGCTATCTAGGGAGAGGTGCACTTTGACCGAACTTTGCTGACCATCCCAATAGCCCGGCTGGCCAGGCTGAAGCAGTGCGTTTCGTCTTCCACAAGCATGATCCAGCCTTCGCAGCTCGAACAACTCGACTGCTTACTCCTCCCTTAAATCATGGTTGGACCTCTACACGAACTTCTTCCTACCATCAATAATCGTCTTCTCACAGCATGGCTGCAAAAGTCGGCGAAAGAGCCGCCACATCCCCTTCTTTCCTTAGGGGAGACGCCTCCCTTCTGATAGCGGAGATAAGGCTGAGACTACATAAGACCGCAGGATGAAAGTCTGATCCACACCAGCACAAGGGGCTTTTCAATCTATGCATAGTTCTGGACTTGGATACTCCGGTTCCGCTCATGGATACCCACGCATGCGGGACAATCAGAAGTCTGGGGTGTTTATCATGACTTGAGCCAGACATAATTGTCGCAGTATGAAAACACCATCATTGAAGACGGCTTTGGTCGTGTACTGGTCAAAGACTGCCTGTACTTGTGAATCCGACCAGATTTCTCAGCTGCCTGTGCAACTCGTACAGGAGAGCCCGTCACTGTGCTCTTGCTTATTTATTCATGAGACATGCTTTCGTTTGCCTTGTTCCACAGGCTGACTGGAATGGTGACAAAATTTTACCTCTGTGCGAGCTCTCTTCAGCATGTTATACATCATCGCTCTCGGCTGTTCACGGCCGCTGAAGCGCGGAAGTGGCTCTCAGTTGCGGCGGGCCGCATTCCGCTCTGGAGCCTCGCCGTTACGGCCCCACAAAGGGATGCCCCTGGCCCACAAGGCATCCACTGAGAATGTCTCTTCTACCGGGCGGCGGGCTCCAGCCTGGAGCACAGCCTGATTTGCAACGATTTAGTGAGCGCACCACGAAGATCTAAAAGGTAGGAAAAGTAACAATGAAAATTTTAAAAACAGCTCACCTAGAGGAAAAAGTCTTTGACCGTTGTTTACCGAAGCTTTCCGCCGGCTTTGGAGATTATAGGGCCCACCAATGACCTCGACTGGGTCCGGAACACCACCGAAGCAGGCTCACAATCGTCGTCCGTATGCGACCGATGTCGAAGATGACATGATTCTGGCTCCTTTTCGGCCGATGGGCGGATCGATATGCAGTGAGAAGTATGCGTAGAATGGTGGACCCTGCGAGGCGCAGGAGAGAAGAAGAGAAGAGAAAAGAATTTATAAATGAAGAAAAGGGTTTGGAGACTATATATGAGCCGTTTTCTTGATTTAGAACACATAAAGGCTTTTTGATAGAAGCTGCAAGCCATTCAATCCACAGAATATATATATCACAGGACAAAATCGAACAATGCTCCTACAAAAGACCGAAATCGATGGGTCAGCAACCCAGGTCAACAGCCACGGCCACCGTCACCGCAAGGGCTCTACCCCACGCGAAGAAGTTGTCCTCTGCTCGGTCTTCCATTTTTCAGAGCCTAAACGAGCCATCCAAAATCTCCAAACCAGATTCCCAAATGTGCGGTTCATATGGCACACGCTTGATGACCGGTCACCCGGTTGCCGTGACAGTGTGATCCCAGAAGGTACTTGTGCACATCCCATCGTACTGCCTCATCACACGAGAATCAGAATCTCTCCTCTCTTGTAATATTGGCTTGTGCTTGATCACAGAAAGCTGATTTGTTCATCATCTGAGTATGCAGCCGAGTACCAGGCCGCAACGATATACCTCACCTTCAACGTGTCCCCGCCGTCCCTCGACCTCCTACCCAACCTTCGCTTCGTCCAGCTGCTCACCTCAGGCCACGACCACCTGCGTGGAACACCAATTCTGTCGGACCCATCGATTCCCGTTGCGACGTGCTCGGGTGTGAGCGCGAGGTCCATCGCGCAGTATGTGGTCTTGCAGGTGTTGTCGTGGGCGCACCAGTACCCGCGGGTGCTGAAGGTTATGGAGGAGAGAAAATGGGCTGGTCCTGAGAGAAACGGGAGAGGATATCCTATGGCGAATGTGCTTGCTGGAAAGAGGGTGGGAATCTGGGGGTACGGCAGCATTGGGAGACAGAGTAAGTCAACCGTCGTATTTGTTTACTTATTCATATCCCTTCGATCACAATTAAAGTGTGTCTTTACTAACTTGAATCTCTTCTCATAAACCCAGCCGCCCGTATACTACACGCCATGGGCATGCATATCATCGCCTGCACATCGAGCGAGAAAAGCACGCCCACATCCAGGCGCCTCAACACACCACCAACCTTGGCCAGAGACCCAGCAATGGGCGACGACGAAGGCAAGCTGCCGATCGAGTGGCACACGGGCGGAACACGAGCAGGCCTACACAGATTCCTAGCCGCAGACCTCGACATCCTCGCCATCTTCACCCCGCTCACCCCGACCACGAGGCACGCTCTCGGCAAGGACGAGTTTGACATCCTCGCCGGCGCGCACTACACACACAGCCACAGCCAAAAGGGGCTTGCGCCGTTCCTGGTGAACGTCTCGCGTGGGCCCATCGCCGTGCAGGAGGACCTCGTGGCTGCGCTCAAGGATGGGCGGCTTGCGGGGGCGGCGCTGGATGTGACGGACCCGGAGCCGCTGCCGGAGGACCATGAGCTTTGGGGCTTGCCGAACGTGAGCATCACGCCGCATATGAGCTGGTGCTTCGAGGAGTACGTGGAAGACTGTATTGAGGGTGTGCTGGCTGAGAACCTGGGGAGGTTGGCGAAGGGGATGAAGCTTGTGAACCAAGTGCAGTGAGACTGAGCTGGAAAGCTGTTATGATGTATGTCAAGGCTTTGGGATGAGAGGGAGCGCTCATAACCTTTGTTTGGGGGTGGGTTGGGTGGTGGGATGACAAGCCTGTAGTAAAGTCATGCACATCACCGCATTCTAATCAGCAATATTGAAGTCGAGTGTCGAACGCATAACTATCCGTTGACATGAATGAGGATATGGCACCATTGAGTAGGGATTAGTTTTTTTTTTTCATATACCATAGACACTAATTCTTCACTCGAGGTGTGTTTGGATTTCGTTCGAGCTGGCGTATAAGTCCACAAGTGAACTGCCCTTGGGCTCGAAGGAGCATGCACACTTGTGACCAGAACGCTAAATGAACAACGAGGGTATCTGGTTTGCAGCAATGTGCCTCCAACACTTGCATTCTTTTCAAGTCTTTGATCTTGAACAATTACGTATGCAATGTGCCGATGTTACCATCTACTTAGTAATTAACTAGTGATCTGAAGACATCACGTTTCTCGCCTTGGAAATACATACATGTCACCACCATGCCCCCAAGAGTTTGAGTAGAAAGAAGACAAAAGGAATGAAGGAACAAGGAGGGGAGATGGGGGCGTGAGAAACCAACCACCACGGCGTCATTTCCAGGCTAATGAGGCATAGTCTGCTTCGTCCTCAGCCCTCGATCCCCACCCAACTTAACCTTTTCTTACCATGTTGCGCACGGCAATAGCGGAACTGGAGCTGGTTGGACGTGATAACGAATGTAGCACGCTGAGGTTTGCCTCCTCCTCGTGATACTATATACGTCAGGACCAAAGGCGGGGTGCCGAAGCGTCCATGAAATGAACCAACCATTGAGAGCACCTGAGGTAGTCTTCGATATGCATGAGGATGAATCCTTTCGCAAATGAGCTGATTTCTCCTCGAGTGTGCAACTCATTTTCTTTGCCAACATTGACTTGATTCTAGACATGCTCAATCTACCCATCACATCTCAGGAACATTCTGCATCAGCTCACGCATAATACATCATCTCACGTCTAATGAAAGATTGAGGGAAAAAATGACAACCACAATTCTCCTCACAGGAGCCAGCGGATTGATCGGGTTCCGGATTCTCCTCCATGCACTCGAGGCCGGCCATAATGTGCGCGTCGCGGTGCGATCTGAAGAGAAAGCCCAGAAAGTTGCGTCCAACCCGGCTATCCTGAAGCTCGGAGCGGCAGCCGGTGAGCGCCTCTCGTCGGTCGTTATCCCAGATTTGACGGTCGATGGGGTCTTTGACTCTGTCCTGCAGGGAGTCACTCATATCATTCACACCGGGTCGCCTGTGGGGCTGCCCGAGTTGGATCCCAGGACTGAGATATACGAACCGACGTAAGCAATGACTGCTTTTCGTTCCCTCCCACTTAGGAACATGTCACAACTTGGCATAACTAGACTGTGATGTTGATTTTTTTTCTTTCTTCTTTGTTTCTTGAGACAGAGTCAAGATGGCGGCGAACCTGCTCAAATCGGCTCTCAAAGCCCCCACCGTGCAGCGCGTCGTCATCACCACCTCAGGACTAGCCAATATCGGCTTCGCAGCAGGCCCTGAGACGGTCTCGGCAGCGACGCGTGTCCCACCCCCGGACCCCATCCCCGAGACCTTCAGCAATGGGGTAGAGGCGTACATCACCGGCAAGCTGGTTGAGGCGCGCGACACGGACACCTTTATCCAAACGCAGAACGCCCACTTCACCGTCTCGCGTATCTTCCCCGGCTTCGTTTTCGGCCGTAACGAGCTGTCGCTGAACACCGCTATGATGCAGACCCAGAACAGCTCCAACAACCTCATGATGATGGGCATGCTGGGAGGAGAGGTGCCGTTCCCTCTCTTCGGCAGATATGCCCATGTCGACGATGTGGCTGAGCTGCATATGCGCGTCGCCTTGGAGGATCGCTGTGCTGGCAAGGATTTCGGGATTGCGTTCGAGGTGGACTACGACACCATCTTCGATCACGTGGAAAAGCGATATCCTGAAGCTGTCAAGGCGGGCGTGTTCAAGAGGGGGACGGTGCCTATACAGCCTGTTGTGTACGACTCGAGTGACGCCGAGGCCCTGCTAGGCAAGGTGAAAAGCTTCGAAGAAGCCGTGCTTGATGTTGCTGGCCAGTATCTGGAACTGCTGAAGGCGGAACAGTAAAGTGCCGAAGTGCACATGGGGCTGTAGCAGAGATGCCCTTTTTAAGCGTATAGACAAGCAACAAAGGACTTTTGTTTGCGTGTTCTCCTACACTCCACCCGAGAAGAACGTCCTGCCAGCACAGAAGTTTTTGTCTATTCCTGACCGATACGATCTCTTGATGGGTTACGGCTGAAATCCCACAAAAAGACGACCACCAGCCTAACCTGCGTCTGCGAACCCTTTCAGCAGGGCCCCAAACCCAACTGCCACAGCGGCCGGACCTGGATCTCCACCCCCTCCCTCAAGTTCGTAGGTCCGCTTTGCTCCAGAGCGCAGTCATGAGCGCAGAGGGCAAGCTGTGGTAATTCACAGCCGCGACAGACAAGGCCGTCGTCACGCCAAACACGGCAGTGCCCACGGCGACACAACGATTTCGATTGCCCTCGTCTGGGCGAACTGCTCTGCTGATGCCCCACGCCGCGACGCCGGCCCCGGCCGAGGAGAGCACGCAGCCCTTGTAGTCATCGGGTATCGCAGCGTATACTTCCATGAGCGCCTTGACGATGTTGATGATCGTGGTGATGTCTGATCCACCGGCGTCGGCAGTGCTGAAGTTCACGTCGTCTCGATGCTGCCATGCTTCCTTTACGCGCAGAGCCAGCCAGAGGGCAGCGGTGGAGAGGAGGACAAAGAGGAGTCTTTGGTAGAGAGGCTTCATAGTGTTTGGAGGATCCAGCCAATGCCGAATTCGGTGTAGAGATTTTTGCGACGAGAGGCTGTGCAATTCGTTGATATTACGGCAAGGAGAACTCAAGAAGTTGTGAGTAATGTGGGTGGGCTTATATGGTGGTGAGTGAGCGGTTCGTAGGCCCACCAGCGGTTTGCTATGCGTTGTCCAACCCTGAGCTTTCCAGGAGGCTTTAGGTGCTGTGGCTGTTGTGGCGCAGTTGTTACTACAGGGCCTTCCCGCATCTCCGCCTTACACGCATGAACCGAGTCTCGACGAGACATGACCAAGCGCCAAACCGCACGGCCGTCTGTCAATGTGCAGCCCACTGAAATATTGCATTTTATAAGTGTTATCACATGTATAATGACAGGTGCGAAGCTGCTCAATGATCATCGTAAAGGCATGGAGAACCTGTTGCGAATCTGACGTCGTCGTCCAAATTCTTTCCTATGTTCTCCATCGCAGACGTGATGTTCACGCGACTTTGATTCATGGAATCTCCGGACAAGGGCGACGCAGAACAAGGGCCTGACCTGCAGCAGAAAGTAAGCCCCAGAGAGGCGGATGGTCATTAAAGATACTAGCCTCCAGTGGTGCCCTCCCGCAAATGTTTCTCCTTCAACTTCTTCTCCTGCTTCATAAATTCCCTAATACCAACTGGAACATTTTTATATAAATCATCGTTCCAGAAGTCCTTGGCAATCCTGCCAGGACCCACTGGAGCCTTTGCGCCCACATCCCAGTTCGTCTCCGATCCGCCGCCGTCATCGTCCATGCTGACCACCGTATGCCCTGCTGTTGTTTCTGCAAGCGATGGCCGCACGCCGACATTCGCCCCCTCTCGCTCCGAGGCCACAGCTGCCGATGCGCCCTCCTCGCTAGAGCTTCCCGCAGCTAATCTGCTCTGTGCCTCGGCGTTGGCGAGCGCCCATTCTTCCATCTCGTCACGGTACCGGTCCCACACGCAGTTGACACACCCGCTCATGCAGCAGTTGTCCGGCTCGTCGGGTTTTGGGGGGACCAGCACACCAGCCACCATGTTGCTCTTGGCCCGGATTTGTGCGAGGCGCTCGGCGCGCTCGGCGGGGCCGGCGAGGCTCGACCCGAAAATTACTTTGGCCTTGTCCTCAGTGCTTGTCGACGTCGGGGGTGGGGTTGGAATGGGTGGAGAAGACGTCGCCGAAGAGGAGGGGTTTGACACCTCGCCGGCCGCGCCTGGTTTTGGGGAGGAAGAGGAGGGTGATGAGGAGGACAGTCTGCTGCTTACCGGAGACTTGGAGGCGGCCTCCTTCGCAGTGGCCTTGGGGCTCGCGGCGGCGGAGGCAGTCGGCGCGGTGGATGCCGTCGCCGTAGAGGCGGGCTCGGGCTCAACCTTTGCCTTGGGCTTGCGGCCGCGCTTTACGGGCTCCTTTTCGGCCTCGGCCTCGGCAGCTTGTTGTTGTTGTTTCTCCTTGACTGAGGAGGCGGGCGCCTCGGGCTTCACCTTGGGGATGGGCTGGCCCGAGTTGAGAATGGCCTCGTAGAAGCGCCCTATAGGCATGGCCTGCTCTTGCGAGGGCTCGATGGGTACTGTCGGGTCTGGGTTCTTGGTCGGGATGGTGGCATAGCTCCGGCGGGCCGCGGCGAGAGAGCGCAGCGGGCGCGGGCTGAGGAGGAGGCTGCGCACCGAGGATGACATGGTCGCTGTACTTGATAAGAAGGGAGAGTGTGTACAGCTAAGAGGAGATTATCGAGGCTATGGCAAACACATTGACTGTGCTCTAGGTTGAAAAGACCGTTGTGAGGCGTCCAAAGAAAGGAAGAGAAAAAAAGGGAAAGAGATCGCTGGCGCAATGGGTTGAGATGGTTGGTTTTGGAGAGGATGATAAGACCCCAAAAAAAAAAAGACGGGGAGAAAAGAGGCGCAAAAAACAGGGATTGACTTCCTCAGTATGTACAAGAACGTCGCTTGCTTGCCTTGTCCCGTGGGTGCGGCACGCTGCGTTCCGGTTTATAGCCGTGGCCATCAGCTACTCGGTCCCTGGACCTACTGGCGTCATTAGCAGTGCTTGGCCCTGATGGTTCAGCAGTAAGTACTTTTGTACTTGCTAGGTTGTTACTTGTAGCTGCTGGAGGGGCAGAAGGGCTTCCCCTAACACTGCTGATGCTGACACCCCTGTTAGTGGAAGGCCCCTCGACACGTCTAGGATCTGGGGTAAACAACCACCATGTCACCCCATCCCATAATCTTTATGTACTAGCAACCAAAGCTTCTCCAAAAACAACATATCCTCGAGGAATCTCAACCAAGTTGGGAACTTCACGCGTCGTAACAGTCCCAACAGCTGATTCCACAGGCACCATGGCTACCATGATATAACACATCCTGTGTAACTCAACAATGGATGCATCAGCGCCAAAGAGGCGCAAAACATCCCCAACAACATCGATACCAGTCGAGTCCACCACCCCTCCAGGTCCTCCACCAGGGCAGCAATCACAACAGCCACAACCCTCTCCTTCGCGCTCTCCTCAGCGTCCCTCGTTCGCCTCGCCTACTAGATCGAGTCTGGCCCGCCACAACCCAGAGATTCTCTCCAGCAGACGAGTAGTCGCGTCGCAAAGACAGGGCGACCTACCCGCGTCGCAGGCAGGCAGCCAGGATGAAGATGCCGACCTGACGACCGCGCTGACCGCGCAGTTCGAACACCACTCCGAAGGCGATGGCGCAGGATCACCCTCACCTGTCGCCGAGGGCTCTGGTTCCCAGAGGCCAGCTGCAGCAAATCAGAGCGCCCCTCCTGGCCCCGGCAACGACGCGCCGCGGTCGCCGTCTAGGCGAGTTGGTGGTATGATCTTTGGCGCGCAACCACCCCGCCGCACACCCACTCGACCACAGCCCCGACCTCTGCCTCCGCCAGGCCCCGAGAATGAGGAAGATATAGCGATTTCCCTCCCACGGCGGAGCTCACGCCGATCCCCCACAAACACGGGCGTCTTACCAGCCGTGGTCCACGAGGAGCCCAAACTGCCGCCAACGCCTGAGCATCCAGATCCCGTGGTAAGCACGCCGCCCTCTGGAATACATCATACGCCCTCCAAGAGGCGTCGAGATGCGAGCGAGAGGGAGGCTGCGCGACAGCAAGGATCGCCCTCGAAACATCCGCTCTCACAAGCGCTCGCTCCAGGACAACAGCCACCACGGAAGGAATCAGAGAGGTTCAAGGCGCGACGGCGCCGGAGCCCAATGAAGACCACTCTCGCCAGTGCGCCGCTGCCCGAGCAGCCTGTGGAGGCTCGAGTTAAACCACAGAGCGAATTTGTCTCTGGGACACATCCGCGCCGAAGTATCCGTCTACGCGGGCCAAACTGGGAGAAAGAGCAAGAGCGGGATGCGCTGCTGCGTGAGGTTGAGCAGCTCAAGGCGGACCTGGCGCTGGCGAGAGAAGAGAATGATAATGCTGCAGAGGGGCTACCTCTGACAGCCGACAAGGACGCTGTAGTTGACCTCTTACGACGCCACGTTCTACCAGCTATCAAAAGGACAGATCCTTATCAGGGCTCAGATTGGCTGGAAGCAGCCATGAACCCCATCACGATGCTCGACTTCAACGGATCGCCGTCCATCTTACTACCGCCAGCAATACTACAGGAGGACGGACGAGGCGAAGACCAGCAGCCACCCGTCAGTCATCACCCGGTACCCATGACCACGTCTGAGGAATTGCCGTACCTACAAGTGTTTACTCCTCTCATGTATTCCTCGACTGTCGCTACCACCACCTCGCCTTCAGCGGAACAGCCTGATCAGCCTACATACCAAAGACACAGCATTACCATTCGCTCCGCCTCACCTACTGGTCTCTTCAGCGCACGCCTCGAGATGACAGTCAACACCCGCACTCTCGCCGTGTCCTCTCTCTCCGTGCCGCGCCTCAATCCCGCAGCTGCCCCCGAGCTCAGACCCTTCATCGACCGCGCCTCATCCTCATCGCCACAGGTGCCATACCACCCTGGTCTCACGCGCAACCCTGGCATCGTATGCTGGGCCATGGCCGAGTGGTACCGCGTCGCCCTGAAGCGCGCCAAGTTCTGGCACGCCCTCGAGAAACAGCTTGGCGACAAGAACGGGATGGCCGAGGCCGTGCTCGCGACGAGAGCGCGGAAGAAGCGAAGGCGGCGGCGCCAGCAGCAGCAGCAGCAGCAGCAGCAGCAGCAGCAGCAGAAGGACGTCATCGATGATGGAGACAGCGGCGTGGGCGACAGCTTTGCGAGCGCCGAGGGCCTGGGTGGGTTGGACTCGATGATGCTGAGCAAGGGTGCGCTTTTGCCGCACATGGGTCGGAGGAGCATGGACTTCGAGGTGCCTTATTTTGCCGGTGGGGATGGAGAGATGTCGGAGCTGAGGGTCAGCTGGGCGATAGAGTTCGACTGGACGGGTGAGGCGAACAGTAAGCTGGATGTGGAGGTTGGTGTCTTGGGTAAATGTAAGCCCGTCTCCCTTACTCACTCGATCCTTTTCTTGTTTTCTCCCCCCCCCCCCCCCCCGTTTCTCTTCCTTTCTTTCTTCGCTTTCTTTCTGTCTGGCAAGGCATTACTGACGCCTATATACGCACAGGGCACGCAATGGACGATCGGAAGAGTATTGTCGGCATACCAAAGTTGTTTGACAAACTTGTGCATGGTGGCGAAGACCCACTGATGGCTGTCAAGACGGTGGTGGCGCTTTTGGCCGGGGAGCCAGAGGCATGAGAAACAGGAAGATGGACGGGCTGACTACTTCTGTGTATCAAGTGTATCAACAAGGCCGTCTAGCTCTCTTAACGCTAGGAGAAAATGTATAAATCCATGATCAAAAAAAAGGGGGAGAGGGGGAAAGGCCGGATCGTAGGAAACAGCCACGCTACGCCAAAGAGTGCTCATGAACTCAGTGTTGGGTTGTATTTGTGATTATTTATTCAGGCGGACATTTCAGCTTTCGCCTCTGCCATCGATCTGCGTATCAAAATCCACCTGTCTTTCTGATGCAAACTTCGTACAGACTTTTTAAGATCCCATGAGCACTGAGAGATGAAAGGCTAGACTGACGAGCGCTTGAAATCCATCTTCTGAAGATGAAGAAAGAGTCCCAACCCAGGCAGATGTGACCGGCTTGACGAAAATGAGGCGCCAAACATTGAGACCAAGGCCCCCATGCTCCAGGACGACCTCGCCCCCCTCCTGGTGGCCGCCCCTTTTTGCTTTATGTTTGTTTTTATAATTGTTTTCAAAATCTTCGAAGCTTTTTCGCTCCGCCTGTGGCCCTTGCATCATAGCTAGTCCACAGTAACGCCCATCTTCCGTAGCTCCACCTTGGCCGTCTCAATCTCTCCCATGAGCTCCTTGTATGCCTCGGGGCAGTCGTTGAAAGTCAGCACGCCCCAGCCGAGGCGGGCGAGAAGGTATGCGCCGAGGGAGACAAGGGCCCAGAACGGGAGCTGTTGGTTTCGTGTCAGCCATACCGGTCGTCAGTATCACCCAGGATGTGTATAGAGGACACGATTGATAGTGAAAGGGGATTACTTGAACAGGGAGAGTGCATGCATACCACAGGGACGATCTCGGTCTGGATCACAGAGGGGAGGGGAATCAGTTGCAGGTAGAGGGAGAGGTAGAGCTGTAGAAATACAATCGTCAGTCAATTAGCAATTCCTCTTGATTCTTCCCCGTGCTTCTGGGGCGCAGAGCTGGGTGGGTGATGGTGGCGTGGACACGAGACGCACCGAGCTCAAGAGGAGCAGGATCGAGACAGTCTGCTGCGCTCGCGTCATGGTTGCGGTAATGTGCTGTGGACGTCTGAAGCTCTGTTCTTTCGATTGGGTACTGAATGGGTAAAAAAGATAGTGATATCTCTGGAGTTAAAAAAGAGATGGAGATAAAGGAGCGACGTGAAGAAGTGGGTGGACCAAAGCGCAGTGGTTGAAGACGAAGAGGAGAAGTAGGGGACGAGTTGCTTCTGAGGACACGCACGATCAGCTGCTTGCTCTGTGCTTAACAGTGGCGTGGAGTCGCACCTGCCAGTAGCTGCACATAGAAGACAGGGGGGTTTCCCTTGTTGTGATGAGGTAAGCAAACAGGGGTAGGCAGGGGTTACATCACCTCAGTCCATGTCCATACCATGAACATACCCTTTTTCGTCAAGCCTTTGGTGATTCACCGATATATTTAAGTATCTTATTTGAGTTCTTATGAGTTTGAGTCCTACTTCCCCTCCAAGACTTGAGATATCTCTATGACACTGTAAATTTACTTGATATTGGAACTTTCCAGAGGCTGTCTTCCTAATTTGACGCAGCTAACAAGTATTGTACTGAATTATGAATTTATGATGTTCTATATGGGTATCTGGTGACTCAAAGTCTCACGTGAGAGTTTTGAGCATCTATATGGGTATCTAGTTGTTCTTTTCCCTTGTCTTCCCTACAAAGGAGAGATGTCCTTTCTGTCATCTTGGACAGACATATCAGACATCAGCAGCTTCAAGGCCCAGCAGGGCCAGCCACCATAGGAGGAGCAGTCACATTCGCTGGCCGACCCTCCTTCTCCAGCTGATTCTCCTCATCGCTGCTTCCAGTTCCGGACCCCGAACCCTCCTCCGCATCGTCCCCAGCATACGCATATCTGCTGCTCGCCCTGATTCTCGCGCCGTACTTCCAGAACAGGAATGGGATGCCGCAGCACGCCAGCGCCATGAAGAACAGGATCATGCTAGCCCACTGGTAGCCACAGGTGGCGTACATCTGCTCGGTGAACAGCACCACGCCCGCGCCCCAAAAGCTGCGGATAAACGTCTTGGCGGCCAGAGCGCTCGCGGCCTGGTGCTGGTAGCTGTCGACTAGGTAGTTGTTGGCGGCGTTGTACAGGAAGATAAAGCCGAAGCCGACGGGGAACCCGCCGATCGCAGGGCCGATCCAGTGCACGTGCGGGTAGGACGTCCAGGAGAAGATGAGCAGGCCGATCGGGATGAACCAGCAGCTGCACATCATGGGGATCAGGCGGTACTCGGCTGGGGGCTTGCCATTGAAGCGGGCCGTGATTTTGAGGTAGTGCTTGTTGACAAAGGGAGCACAGAAGGCGGAGGAGATAACGCCGAGGGCTAGAGGAATCTGAACAAAACATCTCGGTTAGTTATCTGTGCTACATAGAGCAAGAATGGGAAGTGTCAAGACTTACAAACATGAGACCCGTGCTGCCGGCACTCCACCCTTTACCTTCCTGGTAGACAATCGGGAAGGCTACGAAGAACATGTAAAGAAGGCCGTAGAGAACGGACATGTAAAGCGAGATCAAGAAGACGATCAGCTCCTGGAACAGCAGCTGCAGCGGCCTGATCAGGAAGATGGTCAATCTCTCCGTGAACGGGCGGAGGTCAAGGTCCTGCTCGGTCACGTGCTCATCCGACCTGGTCTCCTTTCGAAGCTTCTTAGCCCGCCGCGCGAGGATGGTTGGCGCATACGTCTCCGGCACTGTGAAGGTGATGAGCACCCACACGATGAAGGCAAGGATCAGCTGGATCCAGTACAGCCATCGCCAGCCCGCTGCGTCGCTCAGATATCCGCCGACGAGAGGGCCAATCGCGGGACCAATGAAAGGTGCAGCAGAGAACGCTGCCATGGGAACACCGCGCTCCTCGTTCCGCCACAGGTCGGCCAGGGTGCCGCCCACAAGCGTCATGGGTGCAGAGAAGGCGATTCCGTCGATGGCACGGCAGACAAGCAGGGTGCCGATGTTCTTGGCCAAAGCCTCTGGGATGACGAAAATGACGGCCAGGAGCAAGGTGCTCCCATAGATGACCCTTCGACCGTAGATTTCGGACAGCGGGGCAAATACCACCGGCCCGACGCCGAAGCCCACAACGAATACCGTGATGGTTAAGAGAGCAACCTCCTCGCTGACATTAAAGGTCTCCTCCACGCCCACCAGGTCGGCTGTGATCACGGACGAGGCGAAGGCGACGACAAAACACGTAATGGCGACGACCATCGTGCAGTACCATTTGTAGAGCTTCGACCAGTTCTTGGGGTTTTCGCGGTCGTTGGGCACAAACGTCACGAGCTTGTACTGCTTCTCCTTGCCCTCCGAGTCGGTGACCACAGGGCCCACGATTTCACCTGTTGGATCTTCGGTGGTAAATTCGCTGAAGTTGGCATTTTGAGACAGTGTTCGGTAAGGCAGGGAGTCGGGGTCAAGGTTAGGATCCCGGTGCATTTCTTTCGTTGACTGCCTGGTCAACTGGCGACCGAACGAGCCAGAGCGTGGCCGCTGATAGGCAGAACTGCGTCGGCGATGTGGAGAGACGACAGACTGAAAGACAGGGCTTCGATCTTCGTTGATGTCGACATCACTCTCTGCAATTGCAGACGAGGATGGGCGGGTCTGATCTTCTTGGGTTGGATCCATGACGACTAATTGGAAACTGAAAGTGTGGAAATAGGCATCAATGTGCAATACCGCACTTACATCAAACACGACATATGCAACAGCATATGACGAGGAGCCATCCACATTTATATTCAAATGGCAACAACATTTCCAATTTTTGGTTCTTAGCCACTGCTCGCGCTTTCAACTGAGGCCCCGAACGCGACACGCGAGAGTAGAAACTAAAGCGGTTACTAGTGGGTCTCCGGGATGGATTCGTTTGTCAAAGCCCAAAGGCTCCCCTTTCGCGATCGCGAGTTGATAAGGATGAGGCTGTGGCATACTCAAGACGTTCTGATCGTTGTCGATGAAGAGAATCACTCAAGAGTTACTGCCAGGTGTTTGCTTAGAGGTCGTCAAAAATCAAAGTGAGCCGCGGTGGAAGAACCTTCGACCTGGAAGGTTGACGGGAGGGCTAGTGAGGACCTCGTGAAATGGAATTTTCGGCCGCCCACACTTGCAGGATCGACTTTCTCCTCAAGCCCGGGTTCTCCACCTTCTCGGGACTTGGCGAGGAATACTCTGGCGAGCAGATGCGTATAAGCAGTCGAGGCACGCACGTTGAAGTCGTTATACTATGGTAGTGGTAAAACTTTGAAACAGTGGCGAAAGGTTCGATATGCATAGTATGGATCTTCAGCTCGGGTACCGCTGACAGGGGCATCCCAACTTTGGGTGAACATCTTCCAGCCTTGACATGCGGGTCCAGGCGTCAAAACTTTATTTTTATCGTGAATAGGCCCCTGAAGACGCGGACCGGAGCGGAAACTGCGGGATTTGCGGCCCGAGCGGAGCTGGGACCAGGAGACTAATGATCCAGACTTGATGATGCCAACAAGTCTCGAGATATCTCGATTGGGGGCCAGGAGAGTCTTGTGATGTCAGTGCTTCGATTCTCTGAAGGATTCCACAGACCATTTCATCCAAGTCGTCAACATTGCTGGCACAAGAAATCGGGACGAAAAGCCACAGAGGACAAGATAAAAAAGGAAGAATTAGGGCAGCACCAAGCTCTTTGTCGTCAACCTTGAAGATACATGCTACACCGTCAACGCGGCGTGTATCCGAGTTATGATGGATCCATCCAGGATGATAAGATTGGACCTGGACTTCGACCGAACAAGACCATGTCAACTGTGACACGTAAGCCCAATATTGAAGCCCAAGACGCAGATTTCTTCAAAGGGCAGACTTTCAATGGAGTTCTAATATCCCCGTGTCCACATTGCGACATCGGGCTTTGCAAGTAAACAGGCCTTGAGGAATTGCTCCCCACAGACGTTGGCCATGGCGAGGGTACGGGTCCAGACTGATAGTGTACCAGTTTTGATGGTACGGTTGAAGAGGATCGGCGTGAACAGAATGGATTGCTGCTTAAGCCCCCATTTCCTGTGGACACATGTTCAGCACCTGATGTGACAACAGACGACGTCTCACGTGGCGCTCCCTGTATGCACCCATGCAGGTCCCGGCGCAAGGGGTACTGTACCTATGATTTCTCGTTCATGCCATGGGATGTTGGTCCGACTCGCTGTATGCTTTCTCGCTATATGCTGCCGCGCATTGCGACGTACTGGGCATCTAAGCTTTATTGCCAGCAGTTACACGCCTTTGTGCGGTTGCTGAGGGCAATCAAATCATCACCTGAGAGCAGGCTGTCGCCCCCAAACACCGCGATGAATTAACCGCACTGAGGCTGACTCATCTGAACCAGCCCTTTAGAAAGAACAGTGCCACTGATATGTGTATCACTTGCTGTATAGGATCTAGATTGCTTGCAATGGGAACTTCACAACACTCTGCCTCTGAGGCTGATGTAGTTGACTGACTATTTAAGTACGTTGGGACGATCTCGAAGTAACGCAGTCAGCTGTGCGGCTGGAAAGTCCAGTGTGAATTGTGTGAAGAAATTACGTTTTTAGAGGATCTATGTGACTATGTCTCAGGCACACCGTTTCGTGGTCTCGGATTGTCATCCTGAGCAAGTCGACATCTACCAGGAGGTAATGACCAATGCTCGTTTATGTAAGCAATTAGCGTCAGGGACGGTATGACGTCATGTTCACTCATGTAATCGATTCGGACGCGACCACGCGACTTCATCGTGAAGTTAGTTCTATCTACAGTATAGCAAGTGAGAGTATATACAAGCTTAACTGACATTCTTGCTACACTATATCCTTCTAGGACGTTTCGATTCGTGAGAATCGCTGTGTCGTGTCACTGGAAATGAATCGTTGTCTGCCTCGGGGCGTCAGAGCGTTGCGGCGCAGCTCTTGGCCATAATCCTCCTGAGACCAAAGTGGCTGTCTCGAGAGCCTGCAGCGTGCGCTGCCAAGTTCCGAGCTCAGGTCCAGCAGAGAGTCTTTTTTGCCCATCAGAGTGACAGGTTCGAGGATTCAGGAGGCTCATCCTTAATAAATGCTGACCTGGTGCGAGACGCTGATCAGTAGTGACACCTTGAAGTACGCCTACAGCTGCCATCGTCTCAGGCGTGTGTGCCTTCCGTATTCCTCATCGCCGCGCCACGCCTTCCCTGCGTCTCATAAAAATGGGCCAGCTGAGAGGCGTCTGTCACGGAAGGTTCGACTCGTAGGATGCCTCTGTCTGTCTGCTGTACATGTTGTCACCGCCCCTTTCTTGTCGATGACTGACTTTCTACTCCTTGTGCCTTGACCAGAAAGACGCCATAGGTGAACTGAAACCTCCCAACCAGCTTGTCATACAAACATTACATTATATCTTGCAGACCGGCCCACAGCCAGATTTCAATTAGTTCACCAGATCAAGTATCCAGAGTGACCGAGTCCCTAGTCCCAAAAGTCAAAATGCAGATCTCCAGCATCCTCACAGCCGCAGCCGTCCTCGCTGGCCCAATTGTGGCCCAGTCAGTCAGCATCATAACCACCGCCCCGGCCACTACGACAACCGACCTAACGACCGTTGTGAGCGAGCTTCCGTCCTGTGCTATCGGTTGCCTAGAGGAGTCGGCCAAGATCGTCAACTGCTCCGCTGCGGACCTTACTTGCCTGTGTGGAAAGTCGGTCCAGTTCGCCGCTGCAATCGGGCCTTGCGTCCTGACCAGTGCATGTTCGAGCAGCGACCAGAACAGTAAGTCCCACCACCCTTCCTGATCACCAACTGTGGGTTGTCATTCAGCAAGGCATCTGAAGTGGTCTGACTCACTGCACCAGAGCTCATCTCCATCGCCGAGGGCATATGCAACGACGTTAGCTCGTCCAGCCCGTCCCAAATCGCCGCCGCCTCGAGTTACGTCGCTGGGGTGGCCGCCAGCGAGACCGCAACCACATCCAGCGACAACTTGGCTGCGCCAACAACCCCTCCTGTCGCAGGTCTGGGTCTTATGGGTGCAGCGGTTGCTCTTGCTGCTATGGTTTTGTAAGAATCAACAAACACGATGTGATGAATGTGGATTCTTTACTTGGGGTGTGGCGATGCAAGGCGTCTGGGTAGGCTCATTCTTATTCAGAAACCGGGTACTGTAGTATTGCTCTGGCTTAGCTTGACGGCTTTTGTCCACACCACAATTGCGCTTTGGGGAAATTCAAACGATACGCCTGCAGTATTTCGCTGATGCACATATTTTCTCTGTTGAAGTTCAATGTATTATGACTGTTGCAATCTGCCGGGGTATTGGAAAACACGCGAGGAAAAGACCCTACTGTCAAGCCCAGTGTGCTGCATTCAACACACAGCGAAAGACTCAGTCTCATATTCGCAATTGACATTCTAGAGGCTGTCTCCCTCCGAAAAGGTGCCTGTCGTATCCATGCTCGTTTTCCTTTGGGCTCTGATCACAGCCCAACCCATCCAAGAAGACCAGCTCCCATCGCCATGACGAGCGCAATCTTGCTCCCATCGCCGGCAACCCTACCCATCGCGGCAGCACTGCTCGTTGACGAACTGGAGGCAGAAGATGTGGCCGAGGTCGTAGCTGTCGTCACACCGGACAGGCTGGCCGTCGTACCGCTCGGCTGGATCTCGGTGGTAGTCGAGGCTTCAGAGGACAGGGGCCCGCCCGGGTTGGCGGAGGAGGAAGTCCCGGCGCTCTCCGTGGTTGTGGTCAGGGCCGTGCCAGAAGATGACGCAGCGGTCAGCGTGGTTGTGTCCGAGTTTGTGGAAGAGACGGACACGATGACGGTATCCGTGTCTGATGCTGCGGCCGGCGTCGATGTCTCCGAGCTGGGCTCAGTGAAACCGCTCGAGGTGTCGAGCGACAGGGGCTCCGAGACGACTTTGTCTATGTGGCTGGCCAGAGTGGCGGTGGGCAGGGCCAGGAGGAGACTGAGAGCGAGCTTGTTGTTCATCGTGACGGTCTGTGTGTGTGTGTCTTAGGAGATGATGGAAGAGGAGAGTGTGTATGTTCTTCACAGATGAGAATTGGCAGCTCCTCAATTGGCTCAAGGTGGCCCCAGCTGGGTTTTGTACAACGCTGGTGAGAAGAGGGGAGTATGTGGAAGGAAGTGATATGTCGTTCTCTGATGTTGGAAGGTCTTCTGGTGGGGGGAAGGAAGCGACCCGCCGCCTTTTTAAGAGGAGAAGAGAAAGAGGGTGGTGACAAGCCGTCAGCTCGCCGCCTCGTTACGCAGCTTGGAAGATTTGCCTCGAGCTTCACAGGCCGTGATCCGCTGCAGCGTTACATTGCAGAGAAACGAAACAAAGCCACCTTCCAGAACCTGCCTGGGAGGGTGACAGGGCTGGGAAGGGCCAAAGAAGATCAGATGTGAAGCTGTCCCCGATGTGTACGGAGATCCGCATGGTCAAAAACGTCATATCTACCCCTCTGCTGTTTATGCACTGTGTGCAGACAGAGGTGGAAGGGGGTGGGTGTCAAATGGCATCAGCCGGCAACAGTGCAGGATAGCTGGGTTGCTGCTGTAAAGGCGCTCTTACTGTAAAGTACAGCACAGCGCGAAAGGTGCTGGGAATCTGGGGTAAGGCGCAATGGGAAGTGGGGTGGTGTCACAGCGGGTGGCGGGATGGGCGATCCCCGCTGTGGAGCCCTTTTGCGGCCTTCTACTCTTGGCTCAGCAGGGGGCGCCCGTTTACAAGGTCGCATTCTCCGATGTGCTTATGTGCTATAGTGGCATTTGCCTCGCCAGCAGGCCAGCTATGCTCGCTATCCACAAGAGGGACAGAGGCCCTCCACCGTCGATCCCCGAGACTGTGGAAGCTTACTACTATTGTAGCCTGCTTTGTATGGCATGATTGTCGTTTCAGACTTGCTTAGTTCCAGCCTATCATTGGTGTGCTGCATTTAGCTGGCCCAATGGCGCGATGTGGTCTGCAGCACCCAATGAGATGTAAGTCCATGGACCGCTGAAACTCTCAACTACCTACTAAGTTGGCAACGCTAGGCATCGGCGCCCTCATTCTCTTTCACACCCCCCCCCCCAAGGCCCCCTCCATTAACTTTCAATGTATTTGTCCCATCCCGGATTCCGCAGATAGAATGCATTGCGTAAAACCTGATTTTTCTTTCCGCGAGAGTTGGGACGGACCGAGGCTTCTCCCTTATCAGATTAGGTTCACAGTGCGTGGGTATGTGAGAGTCGGGGATCCCGGTCCTCTTTCTGATGCCATCCGGAGGCGGAGTGAAGGAGGGGCTTGGAGCGGTATATGACGGCAGATCAAGCTTCCCAAATGGAACTGTCAGCTCCTCATTGAATATGTAGGTCGATCAAGACTGAGGCTTGGAGACCCGTCGCCACCGTGTCTGGCGATGCTGGTCAAAGTTTGGCCATGTTTGGAGCATCTCTAGCCCCGTGACGACTCGGACGGCAGATATCAATCCTTGATGTGCTAGGACGTCAAAGGTAGTCGAATCGCTGCCCTGATTAGCTGATATATGTACCACACCCTACAACCACGGAACTGGTCTTGAAGCCTAGTACGTGTAATGCCTTATATGACAGCGACGAGCATAGGACGCCAACTGTTATCACGTTCGTTCCCAATGCTCTGATTGTATTTGGTAGGACCAAACCGTTAAAGCTACCCGTTCTAGGGGAATGTTCCGTCGGCCAAAAATATTCTGAGCTTCTCATCCAGCCAGTCCAGATCCGCCTTGCTCGTTCCAGGTCCTCCAGCCCTAGGCAGGAGAGTGATCAGTACACTTTCCCATTGACGTCGCCCTTGCACAAGAAACTTACCAGTGACCCCATATCGAAGGGAAGGCGATGCATTTGCCAACACCTTCCGACATACACTTGACCTCGGATTCGGAGTCTTCAGGAGGAAAGTACAGGTCTGTCTTGCCTGGCAGGACCAGTGTCTTGGCCTTGATTCCCCTCATCGACGACTCGAAATCTTTGTTGTATGGCTCCTGGTCGGAGCAGTCTCCAGCCTGCCAGGTATGCAGCATCACGAGCATGTTCCTGGGATCTGCAATAAACCTTGTCAGCCATCTCGTCTTCTCACTCACACATGGCATCTGGAAGTGAGATGCAGCACAATACCTTTGGAGCATGCCCAGCCCTCCCAGAATTTGACCATGAAGTCCTCCAGATCTTTATAACCCAAGGTCTCATAGATCTTCTCGCGGTAAAACGCCTGACTAAAACCCCAGCCCGCATACACCCTGCCCAGGGCCTTCAACCCTTTCTCCTCCTCCTCCTCCGTCCAGTCCCTGTACCCGCCGTCGCTCACCTCTCCAGCACAGATCCCACCCGAGGCCGCTCCTTTGCCCGCAAGCAAGGCACTCTTCACCCCCTCCAAGAAGACCTGGTTGTGCAGGCTCGTCCTGGCAGCCCCGCAGAACGGGATGCCCAGGTCCATAAAGGCGGGATACTGCGTCAGCCACTGGTACGTCTGCCCGGCGCCCATGCTCCAGCCCAGCACGGCGCGCGCATGTCCGACACCTAGGGCCTCGGTGACAAGCCTGTGCTGGGCGGCGACGTTGTCCCGGAAGGTGACGTCCGGAAAGGGCCTGTCCGCCGGCAGGTGCGGCATGTTGGTCGGGCTCGAGGACTGCCCGTTGCCGAAGAGGGCGGGGATGATGATGTAGTACTTGTCCGGGCTGAGGGTCTTGTCGGGGCCGATGAGCCACTCGTTGTCGGCGATGAGGCCGGAGTACCATGTCGGGTAAATGATGGCCGGGGAGGAAGGGTCGCCAAAGGTCTTGTAGGCGATGAAGGCCTTGGGCAGGACTTGTCCTGAGACAAGCGGAAAGTCGCCTAGGGCAAAGGTCTTGACTTCTGGGTCACTCATGGCTGCTTATGGTTTGTGTGTTTCGAGTGAGGGTTGTTTTTGGGAATTCTGCCGTGGCAGGGCGTTCTCTTGTCTTCTTGGAGGAGTTGGCGGACAACAAAGTGAGTTTCTTAACTGTAGCGCCGTTTCTTTCCACTTATAACCGGCCCATCGTAGGTGCGGGGGTGATGCGATAAGACACCTGATCTCGTACCAGTCTTGTACTGTCGTGTTCTGGAGATAAGCCCGATATCTGCTGGCCAAATACTCGTTTGATGGTTGCGAGTGTCTTGGCAAACGTTGACGTGGTTGTTTTCTGAAGTGATGATGAGTCGCAAATAGCATGATCTCTCTCGCGGGCCTAGGACAGCGAGAGACCCAAAGCTCTTTCGTCGCTCATTACTTCTGCATGTGTAACTATGGATGAGGTCTTGCTAATGCATTTTATGCTGTTCAGAAGACTTTCGAGTTCTCTATACTTGCTCTCAAGAACTTCGGACAGCAAGATTCGAAAGGCGAGGCCTCGCAATTGGGGCATATGTCGAATGCAACCCCCCCCCCCCTCCCAGTGCACTCAACATGGACCAAACCAATCTCCACACTTCCTTCTTGCCAGAGCTGAAATTCGGCCTCTGGTGGTTTTCTTTCCAAAAGTTTTTGGTTATACTTCCTCTGTCTCTATTTCATCCTTCTCTCTTCCTCTCTTCTGTCCCTCTTTCTCTCTCTCCTTTTGATCCTGTTCAGTCATCGGCATGTGAATGGTGAGAAGTTCTAGGATAGGATTAGTGTGCCTAAGCTTATGCCTGTCATTGACGCTCCAGCTGTGTCTGACGAGCTCATTCATTATCCGAACAGTTTCAGAAGATCCGAGCTTTGTTGCATCTGTGATAGTATGTTCAATTCTCATATTGATTCTGAGAGATGCAGGGAAGCTTTCCAATATTCTCAATCCATAGTCTACTACCCCTTTGCCGCCCAGGGGGATTTTTTTCCCCTTCACAGATCTTTGTGCATGTCGAGAACGTCGTGGACCCGTCATAGCCCACGCACCCAAGTACGCACTGACAATGTAATACTTGTGAGACACTGTAGCCGCCGAAAACCATCAACGCCGTTCCAAGATATTTTTCTGGCGCGGAGTTGCCTAGCCGTTCCGTTTCCGCATTTTTGACCCGGTGGCAGCCTTAAAGGCGTGTATCTAGCTGAGCCGGCCTTTGGGAAATCCGCCAGTCGCGCCGAAATCCGATACTAATCTTACCAGACCAGAACATTAAAAGCCTGGCACACCAACGATCTCGCACAAGGAGAAGCCCTACTCTGATTTTCATCAGTCTTTCGTCACTGCGTCAACAGTCCTCGCCAGTCAACTCTCCAACCCTTCGCAGGTGTCATTCATACCGATATCAGATTGACAAGCTAAACGCAACATGAAGCTGATCGTGGCCGGCGGCACGGGGTTTGTGGCCACAGAGGTCATCAGACAGTCTCTTGAGCTACCAGAGATCACCTCGCTTGTTGTTCTGGCCCGTAAACCCGTACCCGTCCCGGACAGCCCTGGCTCATCCAAAATGAAGACATTAATCATCCGCGACTATGATGACTATCCTGACGATGTCAAAGCCGAGTTCGCAGGGGCAGCTGCCTGTATCTGGTAGGCACCATCTTCACCAGAGGCGCGATCCTCAATCGTACCAAAAATGAGAAGGAAGGATCACAATCTCACGCTGACACAAACAACCTCGCAGGACAGTGGCTATAACGCCAGGCAAGGCCAGGGCCTTCGACCCGGCCGAGGTGAAGCGGGTGTGCCAGACATGCACGCTGGCGGGGATGCAGGCAATGTACGATGCGAAGCCCGCCAAGCCGTTCGTCTTTGTCTATCTCAGTGCGGAGGGATTGCCCGAGGACCCAAAGCAGAAACCTTTGCTCTTTGGTGAACACAGGCTCATGCGCGTGAGTTGTGCCCCCCCCCCCCCTCCTCCTCTTCCTTTCCCGCAACGATGATGGGTGGCTGATTGTTGATGAACAATACATTTCACAGGCCGAGACGGAAAAGATAGTGCGCCAGTTCGCGGCGCAGCGCGACGGGCTCGAGATTCATGTAGCGCGCCTGGGCCTGGTCACGTCCGCGGGGGTGCTCTGGCAGGCGATGCGTGCCACCAACATGATACCGGGAGCCAGGGCCATGGCGCCCAATGTGAGCCGGACAGAGGTGGCGGCGGCGATCCTCGACCAGCTCCTGCGTGGGTTCGAGAGGGAAACGCTGTCGAATGCTGATCTGGCCCGCATCGGACAGGCGGCGATGAAGGCCAAGGGGGATACTGGGCAATACTGAGTTTAGTCAGACAGTCAGTCAGTCGCTCAGTCAGGAGTCATGAAATATGTTGTAAGATACTATGGTAGTAGTCCTGCGGGTACCTGTCATTAATACCACCTAGGTTTTTGAAACACACTACGGCTGCAAAGAGAAATTCGCCGCGAGAGTGACATTGTTGTTGCAATCACCGGCACTAGTTGGTGATAAGAGTTGCCCGGTGAGATATCAGTCCCATGGGTACCATCAACTTTACCTACAGGGAGAGGTTATCTTGCCTAGATGTGGGTAGACTGTGTTTCATGCCTTTGAAACATGTTTGTTTGTGTGGGTGCAAAAAGATGTTTGTTTCATGGAGACTTTTTGAAGAATAGGAAACGCAGGTATTGAATGAAAACTTCCATGACCCCTGCTGAAGCCTCGGGATGCCCCGCAAGCCACCCGGCAAAAAGAAGTGCACTATGATCTTTGGCACATTGCAGCTAAGGGCCTATACGTCCTTACTATGGTACAGGCACCTACTGTACTGCTGGCACATTTCGTACCAGGTAGGACCCTTGGGAGGAAGAACCACTCATTGTGTACAACCTCTGTAATTACGTAGTATTCACTTGGATCAATGTAGTAAGCTCCTACCATGGTATTGTACCTCCTTTGACCTTCTCCTCCTCCTCCTCTCTCCCTCCCACCCCCTTTGTTCATTCCCTGCACCTCCAGCCTCTGCAGCTCAAAAGCCATGCCTATCTGTTTCTGTCTCTTCTGAAATTTGTTTCGGAAATCCTATACCATGGTGGGAGATAGATTGATCGTCTCTGGGCAAGGGGCACACCAGTCCCACAATTCAATTCATCCTTACCTGGTTTCCCACGTGCAGGTGTGCAGTGCAGCAGGCAATCTGCAGGGTCTCCACCCCAACTTTAAATTACAAGGCCCATTTTGGGGGTTGGTGATCTTCACCTGACTTGCATGTCTGGCCCCCCAGCACACCATGGCACAGAAAGCCTGACCCAGCTGTTTACCACCCACATGTTCGTGTCGGAAGCTACAGCCGAGTCCCAGTCCCAGCCCCAGTGCTCTCGAGACCCTCATGCACAGCATATTGGAAGGAGCAGCTAAGAGGCTCTGTGCGTTGGGCAACATTCCCACATGAGGTTTGTTCATCTCCGTGTCACGTCAGCACAAACCCCGACATGCCGGGGCTGTTGCAGGCCCAACACTCTCTAGCAATCTTCCTACTAATAAAACGCGACAAACAGAAGTGCCCAAGGGCCTTTCATGACCTCAACGCGTCAAGCCCTGTACATGCCAATCACCACCCAGCTGCACAACCGAGAGCCCCAGGACCTGTGACAATGGATGAGAACAGGCCACCAGCTGGGAGATCTGGTCTCCCCAGGCCAATGTCACGGCTGCCCACTCCCAGATCCACTGTGATCCGACAAACTCCATCCAAAGACAATCTTGCCAAAGCAGCAACAGCAGCAACAGCAGCAGCAGCAGCAGCAGCAGGAGGAGGAGGAGGAGGAGGAGGAGGAGGAGGAGGAGGAGGAGGAGGAGGAGGAGGAGGAGGAGGAGGAGGAGAGGGAGGAGAAGGAGAGGGAGGAGAAGGAAGCGGAGAGCAAGGCGAGCCCAAGGCCCCACGACTGCTATGCTCAGCTGCGTCAAGAGAACACCTTGCATCAGGATCAGTCTTTGGAAGAGGAGGCAGCATCACAGGCATTGCCCCTCCAACGGCTGAGGCTGCTCCCAAACCTGTCACGACCTCGATTTCAAACTCCACGCGAGCCCTCCCCAGACCCCGACCGGTCTCGAGCCTTCCCACCATACGTTCCCAGCCGAGTCTCCCAAAGTCGTCGTCCACCAACAATACAAACAATGGCCACTCACGGCTGCCACGAGATCCAATGGCAAGCCTGTACGAGGAGGCTCAAGAGCAGCAACCCACTTCAAGGCTTCCCGGCTTGAGGAAGAGGCCGTCCCTGCAATACATGTCCCAAAAATCGCTAACAAGGAACCGGACACCGAGCATGACAAGTATACCGAGTGGTGGTGCGTTTAACGATTCGCAATTTCGAAAGAATCCAGTAGATGAGGAGGGTACACTGGGTGACGAGACGGTGCGGGCCATGGCGTCCAAGTCGCGCCCGTCACTGGCAGAGAGAACAATTGAGACGCTGTCGCACCTGTCTCCCTCTCCAGCACTGAGGAGCAAGGCCTCAGGCTCCAGTTTCTTTGAGCCTGAGCCGTTTGCGTTGACGTCGAGACCGGCTAGCAGACGTGACTCTCGTCCCCCCTCGAGCCGGCGCTCCGAAAGCTCAAATCCTCCCTCACGTCGAATGTCTCCTAGTAGACCTGGATCCAGCTCAGGTCCTGGTCAGGACTTGGGACTGAGCAGCCCGTTGAGATCGCGGCTACCTTCGTTTGACGCTACGCCTTCTCGGGGACGGAACATGGGCACTTTGATGAGGACGCCCTCCAAGGTGGGACTGAATGGGATTGCGCGCAGCCAGATGGCGACGCCCTCAACGGTGCGGATGCCTCGCTCTAGGACGCCGAGCATTGACGCGTTGAACTTGGATCCGACATCACCCACTGGACCCAGGACAGCCGCAGCTCGCCCCCTGCACCCCATGCCATCAGTGAGCAGCCCCTTGAAGAAGCCTGCTGTTCCTGTCGTGAAAAAGATGAACACGCCGGCATTGACCCCCAGGAAGGGCTCGATTACATCCCAGAAGTCTTCAACGACTGCGTCAGGAGAGGAGACCACGTTCTCCGCTGCGTCGACGACATCCAATCAGACAGCTGCTTCCGGTCCAGAGTCGCCGCCACCGCAGTTCAAAAAGTCGTCCGCCGCTCTTCGTGAGCAGATTGCCAGAGCAAAGGCGGCTAAACGTGTGGTTCCAGCAGCAGACGAGGCCCCGCAGCTTGGTGGAACAGCCGAGATGCCAGTGATCCCTACAGATAACACGTTTGACTTTGGGCTGACCGACGACCCTTTTAACCTGAAGCGCGACGCCAGCTCGGCCTCGAAAGTACTCCAAGGCCGTGTAGCCACCGCCAGGACGAGCGGTAGGCTGAACATCGCTGCTCTCGGTCTGAAAGAGATCCCAGTCGAGGTGCTCAACATGTACAGCTTGGAATCCATAGGGAAGAGCGACGGCAGCTGGGCCGAGAGCGTGGATCTTACGAGGTTTGTGGCTGCGGACAATGAGCTCGAGATGATTGATGACAAGCTGTTCCCGGATGTCGACCCGGAAGAGCTTGCCGAGCAGGATGAAGACTTTCAGGGCTGCCTGTTTGGTGGGCTGGAGACGCTGGACCTGCACGGCAACATGCTCATCAGCTTGCCGGCTGGTCTACGGCGCCTCACCTTGCTGACGTCTCTCAACCTCGTATGTTTCCCTTGCACGATGTCTGTATGAGACAATGCTAACATTCGCACAGTCTTCTAATCGGCTCGCCAACAATTGTCTTGAACCCATCTCTCAAGTTACGCCCCTGCGAGATCTGAAACTTGGTGGAAATCTGCTTTGGGGCACATTGGAGTCGTGCTTCGGCCGCCTCAGCAACCTCGAAATCCTTGATCTCCATGGCAACAACCTCCAGGGACTCCCGCCAAGCTTTGCCGAACTTCACCGCCTCCGGATCCTCAACCTGGCCGAAAATAGCTTCGAGTCTCTACCATTTGGGATATTGTCCAAGCTGCCACTGACTGAGCTGATTGTTCGCAAGAACAAGCTCTCAGGCATTCTCATCGAGGATGGCATTGAGAGCCTGCCTACAATGCAGAACCTTGATGTGTCTTCGAACCAGCTCACAGGATTAGTCCGCCCAAATGTCACCTTGGCCATGCCAGCACTCACGCAGCTGTGTGTGTCCATGAACCGTATTCAGGCGTTACCGGACGTCTCATCGTGGTTTGAACTGGCCACGCTTTCTGCGGACGAGAACAGCATCAATGCTTTCCCTGACGGATTCACGAGCCTGGAAAAGCTGAGGAGTGCAGAATTCTCCAGCAATGACATTCGGACCGTTCCAGCAGAGATTGCGCGCATGGACAGCCTGGCCATGCTCCGGCTCAGCGGCAATCCACTCCGAGACAAGAAGTTCGTCTCTGTCTCGACCGAAGAGCTGAAGGAAATGCTGGCGGCGCGCCTGGCACCTCCTTCGGCAATAGTAGAAGGGCTCGGTGGCGAGGATGGACTGATCGCCGAAGCGATTACGAGTGACGAAGTTAGTCATTTGGGAAGTGCGTTTGAGCTGTCGGCAGCGGACCAAGCTCACGGGGAGCACGACGACGACGACGACAGGACCGACACTGATGATTTCGCCACACCACCTACCTCTACGCCAGCCTCGCCTACTACAGCACGTTCTTCAAGCGTCGCACTGTCCTGGGAAGTAAAACCTGGCGGCGTGCTTGATAGGTCTAATTCGCAATCGTCGTCTCTTCATCCTGTGGCCTGTTCCAAGCTTGCAAACAACCACCAGATCCGGCAGGTTCACCTGCAACACAATCTTTTCGCGTCGTTACCAGACTCGTTGAGCTTCTTCGCCGAGACGCTGACGACGCTCTCGCTTGCGCACAATCAGCTTGTTGGCGAGACATACCTGGGCAGCGGCGAAGTGCTGGAGCTGCCTGCGCTCAAGGAGCTCAACCTATCCTCCAACCACATCACGAGCCTTGGGCCACTGATGAGCCATCTCCTCGCTACCAACCTCGAGAAGCTAGATGTCAGCGTCAACCGCATCGCTTCCCTGCCCTCGAGCAGCGACAAGGAGAAAGGCGGGCAACTCCTGCGGGATGCCTACCCTAGACTGACGATCCTCCTTGCCGCAAACAACCATCTCGCCGAGCTAGATCATGAGAGCATTCGTGGCTTCAAGATTGTTGATGTCTCGAATAATGACATTGCGCACTTGAAGCCACACATTGGTCTGCTGGGCGGGCCTGGGGGCCTGGAACGATTCGACGCCACTGGGAACCGATTCAGAGTGCCACGCTTCAACGTGCTAGAGAGGGGCACGGAGGCAACACTCAGGTGGCTTAGAGGGCGGGTCCCGGTAGCAGAGATGGCCGCCTGGAAGGCTGAGAGAGGTGTCGTCGGGGAGGACGATGCTAGTGATGTGGACTAAGGTGTGGGCAGAATCTCGAGCTGCCAGGCATTCACTACATGGCCCGAAAAGAATCGGGAGTCGGTTTCAATCAAAGCGAGCGCGCTCTTGCTAGTGGAAATTATAGTGGTTTGATATTGCTTGCTTTGGTGGGACCAGCATGGCTGGTAATGGGAAAACTCGCTTTTACTCTTCTAATGGTATATAGACGGAGTTTGTGCCAGAACTGTCCCAGGTTTTCTGGCATGGAATTATGATATTTGGTCATGGCTCATGAGGAGGAGAAAGGGGTGCAAGGGTGAAGGACAGGCTGGTGACAAGGCGATCATACTATCAATTAGGATGGGACGGGAAATGGAAGAGGGCATACACTTGGTTGAAGGCTTAGTACAATTGTTGTAAAAACCACCCTTAATAGTGTATACAAATACCTTGTAATCACATACAAACCACCCAGAGTCGTATCACCATCGAACGAAAAGCAGACTTGGGACGAACCCCATCGTGGGAAATCCCGGTGGGTAACAGTTTGTCTCGGCCTCGGCAAGACAAGGGCGAGCGACAGGGCTGTTTCCTCTCTCTTCCTTGCGTCTCTATCCACAAAATCATCCTCGCCCCAGCACAGTAGGCCAAGTCCACCCCAGATTGCCCAGGAACTCGGCACACGTTAGCTGCCTGGGGTCTTCTGCGATGACACCTTACTTATGCTACATCAGGCAAAACCTCCCCCGCAATGACGGCGTGCCTAGCTCACCGCAGGAGTGTTGGCGAAAACGGCGCAATAAAACCTGGGGATCGTTCAAGAAAGAGAAAGCAAAAGAAACCCACCATTGCTGCGGCTAAAAAGAGAGAAAGCAAGCTAAACAGGACAGGGTCGACGGACCATGGAAAAATTCTGGCCGGTGGAAAAATCCCCAAGAGGTCCCCACGCCCCATCTCTTCCCTATGCAGTTTTTTTTTTATGCATGTTCTTTCTTAGCCTTGCTGCTATAGCTTTGCATGCTGTTTTGCTGCAGGCAAGGGACTGGGGGTGGGTTGATGGCATGGATTTGAGAGCGTAATAAGCGGGGATGGGGTTTTTTAGCATGGGGAAAGGGGGAGGATGGAAGAAAGATATATAACATCATGACCACGAGCTCTGTGGGATGAGGGGGGAGGACGTGTTGGATGAGTGCTTTCCTGTCTTGCCTGTCGGAAGAGTGTGTTTTCTCTAGACTCTTGGTTGCCCGTGGCCGACGAACGAGCCCTCGACGACCATGTTACTCTCTAGAACGCTCGGCCTGGCATGGGCTCTGCTCTCGGCGGGGCTCTGCGCGGCGCAGACGACAACGACGACAAATGCGACTGAGTGGCCTCTTCATGATGATGGCCTGACGGATTTAGTTGAATGGTTGGTTGTTTCCTGCGCCGGTGAAAGAAGCTATGGATTCATTTACTAATTGGCTTCTCTGCCTCTGTTTAGGGACCATTACAGTTTCAAGATTAATGGGGAGAGACTGTTTATCTTCTCTGGAGAGGTGCGTGGTTTTTTTTGGTTTTTTTTCGTTTATTTTTGTTGGGTTGAGGACTTGTACACTAATTGTGAATCAATCGCAGTTCCATTACTGGCGTTTCCCAGTGTGAGTTTGAGACGGCGTGGACCTGGCAGGTTGTTTGGGGGGAATGCACTGCTAACGACGACGACATCATATAATAGCCCTGAGCTCTGGCAAGACTTGCTTGAGAAGATCAAAGCGGCAGGGTCAGTATTATGTGCCCTCTTTTCATTTTCATTCTTTCTGGCCCAAGAGCACAAGACTGACGGGGGGTTGTCATCACCAGCTTTAATGCCTTCTCCATCTACTGCCACTGGGGCTATCATGCCGCCTCTGAATCCACCCTCGACTTCACCACCGGCGCGCACAACTTCACTAGCATCCTGACGCTCGCCAAGGATCTTGGCCTGTATGTCCTCGTACGGCCTGGGTAAGTAAAGTCCTCTTTCTTTTAGTGCTTATTATTATTATTATTTGAGGGCTCCCTGGGCAAACAAACCCACCCATCTCGGCCTGTCGTCCGCGTGCTCTGCTCTCAACCCTCCTGACACCCTCTCCCAGACCATATATCAATGCCGAGACCAATGCCGGAGGGTTTCCGCTCTGGGTCACAACAGGCGCCTACGGGACGCTGCGCAACAACGACACACGGTACACGGAAGCCTGGACACCGTACTGGACCGGGATCTCGCAGCTGATTGCACCTCACCTCATCACCAACGGCGGCAATGTGGTCCTGTTCCAGGTGGAGAACGAGCTGGGTGAGCAGTGGACCGACGTGACGACGCGGACGCCCGACGCGCCTGAGGACGACTACATGGACCTGCTCGAGGCCAGCGCCCGCGCCAACGGCATCAACATCCCGCTTACGCACAACGACCCCAACATGAACGCGTACAGCTGGAGCAAGGACTTTAGCAACGTCACGGGCAATGTGGACGTCGTGGGGCTGGACAGCTACCCCAGCTGCTGGTCGTGTGATCTCTCGGTCTGCACTGGTACCAACGGCGAGTATGTGGCGTACAAGGTGGCCGAGTATGATGAGTACTTTGCCAGCTTCTCGCCCACGCAGCCCAACTACATGCCTGAGTTCCAAGGCGGAAGGTAAGTGCACGCTCCTTGATTTTTTTTTTTTAATTTTTTTTTAATATACATATGAATTTCCAAAAGGCCTAGTCTAACGGTGTCCAAAATGAAGCTACCTATCGTTTGGTGGCCCAGAAGGAGGCTGCCCCGGAGACCTGGGCGTTGAGTTCGTAAACATGTTCTACCGGAACCTGATCTACCAGAGAGTCACGGCTGTGTCGCTGTATATGCTCTACGGCGGGACAAACTGGGGCTGGCTGGCAACACCGGTGGTGGGCACCAGCTACGACTATTCGAGCCCCGTGAGCGAGAACCGGGTCATCGGGTCCAAGTACTACGAGACAAAGCTCCTGACCATGTTCACGCGCGTGGCCAAGGAACTGTCCGTGACGGAGCAGGTCTGGAGCGGACCCGGCCTGACAAGCAACCCGGCCATCAACACGTCTGCACTACGCAACGAGGAGACGGGCGCCGGGTTCTACGTCGTCATGCACGGCGACTCGACGTCGAGCTCAGTGGACACATTCACTCTGGCTGTCAACACGTCCCGCGGAGCGCTGACCGTGCCGCAATATGGAGGCAGCATCACCATCAACGGGCACAACGCCAAGGTCCTGCCTACTGACTTCAAGTTTGGCAGCAAGAACCTGCTGTACTCGACCGCCGAGGTCCTGACGTACTCGGTCATCGACGGCAGCGAGGTACTGGCTGTGTGGGTGCCCAGTGGGGAGTCGGGCGAGCTCGTGATTGAGGGCGCCACCTCTGCGCGCCTGGCGGAGTCGTCGTCTTCTGCCTCCAACAGCTCTTCCTCGACGGCCGTCAGCATTGTTCCTGGCAACGCCAGCGTGGCCATCAACTTTTCCAACACCAATGGCATGACGGTTGTGGACCTGGGCGATGGGTCGCGCGTGGTCATCCTCGACCGGGACGCGGCGTACGTGTTCTGGGCGCCGAATCTGAGCAACGACCCGATGTACCCTGAGAACAGCACTGGTGAGTAATGAGAGAACATAAAGAAAGAAAAAGACATACATGGTGAAACAAGAGGCAGCGTTAGCCTGACACAACAGCAGTACTCGTCCAGGGCCCATACCTCGTCCGCTCGGCATCCATCACGTCCAACCAGACGCTGCAGCTCACAGGAGACGTCGACAACTCGACAGAGCCAATCACCATCTTTGCACCGTCCGTGAAAGCAGTGACGTGGAACGGAAAGCCACTCGCCATCGCCAGCAGGGACGGTAACCTGCTGACTGCCACTGTGGACGGCCCTGCGGCCTTCACGCTGCCGGCTCTGACTGGTTGGAAGTGGTATGACAGTCTGCCCGAGATCCAGGCCAACTATACCGTCTCCTCAACCACTTGGATCAGTACGTTCCTCACAACCCACACCCCCTTGTTACTGTTTTTTTTTTCTTCTCTGTTATACTGACCGACTATTCCCTTCGCACCAGCCGCCAACATCACCAACAGCTCCAACCCGGTGCCTCCCGCCTCCAACAACCCAGTCCTCTACGTGGACGAGTACCACATCCACGTAGGCACGCACATCTACCGCGCCACCTTCCCCAGCGCCTCGCAGACAGGCGTCTACCTCAACATCACAGGCGGCACCGCGTTCGGCTTCTCGGCCTGGCTGAACGGCGTGCTAGTCGGCTCGTTCCTCGGCAGCGCAGACCTGGCGACGGGCAACGCGACCTTCTCCTTTGCCAACGCCACGCTCGCGTCTGCAGAGGCAGGCGGGGAGAACGTCCTGGTGGTCGTCATGGACAACTCAGGCCACGACGAGACGACAGGCGCGGTCACGGCGCGGGGCATCTACAACGCGACGCTGCTCGGCGGCGCGGCAGGGCCGTACGCCTTCACGGACTGGAAGATTGCCGGCACGGCGGGCGGAGAGAGCAACCTCGACCCCGTGCGAGGCCCCTACAACGAGGGCGGCCTGTGGGCGGAGCGCGTGGGCACACACCTCCCCGGCTACCCAGAAGACGGCTGGACGGCCAGCAACGCCACGACGCTCGCCGTGCCGGGGGCCGGGGTGCGTGTCTTCCGCACCGTGGCACCTCTTGCCGTGCCCTCTGGCCTGGACGTGTCCATCTCGTTTGTGCTCGCGTCGCCCGGCAACGGGACGACCAGCAGCACCTTTGTGCCGACGAGCCCGGGGGCTACCAACGAGGTGCGCGTGCTGCTCTTTGTCAACGGGTATCAGTATGCGCGCTTCTATCCGTACATTGGCAACCAGATCAACTTCCCTGTGCCCACGGGGGTGCTCAACTATCATGGAGACAATACCATTGCCGTGACGGTGTGGAGCCAGAGCGCCGAGGGGACGGAGGTGGAGGTGGACTGGGCGTTGGAGTATGTGCATACTACGGGCTATGATATGGCGTTTGATGCCGAGTATCTGCGGCCGGGGTGGACGCAAGATCGGCTGGCTTATAATTGAGGAAAGGGGGAAGCAGTAGTATAGGAGAGTAGAGTTAATATTATAAGCTGGGCTTTCAGGCCTGTCTGAGATGATATGTTGACTGTGAGGTGCTGGTACAGAGATTCATTTCGGTCTTTCTTCTCTTCTCCTGATGCAACCTTGCCAATGACAATATAGACAGGCCAGTCGGTCTTTAAAAAAGGGTGAGGATCCTTCTCTCCCAGCTACAGTCAATCACTAGAAGAAGAAAGAAAAAGAAGAAAAAAAGGTACTTATTTTATGTATACTACATACCACTGCTTGTCTCGGATTTCGCCATCGCCCACCAAGTGTACTCTTCATCGTTTCAAAGACCCACGTTGCCCGGGGAGCGGACGCGCGTCTTGTTCGAGGGCTCTTACCACGGTCCATGTGTGTCGAGAACAAGTAATGGTTCAAATGCAAAAAGGAGCAAGATGGCATTCGTAGACATGAAATATAAATGACAGAAGGGAGAGATACATGCTGGGTGATGAAGGAGGAGGAGGAGGAGGAGGAGGAGGAGGAGGATGAAGGGAAGATCATGATTGGAAGGCATAGGTGCCTTCGACCTCGGCGATAAGCTGGGGTTGACTAGCCAAAAATCTACTACTGGTCTAGCCCTTACGGGGTTCACCCTCGACGGTTCGAAGACTCAACCACGATGCTTCTTTCCTTCCTTTACATCGTCGGCTTCTTCTTCCGTTTCCTCTATTCATCTTTCTTAAGGGTCTTGAGACGGGGACGAGGTTTCTCTTATCACCAACGTTGCCCATCTGGAGAGGAACTGTCTTTAATCACCTTCATCTGCTTGCTCTTCTCTATACTTGACTAATATCTCATCAGTCTCAGGGGTCCTTTCAGTCTCCACACTCCTCCTCTCCTGGCGGCTGCATCCAACACTGGGGCCGCCCGCCCAACGAGCGCTCCTTTAGATGTTCTGAAATGTCCTAAGGCAACAGAGATCTACAGTACAGCAGTAGCCTTGCTCGGTTCCACTCGATCTGGGCCCTGGTCCAGGGCAGACGGCTTCAGGTCATGGTGTGCATATGGCCATGCCACCGCCACCAAGTTCTGACGGTCTTCATCCTACTCACGACATGTGCCAATGCCTACAACATTTTACAATCCAAGCATCTCTACGACTGGGGTTTGTACGGGCTGTGGCCGAGGACGTGGTTCACAACCTTTGACCTGGGTGCACCACGCCTCAACTTCCTCAAGTGGAATGACGCCTGTGTCGACGGCTTTTTCCTCTTCGCACTTCGAGGGAGCTATGTGGCCCATTCAGGCCCTGTGATCCTGGACGCGAGGGGCAACCTGATATGGATGACTGCCGAGACGTTTGGAGAGGATGGCCAGGATATTACCGACTTCAAGATCCAGACGTACAAAGAAAACCTGTACATCACCTTTTGGGCTGGTTCTGACGGTGCAGAGCACCAATACGGCATGGGCAGCTACTATATGGTAAATAGCACAACCTCTTTTGCTGGATGGAGAATCCAGAGACAGCTATTGACAACCGTGCCAACAGCTGGACGAGACCTACAAGGTGGTCAAGACTGTCAAGGCCGTCGAGACAAGAGGCCAGGATCTGAAAGGGGATCTCCATGACTTCCTTATCACCAGTCAGGATACCGCACTCCTCACTGTCTACCATCGCCAACCTGCCGACCTTTCTGCCCTAGGGGGCCCTCAGGACGGCTGGATCCTGGACAGCATCTTCCAGGAGGTGGACATGGAGACGGGCGAGCTGCTCTTCGAGTGGCGTGCATCCGAGCACATCCCTGTGGAGGACGGCATGCGGACCTACATGAAATCCTCAGACCATGGTAGAGATCCAGGAGCGGGCTTCGACTATTTCCATATCAATAGCATCGACAAGGACCACCGTGGCAACTACATCATCTCAGGGCGGCATACCCACCAGATCATCTGCATCAACCCGGATGGCGAGACCGTCTGGATCCTGGGCGGCAAGGAGAACATGTTTACTGACCTATCGGGCGGTCGCGCTACGGACTTTTCATGGCAGCATCACGCGAGATGGTACGGGAACGATACACTCACCCTGTTCGACAATGCCAAATCCCCTTACGGCGGGAGGCGATACACTGGCGACCACAGCCGGGGGCTGGTGCTCCAGATCGACGCCGACGCCCTGACCGCCCGGCTGGTGCATGACTATCACGACCCGGCGCACCCCAAGCTGGCCAAGAGCCAGGGTTCGGTGCAGGTCCTCGAGGGCGGCAGCGGCAACGTGCTCGTCGACTACGGCTTCTACCCAACCGTGACCGAGTTCTCAGCAGGTGGCGAGGTTCTCTGCGACGTGCGGCTGGCCCCCTGGCTGATCTGGCACCTCGGCATGGTGACGAGCTACCGGGGCTTCAAGACGACCCAGTGGGTCGGCCGGCCGTGGTACAGCCCCGTCACCTCCCTGTCGCCATCAGAAGGTGTGCTCTATGTCAGCTGGAACGGCGCCACCGAGGTCAGGAGCTGGGTGCTTCAGGGCGCGGACTCCGATGGTGTCCGCGACAATGTCTTTGAGGACCTCGACGTGCAGGCCAAGGACGCCTTCGAGGCCAGCTTCAAGGTCTCGGACAGTCATATACCCCAGTACCTGCGGGTGGCTGCGGTCGACGAGCACGGCACGGTGCTCAAGTACTCGCAGCCCGTCGACCGCTATGTAGGCAACGCCAAGGAGAAGACGTCATCGTCGCCGTCGCTGTCCCTTCTGCGGGGCATTCTTATCACTCTGGGTGTTCTCGTGAGCATCGCAGCCGTCGTGGCTCTGGTTCGCAGCAAGGCTCCGAGCGCACTGCCCACGAGGTTCCCACAAGGTAGTATTAACATGATCAATGTTGTGGCGGAGATACGGAAATCTCTTGCGTGGGCGGGCTTCTCGAGGTTCATAGCGAGGGAACCTGAGTATAGGGAACTGCAATCATTTGAAGATTGATGAGCATTGTCATTTGCATTTGCATCTGGGCGGCGTTTGGGCAGTGTTTAGACTGGCATGGCCTATTTCACCGGTCATCATCACCAAACCATCATCATAGACATGATAAGACGGATCAGTGCACGATATCACCTTCTAGATGGAGACACAGCCCTGGAGAAAACTCTATTCTATGGAACAGTACTTGCTAGGCTGGAAACAGCCATAAGGTTCTTCAGAAAAGATTGGTTCTTTCGGTTAGTAGAGCCAAGACAATCCTGCCCTCTTTCCGTGGCTGCAAAGGTTCAATTAAACGAGGTCATCGGATCACATCCGAACTGCCACCCGCGCGCCCCAAAGTGTTACCAAGGCTCTCTAGAGTTACGGTAACATTGTATGTTGGAACAACAGGGGCGGGGAAGCATGTCACATTGTGCTAGTCCAGTTCAGGAAGATGGACACAAAAGATCAACTGTTACAGAGTGAAAGAGGGCGGTAGAGGCGGATTTCGTGTGGGGTCACACTGCCCTGGTGGCTCACATGAACCGCGAGAGGGGGGAGAGAGACAGTTGAGACAAAGGAGGAGGGGCTGGTATGTGTAATGTCTTCATTTGGATTACTCAGTCCTACTTACTGCTTCCACTCCTATACTCAATGCCCTCTTCGCATTAACGACCTCGTGGTCATACACATCTTGTTCTGTTGTCCATTACAATACACATTTCATTACACAAGTGCCAATCCTCTTCTTTCTATATTCTTTGGCCCTGTGATTATTCCCTTACTTCACTCCAAAACCGCCGTTGGCAGGACAACATTCAAGCCAACCCACCACAGAATCATTATACCCTCATCTTGACACAACAGAAACAACATGGCGCCCGCCCCTTCCATCCTCTCTCACCCTACTCTCGCTTACCAGCCCTTTTCCACAATCTACAAGCTCTACCGCCTCGCCACCATTCTTCTCCGGTTTCCTTTGTGGCTCGTCAAAGCCCTGATCCCCTCGCTCCGGCCCCTCCCAACATGGACCTTCAAACAAACTCTCGCCCGCAACATCGCCTACAACATGGTCCACACAGACGCAACCCTAAGCATCACCAAACCCCTCTCCCTCGCGCCAGGCAAAGAAGGACCCCGCTGGACAACCATCCACCCCCCGTCCGATGAACAGCAGCAGCAGCAGCAGCAGCAGCTCTACACCGGCCCCATGGCCAGCACCACGATCCACCCAGCCGTCATAGGCGGGACCTGGTACAGCACCAAGACGACCGCCGCGGCCCCCACAGGCCCAGACTCGGTCCCAAAAACCTGGACGAAAATCGCCCTCCACTTCCACGGCGGCGCCTTTGTCCTCGGCGACGGCCGCCAGGACGCCACAGGGTTCCTGGGCAACCTCCTCACCCGCCACGCAGGCTTTGACGCCGTGTTCGCGCCGCAGTACCGCCTGGCCGGGTACGGAGGCCGCGATCCGTTCCCTGCGGCGCTGCAGGACTGCCTCACTGCGTATCTGTACCTGGTGCGGACGCTGGGCGTGGCGCCGGCCCGCATCACCGTCTCTGGGGACAGCGCGGGCGGGAACCTGGCTGTGGGCCTGCTGCGGTATCTGGAGAGGTATGGAGAGGGTGGTGGGGCGGGGTCCTTGCTGCCTCTGCCCGGGGCGGTGGTGCTCCTGAGTCCCTGGGTGAACCCTTCTGCTGCGGAGCTCACGGACTATGAGGGCTGGGGGCTCATGCGGACGGATTATCTGCCGCGGGCGTTCCTCGTGTGGGGGTACAGGGCTTACATCCGGCAGGCTGCCTCTGCTGAGGGGATCAGCGAGTGGGTCGACCCTCTGGGCCACCCGTTTGTTACGCAAGTGCCGGTGTTTGTCAGCTGGGCGGGGGGTGAGGTCCTGGGTGTGGACTGCGCGAGGTGGGCGGCCGAGATGAGGGAGAAGAGGGGCGGTGCTGGGGGGGATGGTGGGTGGCGGTTTGAGGTGAATGTGGAGGAAGGGGGCGCGCCGCATGATACGCTGCTGGCGGGGGATGTTCTTGGGTGGGAGAAGAGTGCGGAGGAGGTGGCTCGTAAGATTAGGAGGTTTTGTGGAGGGGAGACGCTCGTAAGATGAAGAGGTGTGTGTGTGGATGAAGGAGGAAGGAGGAAGTAGGAAAGGAGAAGAGGGAATACGCTGTAGATTGATGGTGTCTCATGTCTTTGTAAGTAAGTAATTCTGGGCATGGGCTTTTCAATCTTTCGATAAAAGTTTGTCCTACTCTTTTTTCGGAGCCTTCTTTGTAACATGGTTTTGGACCTTGTGAGTCCCGAGGGCTATAATTCTCCGTCTTGGTGTCATGCCAAATGCCCTTCCTCGGGTTGGTACAGCTGTATTTAGAGGTTCGGGATTTGTTGAGGGATGGATCAACTAGTACTTTCATTAAGTAACTGTCGACCGGCACCATTTTTTTTAAAATATATATGTATAAATATATATATATATATATCAAGCCTTAAGAGACAACCAACCCCCTTTGAGAGCCTTGGAAGATCTGACCAACCACGACAACCTATACCCTGGTGGTTGTATCTATTCAGTTTCAGTACTTGACATCAAGTTTGCCCAGACCGATGTATCTACCTCGCATATGAATTAAACCTAGTTTGTCTGTATCACGATAACTCCCACATGGAACGTCGCAACACATCACAGAAAGACCAGTGCACCCTCAGAAGCCCCAGTACAACCACCGGCTTCGCTGTGCCAGCCCCTCCATAATAAGTGACAGCAGGTCCTCGTATCACATTCATCTGTGACTGCCGTTGGTCTGGTTTCAAGGTCACACTCGCGAGCAAACAGAACTGTATTCAGCCTGCTGTCCTGTCCCAGCTCTTGCATAAGAGCTGCTCTTGTCTCCCACACTTATTCACTTTGTGTGTCTTCTGCCCCCTTCAGATACTTCACGGGTAGGATTTCTCAGCATTAGCCTTTCAAAGAACTGCCATCCCTGATCATCCGTTTCTCATTTACGTAGAAGCTTTTCACCTCCAGGGGAGTTTCGATCCCAATTTTGGTAATCATTACAAGTTCTCATTTCCCCCAACAATCATCTTTACTCCCATCACCGACCATGGACATCTTTATTTCCCTCCTCCTCCTACTCCTCTTGTATTTCAACCTCATCTCCTCTTGCACTGCCACACAAGTCCGCCACGTCAACCAATCCGAGTTTCTCCCCAAGCGCACCTACTCGGAGCACTTCAAGCTCATCGACTCGGTCCGCAACTGCACCGACGCCGTGTGGTCCCTTGAGGCCCTCAACACCACCGCCTCCGTCTCCGTCGGAGACTGCCACAAGGTCCTCCAGAACGTCCGCCACAACCACGGCTACTACGAGGTCTGGGGTTTTGATAATGACGACTTCGCGCCAATCACAGGATTCCAGAGCTGCGTGTTTGCGGTGGCGCAGACGGGGCCGGATGGTTCCGCTGGGCCTCAAGGTTATGCTGTGTATGTGTCTCCGTTTGCAGATGGGAGCCTACAACCACATCACTCTGGGGCTCTCTCTCCTCTCTCTTTACCATATCAACGCTGACTTTTCTTGAAGAGTCGGTAATGATGATGTTGTCTCCGTGGTCGTGGAGGCCATCGGCACTTCCAAAGACAACATCACCGGTGCGGCGGGTTCCTTTACCTGCGGGACCAACCAGGTCGTCTTGTCTGTCATTGTCTATAATGGGCTGAATGGGTATGACGGAACCCCGTCTGCGCCGTCCATTAACCTCTGGGGGGATATCCATTATACCACAAGAGAGACTGCGACGGCCCCGACGGTGACGAGCGTGCCTACTGAGATACCGACATCCACTGCAGGTGGCTAGATTGTGTGGGGGCTACCTACTGGACGTGGGCTCTTGGTGGTGGAGAACAAAGTTGGTCTTCCTGTGAGGGTTGGAGAAGGCTTTGCGTTTTGGAAGGCATGAGTATGGTGTTGTAGCATTGATCATGCTCAAATAGTGATGATGCGTATCATTCAAGAGATGATAGAGTAATGTTTTCTTTCAAACATGGTTATGGTATTCGATTCATTATAATTACCTCACAGTCATGCATCTTATCACCATCTCCTAGTTGACCAAATACTGCTATGTGTACCGCAATCTGCCAAGTATAGAATATAGCCACGAAAGACTTGCCAACTAGGCCGTGTCCTTTCGCTGTCAACTATCTCTTAGGCCCACCGCAACATTAAAGCTCTAGCAGAATACGGCTTCCCTTTTCTGGTGCTATCTGAACCATCTAACCTAATATCTTACTTATGTAGTCTATCATTGTTTGTACAGGCGCTGGCAAGGCTGCCTGACTTTCGGCCCCACCCCCGTCTTACAAGTGCATGTTCACTGGAATTAACACCGTGTCCACCCATTCCTTCATGACCATGTGTTTAAATGAATCAATTGCCACATGTTCAATTCAGTAGGCATAATGAAAAGCTGAGACAATCCAATCACAAAGTATATGCGTGGGTTTCCAATTGGATTCTCTACAACAGTTGCATCTTGAGTACACATCGTTCACCTCCGCCCCAACTATTCACAATGCCACTCAGAATCCTCATCATCGGCGCGGGAGTAGCTGGGCCCGCCCTAGCCACCATGCTCCTCCGCTCTCCCTCCGCCTCCTACAGCATCACGATCATAGAACGCGCTCCCCACCTCCGCACAGGCGGGCAACAGGTTGACCTGCGGGCCCAGGGCATCCCCATCATCAAGCGCATGGGCCTCCTCCCCGCCATCCAGGCCCGGTGCCAGAACGAAAAGGGCCTCGCCTTTGTAGACACACACGGAGTCGTCAAGGCGATGGCGGGCCGCAACGACACCGGCAGCGGGCCGCAGGGGTTCACGAGCGAGTTCGAGATCATGCGCGGGGACCTGGTGCAGGTGCTGGTGGAGGAGAGCCTCGCGGCTGCGAGGAGGCTGCGGGGCGAGGAGGCGGGCGAGGTGCTGCGGTACGAGTTTGGCAAGCATGCGACGCATCTCGTGCACGAGGGGGATGTCGTGCGCGTCACGCTGTCGGACGGCACCGAGGCGGAGTTTGATCTCGTCGTCGGGGCGGACGGGCAGGCATCTCGCACGAGGCGCATGCTGTTCGGCGAGGAGGCTAGCAGGGCCGCGTTTCGTTCGATCGGGGTCTACAGTGCGCTCTTCAATATCCCGCGCGACCCAGCCGAGGAAGATGTCTTTGTGGCCAAAATGTATCTTGCGCCGGGCAAGCGCTGGGTGGCCACACGCACGGGGGCTCTGCGCAGCACACAAGCCTCTCTCTCTACGATGGCGCCCACAGAGAAGCTGGTCAGCGCCATGACGGAGAAGGGCGGCGATGTGGATGCGCAGGCGGCTGCGTGGGAGGAGCACTTTAGGGGTGCGGGCTGGCAGACGGAGAGGGTTCTTGATGGCTTGAAGGCAAGGGGTGACTTTTATGCGTACCATTCTGGGCAGATCAAGCTGGATCGCTGGCACAAGGGACGTGTTGTGTTGGTTGGGGATGCGGGATACTGCCCCAGCCCTAACACGGGCATGGGGACGACGGCGGCGCTGGTCGGGTGCTACGTGCTGGCCGGGGAGCTGGCCAAGCACGACAACAATGTCGATGCTGCACTTCAAGGCTACGAGGACGTTCTGCGGCCGTTTATCAAGGAGGCCCAGACGATAGGGTTTGGGATGCCGGGGCTGTTCTACTGGGAGAGCGCATGGGCTATCTGGCTTGTACATTTGCTGCTGGGGACCTTGGTTGCACTGAGGATTGACAAGCTGTTGTATAGGATCATGCCTGAGGATAATGGAGGCTGGGAGGTGCCGGACTATCCCAAGCTGAATCTTGGGTGTTGTAAAGGAGAAGCACCACTGGGTTGAGCCAAGTCTGAATAACTGAGTAATGTTTGTAGAGTTGAAATTGTACTATCACTACTGAACTCCTCTCTAGAGATAAATCACGCTATCCTCCCAGTGCTCCTCACAAGCAGAGCTGGTATATTATGCAGTACAGGTATATGAATAGGCGCTATGTATGTGGTGTAATAGTCGCACGACGGCCAGAAAGAAAGACCACGCAGACCGCAGTGCGTGACGACGACGCTGGAAGTGCCCATCGGGATTTTTACAAAGGCAATGGATTGGATCCTGCTAATCACAGCGCCGAGCCTATAGCGCACTGCCTCCCTCTATCCACACCTGTGAAAGGAGAGTCACTTCTTCCTCCTCCTCAGCTACAGACGGGCGAAGTGGTAGGAGGGGCAACAGCGTTGTCCGGATTGGTCTGGGAGCAACCATCCACATATCCCAAAAGCAAATCGTCTTCGGCAGCCACGTACGCCGCACCGCAATTCGGGTCGCTAGGAAGAAGATTGTCAGCTAATATGATTCGAGGATCCAGCTGCAGCGGAGACAAGTCTCATCTGGCTCTGGCTGCTGCTCCAAGAACGAAAAGAAAGAAAGAGAAAAAGAAGGAGATACAGAAGAAAAAGAAGGAGAGACTTACGACGCTCCATCCGTAGACAATTCAAAGTAGCTGCAGATATCATGCGTAAAGCAGTCCTGCGTGTATACGTTGCCTATGGCGGTGCCGTCGCAAGCACTGCCGCATCTCCCGTTGCAGGCGTAACTATATCCATCGTCGTCAAGAAGTCAGCCACCATCTTTTTTTCTCTCCCGTTTCTCCCCTCAAGCCCGTGCTGCTCCAAAGAACGTACTCGCCGCCCGAGGCATTCTCGCCGTAGTTGCTGCCAACGACACCTTTAAAGGTACAGGTCTGGCCCTCGGCATTTGTCCAAGTTGCTGTCGCCGTGGCGCCGACGGTGAGGCATGTGACGCTCCGCCTGGAGAGAGGTGAAACTGGGGAATTTGGCATAGCATGGGCGATGCTTCCCAGCGTGAGCAGGCTAATGAGGTATGTCGAAAACATGTTTAAAAGCTGGAGGTAGTAAATTGTCAAATTTCAACCTTGATTTGTAGCTTTGATGGCATCAATCGCTATTATTTCCCAATGCCCATTATAGGGCAGTTACTCCCAAGATCTGCGGGAACCATCCCATCTAAATAGTCTCTCATTATGATGTTCATAAATGTGTATCTCTGTGTCGCGTTTGCTTTCTCCATAATGCCCCATGAGCTGGATACCGGTTTTAGACGGATAGTGGTATCTCTCCAGAAGATGGTGTCGAGAGACTAATCAGTTCTTCTCGGATTATTCCGTGATTGTCAATTTCTCATGTCGTCATCGGAGGCCGGTCTGTTGTGGTAAAGTTGAGCCTTGTTGTGGTTTAGCCTCCGGAGAAATTCACGGAGTTTGGTGGTGGTGAGTGATGCCTTTTTGATTTGAGCATAAATGAGCTGAGATTAAAGGAAGAATGAAAGTTCTGGTGGAGGTCATAGGGCGATGGGTTGCTTTTGGCGCGAATGAACCCTGTGTTGATCGCATGGCTCGGCCACGAATTGCTGCCGACTATCATATTTCCTATCATTGGTTGCGTGGGCATTGATAAATCCTATGTGTATGGGCGCTCGCCCATTCGTGTCCATGCTCGATCTATTGGCCAAGGTTGCATGTTTCCTTGAAAATGTTTCATTATTTTGCCCTGCTACAGAGACTGTAGTCTATGCAAGAGTTCGTCCCGAGATTATTGTTGATGAGAATTGATCAGAACTGGCTAGAGGGACTGATTATTACTCAGCGTTTGAGAATGAACGAATGATGTATATGTATTTCTCTTCTTTTGCACAAAATTGCTTAAGTACTTATCAACTAGGAATTGTTCTGAAAAGCCAACCATTGCTGTTCTACTGTCAACAATGCACGAATAGTAATCGATTGATGTATCTGTACGGTCATGACATTTTCTTATCCTTATCCTTTTTCAATCCTTACACATCGAATAGACTTGACAAATATTCGTGAGGTGATCATCTTTGACGGCTCTCCCACAGGCATCTTTCATCCAGCGCATCTATCTGTCACTGTAGATTCTACTGAAAAAGGAGAAACTGGGGCGATGACTGTGTGAGCGCGCAACAATTTAAAGATGAGATGAGGTCAACGATCCCCATCACGGGACAGTTTGTATGGGCGGGCACACATTTTTCGGCCGATTCACTCAGGTGTTTTCTGCCGCGAATGAACTTGGCACCGGTCAGAGAGGTTCTAGACCAGCTGTAAGGGTATGTGCAGTGGACCACAAGTCGCTAAATGCGGCGGCACAACGGACGATGGCAGAAACACGGGGTAGTTCTTCAGGGATCCTTATAGCACACAATGTTAACATCTCATCACCAGATTGCGGTCTCCCGTTACAAAAGCCCACTGTTTGGCTTTTATGGTTTGATAGTGTGACAACTCATCATTTGAAACCTTGACAGTGCCAGATGGTTCACATGGCCTGATACAACCGCCATAGCTTCAGCATCTGAATCTGTCATGTCCCAAAATACAGTCTCCCCTTATAACAGAGCTCAGACCTCTGGTTCAAGAATTTACAATGCCTACTTTCTCTCCTTCGCTCTCTTTCTTTGCTCTCCATAGTTATCGGGACCAAATAATTGCTGGTACTATTTTCGTCCCAGGTGGCGGCTGCAGGGCCGCTCTGAGAAGCAGAATCTGGATACAATCCTGGCTGCCCAGGGTGATCAGCCTGTAGATCGCCTACCATATCCTGTTTGAATACGAGTAAGCCCACGTCTTTCTTTTCTTCCTTCTCTATTCTCCGCCCTGCACCGTTGCTGGCTTCGGGACTCTAGCGCAAAAATGATGGCAATCACCTATCTCGAGTCTTATGAACGGGGGCCTATAATTATTTATTTGACCCAGATAATTGTTGTCCAACGTCATTGCCACTGACGATGTGTGTGCAGCCGGTTTTCCTTGGTTCTGATCAACCAGAGCCGGCTTCGAGGCTTCGCTCTTATTAAAGCGTGTTCGTTTCTGAGCCTGGCGCTCAGCAGAAGCCGAAGCCCTCAATGCCTCGATAACAGCTTTCTCCAGCTCTTCTCTTCCCCGACCCCCAACCGCTCCTCGAACAGCCGATCGCTTCCATTCTTCGATTCCTTTTCCCTTCATTTTTGTTGACCAAGCCAACACTTCCCCTCTCTCTTCCCGTTCGGCCATGTCCACTCGCTTGTAATGGAAGCACAGAATGGAAAGACGACAGTATGGGTCCCCAAGGAGGCCTTCGAGTCGGTCCGGCGGCTGTGGAAGCCCGAGTTCAACTGGATCCCCGTGCCAGTTGACCGGTCCCTGCCTCCAGACCAGATCGCCTACATCGACACCGCCGGCCCCGTCTCGCCCCTGCCGCCAGCGCCACGCACGCCCAAGACACCTGCGCTGCCCATGCCCAGGACCCCGAGGACGCCTTTGGACCTCCCGCCCCTCGAGACGACTGCACTGAGCTTGCAGCGCCCCACAGCAGCTGGGGCCGTCGGGGGCGGGTATTTCGGGTCCAGTCCTGAGCTCGAAACGGCCATCACGGCCGGGTTCAGCCCTGGGGACAGCAGCAGCGAGAGGCCCGACACACCGTCCACGGCGACAGAGCCAGAGAGCCCTGCGACGCCCAAGGACGACGGCCCTGGTCTACCCAAGCCTGCGATCTGGCGACAGTCTCAGGCCACGGGCAGCGAGTACTCACAAGACAATGAGTACAATGAGAATGAGGCAGCAGCCCTAAACCCAGAGCCCTTTAACGCCCTCCACGGCCTGCCGCCCGACACGCAGTGGAAGATGGTGGACAAGCGTGCTAGGTATGGGCCCAGGGACAACCTGAAGCCGGCCAGCTGGAAGACGTTGGACGGGCCGCGGGATCTGGGCATGCGGGACCACTGGCAGACGTTCCGGCGCGACGAGGCGCACTGGAACGGAAGCGAAAAGGGGTTTGCCGTGAGGCTGGACATGCACCTGAACGTCGAGGTCGAGCTGAAGGGGACTGTGAATGGCGATATTACACTTTCCGCAGAAGCGTTGTATGTGAGTGCCCCGATCTGTTTTTCATTGCGCTGCTTGGAAGAGAGGGAACTAAATCTTGGGCTGCGTACTTAGGCACTATGATTCTGGCGAATGTCCTATCATGATGTAAGATGTACGATGAATGGGGTGATGTGTAATAGTAAGAAGAGAAGCATTCTTGAATGGCGCTGTGGGAGGTTAAACGAAAGGCAAAGCATTTTGACGGTATTACTATTACTGTACAACAGAAAAAAGATTAAATGATACCCCAGTTTATAATAAGGACACAATGTACATTTGCCAAAGACTGGTCTTTAATCAGTGACAAGTTACATTCTGAATTGCATGCCATGATAAGATGGACAAAATGTGCGAGGCCAGGTGAGTCACTGGCCCCACTATCGCCAGCCAACCTCTGTCTATAGCCTCAGATAGCCAGCTGTTTTTTCCTTTCTTTTCCTTCTTTTTCCTTCCCTAAGCACAGTCCAATACAGTTCATTTCCCATACAAAATGCGGCCTGGATTTTGTGATTGTGCAGAGCGATGCCTTGGGCTCTTTGTACAGCAACAGAAGCGGCAACTGTAAACAAATTATTGTCAAGAATTATCTTATCATGATCTCTCGCTTTGTCCAGCCTTGCAGAGATTCCGGTACCACTGTCTTCGGTTCCAGATCCACCCGAGAGGACTTGTTAACTATGCAAAAATCTATGCGCTCAAAATGAAGAGAGTTCCCTGGTTGGTAGACAAGCAAGAGGTTCAAGCTAAGTTCTGGATGACCCATAACAAGAAAAGTTAATGTAAGGGGCCCGCCATTGTCCTCTTTGGAGTTGTAAGTGCTGCGCGTATCCCGCACTACATTGTCCCGGAGTGTCTTGATCTGTAGCTGTTCCCCGAGTTGCTCAACAATTTCACTATCATCTTCGCATGACGATATGCGGCCACCCGGAACAATATGCGCAACAGTGTAGGAGAAAATTTAAAGCTTCTTTGATATAAAATTCGAAGCTGGCTGCCATATCAAGGTAGTACGAGCCTACCAGGATATTCCATACCGACATCAACAAGTGATTCGAAGCCCTTGAATCATGAAAAGTCCTTCCTGGAGTGACCACCTCGCAATGCGATTCTGGGGAGCTCCCATCCGGTCCACGTCCAGCTCGGGAACTCCGCTCGTCGTTTTGGCTTCTGGTCAGCTCCGGTCCTCATAATTCCCCATGACAAGCCAAGGACCAATGCTTCCCTGAGGAACATCCACCCCTCTCCACGGAAGATTGAGATCCCACAGAGGCTCTCTGCCCGGCCCTTTAAAAGGCACGTGGGAGCATTCAAGACACCGCGAAAAGCATCTACGATGTCTCGTTCGAAAGTAAGAGACCTTTGCAAATATTCAATCAATCGATGGTTTAGATCCTGCGGGTACCTGCCCAGTCCACGAAGAGGAAAGACTCTGGACATTTCCACAATCTCGCATCCGGTTATTCTTGAGCGTATGAAGGCTTTTGAGCGGCGCATAGATACTCTCAAGACAGAGCATAGAATTGCATTGAAAGTATACTTGTGTGTCGATCAATACGAGCTTTCGTGTAGAAAGAAGCTCTTCTTGATAAGTCCATACTCGGTTATTCCCTTTCGACCACAAGATTGTATGCTTGACGTACGAAGTAGACACGAGGGCCCTACTTCCGCTTTTCACGTGTGGTTGATCTTTTCGTGGTTTCGTGCCGACTCCAGGCAGTCCGTAGCAAGGATTACCTCCTGCGGGTATAATCGTGACGGCAGACTGCCGGTAGATCGTATCCAGGCTCGGGTTCTGCAACCTCTTTTCGATAGATTTATCCTGGGAAATGCAGTATCGATCGATTCACAAGTACCGATATCCGAGAAGGATGGCTAAAAAAAAAAAAAAAGCATCCTCGATTGTCGCAAGTGAAAACTCGGAGGAGTGTCCCGGGGCGATTGTAGTATCTTCAGTCGGGCTCCCCCAGACATAAGTGAGAGTGACATAGTTCTTTGGATGGACCACATTGTCTCATGAGACGATCCGGCGTGTCGAGCAGTTCATGACCCTGAAGCCCTCGGGAGGTCGTGATTCGTAGTTCCGGCGGAGGGTCCTTGGTTGTTGTTACAATATTCCAACCCACACTTTGAGAAGGGGAATGTCAACTTGAGGATGTATCCAGCAACTGGGGAACGCATGAGTAGCATTGGAGAGCTCTATGAGGATCTCACTGGAGTTCTGGTACTTGAACATGGTATTGTTGTGCGTCCTCCCAAGAATGGTTCACATTGTCGGTGAAACATCAAGTATGTGGATTTTGAGGCCGAGGGACAGTGCCGGGTGCCTAATGAGAGAATGTAGTGAGCCGATTATGTAGTAATTTCAAGCCGCTAGTTCGCTGTACTGAATGGGATATTTATCTGGACTCAACGTCCAGATCAATTTGTCCACCACATGAAGCATTAAGAAACAACTTAAAAACTTATTCGACTCGTCCCATAGAAATGTGCTTCCATCATCGTTGTTCATACGCCGTTATGAACACAATTAATATAATATGTCTCGACTCCTCGCCGGCGAAAGAAAGTGTGGGCCTCGCCTCGCGATGAGGGCCGAACCGCTTGATCCGGACCTTCCGCAGGGAACACGGGCGCAACTGCAGTGCAAGAAGCAGAGAGCCACTGACGTCACTGGAAGCTACGTAGTGCTAGTGGTAGCTGTACATCCTAGTAGCACTGCGTCCTCGTTTCCTACCCAGCAAGAAATCGGGTTGGGCTTGACCTCATCGATTGACAAGCATCTGCGCGAGATATGAGACTTTTCCCTACATAATCACGGCGCTGCTCTACTCTTGGAAATTTCAATTGTCTGGGTGACTGATTCTATTACAATCTGATACAATTTCGCATAGACTTTAATAGACCAAAGTTCTCTCCCCTCCGTCGCGAATTCCGATCATCCCTTTCTTCATAATAATTTTTCCCCCATCTCGCCAGACATAGGACGTTCATAAACGGCCGAGAAAAGAAAGAAGAAAAGTAAACCGAAGGAACCAGGAGCTTACCGATAGATATCCACCTCCTCACTCAGCACCAGCATTTGAGTTTACTCTACATCATCAGCGACAACCCACAATACCCTCCCTACGCTCAGATCCTCGGACCTCTCGACCATTCTTGAAATGTCGAAAGAGAACGGTGACCTGCCCAACTATGGGCCCTCAGACTACATCAAGTTCTTTGGAGCCGGCGCTCTCGCCGCAACACTCACACACGGCGTATGTGTTTTCTCGCTTTCAAGACGTTCCTCATGTTTGCACCACAGAAGGCTGACAAGAGAATCCAACCACAGGCCGCCACACCCATTGACGTCGTCAAGACCAGGATACAGGTCGACGACGCCATGAAGGGCCTCAATATGATCAAAGCAGGCCGCACGATCGTAGCCAAGGAGGGCGCCTCTGCCCTCCTCACGGGATTCGGCCCGACGGCGGTGGGCTACTTGGTGCAGGGCGGCGGCAAGTTCGCTGGCTACGAGTTCTTCAAGAAGCAGTTCATCGGCATGACCGGTTCGGCAGAGGCGGCCACGAATCACCGGACGGCCATCTACCTGGGCGCCAGCGCGACGGCCGAGTTCTTTGCGGACATTGCCCTGTGCCCGCTCGAGGCGACGCGTATCCGCCTCGTATCGCAGCGCGGATACGCGAACGGCCTGGCCACAGGGTTCATGCGTATGGCCCGTGAGGAGGGTTTCCGGGGCTTCTACTCTGGCTTTGTTCCTTTACTTTTCAAGCAGGTGCCCTACGCCGTGGGCCAGTTCTCGGTCCACGAGGCCGCCAACGAGATGATCTACCGCGCCATGGGCCCCGAGAAAAAGGCATCATTGACCAACCTCCAGCAGACCGGCGTCGAGCTCACCTCAGGTCTGGTCGCCGGTGTCGCGGCCGCCGTCTTGTCGCACCCAGCCGACACGCTGCTGTCAGCCATCAACAAGGGCGCAGGGGACAAGAGTCAGAGCACCACAGGGAGGATGTTCTCACTGGCGCGCGAGTTTGGGCCCAAACGGCTGATGTTCACGGGCTTGGGCCCTCGTATCGTCATGACCTGTGGGTTAGTAGCTGGTCAGTTTGTCATCTATGCGCAGTGCAAGACGCTGGTCGGTGCACCGCCTGGTATTGAAATTCACAAGGAGGAGTCGCTTTAATGGAATTGATGTTGTGCTGTCAGAGGCTTTTCTTTCTTTCTTTTCGTCTGCTTCTTTTCCTTCAAAAAGTAACAGGTTCCTCTTTTCGGTGGTGTGGTACCTGGCGTTAATCATAGAGAGATGAAGGGCCAATGCATGACCAGCTTAGAACACTTTATAGATGGAATTCTCACGACTAAGAAGGAGCCTTAATGATTTATGTACTGCGTTTCACATCCAATATTTCAAAACTTCTACCAACAGCCTAATCGGTTATACATGCCGACGCGTAATTTCCGGAGCACCCTGGACGATACAAGATCCTTCTGCCTCCCGCCAAGCGACAGCTGGACCTTCAGCCCTTTAATAAATAGAGTTATCCTTATTATGCCTTGTCCAGGGGAGGTGGGTTCTCTTTTATCCACTATGGGGCCCCGGCTTACGTCTATGATAGGCTGCTGTCAACGTTAAAACAACACAGCCTGACAGGTAATGAGATCCTGTCAGACGGCGGCTGCCTACCCGCGCAGTATCTTTTTCTTGGGGGCTGAAGCACTACGCAGCTTTGCGAGATTGCTGCCTTCTCTCCCTCTCTCTCCTGTCACCTATTTGAGGATTCCGTCGGAAGTATGGCATGGGATGGGGTCCAGGATCAAGAGCCAAGCGGCAAGAGTCCGAGTGAGAGCGCGTGGGAACAACAGTGGCGGATAGTGAGAGAAAAGGACGAGGGACGAGGGACATCTCTCCGATTTTGTAGTACCTCCATCTGAGGAACCAACAACGCTCTTGTCCTCCCTCTTTTTCTCTATGGATGCGCTACTCTTGACCTGTAAACAAGGTTGTCTGTTCAAAGTTCCCTTCTCTCTTTTCGTTGGTGTTCCCCCTCCCATTGTGCGGGGAGCCGCGTAAACCCCCGGTGCAGCAGTTCCACAAGTCGACCTGTCGATCTCGAGACTGAGAAATGATGCCATCCTCCTGGTCCCAATGGCGGGCTCTCATACTAGCAGCAGCATCGCTGTCCCCAAAGCAGAAGAGAACAACGACGTCAGGTCAATACGCAACCTGGATATACCCGGCCGACGACACCGAGACCTTTTACTACAGAGACCAGATCGACGTCACGTACCAATGCAGCTCGTCTGCCTCGTCGTATCTGGTTGTGAACTGCTACCAGGGCATTGGGGATGGTAAGTGAAACGGAATAAATATCTACCGCGATCTGTGTGATGATGGCCTTTTATCCTTCTTCTTTTATTGTTATTGTTCTTCTCAACCTGACACGTATTATGTACGTAGTGCAACAACAGCAAGTCGCACCAGGGGGTGATGCCACGGTGGGCATCACGCTTCAGCTGTCCAACGGAAGCTCGTACTCGGAGAACGAGGACCTGAGCTGCTGGTTTGACCTGCGCAACGTGTCGGGCTACGCGGGTGTGGCGAACGGGTCGAACTCGCCGTCTTGGAATTACATCCACACGGAGCGCAGTGGCGGTCCGGTAAGTGAATGATAGCCGTCTACCTTCTCTCCCTCTTCTGGAACCGAGAGACGCATCACATGCTCATCCATCTCTCGTATAAACAACAGGCCACTCTCGCCCTGCCATCATCCTCCAGCCAATCAGTCGCCGCCACCACGTCCACGACCTCAACAACGAGCCAGACAGCGACAACAGCGACGCCGACGTCGGCGAGGGACCGCACCTCGGCAGCAGCAGCAGACGCAACAAAAGCGACGGCAACAACAACGGCCATCCCGAACAAGAGCTCGGGCAGCCTCTCCGTCGGCGCCGGGGTGGCCATCGGCGTCTCGGTCGGGGTCTTGGCCGTCGCGGTCCCGCTCGTGTCGCTCGTCTTCATTCGCAGGCAGAGGAAACGCAGACAGCAGCTGGACGAGGTGCGCAGGCGGGTGGGCTTTGACGACGGGGCGCCGCCGCGTGAGCAGCACGTGCAGCCGTCGTCTGCTGGGTTCAAGTTTCGAGGGTCGGAACCACCTGGATACTCGTATTTCTCTGGTAAGAACGACCCTTCGAGGGGGGTCAGTGGTGGCTCGTATCCTCTCAGGGAGGTGACGTCTACGCGGGAGGTGTATGAGCTTTATGGGAGCCAGGCTGGGGAGGAGTTGGAGGTGCCTGCGACCAGGAGGGCGGCAGTGCCTCCGGCGGATTTGAGGCCATAGGACGAAGAGGTTGGCTTGGTTATGGCTTCATGTGGTATCACTAACAAAGAATAATTCGCTTCAAGTCAAGAATGATTCCTCCCTGAAAAGGGACCAGTGATTTCTTTAGGTCACTTGCGTCACACTCTCCACAGTTCTGTTAATCCAGTCCTGTACAATCATTTGTACCAGCTGGCTGGTTTGACAACAGGGCTGTCATGGTGCAGACGATGCAGTATAGCGGCACTCATTAGATCACCGCCATGATCTTAGGTTTCACTGTTTATGACCTCCCCCGTTCGGTTCGTCACAAATGACAGAGTTTCGACCCCATGCACAACCCCCCATCACTTCTCTCCGCATGACACAGCAAAATACAACCTATAATCTTGACATACACCCTCCACTAAGTCCGTGCGTGGGGAAATCTGATATTATCCGAACAGGGTGTCTCTAAAAGTCTATCAGCCGGGCTTCGTGGGGCTTGTTGATCGTCAGGGGAGGATTGGAGGAAAAAAAGAGGAACAAATCTAGAGGGCGCGAGGCTTTTAGAGACACTACACTGCAACCCAGGACCCATTTTCGAACAACGGAGACAAGAACGACGACATGCCATTTCGGGCAGCTCCCGCTGTCGACGATGGACACAAAGGGGGGGTTCTTCCATCCACAAACAGAAGAGAATGGATGGGGCTTCCACATGATTACCACATAGATGTAGCAAGCATAAAGTCTAGCAATATGCCATCTCTTGAGTGGGCAACCCTTACTTGATAGCTGTGGTACTCAGTTCATGAGTTCGTTCCAGGCCAGGACTTACACAACAACTACCCGCCCCAGAGCACCCAAGGATTATATACCAAAATGCTGGCCAAAACAGCCCTCACCGCAGCCCTCCTGGCGCTGCTCCCCTCAACAAACGCCCTCGCCTTCCCAGGCGCAGTAGGCTTCGGCTCTTCAGCGACAGGCGGAACAGGCGGCTCGACCTACGTGGTGACGAATCTCGACGACTCCGGCGATGGTTCGTTCCGAGATGCCGTGAGCGAGTCCGGGCGGATCGTGACTTTCGACGTGAGCGGGTACATCGTGCTCGAGTCGGCCGTCTCCCTGGCCAGCGACCTGACCATCAATGGCTCGACAGCGCCGAGCCCCGGCATTGGCATCATGGCCGGCGAGGTCTCGGCCAGCAACGCCGATAATATCATTATCGTCAACATGCGGTTCCGCCAGGGCAGCGATGACCCGGACGACGGGAAGAGCGCCTTTAACATGGGCGATGCCTCTAATATCATTCTTGACCACTGCTCTGTTGCCTATGGCCAGTGGGACTCGGTTGATGCCGTGGGCGCCGTCAACATTACCGTCTCCAACAGCATCATCGCCTTTCCCATCTACCAGCAGTTCGGCGCACACGTCGAGACCGGCCCGGCGACTTTCTTTGGGAACCTCTGGGTCAGCGCTCACAACCGCCAGCCTCTAGCCAAATCTAACACCCAGTATATCAACAATGTAGTGTACAACTATCAGGCCGCCTACACCACTGCCGACACAAGCGGGTCGTTCTATCATGATATCATGTACAACTATTTCATCACGGGTCCCAGCACGACTTCTGCCAGTGATAGATACTGTAAGTAAACGTCTCTTCTTCCTTTATCTCCCTCCTATGTCTTCATGATCAGTGTGCATTGTGAATACGCAGCTCTTTGAAAGAATCTTCAACACGGACTAAAATTCCAACGATCCTAGACCAGATAGAAAGCAACCAATACGCATACGCCATCGGCAACTACGGCGACGCAACCAACGACGGCGTCCTCAACGGCGCCGAGGAGAACCAGATCGGTGATGCCACCGTGCTCAGCTCGCCCTGGGAGTCCACCTCCACATCCATAGTCAAGTGGACTGCCGCCGAAGCCGTGACCAACGTCCTGGCCAGCGCCGGCGCGAGCCCTCGTGACGAGGTCGATGCTTTGGCGGTGTCGCAGGTTGAGTCGTATGGTACGGAGGGAACTATCTATGGGGACCAGTCCGATACGGGGTTGTCTAACGGAGGTTATGGAACGCTGTGATGCGGATATTCGTTCAGTTGGAAGGTGGCAACTCCGAAGCCATGCTCAAAGGTTAGAAAGTTATCCTGGGCGGTTTTTGGCTAGTTGTTTTTGTTGTACATATTTGTTTCTGCTGGCATCTCTTTCCGTCCAAGTTTGTAGAGATGACTCTTGGGCAAATCTAAGTTTGCACATATCGTAAGAAGCATTGTCTGCTGATTCTATGACATATGATCATTACCGTTGAGCCCTTTCTCCATGTAACAGCGGAATGTCAGGTCTAGAGCGTGTTAGGCAGGTTTGTAAACGCTTGGACTAAGAGCAGCAACTCAACGATTCAATATTGTGCACGAACATATTTGGTACTTAAGTACTATACTCAGTCTTGAGACATATCGGCGGGACAGCCAACTATCTGGCTACCATGCGTAGAGAATATGTGTCGACACAAACCTCGTAGAAGATAAGACCGAGGTCACATCATCATGGCATGCAAACAAGCACGAATAAACATTGAATTTATCATGTCTGGACAGGATTCTACCTGACCTGTAATGCTCTCTGGAAGCAAGACTCGCTGGTGAAAGTATCACATACCTCCTGCCTAGTAACTACTTGAGTAATACACAACTCAGCCACATCATGAGAGGTGGGTCATTGCCATATACAAAGAAGGCCAGACGCACAGAACTCTCAGAAGCCATGGCCACGCTGACTCTGAGACCTTCTTATGCTATGGACGATTGGATTTTCTGTGCAGTTGGCTGAGCGTCGTTTCGTGATTCAAACATTGAAATATCCACCATCTGCAATCATACGACTTTGTCATAAGGTCCAATCCACTATGATAAACAACCACTTTAGAAACCGCCAAAATAAAAGGGCTTGTCGCGATGACTGCCTCATTCTTATGAAAGCCATCTTCATTCCTCTCCCTCTTCGTCCTCCTCGTCGGAACTCGAGTCGCTGTCCACATTAGGATCCGGCATCACAATATCATTCAAAAACGTGATCTGTATGATGAGGAATCAGTAATGATGAAAGGAGGATGGGAATAATACACAAAGTCGAAGCTATAATACTCACATATCCAACCATGGCTTGTACTATTGCTGTGATCTGATCCTGAGCGTCCGGCGCTGTAAAAATACTATCAGGAACCTTCTTCCCAATAGTGAAATTGCGCAGCTTTAGTAGCTCGATATCCCGATGACCAGCGTCAAAGCCCTATCGCACGAAACAAGAGTCAGCAACCTTTCTACAAAATGAAATCAAAATCCACCCAAGCGTCCCCAATGTACATCTTCCGCTCTTCAGCAAACTTCTTCCCCCTTCGCCCCCCGGAGGACTTTCTCGACGAAGGACCCAGACACTCACCTTCGGTTTAGTCTTGAGCGCGTTACTCTTATTATACTTGGCAAAAGCCTTCACGCACCCCTCCACATCCCCCTGCCTCGTCCCAGGCAGAAACGTCCGCCTGAACCCCTCCTCCCCCAGCACCCGCCTCCACCGCCGTGGGTGCTCGTCCACGCTCGCCCGCAGCCTGGCGAGGCGTCCCGCATCAGGCATCCAGGTGCCCCCGCCGACAAAACACGCGCCTGGTTCGCAGTGCACGTAGTAACAGGCATAGGGTCCCTTGCGGCCCGTCCGCGAGAACGCGGCGCTGTAGTGTGGCTTGTAGGGCGTCGGGTCCTTGCTGAAGCGGATATCGCGGTAGATGCGGAAGACGACGTCTTTGATGGGCAACTCGGGGATGGTAGGGTCGGCGGTGATGATGCGCTGGGTGAGGGTCTCGACAAAGGTGTTCCAGTCTTTGAGGGACCGGCGGTACTCGTCATCGGTGGCTGTGGTGAAAAGAGAGGCTGGTCAGCTGTGGACAAATCATGGCAGGAGAAATCCACCAGGAAGAGCTTGTATCATGTAGGGAGAGAACCAACACTTGAGCCATGAGCGCTTGTTGTTTGCCTTGAGGTCCTTTAGGAACAGCATCGTGTTCTTGTGCAGCCTGTCGTCCTCGTACGGCACCCCGCCCGTGTCTCTCATTTTCTTGTACGGGATGATGGTGACTCGTGGCTCTGCATCCTCGTCCAGCTCATCCTCATCTTCGTCCTCGTTCTCTAGGCCTTCCTCGGCATATTCATCCCCATCCTCCTCTTCCTCGGACTCGTCCCTCGCCCGTTTGCGGCCGGCTCTCTGCGCAGCTGGCGACTGCTTCTTCGACGGCCTGCCTCTTTTCCTCTTCTGAGACTTATTGCTGGTGATAGTACTATGCTCTTCTACCTCGAAGGCGTCATCAGAGTCCTCGTCCTCTTGCGAGTCGCCCTCAAAGTACTGGCTCTTTTTGCCCGACGAGCTGATACGGCCCGACCGCCTGCGACCGGATGGCTCGGAGAGAGGAGTGTCAGGGGCTTTCCGCTTTGCCGCTGGCATCTTTACGTATTTAAAGGAATAGCAAGTGTATGAGCAGGAACCAGATAAGTTGGGTTGTTGTTCAGGGACAAAGAACACGAGCAAAAAGTCATCGAAATTATGAGGTCATTGCCCCTACAAACATCCAACGCGTCGCGTCTAGGGTGCATTAACTATTTCTCGCGCCATCACGTGCTTACCCCCTGCATGGCTTGGGAAAAGACAAAGACAAAAGGTAGCAACACTCTTATCTAGCTACGTACTTGGCTCAATTATCATGGTCGTAACATGAAAGAATCAAGAAGAAACATGCTTTGATTATAGTCTATGTATCCGTTTATTTTGTAGATACTCGCACTGGTGTCAATGATGAGCAGCGCGATGCTAAGTACCAGTGGGTCTGTTTTCTAATGGTGAAATTGATGCTTTTCTTCATTGCCTAGTAGAGAGAGAAGAAACCCGGGATGACTGAGAATCATCCCAAGGCTTTTCCACAATGCATCCTTCCTCATATTTTCCTCTTTTGTCAGCGCAGCTCTACTCCTTCACGTCCGGCCATGGCCAGCTGGGCGGGTAGTCGTCCTCCTTCGTCCCCCAGCTGCTCTCCCCGACGCCAATCACAAACTCCAACTCACCGCCCTTCATAAAGAAGTCGTGGGTGATCCAGCTCTTAGAGTACGGCCTGCCGTTCAGCTTGGCGCTCTGAATATACTTGGCGTTGTACGTCGGATCAAAGTTCAGCACCCTGATGACGGCCCACTTCCCGTTCCTGGCACGGATCTTGACTTCTCTGAAGAATGGCGGCGTGAGCAGGTAGACATCCTGCCCGGCGACTGGGAAGAAGCCCATCATGGCAAAGCCCGAGAAGGCGCCCATAGCGCAATCGTCGTTGCCGGGAATCCCGCCATAAGTCGTGTTGAACAGAGACGGTATGTAGCGGTGCGCCCAGTACGAGCTCAGCCCGGGACGGCCGGCATAGTGGAACTGGAAGACGGGGAGGAACGACTGCTCATTGCCCATGTAGATGATGCCCGACTCGTGAAAGTACTGCAGCCGCTCGACAAAGGGCTTCTTTCCGCCCATGGCCTGGATGAGCGACGCCATGTCCTGTGGCACGTAGAAGGAGTACAGCCACGGGCTGCCCTCGTATGTGCCCCAGCGTGTATCTAGGTAGCACTTGTGCATCTCGTGCACAGGACTGCAGAGTCGGGTGTCGTGTTGAGTGAATGTCCCGTCGAGCAGGCGAGGCTGCAGGAAGCCCTTGAAGTTGCTCCATTTTACTTCTTGGGTCCCCTGCACATAGCTGTCGCTCTGTTCTGGATTCCAGAGATTCCGCCAGTTCTTGCTACGCTGCATGTACTTTCGGTAATCTGCATCCTTGCCGAGCGCTTTGGCGAGGAGGGCGATCGTGAAGTCCTCGTAGGCGTACTCGACCGTCCGGGAGATGCTGCGCGTGTTGCGTCCTGTGCCGTTGTGGTCTACGTCGTCCCATGGGATGTAGCCGAGCTCGTGGTAGCTGACCAGGTTGCCTCGGCCCTCTACATTCCAGTTTTGGGGCTCAACTACAATACACCGTTAGTTGCTAGATCTTGTTGGCAATGTGGAGTGCCTGCTCACCCTCCGCGTCAGAGATGACTGCTTCGTAAGCGGTCGCCCAGTCGACGCCATCCGTGATGCCCTTTAGATAAGCATCGCCAATCACCACGTCCGCGTTACTTCCGCCTTGTGAGAAGCCTTTGGAGAAACTCATCCGGCAGTCTGGCAGCTTGCCTGCACACACACACCTGAAGTCAGCTCACGTGCCCAAGCCTAACACGAAGTCGTTCACGTACCAAGGTATCGGTAGATATCGATCAATGTGCGCACCATCCTTGTCTGTGCGACCGGGTCGATGATCGACAGCAGAGGATGCTGTGCTCGGAACGAGTCCCAAATGCAGTAGAACCTAAGAAGAATAATTAGATTCAGCAGGACGTTCAATGACGGAAAGAGCCCGCCGGTTGGAGGGGGGGGGGGTGATTAGAGCTCGGCCACATACGAGTCAAAGTACGGCTCCTTCGAGTCCCACAGTTGGTTTTCTCCCGTGTAGTCTTGCGGCGAGAGCATCGTCCTATAGAGTCCCGACCAGAACGTGACCAGGAGCGCCGGATCGATGTCCGTCTCATCGACCTCGATGACCGACAACTTCTTCACCCATGCATCCTCAGCTTTCTTCACCGTCTTCTCGAAGTTGAATTTAGGGATCTCCGCCTCTGCGTTGGCGCACGCCTGCTCTCTGGAGATGAACGACATGCCTACGCGTGCGAGGATTTCACCCTTACGCGGCGCCTCGAATTGGACCCACCCGCCTGCGGCGCCGGTTGGCACGTTAAACTGGCCCGCCGAGTCGCTTTCCAGGTCTTGACGATCAGCGTTGGGCTTGTCTCCCATAAAGGTACCAGACCGGCGGATCTTGGCGCCCTTGAAGTCTGCACAGAAGTAGGCTTCGTAGTTCCCTGTGCCGAAAGAAGGGCGAAAGTCGCCATCGCCCGTAATGCGTCCGGCCTTTGCGTCCACCCGCACGCCTCCGTTGTGGCGACTGTTGTCGAGATCCTGGAGGTCAATGAGGATGAGCGGGCTGTACTCAACCGCGACGCCTTGTCCATTCTCGGAGTCATCCTTGTCGGGAAAGGAGAAGCGGTACAGCGACGCGTGTTCCGAAGCTGTCATCTCTGCTGCGACGGAATTCTTGAGCCGGATGGAGAAGTAGCCCGGCTTAGCCCGCGCCGAATACGGCCAGCGCATCACGGAACGGGTTGTAACGCCATAGCTGCACATGGTGATATCGTCAAGCGGACATCCCGGATGGACGAAGAGAGGAAAGTTTCCCATCGAAGGGCTCTGGATCTATTGTCAGCTGCAATTATCAAGCTGCTTCACGAGCCAAGTAACATACCCCTCCCGTCCCTGTGAACGCAGTTTGTCAGTATATATATTCATATATATTGCGAAATGAGGCATCTAAGAGGCCTTACCTGAATCATGTAGTTGCGAGAATCCCCTGATGAGGCTGGTATCCTGTACAAAGCCAGCGGCATTCTCTCTCCTGTCAACTGAATCGGCAACAGGTTTCGCCATGCCTGAAAACACCATTTAGCTCGAGTACCTCTCCAGCGGTCCATGAATTATTATTTCCAAACTTACCATAGGGCATGGTCGCACCGGGAAAGACATGTCCTGCAGAGAGAGGTCAGCGTCATGACGGAAGCGCACCGACCAAGCGCGACCGTGCTCACCTCCATTCGTCGTGCCTATCAACGGATCAATGTATCTCAACACGCCTGTCGCCGGTGTCGTCCTGGGCTCGGAGAACGGAGAGAACAGCGAGCTAACGACAAGCTCTCGGATGGAACTCACTCCAGGCACTGGTACCAGCAGCACCACGACGACGAAAATGAGCAGATAGAGAACCAGGCGGCTTCTACCTCGGGTCGCCCCGCGCAGGTCCCATTTCCGCCAGAGGGGTTGCTGTCCAGGTCGTCTTGGTCTGAACGAGGCTCTGCTGTCCTTCCTGTACCTCGTCTTCGGCAAGGCGCCGCTGGCCATGATAAGGGGATCTCACCGCGATGATTGAGACACGGGCCTCATCGATGCGGTGGCAGAGGTGGATTGCGGTGGGGGGGGAGGATAGTCTCGTCTGTTCTTCACAGGTGGCCCGTGTGAGTCCAACAGATGTCTAGGTTTAGTATATACGAAGAAAAAATAAATAGGATTGTAAATGAGGTTTTGATTTCGTTGTTGTCAGTGAAACGAACGATTCAGGGTCGCTCAAAAACGGACACGGTGTTGAGGGCTGATGTCGAGCAGCAGGATGCAATGAACAAAGTCTGGGCTCACATCCATGTCCTGTGCCCAAGCCCCTGCCACACCTGCCCACAGCACGTCCATCATCGAGTCTAGGGAATCAGGGTTCTGAACCAAGCCCTGCCCGCAGTGCCAAGCTCAGGCTTGGCAGACGCCTTCTGCAGCCGTCATCCCTGAATGTGAACGCCAAAGTTGAAAACAAGAATCGACATCCTCACCAGTGTCATCACACTTACAAAAGGCTCTTCGGCCCTGTTCAACCGGTCTCTCAGCACCACTACATGTCACATTCAAAAGGCGTGTCTCATGTTGCAAAAAAAAAAAAAAAAAAAAAAAAAAAAAAAAAAAAAAAAAAAAAAAAAAATCTTCATCTTTCATTTACTACGTTCTACTTCACTCTTGAATGTTACCGCCACCTGACAGCATTCTGTACCGGAACTCGGAAGAGACGAGCCAGAAGGGCAAGTTAACAACAATGGGCTCTGTTCTGTAGGCGCGATGTAGAAGTCACTAGATCTGCAACCTCCAACAAGGGGCTGAGGAAGGCCATTTCTATCCATCTCGTGACCATCTTCACAAGCTGAACGCTTTCATACTCAGTGTCTGGGTCTCACTTGACTGCTGCCCAGTGGACAGGGACTTTTGATCAGAGGACATGTCCACCACGCTCGTACTAGAGCCCCCAGGACCAGATGACGAGGCGGTCTCAGAGATGGCATACGGTCCTCCAGAGAAACCAGAGAAGAGGCTCGAGATTGACTCAAGAACAGAATCGCCCTCATCATCAACACCAGAGTCATGATTATTGTCAGAGGTGAGATCCGGTCCTCCAGCGAAGCCAGAGAAGAGCTTGGGGATCGACTCAACTTCAGACTCACTCACATCTGTCTCGTCCGTCTCAACATCAGAGAACGGCCACCGATACTGGGGAGGCTGAGGACACTGCGCAGGCTGTTCAGGGCCCTGGTGCCGTGCAGGACCCCTGTACACAGCAAAGCCGCCAACGCCCTCATAGCTGATCGGCTCGAATCCAGCAGCGCTGATCCTAATTGTAGAATCAGACCGACGGTCCTCAACAGCAAGGCTATCGTCAGGAGGCAGAGGGAGCTCTGGAACTGAGAAGCTGCGCTGCGAACCGACCTTGTGGCTCCAGGACGGAGCAGGAGACCGCGACATGCCCATCGTGAAGTTCTTGTTCACAAGGACCAGCTGCAGGCCCGTTTTCATGCCCGAGGACACGTTTTTGCCGACTAGGTTCTGTGGGGTGAACTTCTTCGTGCTGGGAATGGGCTTAGGGCTCACAGGCTCCAAGTCATCGCCGCACAGGTCGCAAACCGCTGGGGCGAGCTCCTGTTTGGTGGATGGGTCAATAGTAGGATCAGCCATGGCCCTGGTGGTCACATCACGGTCGCGAGAAGCAGGGCCCATGTCGCTCAGCTCGATATCGTCGGCTTTCTGACCATCATCCCTCTTTTTCTCCTTCTCGTTGTTGTTGTTCCTCTTCTTTAACTTGCGCAACCAAGGAGTGCAAGGCCTGACGCACAAGAAGAAAAACAGCGAGCCAATGACGATGCAAAAGAAGATCACAGCGACTATGACTCTGTCGCGGAAAGCCTGCTGCTTCTCGTCAGACTGATCATCACGGCTTTGCACCGTGTGGTAGGTGGTAACATTGACCGGCGCCATGTGCGCAGGGGCCAGCCCTTGCGCAGCGTTACGGGCTTGGTTCGGTTCGCCTGCCCAGGAAGAGAAAAGACAACAAAAAGTGAAACTTGGGTCTCGTGCGTACCGTCTCTTGTCTATGTGTCCCAGGCTAACCTCGACCTGTCGAGGGAGCTCAGTCCAGAATAGATGCAAGAGAAGTTGACGGGGGCTGAGGAGCTGTGTTTGAGATAGGAAAGCAGGAACAGAGAAGGAGATTTTCGAGTGGAATAAATACTCCAGCGAAGATACGTGCAACTTCTTTCCCCGTTTCCTGCTGTGTGATGACAATAGGATTATCGTGTTTGCGGAAGGATTGTGGTCACCAAACGATATTCTTGAATATGTGTACTGGCCTCTAACAGTAGGGAAGGAGAATGGGATGACCACGCTCAGAAGAACAAATGACTATGAGCATTGTTATCGTTTCACAGTAGGAGATGTTGAACCCAAGTGCAATTCCATGTGCTGTTCTGGAACACAGACGTTGTCTGTCTTTGTCCTCAAAACAATGTGTTGTGGCTGCAAATTTGTTGTCACCAAGTCATTTCCAATTGCTCACGACGACATTCAAGGATCATGATGAGAATGGGTTCCAAGATACTAGCCAAAAATTTCTGTCGACGTTAAGTCGCTGGAAACCTATTGCTAGCAGGTCCATACAAAGATGGCCAAAAGCTAAGAATATCATCAAGTCATGGCCGCTGGCAGAGAGAAGAGATGTAGACACCTTCAAAGAAACTCCAAACTATCAAACCCCTGACTGTCTGCCTCCCTCCTCCCACCGAAACCTTCGAATTGCAATGTCTTTCATAACCATTTGTTTTTTCCTTTGCCAAACCTAACCCCCCGCCCCCGGTAAGCCTTTAGCTCTGAGCTTCGCCCCCTTCATAAGGCCCACATCGCTATTCGCATCATTGTATCCCGTCTGAAGACACGCCCGGCAAGACGAAAGGGCCATCAGAAGGGTTAGGTCCGCACCTAGTCGACCTTGGCATTCGCCAGGCTCCTTGCTGTCGGGTTGTTGATGTTGTTGACCTGCGTGAGTGCCATCTTCTTGTACTTGGACTGCTTCCTCAGACGCTTCCTAGCCACCATGACAGGAACAGAGCTCTTGGTCACCAGGTAGTTAGAAAATGAGCCAAGAATGACGCTGCAGTTGTTACGTTCGTTAGCTGAGATGAAATGCTCGCGAGGGAGGCGGGAGGGTAGATGGATGGGGGGTAAACATACCCCTTCAGGGCACTCTGTCCACGGCTGCCCAGGATGACAAGAGTTGGGCTGACGACATCGATAATCTCCAGAATCTGGTGCTTAGGATTCTTGCAATGTAGTACCTCGACAATAACCCGGACTTGAAGCCTAGTCTTCCGGAGGTATTTCTTGACCCTCTCAGTAATATCCTGAACTGCCATGTGGCGCTCAACTTCAGCCTTGGATCGGGCCGGGCTGAGCGAAGACTCCGAGTTGTGGCCAAGCGACGACTTCTGCAGCTCAATGGAGCTACCGCCGGGGGTGACTGGTGCCTTACTGGCCGTGATTGTGTTCAGAGCCGTGCCTTGTTCGCGCATAGCCTTGCGCTCGTCCGGTACCTGGGACCCATCGCGGGGTGCAATTCCGATCTCTTCGTCGACGCAGTAAAGGCAAATCATGGTATCGCCATCTCGCATAACCGTACCGACCGCCCACTCCAGAGCGTGTGTAGACTCGTCGCTGAGATCAGTCGCGACGATATACTTACGAAGGTCGCGACCGTCTGCTTTAGCAGCCTGGCTCACCTGGCCATAGTCTCCCCGGTAGATGATACGAACAGCCCGAGCTGCATTTGGCGTGTTCATGATCGCAGTCTGAGAGAAGGACAGCTTCTGTGCGCGCTTGATATCGACAAGATCCGCCTCATCGTCAGAGTCCATGGGGGTCCTGGCGCCGGAGGGTGGGCCCTCGTCGAAATTTGTGGCGGGATGCACCTTTTTGGACTTTGACTCTTTCGACACCTCACCCGAAGGAGTTGTGACGGTGATCTCAGGGTCGTCAAAAAGCGATCGGTATTGGTACTTGGGAGCCTGCTTGGTGACATTGATGCCTGTGATTGTTATTGTCAGTCAAAAAGGCATTTTCAAAGAATTAACCAAACGAGCCTGAAGATGGGGCAAAGGGCAACTCACGCTCTTCCTCGGCGGCAGCCAGCAAGCTCTTGATCTGCCTCGCCTCGGGGGTCTGGGCAGGCTTGTCGGAGTCTCTAGCTGCCTTGCGCCCGCGCTGGCCCTCCTCCTGAGACGAATAGCCCTGCTCATCGCTGCTATCGTCAAGCATTTCGTCGCCATCAGGACTCAGGAAGTCCTTGACAAGCCTTCCACCGCCAGGTTGGTCGTCCGATCTCTTGCGGCCCACGGAATTGGCGAGGAGCCCACCGGCACGGAGACGGTTAAGATCTGACAGTTTGCGGTACGCATTGTTCATGTCCACCCCCGGGTAGGCCTCCTGGAGCAACGCTCTACCCGCCGGACTCATGGTCCTACCATGGATCAGGGGGTTGCCTGGTGAGGTGGACCGCGCACCAAGACGCGAGTGAGGAGATCTGGATTTGCTTCCTACACGCATCGATGGACCTGCCACGGAGTGACGGCCTCTATCACCGGGAAGTGGAATGGTGGGTACGTCACCTCCGCGTACAATGTGCGACATCGAGGACTGTGATTGGACGTCCTTTTTGTTGCCCTGGTAGACGCGCTTGGGTAACACCTGGCCCTGGCTCGTGACGATATCACCGAACTTGAACTGGGAGGTCGGATCGCGGCTGGCAGTGGATCTAGGGCCGAAGCTGACAGACTGGCCCGAGACATCGGACATGTGTCTGGGATGCGTGGTGTTTGAGGCTTTCGCCAACTGGTTCGACATGAGAACCGGCGACGATGGAGTGCTGAAGACGGCTTTTGTTGCAGAGGCGGAAGGCGGAGGACTGTCCATATCAAGCATGCTCCGGACAGGCGCCTGCGAGAGAGCTCTGGGAGGGCCGCCTGGTGTTGTTCAAATCGGCCCTGTTAGCTACGGAGAATACCCAAGTGTGGAAAGACGGCCTGCTTACCTATATCCAGCATGCTCCTAACTGGAGATCGAGGTGTGTAGGGGGACGAAGACCTAGCGTTGCTGAGGGCACTGTGAGGTCGAGGAGCGGCATTCCGAGCAGCAACTAGCTGCTCTACCTCGAGTCTCTCTTCCTCCAAGGCTGCCTCCATGCTCATGGTCTTCCTAGCCTGATTCTTTGCGCCTAGAGGGGCCCTAGGGCCTCCGTACGGTTGGGCCATAGTGACCTCTGTAGAGAGCGTTCTTCCCTGGGCTATTCACGAGGGCAGAATCGTGTGCGATGGTCGAGGCGGGAGCCGACAAGAGTATTCAAGACGAAATGTGGGCGTGCGACACTGTACTCGAGGATACTCCAGCGCCGTCAAGTAGAGTCCGGTTCAAGAATGTAGACAAGGCCTGTTCCGTTTCTGTCGGTAGGTAGGCGCGTTCGAAAATGTCGGAAATGATATCGGTATCTCTGTTACGAAAGAGCCGTAACTAGCGGGGGATGATTTGTGGTCGAGTAGTGAGTATGTCGTGGTCCAGTCGAGGAGTACAGAGCATCGTGTGTAAACAAGGAGACGAGGCGGTGATCGCAGGGCAGACAACGGTTGATGCTTGCAATACAACCCTCAGGTCATGGTCGCACCTTGCATGATCTGGCAAAAGTGGCCGCCGAGTGATTTGGAGATTGCTCGCAGACAACCACCTTGGTCCTTTCTTGTCGTCTCTTGGTCTGCTCGGGGTCAGGCAGGTAGGTATACGTGGTCGGGGAAAACGAGGTCGTGGCCGCGGTAGGGTGTGCAGGGGCTTGTCTTGGGACCGACTGCTGCTCGGCTCGAGGCAGGCTGAGTGAGGGGGTGAGCGGATGCCCAGCAATGGCCAGGTGAGATATCCTGCCAAGTCTTCGGCACCGCAGGCGACTGATGATGCACTGCAGACTACAGCAGTGTACCGTGGATTGCGTTGGCCAGAGGTGATGAAAAGCGCAGTCGAATCTTAAGAACTTGTTGTTTTTTCTCCTTGATCGAGATAACAGAAAAGATAACGAAGTCGTCTAATTGAGAGCAGTGACTAGGGAGAAAGGAGCAGGGTTGTGTAAGAGTGGTCCAGATTGGATAGTTTGCGTCTGTTATCACGAGCTGAACAAGAAGGATCAAAGTATCATTTGGTTGCCGCTGGGTGATGGATGGTGGTGTTGAGAATTGGGCAGCACCCGACGGACAGGCTCAGCCTCTAGCTGGTCTGTGCTCCGCCAAACGTTATTCCAAGCTGTTCCCTGTTCAGGTTCCCGCCTGCTGGAAAGTGACTCCGCTTGGGCAAGCCGCTTGATCAGATCGCCATGAAATTAAGACTTCAGCCGAGATTGAGGGGGTGTTGAGAAGATGGAAAGGGGGCAAAGAAACTGGGAGAAGTCTTGCCATCTTCTTGGAAAAAAAAGAAGAAAAAAAAAACCCCCTTTTGCCGAGTGTGCCCCTCTCCCGCGGGGTAACAAGCAGATCAATGAGAAAATCCTCGAACGTTGGTGACATCTCATATTCGTCTCACAGTGGCATTCTAGAGTACATACACAGGTGACAACGGCGCTGATCCAACGGAACCCCAGAACCCCACACACGCTGCGAGATGGGGAACGGTGCTACTACCACAACAGGTGCCGCTGCAGGCAATTGCTCAGCTAGCTGATATGGTACGCTGGTAGAACTACCCCGCCATTTCGGAGCGTTCCCGCAATCCACGATCCCTGCCCAGGTCCCAGTAGGGTTTCTATTGGAGGGAGGGTCTAGGCATTTAGGGGGCTTGTGAGCGCCCTGAGAGAGACTATTATGCATTCACCATGTACATAACGGCCCGTCTTAGACGTGCCACGGTCTCCCAAGAGTGCTTCGAGACCTCTCTTGCTGAGACGAAGAAATGCTTGAGGTGGGGTTGCGCTGTATGGAGTACACAGTATGACACAAGGAACTTCTTATCACATACCCCGAGGACCAGTGACTGATTCTCGCAGGGGCGGCTACTCCAGGCGGTATTATGGAACTGGCTAGTGCATCTTCACCGGTGCTGCGCCTCAAAGCCAAGATTGCCTATCAACTATTGCGGACGTGCGCAGATGCACCTGATCATTGTTCTATCGAGGCCTAAATCTCCGCAATCTGCATTAACTGTGTACCGACAACCGTCCGTGGCCGAATATAGGCAAGCAAAATTGTGAGCTAAACCAAGCCCGCGCTACAGGAGATCGTGATGCGCAATCCGCGGCGAGGAGTAGCCCGCACGCGCGGATGTTACTTGCCCGTAACCTTTTCCTTTCCAACATCTCAATGCCGCCCCTCAGCAGCATGGCCACTTCTCTACAGCCTCCTCTTAAGCAAAGCGGGCGAGTTGAGGTTTGCTCTTACGCTCGTGCCAAGCTTGTGCCGCTCATTTCTCTTATCCCAGACACCAGATCGCCCCTCCACCACCGCCACAATCTCCTCTCCGATCTTGTGCGCCAGCATCTTCTTGCCAGACCCCATAGATGGCTTCTTGTTGACCGTGTCCATGATCCACTGCCAGGCCACACGCCTCCGTGCTCTCTTCGTGATGGGCGTGGGAACTTCGAGCGCCTTACCTCCACCAGCCAGACCAGTATACCCGCGAATCCGGATCAGCGGTGCCACAGAGTCGACGGCGAGCATGAGGTAGAGGTTCGGGTTTAGGGGGAGGTGCTCGGGGGGTGGAGAGCCAGGGAGGAGGGGCCGCTGGGGGTTGATCCTCGGAGGGGGCGAGGTTCGGAGGAAGTTGAGGATCATGGCCATGTCCTGCATGCTTTTGTTAGAACTGCACCCCCAGTCACCAGAACACACATTATGTGGCGGAACTAACACTCTGCGCCTTGCTGAGCTTGCCATCGCGCATGAGCAGCCTCGTAATCTGAGAAATACCCTCCTCGTAGCGGTACCGCATGTGATATTCCGCACGAGGGAGCTTGTCCTTGGGCATTGGTGGCTCCTCGAACTTGTAGCCCGTGTATTTCATGCCAAAGGGATCCAGACCATGAGCAGTCATCTGCAGCTGCTCGACGGCGGACTCATTTGCTGTCAGATCGCGCATCTGCACATCCTCCTCCCTGACAGGAGGCCGCTCCCCTGGTCTCATCATCGACGCCGGAATGCCTGGTATTCGTGGGCCATCGGTAGTGGGGTTGTTCGACTGCGAGGGTGGTGTCGATCCCGTGTCGCCGGCGTAATGCCTCGCAAGAGCAGCTATCCTTGTGGGCTGCGTCTGTGCTTGTGGTCTCGTCGTCCTAGAGACAATGGAGCGACATGCGCCCCATATGCTAAGTCTTGGAGGCATTGTGTCGAGGGTTCTGGGGGAACGCGCTGGTAGCAATCACCAGCAACCTCACCAGGTCGCTACGGAGCTTGTTCGAGCGGTTGCGCAGAGACACCATGGGCGGCGCCTGCCAAATTTTTGTGCACGTGATCGAAGGTTTACTTGCAGGGATACGCCTGCTTGGAATCTTTGGGTCTGATCTTCCCTCCCGACCCGAATTGCTTATCCTCTTTTCCGATTCACCTTCACAAAACTCTCGCTGGTTGTAGCTCATTCTCTAAACCTAACCTTAACCATTCAACATGCGCCCAGCTTTTGCCAATTGAGCCAGCCGTCGACGCTGCGTTGAGAAATTGTTTCGTCGGTATCGACAAGCGTCTGCGGGTCCGCCACCGGTGGTCTGCACCATACGATCCCAGACACGGACAGGGGCGTCCGACCTGCAGCAAAGAATTCCCGGTCTCGTTCACCGGTTAACACATCATGGGAAGGCTTTTTGCTACGTCCCTGCGCGGCTCGGGGATTCCACGCACGGAGCCCTATCGACCTCCGCCCCGGGTTGTTGAAGCTTAGAGATTTACGTCACACTTGCTCTCGGACTGGCGGAGTTACTCGGCGGCGAGCAATCCACAGACCGAAAGGTTCTGATCATTTCCCACGGGGATTCTTTCCACAGGATCCCTCACATGGGTGATGCTAGTGTCTGCAAGTGAGCAGGGCTTAAGCAACCGGTGTGACATCACACGAAGTTGAGTTGTCCCCCCTAAGGTCCTAAAGCTCGAATGCATCGCCTTGTGCTCAACAAAACCAGAAAGCGAATTGGCAAGCGCTCCTTGAGTGCTCAAATGCAACATCGAATCATGCTAGACCCGGAATGTATGCCACGCGACCGTCGGCGCGACTCCCAACGGCCCGGAAATTGAATCTTACTCTTCCCCGTCCTTCTTGGATCGCCACCTGCCGCAGTTACAGGATCCCCCCCAGGTCCGGAACATTTCTGAGTTTTTTAACAGTTGGCCAGGTATCTTTCTTTTCATGCCCAACGTGGGTGGATAAGTACACTACAGGGCGAACTCGGGAGACACCTGCCTCACTACGGCCGTTAGCCGAGAGGGAGTGAACAGTTCATGCTTCCGTATGGAGGGTGTTACTGATGCAACGGCACAGTCTGGCGCCTGCCGGCCAACCATGGAACCCATGGGAACCTACAGCCTGAGGCTTTCACTTAGTTTTGAGAGGGCCGTCTGGCCGGTCGTGGTCGAGGCGTGTGCCAGACAGGGGGTCGTCCTGCAAGAGCAAGCTTCTTTGGTGCCCGAATTTTCCGATGCCCCAGCCACTCAGCCCTGACACCAGCATGCTGCAGGTGCATGCTGCATTGACACCTGGCGCGCAGGGCCTACTGTATGGCGGACGTTGCAAGGCATCATGTCGCTAGCCAGGTACGAGCGCAAGCAAGCCTCCCAATTTCCAGGACTCTTGGGCCGCATAGGCGCAAAACATGACGACGAGTGTCAAGCCGCGAGCCCATCTCTAACCCCGGCAGTCCGGGGAAAGGGGGAACAATAGACTGAGGTCAGGCTGAGTGAGATCTCATGTACCTTCGGTGTACTTTTTACCCCATACCCGTGGAGGCGCTGGCTGGTTCCTCGAGCTCAGCTCAACGACGTCGTCATACGACTGATTATTCCCGATCATGAACCGGACACACCACGTACATACATCATCGGGTTCAGGGCAAAGATGACCTGCATGACTCCTTCGAAGAATGACATCAATTGGGTCCCGGATACCAGGCGAGCGAGTGCGAGTGCGCTGGCAAATTCAACTTCCCAGTGTCGCATTCTTTTTCTCTCCCCCCTGTCTGTCGAGGTGGCTATACGCAAATGAGGTCAGGAGATTTTTTGGTCTGCTCAACGTTAGCTCTCTGTGACCAAGGAGAGCGAGAACGAGATGACGGGGCGTCGCACACCCCATCTCAGATCTCACAATGCCTGGTCTTCTTTCAGGCTCGCCTCTTGTTTTGCCCGTGGCCTGGCTCAATTGTCAATTTTTGCTTCCCCTTCTTCCGGGGGCCCCACCGTCGTCGTGAATGTGACAGGTCGTTGGCGCGTTTGCCCTGCTAAGAATGGCCTTGTCAATAACGCTGCGGAAGCCGTGGTCCGGCTACGTCCACATCGACTTGGCCATATCACCGATGGCAGAAAGAAGCAATCAAGCCGCCAGGGGTTTTCATGGTGCCATCCGCCCATCTCCCTTTCAGCCACGCGTCTGACGTTCCTTTTTCCCCGTGGCGAGAGGCATATGCAGCTCACGGGACACGTCACAAACGACCCCGGCACATTGAGGATTGGAGGAAACGATGGTGATTGTTTTTGTGCAGCAGAACGAGAGATTCCCTGCCAAAGAACTAAAATGAGAGAGACAAAGAAATCATGGCAAGCCCAAAAAAATAGTGCGCCGGAACGAAAGATCCTTGATAAAAGATTCCCCCCTGTTATGCCCCCTTCCTTCCATTCCCGTGTGGTGAAGCCCAACCCGTCTGCCCGATGATTTTCTAAAGCCCAACTCCCGCATCTTTTGAGAAAGAAAACCACGAGCAAAAGTCGCACAAACAGTTCAGACAAAAACACAACAGCCGTGTGGCTGGTTGGCTGGGGCACGCCCCTAAGAAATGAAAAGGCGAGATCCAGTAAAACGTATAGACCCCTATCGAGACACAGAGGAAGGAAAAATAAGAAGGGGATAACAAAAAATGGAGAAGAAAGGAAGGAAAAGAGAAAAAGAGAAATGTTGCGAAGCACCACCCTGGCAGCCAAGAAGAAGAAAAGTACTGTGATGGTGGCGCCTCTCAACTTGAACCGTGTGGCTTGTCACATGTTGAGCGTGTGAACACCTAACCCGAATTCCCCCACTCCCCCCCCCCCCTCTAAAGTAGAGACAAGCGAGGCAAGAAAACAAAGCGGTTTGTGCCGAGGCCTAACACCCAACCATACCTCGGCGAGCAGCCAAAATAGGGAAACCCGCTGGGTGATGGAGTACCGGCGACCATGGACCGAACGTATTTACCAGACGTTGCGGCTGCTGGTGGGTGAAGACGAGGACGAGGAAGATGCAGCCGCGTTCGCGGACGCCTGGATGCAATTCAGAGCTACCTCGGCCGCGTCCTCCCTGGCATTGTTCAGGTTCTTGCCGTCATACCAGTAGCGCGCCGAGACTGTCTGGCCGCAGACGGTCACCCGGCTGGACCAGGCTGTACGGCCCCCTGTGTGTAGAGATGTTGCGAGTCAGTCTCTTGTGGCTGCAAGTCTCGAGGAGGTGTAGGGAGAAAGTGAGAAAATTGGGTTTGTAGAAGATAAGGTCTTATTGCCTGCTTTCTCTTGTGGTCTCTGCGCCTCCATCACGGCAACCCCAGGATGAGGGACGCCACAAGTTGTCGTCGGCTGGTGGTGGGTGTAATGTGAAAGTGAGAGAGTGTGTGAGTGCTAAGGGGAAAAGGAATATGGCCTCTTGAACCACTTGATGGTGAGGACTGACCTCGTCTGTCGGAGAAGATGTGGAAGACTGGCACGGCCATGCCGTACTCGCGGCAGGCGCCTAGTGTGGTTCTGTTAGCCTTGAACTTTGTATGCTGGTTGGGATGAAAGTTGTGTGTATATATGTATGGGCAAACCAGGTTGGGGGCCAGGGAAATTCAAAGTCAGTGCTTACCCTCGAGTTTGTTCTGCCAGACACTGCTCTCATGTGTGCCGCTATTGGCTTTGCGAGAGCTGCTGTTGCTGGGGCGAGAGCTGCCGTGTCGTGATGAAGACATGTTGGTGGTGGTGGTGGGTAGTTGGCTTTGTTCTGAGAGGTGATGTATGTAAAAGAGGCGTTGGGTATGAGAACCTGTCTGTATGCACAGCTGGGAGATTGTCTTTGATAAGAGAAGCAGGTCCTGATTAGGTGGCTGCCCCGAACGAGTGCGTGCGTGCGTGCGTGTGTGCGTGCGCGTGTGTGTGTCACAGGATAAAGCTGGAACGAGTGCGAGGTGTGCTTAGACGGAGAAATAAGGAGGATTTTGAATAGGTTCTGTGGTCCCAAAGTCTAGCGAGGGAGAAAGATGATGGGCATTCGACGGCTCGCTCCTCTTTATACTTGAGAGACTGGGCAGCACAACAACACATGAAGAAGAGCCAAATTGGACAGTCAACGGGTGCCTTTGGGTACCGAGAGGATGACAAGCGAGAACAAAACAAAATAATGAAGGAAAAAATGATTGAGGGATGTTTTCTTTTCCCAACCTATAGATTGGAATATCCACCTTTTTGCTTGGGTTTTGTTTGCTCGTTGCAGGCCTCGCGGCAAGGACAGGAGGAGGATTATTGGTAGCCTCGGGAGGGTGCATCCATCGTGGGCTACAGACGGGATGCGGCCTGTATTTGACACGAGAGCCAACCCAACCCCCCAACCTCGCCTACCCACCTCTCCCAGCGGCAAAAGCAATAATGACAGGCTTTCGTTCGCAGGGATGTCTGAGCCATGAGAAGGTTGAAGGGGGGGGGGGGGGGGGAGAGAAATACAGAAGGGGAGGTAGAGGGAAAAGAAACGCTGCTATTGCTTTTGTTTCTCTGACATGTCTCCTACTCCTCATGACTGGCTAAAAGGAGCATGGGGGTGGAGAAAAGGGCAGCAAGTACTAAGCAAGGTACCTCAGCAGCAAACTTGAGCTCCAGGATGCTAGGTTAAAAGGGACTCCCATGCCTTGTATGTGGGACCAGCCGATTCCCCATTAGGAAGAAGATGTAGACGGGAACCGAAGAAGCAGGGAGAGCATCCGGTACAAGCAAGAAAGGGCTTCCAAGGATGGTACCGGGGCTGTACAAGAATTGCAGGTCAGCGTCACCAGGTGCTAGGGCTTAAGAGCGAGGTACCGGGGGGGTAACCAGCTGGAGCAGGCAGGTAGGAAGAAGAAAGTAGAAGAAGAAAAGAGAAGAAAGAGAGAGAGAGGAGGGGGGAAACCCAGTGGCCTCAAGGGCAGAGGTAAGGGATGAGGGAATGTCACATCATCGTTGAGGTAAGGGTTGGGGGGTGTATTGGATGATCGTGGACCCAGCCAGGCTTCGCCCTTCTAGACCCTCCTGGCCTGCGGGAGCGGTGGTGGATGCGCTGCATTCAAAGTTACGTTAGGCTGAGATCTTGTGGTGACACCTCACATGCGTCTGGGCTGGGTACAAAAAAGGACAGCAGCCAAGTAGAAGTCATGGCACACGCTGACCCACGATGTGAGGATGATGTAGGTGGGCGAGCGAAGAAGGGCTGCAAGCGTGGAGGCTTGAGGTGCGGGAGTGGCATATGCAATGCATTCGCCATCCCCCCGGCCGACCTTATTCGCCGTTTGACATGCACGCCCGAGACAGAATCGGGGATCGGGCTGCTGTGAACAGGCTCCACCTCCCTCGTTTGGTCTCGACCCTGGATGCCGATTGCACCTGCTCGTCTCTTTTGCTTCTCCCTCCTCTTCCGGTACATTCCGGTTGGCATGCTACCGGATGGCGTCTCTATGCTTGACCGCTCAGCGAAAACGGTCTGCTGCTGCTGCGTGCGTGGCATGTTTGCTTTTCCCTTGCCGCGACCCTGCAGGCCCAAGTATTGTCCTGTATTATACTTATTTATTTATATGGGTCTTCTCCCGTTCTGACCGGGCAGGGGTCTGCCGCGTCCCAAGTGGAGTGTGCCCCCAGGGTGAGGACCGACCGATCCCACAGCAGACGACGACCAGATCTGAAGGAGCAAAAGACTCCGAGCCGGCTGTCCCAAAGATCTGTATGTGGTCATTAGACTTCTTGATGTTAGGCACAGTCAGCGAATACCACCCATCCCTCTCGAGTACCGTACCCGATCTCTTCCAGTCGCATCTCGACTCTATGGACCTAAGAGCCCCTTTAAGGTCGAGGTGTGCAACTCGCAGCATGTCGAAATCTGAGGCGGTCCAGGGTCGGGAGGACGGCACATTGTGACGGTGTAGCCCCTTCTACCCGTGTAACGGGTGCGGCTGCAGGTGAGGTGGTCAGAACAAAAGCATTGTTCATTGGGCAAAATTAGGGGGGGAAAGCCCATCACTGTGTTGGGCGTGCGTAAGACTTGCTATAATGTCGTGGCACGTCACTGCTGCAGGACACAAGCGGATGCGCTCGCCTGGAAGCCTCGTTTCATCTCGGCCACTGAGGTCCCGGCGCTTCAACGTAAGTGACGTGGAGCCAGACATTTATCGTATTTCACTTTAAGTGCGCTGTGGGTCCCCGTGTAGGAGGCGCTTGTGTGTTTTCTTCGCGCCCAACTTGCTTCTGTCGTCAATTGCTTCTTTCCCGCACCGGTAGGGGGGGGGGGGGCGGGGCGGTGTGGCTCGGGACTGATCCGTCTCGTCCCGCGAGCTCGATCATACGGGAGACAATGGCGCGTGTGAGTACAGCGTCCACCATGCCCGACCTGCCAACCCTTGGTCCCCTGAGGCCGATGTGCAAGCCCAAGTGCTTCATCCGCGATCGAGCCAATCCCAGCGGCGGCACAAATACGTGACAGCTTTGCCAACGCTGATCAATGAACAAATCGCAGGAGATCATTGTCTTGCCCGGACGTCATCTGCTCGCCGGTCCTGCCATAACATTACAGGGATGATTCCACTTCGAAGGGGAGAGGCTGGGGACGCCACCGACAGGAGCTGAGAAGGTCTGTGAAAGAGTTCTCCTTCGCTCACGGTCGCCTCGGGTGGCATCCGGCAGACGAGCCCAACAGCAAGCACCACGTCGCCGTCCTGGACCATCTTTGCACAAGCAGGTCGCGCAGTCGTTGGGAGATGGAACGTTGAGGCTTGCAGCGGCACCGCGTCCGCAGCAAACCGATTGGACACGGCATTTCCTCCCCCTGGTGCCGCGTAATTGTGACAGATTGGGAAAAGAATGGGCTTGTCCGTCGTCCACGGCCTACATGGTGAGACATTCCCTAGCCTTGGAACTTTTGGCTGGAGTTCCCGTTCCTTGGGTCTCACTAGGACAGCTGTGCGTATCATCCCGCGTCGATATATGCCGTGACTGCCTGGGGACGACTTTCCAAGGTTGTAAGTTCTCCTGCTCCATTCGTTCCTATTCATGCATGCTGCCCGCAGTGGCTTGCGATAGTTCAAACAAATCAAGGCGTGAAAGTCGATGAGACGGACTCCCACATTGTATGAAGGCTGTAGCAAGGACTTGGGACAGGAGAAAACGCGACAAGTTTAGCCGTCAGACCCTAGGTGATACGATTCGTGAAAGCAGATCGATCCACGACTGCGACACGACCCCCACCCTACCTCCCTCCTTGGTGGCGTCGACAGACCCAACCACAGTTGGGCCAGAAATGGGCTCCTTGAGATCAGTCAGCTGTAGCTTTGAGTATTGATAAGCGGCAGCAATTCAGGCTCTGCTGAACCTACGGGTAGCGTGGGCATCTGTAAGCAGGCCATTGGATGTGGTGACTTCATCGTTGTCCAAAGACTATACTCTTCGTCCGTAATAGGACACGAGACTTGCCGTCAGACGTCGTTCTTCAGCCAATTCCAATTCACATACTGTTAGTCACCTGCAAAAATGGACTGTCTGATGCTGACAGGAGTTAATATGCAACCTCTCTTGGGGCAGCTGAAGCTATGCTTCGATTTTTGCGGAGCAGGGGAGCAGCAGCAGCGCGGGAATTCTGATCTCACAAAAGCTGCATGCAGTGGGTCCTGAGGGAAATGAAGAAAATGGGGGAAAAGCCCAATTGGTTTGAGTTTCTCTCTTGTCGAGAGATTGCAAATCTTGTTCTGAATAGGAAAAGAGCCAGCAAAGTGGCGTACCTGACACTATGTATGACACTCAGAGCAAAAGTCTACAAGGAAGGATCGAGGGGTTTGTGCCGAGTCATAGCTTAACCCCAATACTGATGGCAGGAGCGGTGAGCATGTGTGAACACCACAAAGTAGGAAGGAGGGACAGAGCGATAATCTCCATCCACAAGCCTCGAGAGAAGGACCCACCCATTGCCTTGAGATGTATGCGTGAATATATACTCAGTGCCACAAGGTTTCAGTTGAGGCACCTTGCCACCAGCTGTACTTGTTGAAGTACTCAAAAATCAGCGGATGGTTGGATTATGGATTTAGTTGACATGACTTCCTTGTCCCTCCTGTTGAGCTTGCAGTCCCAAAGATTCGACTAATTAGGTAGGTGGGTGACAAGAATGATCATTTATGCCGAGTCAAATCTGGCAGATTCCATCAAAACCAAAGAAACTAGTTCTGGGTGTCAAGCAAGTATACTGACTTGGATCATTACCCCAGAAGCCCTCTTCACAACGGCGTGGTGCATATACATATCTATGTACAGACATATGCCTGAAATAAAGTCTCCTCTCACCACCATGCCTCGATTGTTTACATGTTGATCAAGCTGTGTTGAAGAAGACCTGAATCGACATTAGGGAGCTTCTGATGTGATGAGTGTGTACAAGGTGTTCCAAACTCTTCTCCATGAGCAGTGCTAGGAACCTATTCACCAGCGATGAGCTTCATGGTAACATTTGAGTCTTCAGGCTCATCCACCCTCATGAGATTGGCGCTGGGACAGGTGGAACCTCCGGCCTGATCCGAGATCTTACCCACTACACCTGAATACTGCACAGGTGGAGCTGAGAGGTTGGCATCTGATACCAGCCAGATGATGGGATGGTCAGGGGGGCATGGATAGGAACCAGATTGATTTTACAAACACCTTTCAAATCAGAATGATTCAACATCAAGGACTCAACAAAGATAAAGGGGACTCTTAATCATACACAGGAGACGAGACAAACAAAAAAGACGGAGGAAATAACCTAAAAAGAAATCAAAAACATGCAACACCGGGTATTCGCTAATGGTCACCCACTTAACTACTAATCCGGCCCTTAGTGGCTTATTTAGGGGAGAGCAGACGGGATCCCAAGTTTTCCACTAGGTATGGCCGCATGTGCTGAAATGTAAATATTCAGAAATCATGTAGTCATGGGTGAGAAATGAGAAGACTCAATCCTGGGAAACCGACAAGTGAGGGGTTGAGGAACCAGAGTATGGGGAACACAGTACTTCCGCATCTGACTTGCAAGAGTAGTTGACCTGTGACGAAATTATTGTGAGGCTCTCCACGCCCTAGCACTAATGCCAGTTGGGACAGTTTGTGAGTCTTTCTAAAATACTCTGCTAGTTCTGGCTTGAAAGTCAAGAAGGCAAAGACTGTCAGCTGTGAAGGAACCAGTTGATCAGAAAACTGGAGCCCCACTACCCCAGATTCGGGAACAGTGGGAACATACTCCATGTACCCAGACGACCCTCGGGACGTGGCTTGTTCTCCACATTGGACCTCGGCTCATGGACTCGGCTGACTCTGGCCGCCTTTTCTACTGTGGCTCTAACACACACAAGACCTCGAGACCTCATCTGAGATTATCTGTCTTCTGAAATCCAGCATTTGTTCATATTACTCTTGTGTGTTCTGACCTCAAGCATTCTGCATTTTCTTTTCTTTCAGGAGATTCAGGTAGCACAGCAGTATTCAGATCATATCTCAATCCAACTGAGATCCGCGGGCCGCAGATAGCATCACAAGATGGCGTGGAACACCGAGCTCACACGGCGGTTGGGTATCAAAGGTAAGTCAAAGAAAAAACCGAGCATCAGACCAAGCACGATCTTTTCCATGATATCTTTTGAGGATCTGGCTGACTGGCTGACCCATTCTCGCAGTCCCTGTGGTGCAGGGTGGCATGATGGTGCGTTGTCCCCGGGAGAAGAATTTGACTGAGTGGCATGTGACCAGGCGCAAGGGGCACTTGAGCAAGGCTCAATATGCAATTCCCTCCGCATCATGAGATGGCAGAAACCGAATGACAGAAAAGAAAGAAGGAAGAAGGAAAACGAAGAAGACCACCCGGTGGCCGTTAATCGCTGACACAGCAAGTAGTACGTCGGCTACGCCGAGCTCGCCTCCGCCGTCTCCAACGCAGGCGGCCTGGGCATCATCACAGCCCTCATCTTCCCGACCCCGGCCGACCTGCGCAAGGAGATTCAGAAGTGCCGGACCCTCACCAAGAACCCCTTCGCGGTCAACATCACCCTGCTGCCCTCGCTCAACCCGCCTGACTATGGCGCCTACGCGCAGGCCATCATTGACGAGGGCATCCGCATCGTCGAGACCGCAGGGAACAGCCCCGGCCCCGTCATCTCCAAGCTCAAGAAGGCCGGCTGTATTGTCCTGCACAAGTGCACCACCATCCGTCATGCCCAGAGCGCGGTCAAGCTTGGTGTGGACTTTTTGAGCATCGATGGGTTTGAGTGTGCCGGGTGAGTGCGGAGTCTGCTGGGACCTATCAACTGAACGGCGCCCGCTGACTTTCTCTATGACACACAGCCACGTCGGTGAATCAGACATTACAAACTTCATCCTGCTCTCCCGCGCAAGACAGTCCCTCAAGGTACCCTTTATCGCATCAGGCGGATTCGCCGACGGCCAAGGACTGGCTGCTGCACTGTGCCTTGGCGCCTGCGGCATCAACGTACGCCCCCCTCCCCCCATTGTATATTCACTACCGACGGTTCCGTTTATGCATGCATAGCTAACCCTGACCAATCCGCACAGATGGGCACGCGCTTCATGTGCACAGTCGAGGCCCCCATCCACAAAAACATCAAAGAGCAGATCGTCAAGGCCCAGGAGACCGACACTGCCCTCGTCCTCAGGCGGTGGAAGAACACCACCCGCCTGTACAGGAACAAGGTGACGGACCAGGCGCTCAAGGTCGAGCAGGAGAGCAAGACGGGCGAGTTTGCCGAAATTGCGCCGTTTGTCAGCGGGCAGAGGGGGCGGCAGGTTTTCATTAATGGTGACCCAGAGTACGGCGTAAGTCTAGTCTTAAATGACCCTGTTCATCCTCTCTGTAAGCTTTGGGCCGTATATATACTGACCGCCTTTTCACATTTATAGGTTTGGACAGCAGGGCAGGTTATTGGCCTTATCCACGACATTCCGACCTGTAAGGATCTTGTGGAGAGGATCAGCACGGAGGCTGAGGAGGCGCTCAAGGAAAGACTCACGCTTGTCTCACCAACCTCGAGTAAGTTATAGATTAGAGTTGAAGAGAGAGAGAGAGAGAGAGAGAGAGAGAGAAAGGGAGGGAGAATTGGAAGGGGGAAACAGAGACACAACATTGTACATCAATTCGGTCATGTGGGCACCTGTGCATTAATGGTGCCTTTGTTTTCAGATATAGACCTCTTTCTTTTACTAGAGAAAGCGATAAATATCTTTTTTTCTTTCATGGAAATGGTCTGCCGAAAAAGTCAGCTTGTAGTCGATATGCTGGATCGAGCCGGTGAATGCGTAAGAGCCTATCCGGCATCCCATCGCATGCTCTCCGCTCCTCATACCCAGTTCCACCCCGGAGCCGGACCGGTGGAAACCTGATCATGCTCTCATTCCGCTCATCATACAGCCCATCGCCCGTCTCCATCAGCGACGCCTCGACTGCGTGCCTCCTGTACTGCGCGCCCATCACATCGTCAGGCCCGCCGCCAGGGCCGCCGCCCCACGACACAGCTGAGCTGTGCCCGAAGTGCGGGTCGACCTCCAGGCCGGAGGAAAACTTCTCAGAAGAGGCTGCTACGGCGAGGCTCGCCTCCACGATGCCACCCCCAACGCCGATGTAGAAGTTGGGCGAGAGCGGCGAGGCACGCGCCATGCTCCAGATGCTAGAGTATGCAGCCGAGCGAGGCAGAGCCTTGGAGATGAGGAAGTTGGCATTCGGCCGGTAGAACAGGCTCCGCGACAGCTTGTGCCAGCGACACGTACGCCCGGCGACATGGTCACACGCCAAGGCCCATGTGCCTGGATCATCGCGTGGCGGGGCGAGGAACGCTTGGCCGGGTTTGGGTTTCGGCGATTCGGGTCCGCAGGGTAGTGCCGTAGTGTGGTGGTACTGCCGCGGCCAGCGGAAGTCGAAGATCTTGACGGTGGTACCGCTACCGCCGCCATAGCCGGCTACGAAATGAGTTGTGCCAAAGGGGAGCAGTGCGTCGGGCGAGGATAGCGGATCAATGTTGTCGCAAAACACAGAGTCTAGGGGCGACGGGGTGCGGATGTCCTGTAGACGTATCATGCCATCGCGCCAGGCACTGAGAAGTAGGTTCGCGCCTCTTCCTCCAGCGATCGACGACGCATCGACGGGTGTCAGGGACCTGTGGCAGAGCTTGCTGTCATAGCGCTTAATGTTGGACGTGTCTTCAACAAGGGGGGTCTTCACGGCCGTGACATCTGCAAGTCCTGTCGGGGTGAGCCTCGCATACTTCAATGCAGGAGCCGTGCCTGAGAGGCCAAGCGCAAGAACTCCTTCTTCTTCTCCCATCCACTTGGCCTGGTATACAGTCACTTGAGAAGCGTCCCCGTGCTCAGCAGCCAGGTCGAGATAAGACGACGGCGCAACAGTAGCACCGGGGTCTCCGGGCAGCTGGTAGAGAAAGACGCCAGACTTGGAAGTAGAGGCCATGAGATTCCTGCGGCGGAGGATGTCGACAGAGTTGACCGTATCCTGCCTCCACTTAGCAGGCCTCTCCTCAAGGTATCGAGGGTGGAAGTCTGCGATGCTTTCTCCAAAGCTGCCCGCACCGGCACTCAAGAGCGTCAACTGCCCATTGTACCGTCCTGTTACGACACCCCACGTCACCTGGCCTGTCACAGACGTCCTCGATAATGGACATGGTCTTGAAGTCGTCAGGTCCGGCCCTGTGGCCCACATCCCCTCCGACGATCTGGTGCCAGACCGTCCCCTCTGAAGACGCAGAAGGACCACCAGAACTGCCCTGTCTCCTGCGCGCGATGAGGTCCTCGCCTGCGCCCCATATGACCAGCTCCTCCCCTGTGGTAAAATCAAGACGGGCATCCAGCACTGGATGGAAAGGAGCCGGAGTGCGCAGTCTGTGGGTACGCTGACGTGGTATTGGTCTGGGAAACATGGCTTGGAAGGTCAGAGAACGGCGCGCCCAGGCACGGTCCTGCCAGGTCAGGGAGTCGGCGAGATGATGCCATGTGTAAGGCGAAGAGGAGGAGAGCGACGGCAAAGGTATGGATGGGAAGCGAGAGCGGACGAAGATGCGCCAGCCCTCGTCTTTGGCTTGAATGGTATTCCTGAGGCGCCTGCTGGTGAGAGACAGAGCTCGAATGGCATTTGCCGATTCTAGATGAGAGAAGACGATATAAAGGATGTCGTCAGGTAGAGTGTCGAGCATCTTGTTGTCCGCGCGATTGGGCACTGGAGAGGAGGCCCGGTTGTAGAGAAGGGAAGATCCGAAAGGAAGATGTTGTTTCAGCACGGTTTATATCCAAGTACAGTGGCTCACAGCCCACCGCAGAGCGCCTAGAGAACGGGGAGCATACCTAAGGTATTTGTAGGAGCCCAGATTGGTATAGAAAACGAAGACTTCTTTTTCTCTCTCTCACCGTTGATGAGTCTTCTCAAGGCAACCGTTGACCAAGAAAAGTGGGGGCAGCTATTAACCCTCTGACACGCGGGCAAGAGCGGTGTCATAATTTAGGGTCCAGGTCTTGACGCCATCCGCAATGATTCCTTAGTGAAGCAGGAACCTGCGACCGGCCAAAGATGCCGGTCAACTTGATCTTATCTACAATACGTACAGTACAAAACTCATTTTCGCATCTCCTTCCACCAACCTGTTCACTATGGTATTCTCTTTGATGTAGCCCGCGATGGATTTCCTCAGTGACAGGCCCTGGGCACAGTTTTCACTCCTCTTTGGCCCTCTGCTCTTTCTCATCTACCACTTCTTTATCCATCCTGCTCTTATCTCTCCCCTGTCTCGAATCCCAAATGCCCACTGGTCCGCCCCTGTAACGCCCCTCTGGATTCTGTACAAGCGTTTCAAGCGGCAAGAAAATGGCACACTGGAGGAAGCACACAAGAGGCTTGGCCCATTTGTTCGGGTTGCGCCCAACGAAGTGAGCGTGGATGATCTTGATGGTGTAAGGACGATTTACCAGGGAGGTTTCGAGAAGACACAATGGTACTCAGTCTTTGATAACTACGGGTATGTGACTCATGGGGACACCGCCCTCCACACATCAGGATTATGTGGGACTGACCACTGGCCATTGCGGCGCAGGGTGCCTTGCATGTTCTCCTCACGGACCTCGAAGGATCATTCTCTAAGGAAGCGCATGATATCCAATGTCTACTCGAAGTCATACATCCAGGCATCGCCTGCCGCGGCGGCGCAAGCTGAGATCATCATCCACGACAGGCTGCTGCCGACGCTAGAGAAGTCACTGGCAGACCAGGGCGTCGATGTCTACTCGCTCTTCCTCGCAGTGGTCATGGATTTCATCTCGGCCTACATCTGGGGCATCTCTCGGAGCACAAACTTTGTGCAAAACAAAGGCTATCGTGAGCACTGGCTGGAGCTGTACAAGTCGCGCAACGACTACGGCTTCTTCCCTCAAGAGCTGCCACGGCTGACAGCCTTCTGCAAGCGATTTGGGGTCAGTCTGTACCCCGGCTGGGTGGACGCGGCCAACAAGGAGCTGGCAGCGTGGAACACCCTTCTTTGCGAACAGACCTCAGACCACCTAACGGCTGCTTCCAGAGCCTCGAAGGATGAGGCCTCTGCCGACGATGCAGTGGTGATGAGGGCACTCATCAACGGCATCGATAAGGAGGAGGCGGCAAATGGCGAGAAGTCGCTCCTGTACCACACCAGCATCCTTCAGCGTGACCTCTCCATCCAATCTGAGCTCTGGGATCACGTTCTTGCCGGACAGGAGACAGCTGGGCTTACCTTGACCTACCTGACCTGGCGGATGTGTCAGCGCCCGGAGCTGCAGGCCCAGCTGCGCGAGGAGTTACTGACAGTCCAGCCCACTGCGCGTGTCGAACAGGGCCGGGATCGCTCACTCCCTGACCCCAAGAAATTAGACAGCCTGCCGCTTCTTCATGCCATCGTCATGGAGACAATGCGACTCCATGCGCCGATTCCTGGACCACAACCGCGAGAGGTGCCTTATCCATCGGCCAAGCTTGGGCCATACACGATTCCAGGCGGCGTTAGGATCGCCGCGGCGGCACACACTCTGCACCGCGACGAGGGTGTATTTGCTCGACCTGAGGAGTGGGATCCAACGCGCTGGCTCAACGAGACAGACCAAGACAGTAGAAGGGCGATGAATAGGCAGTTCTGGGCGTTCTCCTCTGGGGGCAGAATGTGTATCGGGTCTAACTTTGCTGTACACGGTGAGTGGAGTAGCCTCGTGACCTTTTTGGCAAATGAATGCTCATCGATAGGTAGAGATGAAACTGATCACTGCGATGGTGTACCTAAACTACACTACATTTATTGTGGACGATGCGGGCATCGAACAGGGTGATGGGTACACAGGCAGGCCGGCAAGTGAGCAGCTGTGGCTACGCTTTGAGAGAGTCTCCTCCCCGCCTGCCTGTCCGCTCTGAGATGCTGTCAATCAGGACGATGAGGTCATGATGATCACCCCCCCGCCCCTTTCTCGCTCTCTCCCCCCTCGACGCTCTCAGTGTTTTGGGGTGGATCTGTCACATGTGACCAGGTGGATGATGGGAGTGGGCACGGTGGCTCCCCTCAGCGGTCAGATAGGGCTACAGTGTTTACTACATACTATGTACTACGCACACGTCGTATGTACTATAGTACCGTGATGAAGGAAGCTGGAGTGGGCCGATTGATTTAAAGTGCTTGCATACGGGTGCCACATAGTACTACAGGTACGATATGCACCATAGTGGTACTATGTAGTCAGAAGAGGAGATCTTCTATGTGGCAGTTCACGTCACATGTCATCTTTGCAGCACGCATGCAGAAGTGACCCGAATCCCCAAGTGCCCACCCCCCTCCACCAACCTGACTGGCCTGCCATTTATTACATAGTCAAGAATCCTAGGTTTCCACCCCACCACTTCTAACTTGCAGGGAAGGGAAACGCGTAGCGTCTGTAAACAAACAAATCTATAACGCGGCAGACCCCTTCCAATGCCTACCAAGCATAACACGCTAGAGGCAGAAGACTCATGCACACGCGTGGAGCCCGTGGAGCGCGGAAATTTGTATGATGGTGATTGGATGGTTTTGATGTTTTGTTATTGTCAGTACAGTGCCAATGTTCACTTGCAGTACTATGGAACTACAGTCGGACAAGGTTGCCCCTCTTCTTTTCCTCATCCATGGACGACCAAAGGGAGCATCTCCTAGTCCTCTTTTTCCGCCGCCGTGCCGTGCCAGCCCTCCTATTACTGTAGCGTTTTCTCTGCTTGTCGTACGTAGAAGTCGTTCATGTAAATATACGGATGGGTTTCGTCCATGCGCTCAACTCCACAATTTCTAGAATAAGGCGGGCGTGCGTGAGTCACTTTATCAGTATTGGATTTGCCCGCTTGCTCCAAAGTACCTTTTGCACCTCTCTCTGCACATACCATGTATAGAGCGACTCGTTGCGACGGTGGCGGCGCATACATTAATACGTAGTCCAATTCCAAAACCAAGCCACGATTCTCATCCCGCTTTCGCGAGAAGAACAAACAACACAACCACCATCACTACCATTCGCCAGCCAATCGATTGACCCTATTATCTACTACCTGAAAGCTCCGTTCGTTTCTTCCTAAAGCTCCGAAGAGGGAGTGAGCCACGATCGCCTGTAGATCCAGGGCGTAGAACAGGTCGCTTCGTTGTTGGTATCTTAAGAGCGCTGCTGCTGCTGATGCGCGCGCACTCGTCTTCCTCTTCGTTTGTAACCATTCGCATCATGAATTCGAACCCTAACTTGTTACCACAACTTATTGAAATTGGCAATTGCACATTCACCCTTCCGAGTCTACACTTGAGAAGGAGAAGAAAACCACTGCTTTGTTCTCACTGATTACGTCTTTTCGTCCAACCGACTCCTCTCCTCCATGCAGTCTCTTCTGACTGTCAACAATAACGTGAGCCTGTTGAGTATCTCGATCGCCCCGAGCACCTTCCTCGCAGCATTCACCTTATTCCTCGTCTTCCTTGCCCTGTACCTTCCACCCTTGCGCCCTCTTTTCAGTGGGAGACCAGCACCTGCCGCGACCACTGCCACCATCACCACGACCAGAAGGAGATATCGTCGCCGCGGATACGAATTCCTCGACGACGACGACAGCGACGACAACGAATACGACGACGAACCCCACCACCACCAGGTCAGGAGGGCCAATCGCTTCGCAGCCTACCTGAACGACCTCGCCTCTTGGGATCGCCTTCGACGTCCCGACCCAATCGAGCTGCGCGACCATCCGCCTCTGATCGAAGGCCTTCCCCAGGCAACTCTTGACGACGACCATCGCCGCCTAGATCTGACCTCGGCTCCAAAAAGAAGCCGGCGCATCACACTGCGCGCCACGAGAGGCATCAACAAGAATCAGCCAGATGACAAGGCCAGGAGAGAAAAGGCAGTTCTTCTTCTTCCACCAGGGCGCGCCGACAGAGACAACGACGACGACAACAACAGCAGAAGCAGAAGCAGCCGTCACCAGCGCAGGGAGGGAGCAGCAGATGGCGCTGGACCCACTGGATCACCTCGACGCCTCGCTGCAAGACTTGGTTTTCGAGCTGGACCCGTCGTCGCGCCGGACCAGGTCACCGACACGCGGCCCCTTCGGCTACCCCTCGGCGCACAGCGGGTTCCTGAGGAGGAGCGACCTCGAGACGACGGCCAGCATCAGCGACATGGCAAGCTCAGCAGCAGGCTCCAGCAACGCCGGCAGCGGTGGGGGTGGTGGTGGTGGTGGCTACAGCCCGCCGGCGTGGAGGCGGCTCGGAAACGGGGACCGGTCGAGCGGGTTCTGGCGGATGGGCGATGATCTGCTGGGGTATGGCGGACTTCCGCCCTCGGGCTCGGGCTACAGAGGCCGAGACTTGTTGAGCCCCGGGTATGATCGTGCCGACGACGGGTTCTACGGCTGCGGTGACGAGGTGAAGCTGGACGACGACGACGACGACGACGACGACGACGAAGATACGCTGGCCGCAGCGATCCGTACGCGTCTGCCTACCGGCAGCATGAGCCCTGTTAGGGAGCGCAGCCTCGAACCAGGGTACTACTACAACAGGCTGCGCTCGAGGTCTGCCAGCAGAGGATTTGGTGTCTATAATCATGATGAAGACGATGACGACGACATGGGCATGGATGTGCGAATCAAGAGCGAGGAACCATCCATGGAGGAGATGAAGGCAATGCTCGCTGCCCTGCCGCTGAAAAATGATTCCGAGAACTGTATGTCTCCCTCTGTCTCCCTCTGTCTCTCTCTCTCTCTCTCTCTTCCCCTCCACACACCTTTCTTCATCGTAGCACCAGGCTGACGTGGTGAAACTTTTGGCTTCCAAGCAGATATCCGCTTTGCCTCGCGCGCTGCCTCGCGTGCTGCTGAGGCTCAGCAGCGTGCAACGACCCCTGTCGAGGCAGTCATTATCAATCCCGTGCGCAACATCTACCGAAAAGCCACCAAGAGCTGGACGTCGCTGCTCCTGTCGGTGTTTGTCGCCTTCATGTCGCTCGCCGCGGCGCGCGTGCTGTTTGAACCCCTGGACGAGAAACCCGTGCCAGACCTGATCACCGTCGCCAACCTCGCCGCGGGCTTCGAGCCGCTCATCTACTACTCGGAGAACAACTTTGCTCAGGTCACCGACCTGCGCGACAACGGCATCGCCGTCTGGGATCTGGGCGAGACGGTGCGCTGGAGCAACCTCCCGAGCGCGCCGCTCATCTCCAAGGCGCTGAACGAGCTGAGCGAGAGCTTTACTGCGCTGCCTATCGAGTTGATCAAGTTTTTTGCACAGGTGGATGGAGATATTGATGGGTACTTGACGCTTCTTTCCTCTCTCTCTCTCTTTCTCTTATTCTTCCCTTTGATCTTGTTTTCTTGTCCGAGGCTGACCACACCGTCAACAAGCATCCTCATGGCCATGCACCTGGCCCGCCGCGAGCTGTCTCGCGTCTCCAGCACGCCCCCGGCGCCCCTGGCCTTCGCCTACGACAACCTCCACAGCCGCCTAGCCTCCGCCGGCATCCTCGAGACCCCGACCGGCCACCCGACCCGCCTCGGCGCCATCGTGATCAGCATCTTCGGCATGTCGGGCCCCCAGCGCACCCAGCGGGCCCTGCAGCGCGCCTTTGACCGCCTCATGGACGTGGTCGAGCGCGCCATCGACAACGAGCTGCAGCAGTCCCTGACCCCGTTCTCCCTTTTCGAGGCCGTGGACCAGCAGTTCCTCGTGCTGGCCGAGACCGTGGTCGAGGAGGCCAACGCCCAGGACGAGATGTACGCCGACCAGCTCAGCTCCCTCTGGGTCCGCCTCCTGGGCACAAAGATCAGCGAGCTCATGAAGTACGAGCGCAACCGCCTCATCCTGCAGGACGTCCGCGGCACCACCCTGCGCACCAGGGGCATGCTCGTCGAGCACAACCACAAGCTCCTCGCCCTCAAGGCCAGCCTCGAGACCCTGCGCCAGAGGCTGGTCTCCCCGCTCGCCCGCTCCGTCAACAGCACCACCCTCTCCATGGACGAGCAGATCCGCGGGCTCGAGGATGTCAGGCTGCACCTCGAGGGCATGCGCAGCCGCCAGAAGACTAGGATGATGGAAATGCTGGTCGGGACCGGCAGCGGTTCTGGCCGCAAGGACAGGCAGGGGCTGATTGATAGCCCTTAAAGTCGACAAGACACAGACATTAGGTCAACGCAGAGGGGTGCGAGCGAGGGAGCGAGCGAGGCCGATTGGCAATCGTAAACCCCCCTCTTTTTCCCACGAGGTTGACTTTGCTTCTCCCTTCATGGGCAAGGCTGGCGACAATCCTCTACACCTTTCGGCTCGCTGGCTGGCTCAACCCTTTGTGTTCTTTTGTTCTCCCTTTTTTTTCCCCTGCTCCTTTCTTTCACTCTGGGTCCGCAATAGATCAGGATCAGGCATTCTGGTAAGATTCCAAAGTTCTTATTCTACCAGATTTTCGTTCCATCGACTTTCTTGGGCTGAACAACCACCGGTTTACTTTAGACTCGCACGGCGCACGCTAGGCGCGACGGCGTAGCGCAGTGGGGATCGCTTGGGAGGTTGGGTTTGGGCATTTGAGACGGACGACAGGCACTTACAGAACCTTTCTCTCACCAATGGGCAACGAACGGCATTTGGCGACAGTAAGACTACGAATGAACTTGGACGGTCATGTCTCGTATGTGGTTTCAAGGCGCATGGCATCGTGGCTCCTGAGAGCGTTTTCGGCATAACAATGAGGGCATTGGGAGGGGCAGGCGTATATAGGTGTTTTGCTCTGCAAGCTTGTCAGTTTTTGCATTCGCTCATTTAGTACCTTGCATTCCAGGTCTTTGTCCTGACCCATATATCAGCTATTTCGTTCAAGGCACCAGAGATCACATCCTGTCAAGCGTATTCAGCATCGACCGACCATGTTTTAATGTATCAAGAACTTTTCCGGGTCTATTCAGCAACCTAGCAATGTCATCCTAATAACATCATAATTTGCCGCACCAAAAGGCAAGATCCATTTTCGTGTCATTCTCTTCCTTTCCCTGATGAACGGACGGTGGATCGTCCCAGGCTCCAGCACCATGGGCTGAGCCACAACGACGGGGGTATTTTGAGCTCTGCCACCAAATGTCAAGTCAAACGTGGCCGAGAGCGAGCAGCCTTGATCCGGTAAACCCTATAACGCCTGAACCCTAGCTGAGGACCGCACCAGTTGATCAAAGTCATGTGCGTGGCCCAACTCGCAGGAGTCGTTGGTCCACTCCGCAAAACAGACCTTCCCTCGTGCAAGTGAGAAAGGAAAGAGAGAGAGAGAGAGAGAGAGATAAAGGGAAAGAACAAAACATATGTAAGAGTACATGGTACAAGCATAGGCTGCTAGAACCAGGTGGAACAACAGGCCGCGTAACATTCTGTGAACGCAATAGAGCGGTAGACCGATAAAGGTTCACGAAGAATGATGGAAAAGCGACACCTCCAGGAGGGCGCGAGAGATACCACATTAAAAAATACCGACGTTCCTTCACCAGAACTGCAAAGTAAGATGTCGTAGACCGGAGCAGAGAAGATGGAATAGTTGGGAAGGCCGGGTAATTGATATCGTGCTGAAGGTTTCGCAATCGCAGCTTCTAGACGAAGCGGGCGTCGGCCCCCTAGGCCTTGGCCTCGGCCTTGTCCTCCTTCTTCTCGCCCTCCTCGCCACCCTGGTTCTTAACGTACTCGTCGTAGACGGTCATGGCCTCGTCCACCTTGGCGCGCAGAGCATTGTCGTCGTCGATGCTATGCAGATGTCAGTGCTTGTATCTTGAGACCAGAGCATCAAACAAAGGGAACTTACAGGTTGACGAGCTCTTGGTTGTCCATCTCCAAGAGCATACCAGTGATCTTACCCGCCAGTTCAGGCTGCAACGCTTGAATCTTGGGGAAGATAGCCTCGCCAAGCAGCTGCTTCTGGGCTGGTGGTGGGGCACCGGCCAACTGGTTCTGGAGCAGGGCACTAGCACTCAAGTCTGATGGAGCACCCATCTGAGGAGATGGGCCACCTCGTCCTCCAGGACCTCCAGGGAAACGGTTGCCCATGTTGCCACGACCAGGCATACCGCCTTCAACGATGTTAGCAGGCGGGAAGATAACATAGGCACATTGGGCCCCGGGGGGGGGGGGGGGGCGGTGGTAAGATTCTTTTTTTTAAACTCACCTGACATGTTTCCTCCAGGGATACCTGCCATGCCCTGCACAGGGCCACGGCCAGGTTGGCCACGGCCACCAGCAATGGCTGCAGCTTGGTGCTGGACCTGCTGCAGAGCGGCGATGAACTGAGGGTTGTTGGGCTGGCTATAAGCGTTTGGTGGGAACTGTCCAGGCATGTACATGTTGGGCGGCATCTGAGGTGGCATGCCACCGCGGCCGCCAGCCTGGGCTGGGTAGGCGTTGGGGAACTGACCCTGGCGGCCTGCCTGCCCGCCAGGCATGGGCATGCCGCCACCGAGGTAAGGCATGCCACCGCGACCACCAGCGCCGGGGAATCCAGGCTGCTGGCCATAGAAGACGGGAGGTTGCATGAACTGACCAGGCACGCCGGGCATGCCAGCGGCAGCCTGCTGCATGCGGAGCTGATTCCGGGCCTGGATGCTAGCCTCAAGCTGTGACTTCCGGACATCCTTCCGCTGCGCGAGGGCGACGTAGAGAGGCTTGCCGTTGATCATGCGCTGGTTCATGTCGGCAACAGCCTTGGTGGCATCATCTGGGTTGCTGAAGCAGACGAAGCCGAAGCCCTTGCTCTTGCCGAACTTCTTCTCACCCTTCTTCTCGGTCTTCTGATCACCACTCTCCTCACCAGAGCCCGAAGGCTCCTCGACCTCCTTCGTGTTCTCCTTGTCCTTCTCCTCAGACTCTTCACCCTCGACAAAGGTGTCACGCATCACCTTGGCGGATGTGATGGGGCCGTACTCGGCGAACATGGTGCGCAGCTTCTCGTCGTCGACATCGTCCGACAGGTTCTTCACGTACAGGTTGACGCCCTGGTACTTGTTGGCCTTCTCCTGGCGGGCGGCCTCGTAAGACCTGCGCAGCTCCTCCTCGCGCTCATGCTTCTTCTGAGCACGACCAACGTAGAGATCCTGACCCTTGAAGTCGTTGCCGTTGAGCTCCTCAACAGCCTTGGCAGCAGCCTCGTGAGAGATGAAGTTGACGAAACCAAAGCCACGGTTCTTGCCGCTCTCCTGGTCGCGAGCCAGAGAGGCGGAAGTGATGTCGCCATACTTGACGAACAGCTCACGGAACTCCTCATCAGAAGTATCAGGGTTGATGTTCTTCACGTAGACATTGGTGAAGTTGGCCTTCATCTCCTCGAACTTGCTCTGACGGTCCTTCTTCGGGATGTGGTGGCCGACATAGACCTTCTTCTCGTTCAGAAGCATACCGTTTACGTGCTTGATGGCCTGCGATGCAGCCTCATCGGTCTCGTAGTGGACGAAGCCGTAGCCCTTCGAGTTGCCGTTCTCGTCCTGGGCGACCTTGCAGCTGAGGATGTTGCCGAAGGCGGCGAAGGTGTCGTGAAGAGCCTTGTTGTCGATGGCGACGTCGAGGTTCTTGATGAACACATTGCCAGCACCGGTCTTGCGCAGGGCGGGGTCACGCTGAGACCACATGATACGGCAGGGATGGCCCTTGATGATGGTGTAGTTGAGCTCCTCAAGAGCCTTCTCGCCGTCGCTGGTGGTATTGTAGTTGACGTAGGCATATCCAAGAGAACGACGGGTGACGGCATCACGGCAGACACGGATCGAGGCGACGGGGCCAATCTGGGAGAACAGCTCGAAGAGCATGGCCTCGGTGACGGAGGACTCAAGCTCGCCAACGTAGAGGGAGGCAGACGAGGCATGGTTCGGGGCAGCAGAGCTGGGAGTGGGACCAGACTCGTCACCAGTGAACTCGCTGGGAGCTACAGACGTGTTGATGTTGCCAGGGGCCTTGTCAGAGCCGTTGAGGTTGGTGTTGCCGAGGTCAGCAGCGAGCTGATCAACAGCGCCAGCGGGAACGGGAGCGGCCATTGCGATAAATTCAGATGCGCTTTGCGACACTGCAGGCGACGCGCACGAGACGAGATGGTCAGCAGGATGTTGCCAAGGGCAATCCACGATGTAGTAGAGGGCGAAGGTAAGGCTGCCTGATCGTTGTGGTAAAGGGGGAAGGGGGGGGGGGGAATAGTCGCAACAGCGCAAGGTGTCTGTTTGATGGGCTGAACGATGGTGGATGCCGGGGAAGTCTGTGGGGTTAGGAAGTCGAACGAGAGAACACACCTGAGAAACTGAGTTTCTAGTAGAGTTCGTGCGGTGAGCGACGAACTATGGGTGACTGGAGATGACCTGAGTGGAAGTTTGCTTGTGACTGTCAAGGCAACAAAGCAAACCAGCGGGGTCAAAGGAAACCGTTTGATTCGAGAACCTTTCGGATTCGGATTCGGTGGGTCCTGATTGATGCTGGATGATCAAAGACGGGAAACAAGACAACAGGAACTGTGTGCTCTGGACTTGATGATGATGGAAGGGTGAGGGTGGAGGGTTGGAGTTTGTTGTCGTGATTTTTGTAGGTTAGAATTGGTGATGACTTTCCAAGGACTGAACCTGGTGGGTTTTTTTTTTGCGCTGGATTTTCAAATTTTTTTTGTGTGGTTTTTCTGATGAAAAAAGTTGGCGAGAACAGGACTCATGTACGATTAAAATCGTACGCTGGGAATCTGAAGCTCGCACGAACCTTAAGGGTGGGTGATGTCTTGGGGATAAGTTCGTTGTTGTTGTTGGGAGGGAGGAAAAAGAGGAGGAAGGACGACAGCGGCCCATTTGATCTTTTTTCCTTCCACTGAAGTTTTTTTTCTGCGCTGCAAATTCCTAGCAGCCGCGATTCTGCACTAGCTAGCGGGTACCCAAGTACTTAACCGCGTCAGGGTCACAGGGTGGATCCGTGCCAGTCTGAACACTATGGCATGTCACTAAAGGAGCTAGAATCAAGGAATCTTGGCTGGAGAATATAAAGGGAAATGGTTGTCTCTAGTAAAACTCTTGATCTATATTTTCCTGTCAATAATCCTTGGCAGTGGAAGGAAGATAGAGCGATTGCGTGTCCATATATCTTTCTTGTCAAAGGCCTGCGATTTGCTGTAGCATGCACGTACAAACCCTATCACCGTCTTTCTAATCCCCGGTTGTCCCTTCAATTTTAGATGGATGTTGGCTAAGAACAGGAGCAACGATCATTAGGTGGCAAGAGAGTAGTCTAACTCAGACATCACGGCAAGATCAACTAAGGACTCACAACATAGGTCACGATCAAAAGCCTGACATGACATCGATGGCAATAACTGCTTTTACCTGGTATGGGGCATTGGCAACGACAGCCTTATTGAGGGTGTCATACACACAAGGTTATGTAGCAAAGCAGGCTGATTCAGATAAACGGTAAGAGTTTAATTGATCGTTCCCTCCCGCACACTCAGGATGCGCATGCGTGTCACTTAAGAGCCCCACTAGCGGAGTTCTTATCGTTTATCATAGCCGAGCTCGGTTTGGAGGGGCAGAAGGCGGGGTTACATGGTAGTACGTCGCCTTCCTTCAGAGGGTAAAGCCCCTGGAAGTGAAGGGCCACAGCGGCTTGTGGGTACCTGCCTTCTGTACCACCACGCTGACTAAAACGACCACCGGGAGGCTGAACTTTCCAGAAGGTACAGTACACAGTAAGCACCTGGTATCGATAGTCGCTAAACTTGTCCAGTGGAGGTTGCTGCTAGGTTGGTCGCCTCAGCCGACGTCAAGTAACCACTTGCTCCATCACTTATCACTTGCTCACTTGCCAGCACATCAGCAGGGCAGCTTTATTTTCTCTTTTGTACAGACCCTTTTTTTAACCTTACACAATCCTCTTCCGACTGCAACACCAAGAAATCTCGCTTCTGTTCAGACGCACTCTCCCAAAGCTTCCGACGTTCCTGACATCCCTCGAGCGACCACAACCCTCGATGTGCTGGCCGTGAGGACCAGCCTCCTCCGCCGCCACAATGTCCTTCCCAACCTTCTCCGGAAACTCTCGGCGGCCCCGAAATGTCAATATGAGCGGCCAGAGGAACCTGAACCCCTTCGCTGCCACGACCTGGACACCCTCGTCCTCCTCGAATGCCTCCAAGACAGTCGCCGACGCACAGGCCGAGCGCCGTCAGCGTCAGCAAGAGAGAGCAAAGATCAGGGCTGTCGAATCAATCCAGCGTACATGGCGAGGGCATAGGGTTAGGAGGAACTTGAGAGACGAGCAACGCCAGTGGCTCGACAAGCTCTACGAGGGCAACTCCTTCTCTGATCCTGCTACCAGGTCTTCACAAGCTCTATCTGCGGTTGTGACATCTCTTGATCCCTCACGATCGGAGGACCAGGCAAGGCTGGAGCGATTCGCTACGGATCTGGCGGACTCTGGCTGCTCCGCACTTGCGGCGGCACGACCATCTCAAATAAGACGGCTGACATCACAATTGCTTGCACTCTTGAGAAGGTATCTCTATACCTATGGTTTTGGGCCCCAAATACAAGGTTTAAATGTCGATTCGCATAGCTGACAGAATGATAGGTCAAGCAACGACGAGTTACCGCGCTCATTGCTGATCCCACTGATATCGATCTGGCAGTCAAATCATGAGGCTGTACAAGACAATTTGGATGCTCTCTACAGTGTTGTTGGATCGTATTGCCGTAATGGGAAATCTAGGGACGCAGCAAGTCTTGCGCTGTTGGAAGAAGCGATTCTGATCCCATTGTCAAAGGATTCCAGCTTGCGTGCTTCCACAGCATTTGTACTAAGCTTCTTGACCCAGCCAGATCTTCGGCTGTTTGAGGCAAATGTTGCTGCATTGGCACAGAGCATCGACGTGGAAAAAGTCTCGGCAGCTATTGTCGAGGCCTATATAACAGGGCTGGCATCCTCCCAGACGCCCAACGCCCGGCTGTGGCTTCTTGCACACTTCATCGCACTGGGTAACGGGAAGCGGGATATGTCTTTCGGTTCCTCCTACTTGAACGCGATGTACATCCAGCTCTCCGGTCTGCATCTGGAGTTGAAGCGGCACCACGTCAGCCCGCCATCAGCAACCCCATCCACAACAGCAGCAGCAAATACATCCACGGAATCGAAGAAGCGACTCCCACCTTTCATAGAAAAGGCTATCGGATCCCTGGTCGAGCGAGATGAGATTTCCAACATCCTAGAGAAGTTCACCGCGTAAGTCGAATCATCAGCCAGAATTGTCAACGGCGCATGTTGTTACTAACAATTCCCAGGAACTTTGCAGGCTCATCGCTAGAGGAGCACAACCAGGGTAGTCTTCTAGCAGCCTACATTCTCACTTTGATCAGATGTTTTCCGGCCCTTGGGGATGATATTCGCATGAAGCTTTACATGGCCAGTGTGCCCTTGGAGTCGGGCCATTCAAACTCGGTCAAATTCTTCTGGGAGGCAATGGTAGAGACCAACATCTTCACGCTCATACGGTCCGATGAGCAGGGGGACACCCTAGCATTGCTCAAGCGTCAAAACTCCAAACAGTCGAGCGTGGTCAGAGATGATTCACTGTGGGATCGCGAATGGCGGGCAATACTGCTCTTCCTCGAACTATACGTTTTTGTTCTCAGGCTCACTGATGACGAGGACTTTGCCTATCCTTGGACCTCTGCAGGATTTCACACAGGGTCGACGTCAAGACTGCGGCAATGCATGCTGACCCTCACTGAGCTGAAAGGATTATCACTATTCCTGAGGAACCTCGCTTTCACATTGTATTATAATGAAAACGAGCTTCAAGAACATGGAGAAAGGCTCATGCAGTTTGCTACATCAAACACTACTGTGGACGAACTTTTCAGTCCATCCGCACAGGACACACCGCAGAAACGGAAGACACAGGGCGCGTACAATGTCATTTCTGGCGTTGACTTTGATACATTTAGAAGCACAATCACGACAGCCATGCGCATGGTCTATGAGCGTGACTCCCGCCGGCAATTCCTACCCAGAGAGCATTGGTTGATGACCTCTAGGTTTGACATGCAGAATTTCATGGACAACGTTGTCATGGAAGTTGAGAGACAGCGTCAACTGCGCAAAGAGGGGCTTGATGGGGATGAGGTGGACATGGACGAAGACGAAGACGAAGATGAAGACAACCAGGACAGCTTTGGGCGGCTGCCAACAGGCTACACATCACAAGCCCTCCGTATTGAGAGACTCAGGGAGGCGCACAAGAAGGAGCAGCGTAAAAGGTTGCTTGCTGCTGTTGGGCCAAAACTCGAAATACTCCGCAACATGCCCTTCATCATACCGTTTGATGTCAGGGTCAAAGTCTTCCGCAAGCTTGTTATTGTGGACAAGACAAGGCGGAGAAATGGCATGCTGGAAGCAGATCAATGGCGGATGCAAGTCCTACATGAGTTTCTTGATCCCCACAGAGCCAGAGACAGGCTGGAGAGGCACCATGCCAAGGTCCGCCGAGGCAAGGTCTTTGAAGATGCGTTTGCGCAATTCTACCAGCTACAAGATGGGCTCAAAGAGCCAATCCAGATCACATTCGTTGATCAATTCGACATTCCAGAGGCCGGCATCGACGGTGGCGGCGTGACAAAGGAGTTCCTGACAAGTGTCACCAAGGAGGCCTTTACCGACGACTTCAGCCTCTTCATTGCTAACAGCAAGAGCGCATTGTATCCTAATCCCTGCGCCCTGGATCAGCGCCAGGAGAAACTCAGAGAGGCCGGCATAAAGCCCGATTCAGAAGCTTGGAGGGAGGATGTCTTGGACATACTCGCGCAATACGAGTTTCTTGGGCGGATCATTGGCAAGTGCCTCTACGAGGGTATCCTCATCGACGTTGTTTTTGCTGGTTTCTTCTTGCTCAAGTGGGCGGCGGCCGCATCAGATGCAAGCTACCGAGCCAACATTAACGACCTGAGGGAGTTCGACGAAGAACTCTACAACGGTATGATGAGGCTCAAGAACTATCCAGGAGACGTCTCGGAGCTGGGCCTCGACTTCACTATCGAGGATCAGGTCTCCCTACCGAACGAGCCCATGCGGATTGCTACACGCCAGCTCTTGCCCAACGGTGACCAAATCGCCGTCACAAATGAGAACAAGCTGCTCTATATCAACTACGTTGTTCGTCACCGCCTGGTCGCGCAGCCATTCGCGGTGACCCGCGCGTTTCTGACCGGGCTCGGCACCATCATTGAACCCGCCTGGCTCAGCATGTTCAACCAATCTGAGCTGCAGCGGCTTGTGGGTGGCGACTCGACCGACATCGACATTGAAGACCTTCGGCGCAACACAGTCTACTCGGGCCTGTACGACCCAGGCGATGAGGGTCTGGAGCATCCCACCATTCAGATGTTCTGGGAGGTCATGCAGAGCCTGGAAGACTCGCAGCGCCGTGACGTGCTCAAGTACGTGACGTCGACTCCACGTGCGCCTCTGCTTGGATTCAGCCAGTTGAGCCCACGTTTCAGCATTCGCGACGGCGGTAGGGATACCACGCGGCTCCCGAGCGCCAGCACGTGCGTGAACTTGCTGAAGTTGCCGACGTATGACTCGGCGCAGCTGTTGAGGGAGAAGCTGTTGTATGCAGTCAGCTCTGGGGCTGGCTTCGATCTGAGCTGAAAGTTAGAATGATCCCGTTGCGGCCGGTGTGGGTGGCATAGATGATGATAAGCCGCGGTTTGGACCTGACAGGTTCGGAGGAGCATGGGGGAATGGGCCAGTGACTCTATCTACATCACAAGTTTTTCAACTCCGTGGCCGAGTCTTCCTCCTCAAACCTTGTCAGAGTCATCCGGTTGATGAAATAGAATGAGTTAAATGATACAAATAGTAATCTCTTGGTGAGGGCACCGTTAAATTTATTGCATCTCGCGTGGGCTCGTTGACTGGTAGTGACGCCGGTGTACCTCCCGGACCATGATCTTGGTAGCAAGGTTTCGCATGGTTGCTCAAGATTTGAATGTTCTCGAGCACCCCTTAACACCTCCTTGAAATAGGGGAGGGGGAAACTCTGAACTACGCGAGTATTCAATATGGGAAAGGCCTCTCCTTCATGGTTTGAAGCTACTCGGGAACTGGCGAAGGCCCGAGTTTCATGCCCGATCGACACAGGGGACACCGCCACGCCTCACGATGGATGAGACAGGAAACAAAAAGTTTACACCGGGTGTCTACTTGCCGTACGGAGGCCATCAAAGAGCTTGCTTCATATTGCTTTTCTATATGTACCTCTCTCTGACTTTTGTTGACCCTCTGAAGTCGCTAGGTAATTATTTATTCACGGCTTTGACTCTGAATCCACGAGAAAAACATCATTACTTCGTGGCTTGACTCTCTACGTCAACTCCAATCTACGATATACACCTTTCTTCCTTTTTCTTTCCACTCCTGTCTGGATATTCCCAAAGATGGGATTCTTACTAGCACTCATGCTCTCTTTCGCCGGCCTCACAATAGCCGCGCCGACCCTCGAGCACCGCCAAACATCCAATACAACAACCACAGCAGGCACCACAACGCAGCTGACCTTCCAGGGCGCGGGCGCCTCATTCACAGTGAATGCTCCTCTCGACGGGAGTACATTCCAGATCCGTACGTTTCTAACACATCAAACCCCACTTCGGGGGAAAGGAAGGAGAAAGGAAGAAGAAGAAGAGGGAAGAAAAGGGAAAGCCCCCTGCTGACGTTTTCGCGCTTTGAATACGTATTAGCCAACCCGATCTCAGTCGACGCCATCACGCAGGTCGGCGCGGGCAACTGCGCATTCACGGGCATCAACGGCGTCAAGCTGACGGTTGTCGGCACGAATAATGGGGCGACGATCGCGCCGCCGCAGACTATTGAGAGCGGTAGCTGTTCGGCGTGATAAGAGCGCCCAGATTGGGGTGGTGGTGGGCCAGGAAGGAGAGTACTCCTCAGGGCGCCAGTTAAGAGACAGAAAAGGGAACAGCAGGGCTGTTCTGATCTGGTGAAGAGGATGAATCTGTCGGCTGGTTTCGCGTTTCGTTCTTCTGGTGTTTTTTCCTTCTTCATTTTTTGATACCCTGTTTCCTTGTTCTTTCGAGAACAATTCAATAGAATTCGTGAGAGGCTCCCACGTTTCTACTTTCATGCCGTCTTCATTTCGACTTGTCGCCCTGAAAACTGGTCTTAAGGATGTGTGGCTTCCTCTCCTTCAGGTCAAGAATCATCTGGCCAAAGAGCCCGTTCGCCCACGAGAACCAGCTCCGCGTCCACATCCCTTGGTTGTGCACGTTGACGCTCTCGTGGATCAGACCCAGCCCGGCGGTGGAGGACAGGATCTGGGACAGCATATCCTTGATTTCCTCGTCGTCATCGGTCGTCATGATGCCGACGACCAGGGACATGGGCCATACCATGCCGGGCCCGATGTGTGGGCCGCCTGTGCCGTTGATGACAGGGCCGTGGTCATAGTAAGGGTTGGCGTTGGAGAGGATGAACTTGCGGGTGGCGCGGTAGATTGGGTCGGTGCGGGTGATGTAACCTGTCAAGGGGGAAGAGAGAAGAGATGGGAGGTTGGCGTCGTCCTGGTAGCAGATGAAAATGAATTTACGTTGTTAGCCAAGATAATTCCAAGAAAACATGTTGAGAACTTTGGGTTGGACTGTCTCACATACCATAACGCTGCTCGATGCAAAACCATCAACCTCATAAGCGAGGATCTCGCCAAAATCCGGATGGACAATCTTGCCGTGCTTCTCAATCCCTTTTCGGATTTCTTTTGCAATACGACGCATCCTCTCCGTCACATTCTCGTCGTTGTTCTCGCTGCTGTCATCGCCGTCACCTTCCTCCTCCTCCTCCTCTTCAGCAGTCAGCACACCTTGGTATCCCTGACTCTCTGCCGCCGCAGCAGCAGCAACAGTAGCCAGGCGATCCTCCTCTTTCTCAACCTTGGCCATGATCTCTGCACACTGCTCGAGATACTTGACGAGCATCATGTTGGCCGGGATCAAGAACTGATACGTGGTGGCATCATCGCTAGGCCTGAACCCGCTCCGGATCAGACCCGTCCCGCCCTTGACAGGGCTCCCGTTCCCACGGTTGGCCAATGTCTCAGTCGGTACCGAAGAGGTCCTCTCGAAACGGTACGGGCTGTCCGGCACCTTTCCGTCCTGGCTGTACGTCGGCATGCGCATCTCCTCGACCGTGTCCAGAATCGTAATCACGGCATCCATCCATCCATCCGCTCCACCCTTACTGCTCCTCCTCCTTCCGCCGCCCTTTCTCCTTCCTCCTTTTGTTGTTCTGGTGGTGAACCCGGATTTGCTCGCCTCGACAAAGAACCGCGTGTCTTTGGTCCGGCTGAAGTAGTCCCAGCTCAGCTGCAGGAACGCAGCCAGGCTGTCCAGCTCGTATTTGCACTCAAAGACCACATCGTGCCTGTACGGCGGCCACACGAGGTCATGCTTGTTGCCGTCATTACCAGGGGCCATCCCGGCCTCAGCGGGCGGTTGAAAGGCGTTGCAGTGGGGCGAGGCGAGGATGTAGCGGGCCTGGAGGTTGATGGCGCCGCGGAAGAGGGAGGCGAGCCTTGAGGAGGAAGAGGAAGAGGAGGACGGCCTGTTGTTGGTGGTGGTGGTGGTATCTTTGGAGGAGTGTTGTGGCGGCTGGGGTGGTTTGAGCAGGCTCACGTAGCTTTGGAGCTGGTTGGCCGAGTCCCGAAGCCACATGGCGTGAATATCGCCCGTCGTGATGAAGGTCAACTGCAAAGAGAGAAGAGAGAAGAGAGTCAGTCATACCCAGAAGTCACAGCACATGCATTATCGAGCACAATGTAGGTGCCTCTTTGTCTTTGCTTGTTTTTCTCTCATCACGCACCTCTTCGTTCACATTTGTGTTCGAGACTCCCGTCCAGGTGACAGACGTATCCAGCGTGTTCGGAAAACAGTTCTCAAACAGCCTGAATAGATCCGGATCCTTGATGGTCTTGTTCATCTCGACAATCACCGCCTCGACCTCAGGAATCACCACCTTCCTGCACGCGTCCGCCGGTCTCTGATACGGCAGATCATACCGGCCCCCCGTAAACGGCCCATGGCGCTGGGCGGCATACCGTCCATACTCGGGACAGTTCTCGTGCGTCGAGACAGAAACCACGGTTCCCGAGGCCTCTTCGTACACCACAAAAGGCGGCGGCGTGGCAGCGTCCATCACCTCGGGGAGCATGTCCGCCTCGCGAAGGAGATTCCGGGTCGTGCACAGGATGCCGTAGAGGACCAGAGCCGCCACGAAGGTCGTCAGGGTCTGCTGGCGGGACCTCCACATGGCGCGCCTTGGGGAGTTGGCCAGGCCGCCGGGAATGAGGATGCCATGGGCGGACTGGATCCTGACTCTCTTCATGGCGGGCGGAGGGGGAGGGAAGGAGGATTTGAATGTTGATAATTACGAGACGTCTCTGCTGGTCATCTCGGCGTGCGATGGTTTCCCTCCTCAACCCCAATCAATAAACGAAAGGATGTATCTTCTTGTTCTCCTGAAATCTACTATCGCTGACAAAATGAAGCAAAAACAGAGGAAGATGTCTGAGGGTATTGATAGGCAATCCTTAGTGGCGTGGGCCGCACAGGTGATTGACTAGACACTGCTAGTTAGGTTCAGGGGTGAAACTTTCCGACGTGGAGATGTTCAGATAAAACCTCCGTGAGGCGCTGCAGGTGTGTCTAACTCGTCTCTCTCTCTTGTTGATGATGATGAAACTTGAATACCGAAGAAATTGGAAGAGTCTCTCGACGCAGAATGGTGTGTGTGTCTGTGAGTGTGTGCGTGTACTGTAAATTTATAAAGTTAACGGCAGATGAACAAGAGCGAGAAAGAGAGAATCTGAACTCTTGAGTCGCAGCAGCGGAGGACCCGGATCTTGAACTCTTCCTTCTAAACGCCAAAATAAAAAGGTTCCACCATCGAAGAATGCCAAGCTGAGCAGCTGTAGCAATAGATTGGCCGAGCTCTCCAGAGAAGCAGCCCACCTTCAGGGGGGCCAAGCTGAGATGTGCTGCATGGGCCAGGGGAGAAGCTGTCTTTGGAGAGGAGGCGAGAGGGGCCCAAACCTACAACGGTACAGTAACTGGCCATGTTGGAAGGGCACTTGAAACATATGACCCACAAAATGTACGTGGACACTATACAGCGTCTTGACGCCGTCTCCATCCTGTACTGTTTTGATTTTACAGACAAAAAAGAAGAGTTGCCCAGCTGCCAAAACGTGTTAGGATGAACTACAGTCAACGTTGTGGATAATCCCGAGGCCAAGCTAGTTCTGACGTTGACTGCTGTCAAAAATCAAGAGAGTGGAACGTACTTGAGCAGTTGGAAAGCTAGCAATATGTCGTATAAATCCACGTAACTTGCCGTTTTAGTAGTATCAGCCCTATGGGGACGGACACTTGCATCTACCGTAGGTGCCCACGCCATCTCGGAACCTGTTGCCGTTCCCGCCCTGCCGTCTTGCTGAAACTTGCAGAGAGACTGAATGCCGATCTTTCGTTATAGTTGGGGGGCAAATGTATACACGACAGTACATATGTACACACACACACACACACACACCTACATGTATGCTTTGGACGAGACATTTTCAAGCAGCCTTGAGGATTCTGTTGTGCGTACTGTAAGATCTAACGTCACGGTCCATAATTATATCCAGAACATACACGCTCATCCTCCACCAGCCTTTGCTATGGTACAGATCCAATGACCGGGTTAGAAACCTCAGATCTGCGGGCGATTTGAGCGGCGATCATTCATGCCATTGCGTAATTACCTCTTCCTTATGCTGTCCGCAGATGACCACCACTATTTGCCAGCTTGGCCTATTTACCCCGGTTTTTCTCCTTTGTCTCTCAGAGCACAGAAGAAGAAGGAAAAATATGACCCAAAAAGGCATTGACCGCTGATATCATCGCCTGGAATTTGAAACCCATTTCCCTAGCAGTCACTTCAGCCAAATGACGCAGGATACATTGATTGCATCAAAAGGGTCGCAACACAAGATCAGATTATTGCAACCTTTTTTTCCCCCCTTGTTCCTTTTCCCCTCTGTAGCTACGTAACTCTATATTCTGGCTCGGGTTTTAACAGAGGAAATACAAACAGTACACCGCCTCTGTGCGACATAATACAACAGCAGCAAGTACTGGCTGATCTGCGAGTCTGCGCATCTCGCACATTGCCGGTCAGAAACCCAGGCCCTTATCAAAACAAAAACAATGCTTTCATTATACGTTCCCATCCCAAGAATGGAGGAGAGGGGTGGGGGGAATCAATGAGACGATGTTTCATCCCTCGAGCCAACATGATCGCAGCCACGCACGGCCTTGGAACGTCGGTCAACATCCGGGAACATCCACCAGAGAAGCAACGCCGCCATGAGCATCGCCAGGATAAACACCTGAAAGACCCGAATCCCAAGCCACTGGGCAAGTGACCCCAGCGCAAACGGCAGCACCGCCGCCCCAACTTGTCCCACTGAGCAGACAAACGAGACGGCCGCCACGTGCAGCTCCTTGGGGAGCAGGCGGGCCACCATGACGATTCCTGACGGAAAGATGGGGCCGAGAAAGAAGCCAACGGCGGCGACGGCTGCCACCGAGACGGGAGCCGAGTTCACAACCGCCAGGAGGATCTGAGCGAGGACGGCGAGCAGCAGGTAGCCGGCGGTGGCGCTGCGCACGCCGAGCTGGTCCGTCACGGTGCCCAGGAGGAGGCGGCCGGCTGACATGCCGATCCAGAAGCACGAGGAAGAGAGGCTGGCGAGGAAGGTGGATGCGGCGCGGGCGCGGAGCATGAAGGTCACGATCCATCCTGAGATGGCTCCCTCTGTGCCGACGTAGGCGAGAAAGTAGGCTGCACACGTCCACAGCACGGGGTATCGGAAGATGCCCTTTGGTCGCGCCGGTTCCAGAGGCTGGTCGAGGTCGTTGTGGTATCGCGTGCTGTCCTCGAGGCGGAAAGCCAAACACAGGACGAGGCCCTGGCACACGACGGCCCCGAGAAGGACGTAGTACCAGGACCACCATGGCGTTTTCGCGACAGAGAACATGGTCCCGGCCAGGAAAGGTCCCAGTCCAGCACCGAGAGAGAAACTCCCGTGAAGAAGGCCTTGAACGGTGTTGGTCCTGTGCCCTCCTAGGCCGCCCGCCCAGGCGCACCATGAGCCGTCAAGAAGTCCAGTGCCGACCTGGCCAATCGCCGTCGTCAGCAGGAACAGCTGGAATCCACCCATCTCTGGGCGGTGAAACGTCGCGACCGTCCCTGTGAAGATGATCTGACAAATTGGCGCGATGGTTGCAATGCCTCTCTGGCCCAGACGTCGGTGGATCGGAGCATTGAGCCGTGCTCCGACGAGATATCCAACAGGACCCGCAAGGAAGATCAGGGAAGCTTGGATGTCGTTGAGGTGAAAGTACGCCTCGAGGTGCGGAAGAATGACGCCGGGTGTCGAGATGATTAGCCCCATCACGAAGAAGGAGAGCAAAGTAGCTGAGAATTTGAAGAGGAAGCCATGACTGTTGGTCGACTCCTCTTCTCCAATAGGGAGTTCCCTTTGCACTCCTGTGCTCTGTGCGGCACTGCTCGTAATATCATCCTCGTATGGTATGGGGGAGACCACTCTCAGCAACGGTTCCGTCTCGAATCGCACACGAGGAGCCATCTCCACGCTTTCCTTTTTGGTGCAAAAACTTGTGATGAATAATCCCGAGTTTGCCTGAATGCCAAGAGTGACGTTTGAATAGAGATAAAGTTAGGAAATAGCCCGAGATTTTCCCGATGCTGCAGATTTTGGAGTTGAACGAGGGAACATCCGCCCCCTCGGAGGCCAGGTGAGACACGAAAAAGTATTGACTACTTACTGTTGCTCAAGGCGTGGCGTATGCACAACGCAGCATGACTACTGCCATGGCTATACTCATTTACATTCAAATAGTTGCCTGCGTGAGTCAATGTCCGTGTGGCGCTTATCAGCTCGATCAGTAGTCGCTGATTTGGCTCGTCTATTCGGTCCAGAATGGGTGTTCTGTTACATACTTGAAAGCTCTCATGGGTATTCATGTGGAAGATGCCTAGAAGTTTGTCTTGAGACGTAGTCCAGCGTTCAGGAGGATTTTGACCACATCGTGGACAGGTTCGCGGAAGATCGCAGTAAGGTATGTATTGCCTCTACACTATAGAGGTATAGTAATATATACAATAAGAATCGTAAAATATGTAGACTGCGGGAGGAATTAAGTCTCAGAGTGTTTCAATGACCCCCCTTAGAAACATGTCGCGAGACGGGTTCCATCAAGGAATTCCCTCTAGCAGTAGCTCGAAGCAGCACTGGGCTCATTGGTGCAGTCGGTACCCTTGCCGCCAGTGACATCGACACTCTCCCAAGTCCAGCTGGAGCAAGAGCTGGTAGAGCCACAGTCGATCCAGACAGAGTAGGCATCGTCTTCGACCGTACCAGTAACGCCGTCCAGCTCAAAGCTTGTGATGGGGACACCAGTCGTGGCGTCGTCTCCGTCGTAGGCCTGGGTGACATAGATGCCATACTTGGTGATGTCCTTGAGGGTGATGTCCTTGTAGTAGATGCCCTTGACCGTGCCAGTGTCGCCGGAGATGGTCTGTAGGTGGTGATGAAAACAATGTCAGTTGTCTGTGCGATGCGAGAATGAAAAAAGAAAAAAACAAAAAGAATTCAACAGGAGTTTGAACAATTGGCTTCTCACCTTGATGCGAACACCATTCTGAGAGTTCTCGACAGTTGAAGACTCAAAATAAACATCCTCCACTGTGTTATCGTCACGACCACCAACGCTGCCAATGGACAGACCGTGCCCACCAGAGCAAAGACCTCCCGTGAAGATGATGTTTGTGCCAGAGTTGACAGCAACGCAGTCATCCTGGTTATAGCAAGTTGCGCCTGTGATGGTCTGGTATGTGTTAGCAGCGGCTCCAAGTTCGGCGAGGTGGTGCTGGTCAGAGAGCTTGGTGAAGGTGAGAAACAATGAATAGAAGGGCTCTTGCATACTACACCAGTAGACGAGCCAATATCGAAGCAGTCCGTGTTGGCCGCAAGGTCGTCCGCATCACCATCGGTTCCGTCGATCGTGATATCCGCCAGGGTAAGCGTATCAGCATTATCAATCGAGAACACCTGATGAGGAGGATTCAGGATGTAAATATTCTCGATCGTCGAAGAGGTAAGATCGTGGGCCTGGAAGAACTTGGGCTTCGCAATGCCATCGTCGCCCTCGCCGTCCCACCACAGAGCACCCTGACCGTCCAGGACAGCGCCGCTCTCACCAGCCACCTTGATGTTGGTGCCAGAGACAGCAAACAGAGGGCCGTCCCACTCCTCGAAGTCCCACTTTGTAGTGCCTTCGAAGATGACGACCGTTCCGCTCGTGAGATCAGTCATGTCCAAGGTCTCACCGGCGGGGACGGTGAGGCCGTCCAGGATGATAGTGGAGCAAGAGGCCTTGGACTTGCTCGCAGAGGAGTAGCCGGCAGTACCAGTGAACTTGCAGGTGGCAGCACGCTCCTCGAGGGCGCGCTCGACCTCCATCGGGCTGGGAGCCGGTGTGGGCGCGGGAGCAGGCTCGGCCATGACGGCCAGGGCACCCGCGAGGGCGGCCAGGCAGAGTTGGACGTGCATTACGAAATCAGGTGCAATATAAATGAACGTACAATGAAAGAGTGTGGTCCTGTGAAGAAGAGTATTATAGTATAGCCAAGATTGACTGTAGCGGATGAGGAAGCCGGAACCTGTGAATACGATCCTGAGGAGGGCTTGCAAGCCTTTTAATACTTTTTTCTTCTTTCTCCTTCTCTATAATTTCTCCTCTATTTTCTCTATCACGGCCTACCCCGAAGAAGCGAACCACGAGGCCCTTCCACGACTCCTTGCTTCACCCCACCTCCTCCCTACCTTGCCTTCTATTCCCCTCCCATGATTCGCCGGAAATGACTTCTCGCATGAAGCCGTACAGCCTCAGGTGAGAGAAAAGCCTCGCGGGATCCGCCCCTGAATTTTGTTTAGCGGCAAAGTCGTTGTGGAGCTGCCAGCGCCGATGTATAAGTGCGGATGCCCGATCATTCGAATAAGATTCAATATCTGTTTACTTCGTATTTAGCCTTTCGGGGTATAGCGCATTTGCTGCCACCGTTTGAGCCCTCTTGGACCCAGTGCCCCTATGGTAACTATCGTAACTTACGCTTTCGGCAACCGGGCATATCCTCAACTGAATTCATTAACACCGCCACCTTTCCTGCCCTGAAAGACCCTGGGTTTGAGCGTGTCTTGAAGTTTTCAGACATAGCTTCTTAATCTTCGAAGCTTTTACACTCAAGCATTCTTGGATATCTGGCAGATCCTTTTGATTAACGGTTTGTGCAAAGAAACCGTGTGCAAGGAGGCTGGCAGCGGTCCTTGCCGAATGCGATATAGGTATTTAAACAAGCAAACATCAAGATCTCATTCGAAACGTAGTGTCTCTGGTACAAGCGTAGCGGAGACAGAACCATTGAAAAAGGAGGAAAATATACGTCCAATTCCCACCCCCCCCCCCTCCTCCGTTGTGGCAGGTTTGGACCGGTTCGGTTACATGAAATCCGGTTCTCGAGGCTCTGAGCCTTCAAAAAGTAATGAAATTCAAAGGCAGTTGTAGTGTATGCCTCGTCTGGACATGAGAGAAGAAAGCGTGGCAAACAAGGAACTGCACTCCCTCAGACCTTGATACCGTGCTTGTTTGGTGGAGACGCTGCCGATCCGGAGATGAACCGACCTTCAACAGGGGCAGTTGACCCGCTGGCCTGGATTTGAGCCCCACAATGTCCTCACTGGTTCAGTGAATATCACGGAATGCTGTGTACAGTTTCAGCGACTGGTGCTAAATCTCCGCACAATCTAAAGCTTGGCAGCAGATTGGTGGAATTCTGGAAAAGAGATGCGTGCCTGACTGAGTGGCGAGTACTCTCCAGGAACCACATCATGATGTTATCCACAGTCAGACCTTGTCATTAGTCTCCTAGCAAGGCAATGGCCGCCCGATCAAAGTCTTGATGAGCTTGATTCAGTTGCAAGGTCAAATGTCATAGGCCATCAGGGCCATCTGTCTACCTGCGTCTGAGTAATGGCCAGGAATTATGTTTCAGCATCGTTTTGTAAGCCTGATATGATGATCAATTTGGCTCGGGAGGGCACTGAACGAGGGAAGAAGTCGTCTCCCGATCCAGGGAACTTGTTAAGCGGTGAGCTTCGAATCAAGATAGTGTGTATAGGCGTATAGGGGGCTGATGGATTGACACCAGTGGAGGCAGAATGATGGTGCCGTAACGTCCTGATTTGCCTACCCCAGATCTTCCAAGGTCTGCCAAGGCCCGATGACAACGTAACAGAAAGCTTGACTTGTGGAAACAGCCGCTTCTGTTCCAGTATGCGCCAAGCGATTTGACTTGTACCATCAACCTCATGGCAGAAGCACCCCGGAACCCGAAGGTTTGCAGATGGAATATAGCCACGCCAGGCTCCACCGACAACCTGACTCAATACCTCTTGCTTCAACAGGGAAGCCGATAACGTCTTCCTACTCGATCCGTGCGGAACGGTGAAATCGATATCTCCTTGGCAAGTTCCTCGACATGGATGTGGCTACTGCCAGTGTTCATGATCACGTCAAGTTGAGACAGACATTTTGTCTAAGAACAAAATGGGATGGTTTGGATGAATAAATCTTGTCAAGGTGTCTTCATTATTGCTGTTTAAGTCTACCTCGACTTCACGGAGTATAAGTGATCCAGCGAGCCACCCTTGAGGAGAGTGGTTCATTAATTGCGTATATCCTGGTTTTCCTTTTCTTCTCTCCTAAGGGACTTGATCAGTCCACCTTATCCCTCACAACAGCCTGCTCCAGAAAATGAAGTCTTATAAGACCTCACCAGTGACTCTTCCTGGTGGATATTGCACTGGCACTGAGTTATTGGTGAGCGGGACGTCCGACTTGGCTGGGGCATGTCGATCAGATCGACCACGATTGCGTCGATTATTGGCGAAATCGGGCCGCCTGTCGTCCGAATGCAAAGAAGGGGTTCTGGAGGGGGACATGGACTCGGCTCTTGACATGTCGTGCTCACCACGACTCCTGGCATACTTCCGTACCCTCGAGCGAGGCGGAGCCACTTGGCTCTCCTCGTCCTCGTGCTTCTTGCGGAGCTGCCTCACACCCCATGTCGCAACAATGCCGTAAGCCAGCATGAAAAACGCTGCCGTTCCGACAATTACAGATGATTGCCAAGTGACTGAATTTGGTGCTGGGCATGTGTATTTGGAAATGAGCAGCGGCACGACAACACCGCTCACCACAGCAAGTCCAACTGCACAGATGCCACTGGTGACGAATGCCCACTTGTATTTTGGGATGCGTAGAAATCTGTCCATGCCGCTGTTAGCTTTTCGTTTTGTATTGGAAAGGAGGCTTCGATGACACGAAATAGCTTACCTGCCATGTTGTGCCATGATAATCGACTTAGATGAAAATAGACTTGAGAAATGCACACGCTTATCGGAAATAGACGTAGTTGAGGAAGTCCCCTGCGATCGAAAAAGAAGATTCGCATAAATTGTCTATGAGTAGAAAAGTTGTAAAAGCTGTCAAGACTGTTGTCTCGCTACCAAATGGCATAATTATATAGAAGTCAGCTACCATTCTAATAAAATCATAACGAAAGATGGGTTAGGTATCACAGGCTCTCAAGTTACAAATTCCTGTCGGTGACAAATGCATTGGATGAGCTTTCTTGAAGAAGATGGGAGTACTGACCCGGCCGACACATTTGACTAGGCATAATATGTCTCGAGAATTTCAATCAACGAGGACTGAGTCACCACAGCCATAGTGACTGTCCAGATTTGTAGGATATGTGCTGATCACCATGGTTGTTCAAATAGACTACTTTGAAATGATACGGCTGGATTTATCTGCCTAAATGAATATTTGATCAGTGGGCAGCAGGCCGATGAGAGTGAGCCCGTGATGTTGCGGAGACCCATGCAAGTACTCTTGACGAGGTTTCCTGCTATGAACTGCCAAGGAAGCATTTGGGGAATGAGAGATCTCAGTAAGCTGTCTAGGAAGTCCGATGCACGGAATAAGGTAAGTAAATATTTCGTACTGAATGTGTGTAAGAGAACAGAAGCCCAGAGCTGCCTGGCTTCCAGATTTTTCTCATTAGCCATTTTGTGCCGAGTCACACTTCTTCGTGCAACACTCTCGCTTCCTTCTCCCCAGTCTAGGAACTCTGACTTGGACGTACGTGTCTCCTATGCTACTATTAAATCGCCACCCATACCTTCCGTATCAAGCGGTGTGACAGACGATTTCCTGTGCCTCTGGGGGTGCGATGGCGCTAGGGTCTTGCGGCTGAGATTGCTTCCCGCAGTTCTGGCATTGAAGCTTGCCCTGATTGTCCTCCTTTTCCTCCTGTGACTGGGTCTTGCTGCTTGCGTGTTCCGAACGGCGCCGAGAGCAGTTGGATGCCCACTTGTACCAGAGGAGTCCCGTGGTGATTCCTACAGCGAGGAAGCCTCCAGAGTACGCTGCTATGAGAATGAATGGACCAGCGCGTGACGAGCACGGACTGTCGTTCTGGCCGACAACCCTGCAGACAAGATCTCCAGCAAGGCTGATGGCGCAAACGAGCAAGATGAGAGTGATAGCAAGAGGTCCGACTAGAAGCCCCTGCTCTTTCAGGAATATTTTCACGTACCTGTTGACAATTTAGTCAGCGAGCTGCGTCTTTCGTGTCGATTGAATGCCACATGAGCTTACGCCATGATTCGTGGTGGCTCAGAGGTTCGTTGTCTCGAGAAGTCTTAGAGATGTTTACTGCTTGCGATTTGAATAGTGTATAACTGCGCTGTGAGTTGCAATGTCTTCTTGTTTCGGGTAAAGGGGATTCCCGTGTTTGTAGTGCTGATTTGATATTAGGAACAGTGCTTGAGTGAAAGAAATCGAGCCTTAGGAAAGAGATTTGTGCCCTAAATAATGGCTGCTCTGGGTCTAATATCGCCTCTCGCCAATAATTTGCTGCAACTCCATCATCCACAGTGAAGCAATAGCAGCAAGAAGGCACTATGAATTGGAACTGTCACTCAGTATGAATTATGCAAAGTGTTGTCTCTAGGTAGTGATTAGCTGTGGTAACCTATTTGCTCGTGGTCAAGGAATTGTAGTCTTGTAACTGTGAAGCATGTTTTTGGTCAAGTCACCTTCACTGACCTTAAGTTAGTGATTGCACATCTTAGACTTTTTGCAGTGAGACTGTACTGCGCAGGGTCATTCACCAACCTCTGTCCACTTTCATGATTAGACTCAGACAGCATATAATCTTGCACAAAAGGTGACCTATTAACAGCAACCAAGACTCAGATACAAAATCACAGGCTTTATGACCTCAGTCTTCGCCTCAGTATGAGGCATGTCACCATAGGCCAAGGGTAGAAGAACAGTCAAAGAACACCCTTCATAGTCGCATGCGGGGACAAGAGAAAACACTACCAACTCGCTTGTCCACAATGTTCTGAACCGCCTGTCGCCCCACTAGAGGCCGTGGTTCAAAGAATGTATGGCAAGGCAGAGTGGTCTCGTACAAAGCAGAAACAGGAAAAAGAAAGGGGGAAGTGGGAGATGGGACATGAAGGGCAGAAAGGTATAGTACCTGGGTATAGATAGGATGGGATTTAGATTGGGAAATTGCACCATATTTATATACATACTAGCCCACATGCAAATTCTAAAAACCAGAGACTACATTAGCTAAGTTGCTGCTCTTTGTCTGTCCTGCCTTTTAAAAGACTAATAGGAACAGTAACAGCATCACCACTTAGCTAGCCTTGCATTATATACAGATAGTGTTTTGTAAGCAAGGACTAGACTAGACTGCCCCAAATGAGCTATATGTGCAATACTTTCATAGCGAAAAGAGTCAAGTCAGCTCTGGCTTTCAGCAAACTATAGCTCCTAGTTCAGGATACTTCATTATATAGTACTTAGTAGTTTCATATCATGCTCCGACCCCTGCCTCACTACCCTAAGGTACTGGATTCTAGCAATCAGACGTAGCACTAGTCTCCGCAGACTAGGACATTAACACCTAGCACTCAACCAATGCTGTCTAGTTTAAGATCTACGAATACACCTTCGAAAGTAGGCAGATGTGGGTGTCCTCAGGTAAGGCAGAAGCAGGCTCCCGTTGTCCAAGTCATTAGACATGCTCCAAAACATGCTGATACTCTCCCTCCTCCGGCAGGTGACTCCTCTGTCGACGTGACCATCCCATGTTGTCTCCGAGTCGGGCACTACCTGATGCGTAACGAGCAGATCAGCCTGCATGTAGCCTCTACTGAGGACAGCGCCCAGCTTTACCTGTCGTGCGGACAGCTCGAGATCACGAGCGGCCGCAGCAAGACGCCTTCGAAGTTGGGTGCATTCCCCGGAGCCTATGAGGCTACGGATCCTGGAATCTTGATCAACATCGTCTACCCCACGCTGACGACGTATCTCAACCCTAGACCAACTGTATTCGTCTGCTAGGTAAGAGGAAAGTTGCATCTCTGGCTCATTGATAGGCTGGGGAAGGGCGGTCGACCTGTGGCGTGCAGTTTGTGTGCAAATGCTGGAAATGGGATGCCAGTGGGATGAGCACTGGATGATCAGCTACCATTGATTCGTATACTTTGCGTTGTTGGGACTGGTCTTAGAGGAAGCCTCGAGTCAGAAGTCATGTCAGACTGGTTTTCGATTAACCGCTTAATGTGCCCTGAAATCCAACTATGGAATTGAAAAAGACAATGCCGACCCAAGCAAGAAGCAACGAGAGAGGTAGACGCCATATGCAGGTAACCCTAAAGTACAAAGAAGATAAGGTCCGAACGCCAGACTTGGACATTGTCTCGGGATATCAGAATCGTAGGGAGAAGAACTGAACATGGAAAAAGAAAAAGAAGAAAAAAAAAGTGAGAAACGAAGAGAAAGCTTCGACAGCATCAGTTCCCTTCTTTCCTTTGTGAATCGGCATTAATGACCGGATTTTATGTGACATTACTGACAGGTGGAAGAAAGAGCCCGTAAGCGCCTTACTAACCGTTGCGAGGTTGGCAATATTTTGGTACCTGATCGTCGAAATAGGAACATGTGGCTGCCGGCGTTCATCCGCAACATACCCAGATGAATGGTTGGCTGCCTTACAACTTTCCGCAGCCGTCTACTCCTTCATCTTGACATAGTTGCTCGGGAAAGTGCCATGTTTTGTGCCGATCATGCCGGTCCTGCAAATCAACCAGTCAGTGTTGGGCACAAAAGGGAGGGAGGAAACGTCAGTGCCAATACGTACCACCAGTCATTGTCACTGTCTGTCTTCTTCAGCACCGTGATGATGTCTCCCTTTTTGAAGCCCAGATCGCCTGGCTGCTCCGCTTCGAATGTGAACAGAGCGACGGCCTCATTCTTCTTCACGAGGGCCTGCTTGCTCTGGAAGTTGGGCTTGGGCGCAGCAGGTCTACCTGGGCCGACCTTACGCTCCTCGGGTGTTTGGTACTCCCTGGGCACGGTGACGTCCTGGAGTGTGCTGGACCTCGATCCCGACCCGAATGCTCGAGGGCTATCGTAGACATCATCCTGCCACGTGCTCGCCCTCTTTGGTGCGCCAAACTCTCCCTGCCCACTGTTTCCACCGTAGGTGGCGTTGCGCGAGTGGCCGTGACTACTGGAGCTATCATCGTACGTGTCGCCATACACCGGCACGTCATTGTACATGTTGTCGTCGTAAGTCCCTGAACGCACGCCATTGAACGCCCTCGAGTTGAGAATATTGAGCAGAGGCGCGGCTTGGGGTGGGGGCCGCTCGCTTCCCAAAAGCAGGTCGCGCGCGCTGATGGGCCGACCATAAAGTTTCGTGTTGGCATCCTTGCGCTCTATTATCGCAGATCCCTCCAAACTGACACCTGCGAACAGGCCCTTGGTCTTGCTGTAGCTGAAGATGCCCGCGACACCCCTCAGACTGGCGGCTCCGGCAGCCTCGGCATTGCGACCAACAGGACCTGCGGCAAGTGAGACATTGCCACCGAGCGTGAGAGATCCGGCAGTCGAGAACGTCTTGACGGCGGCGGCATCGTTCAGGATGAAGACGAAGTCGGTAAGCTCGAAGCCGATTTGGCCGCCAAAACCAGCGCCGCCGGTTGCAATGGCGGAGGGCGCGGACCAGGAACCGTCGGGCAGGCGGGCGACGACAAGACCAGAGCCGAAGCGAGCAGACCCAAGGAATCCTGCCTTGATGACAGTGAGGATGGCAAGACCCTACGAGAGCGAAAAAGATGGTCAGTATGGCGGTCACGCCGTGAGACACATTTGTTGCACCGGAGTATCCGGACATGAAGTGTGGGGCGATTGAGCTCACCTTCGCAGAGGCAAGCACCGACGGTGGAATGACCTTGTCAGGACCGAATGCTTGCCGAGGATCGACGAAGGAGGCGAGAATCTTTCCGCACTTTTTGCACTCCGCTGGAATGGGTCAGTCTGTCAGCATGCGCTTTTTCTGCTGAGAAAGCGGCCCCAAGGTGAGGACTGGCAATGGTGACGCGTTAAGATGCGGGGTGGTGATGATGACTGGTGGGACTTACACGACAGTGACGACGGGAGAGGGTTGTTGATGCCCATCTTGACAATTATGAGCGCGGGGCGTCCTCGAGCAGATAAATGGGTACGAGAGGGAGGGCAGGAGGAGAGATGTAGAGGCGGTAGGAGGTGAAGTTGGAGGAGCAGAGGATGTCAGGTAGGTGGTTCAAGGCGAGGATGGGAACGGTTGGAGAATGTGACATTTGTATTGAGCGCGCGGGAGCTTGACGGCGGGGTCAAGGTTCAGCTTGCAAAGGCCCTGCGGGTTAGGCAGATGGCTCGCCCCGTACCAGCCTCCAGGGAATAATTTACAGGGGATGCGCTCCCCAGGGAAGAGGCCGAGTGCCACTGACAGGTGACGATGACAAGGGTTGGGGGCCCTGGCCCTACCTCATTCAGGCTCCAACTAACTGCAGCGGGACCCGCAATGAAACCTCAGAGCCAACTGGTAGGCTGGTTTACCCGTGTTGGTTAAGTATAGAGGGAACTCCAACATGATGGATGCACTCTATTTGCCCCATTTCCAGATCGCCACAGGACATGCAGCACATCCAGGCCAAGAGAGCACAGCCTGCCTGGCCATGACCTCGCCTGTTGTTGTCTGGTCTGGATGAATTTCCTGTTGTGTGTGTACTGTGTCGTACATGCTGGAGACAGCCCAGTTTTTGAGGACTGAAGATACCCAAGCACCGACTGCCTAGCAGTAACTAGCTGCAGTAAACGGCCGCATTGAACCACGAGGCTGCAAGTACCGTAGTACCAACTGGGGGCACCTGACCCTTCTCTAGGCTGTGGCTGTGCACCCCCGGTCCAGTGAAATTTCGAGGTTCCTCTAGCACGCCCAGGTCTTGCACTGCAGCGGTACAGTACGAGAGTACATACAATAGTCTGTCGCCTTCTAACTCTAGCCACTTTCTGGGAGAGGCTCAGCCAACAAGCAAGCGCAGCCGCAAAATCCGGGTCCTTCGGACACTCATCGTCATACCCGTCCCGTCTCGTCTGGCGCCCCTTTCTTTGATCATCGTCGTTTTGACAGCCACTCTTCGTTCGAGCACCACTGCACGGCCCCCGTTGGTAGCGACAACCTTCATTCGCCCGTCCACTCCAGCGGGACCAAAACTCAGAGATCGTTTCCAACGTCAAAGAACATCTCGGAATCAGCTTCTGGATCAATCAATCAACCAACAAGATCTGCGAGAAACCTAAACCAATATACGAAACCACAGCGAAGAACAGAGACAGCCAACATGTCCGAGGCCTACGAGCGCGAGCGCCAGAACAACAACCGGCTCGATGAGCTGTCGGCCAAGGTCTCCGCCCTACGCGGCGTGACCATCGACATCTATGACAACGCGAGAGCGCAGGATGTCATTGACAACACCGTACGTCCCATCACAAACCCACCCAGCCATCCATCATCTCTCTTCCTCAAAACCTGATGCCGAAATTCTGAAATGATCATTAAAACGATGCAATACACAGTCTGAGACCTTCTCCAACATGCGCACCTCCCTCACTGGCTCCGCAGGCCGTCTAGGCCGCATGGCCGCCGCCGGAAACAAGGTCGCCGTCATAAAGCTGGCGGCGATCCTGGTCGGCTGCGTCCTGTTCCTCTACTATGCGTGGAAGCTTTTCTTCTGAAATGAGCGAGCGAACGAGAACACCGATACCCGGCGATCGAAGCATGAGTTCGAAGTCGACCTTGTCACCCTACGCGGCAGAGAGATGAATACTAAGATACACTGTGGACGATGGAAGATATGGCTGGCAAGGCGATCTTCAGGCGAGGCTGCGCCATGCCGTGATGAATGATCTATGTAACACATATGAGCTAATCATGGGAAGAAAATGATATGCGAGGCTCCAAGAGAGATAGGCGAAGGAATCTTCGACGGCCGAGCGAGGTCTACCTTTGCTAGGGCTTGCAACACGCTTTGACGAGTATTCGCCCGCCCGAGCCAACGGGAACCTTCAAATTTTCTTGGACTGGGCGAGGACAGGCATAGCAATGGCGTTCAAATGGTTGTCCGAATTCGAGGGGAATTGTGTGTATGTTACTTGCACGGTCGCAAGAGAGGGTCATGCTGAAGGTGGAAATCGACATTTATTTGCGCGCTTCATCTATACATGCGTTTCAAGGTTTCGAGTTAACCTCTTGGCTTATGACTGACCCCGCCCACGTTCATGAGTTCTACATCCGACAGTGATGCCAGACTCCACAACCATTGTACTGAGAGAGATCCATGCGCCAACATGTGGCTAGGCGCCCGGCGTGCTTTCAGTGTCTATGCCGTGTTCACTGCCACACGTTCGAGAACAGATCCTCGCTTCCAGACACGCCCTTGGATCCGCCGGTGCCGCTGGTCGTTCCCGTGCTGCTAGTCCAGCCCCCAAATTCCTCATCAGCGGCTACCTTGGGTTGCGTCACTAGACCGCCAGATGCCCCTGGCACAATGGATGAACTGGCCAGCGAACCACCACCGCCCATGCTGCCCCAGCCACTAAAGTCGTTTGAGGCCTGCGCCGGCTTGGGGGTTGGTGCCTTTGGAGCTGGGTCTGCCCACGCGTTTCCTCCCCACACATCAGCACCAGACAGTGCGCTGTTACCGCCGACGGCTGCCACGGAGGCGCTTGGCGCAGGGACGGGAGGGGACTTGGGTTGGGACAGGTTGAAAACGGAGTTGGTCGTTGTAGATGCGGCGGGAGCCGGTGCTGGTGCTGCAGAAGGTGAAGAGAAATCGAAGAGATCGTTCATGGCAGAGGATGCTGGCGCCGCAGGCTTCACAGGTGCAGCGGGGGAAGCAAAGCCTCCGAGCCCTGCAAAGCTGCTGCTGGCGGGCGCCGGAGTCGGCTTCGGTGAAGCTGCTGCAACAGGCTTGGAGTCAAAGAAGCTCCCACCGCCAAGGCCTGAGAAGGCGGAAGACGTCTGTGGGGGCGGCGACTTGTTGCTCGAGATACTGCCTAGTCCCGAGAACGCTGAGCTTGGAGGGCTCTTTGGGCTGGATATGTTGGAGAAGCTCAGGCTGCTGAAGGCGTCATTCATGCCTCCCATGGACGATTGGGTAGGCTGCTGGCTCATCTGGGGCGCTACTGAAGCTGTCGGCGAATGCATCGATCCAAAGGAATTGGTGTGCCCATGTGAAACTTGCTGCGGTCGCGGCGCGGTAGCATAGAGGGAGAGAATCGACTGCTTCAGGTCAGGGCGCGACTGAGCAGCGACTCCGCCAGAGCCAGTAGTGCTGGCAGGTCGTGGAGGCGGAGTCGGCTCAGAGCCAAGAAAGTCCAAGCCGAGCAGCGAGCTGTTTGTAGGAGTTGCTTTTGGTGGCGCGGGTTCTGCTTTGGGAGGGACCTTGCTGGCAAGTGGCCCTGCTGTGCTCGCTCGAGGGATTGGATCATCCCCACCGATCAAGTCGACTTGAGGCTGCGGGCTAAATGGAGCAGACGACTGTCCCGACGACTGCTTTCGTAGAGACTCCTTCCTCTCGAGCGTCTGTTTCTCCTTGACTAGGCTTAGAGGGACGTCATCGTCTCCGTCCGCGTCTAATGTAGCAGGGTCTGGCATCGGCCCATCCATAACCCATCTCTTGAGCTCGTACTTGGTGCGGATGAAGTTTTCAATCTTGGCCTCGGAAGGCACGTGGCCGGCAGCCAGCTTGAATTCCCAGTATTTGTTGGCGCGCGCATTGCCCCAGTTCAGAATGCTGTTCATCTGTTCGTCGGTCCAGGAATCGAGGTCGACGGATTTGACTCGACTGATGTGGACGCCCATACTGCGGTGGATGCCGGAACAGCGGATGCAGATGAAGACTCCCAGGTTCCAGCTCGCCCAACGAGGATCTAGGTGTTTGGCAAGTCAGCAGATGGGAGGCGCTGCGAGAACAGTTGGATAAATACGTACGCTTGTTCCTCTTGCAGTCGGCGCAAATCTTGTTGGGCTCCAGCTTGAGCAGTGATTTGATGGTCGCCTGGTTCTTAGCCGCCCTTTCGGCGGCGGGGTTTGGTGGGCGCCTCGACATCTTGTTGGTGTTCGTGGGAAGATTGAAGGTCTTTTGAGAGAGGCGAGAGGCTAAGAAAGCCGAAATGCGGGTGCCCGCTTCAAGGTGCTCGAGCGGTAAGAGATAGGTGTGCGATTGATAAACGGGGCGAACTCGAAGTAAAGACCCTATTGTGCGCCGATCAAAGGTGAGTAAGGTGTCGAGGTGATCGGGCAGGTGGAATTCTGTCGATAAGAAGAGAGGTGAGGGAGGCCGATCAGGGAGATGTGGTCAACCAGCGGGTCTTCACACAACCCAAGACCCGCTACCACGTACTATAATTTAGTCTTTGTATGGGTACGTATAGTGCTCAGGCTTCAACAGAAGACCCACCTTGACTCAGCACCTGCTGAAGCGCCACAACCTTTGGGGTTCTCAGATGTGGCTTGTTAAGTCTGTGACGTCGATCTAACTAGGGGTGGTGGGAGGGGGGCCCAGTGTCGCCGCCTCAGCATTCAATACATCCTCTTCACATAGCCTCAAGTATTTGTAAGTACAGGAGCGGGTCAGATCTCGTCAACAAAATTTCCTCACTTGTACAACATTACTGGAGTGTCATAAGGGATATTTTGTGATTATTTTACGCCTGCAAGAATCGTCCGTCTATATAATCCTACTCCCCCATCTCTAATACATCACCTTTGAAACATCATCTTCATGCGCTTCCAATTCTCCAGTGTGCTGCAAACGCTCTACACCCTCTCAAGTCTCAATCGAGCCCGAGCTTCACAGCAGATCCCCCTTCTGCAGTCATTACCTCAGCGAGCCACCGCTCTTAGGTCTATGCCCTCCATTCCCATCCTAGGCAGTCTCTTCGGCACGAAAGCCACCGACAGCTCCACGATGTCCTTTCCAGACAAGCGAACTGATGATGAGTGGCGCGCCGTGTTGAACAAGGGTATATCTCACCTCATTCTTTCCTCCTGGCCCCCCTGTTCTGTAGCTTACCCTGCTGACATGCCGTTGTAGAGCAGTTCCGCATCCTGCGCGAGAAAGGCACGGAACCCCCGGGTTCTGGCAAGTTTGACAAGCACTATCCTTCCGAAGGCGTGTATACTTGTGCTGGCTGCGAGGCCCCGCTGTACAAGGCCACGCACAAATTCAGCAGCGGGTGCGGCTGGCCAGCCTACTTTGACAGCATCCCGGGCGCCGTCGTGCGCCACGAGGATAACTCCATGTTCATGAAGCGCATCGAGATCATGTGCGCCAACTGTGGAGGCCATCTAGGCCATGTTTTCAAGGGCGAGGGCTTTCCTAATCCTACTGATGAAAGACACTGTGTTAATTCTGTCAGCCTGAACTTCTCGCCTCAGGACAAGATTGTGAAGGACGATGCGGGGGCAGATGGTGAGGCGAAAGAGTAGGCAACTCACGGGGAACTTTTCTGAGGCTCATCAAACTGCGGAACGATATCAATAATCACTTTGCTTCATTCGATTTGAAATTTCATTCTCTCACTCCTTCCTCAATTGTGCTCCGTAGAAGCCCGGTTACGCTCAAGCTGATAGGACATTACCATGTGAACATTGGACTTCATTGAATAGGTGGCAAGGTGGGTGGCTGTGGTCTTTACGGTCTGATTTATTTGATATTTAATGCATAAGAGGAGATCTCATCAATGATGATATGATCGCAATATTTCGGGGTGCTTGTGGCCAGGTAGTGAAAGGCAAAATGCCACACCCTCCCGTAAATCAAGTCATTACATAAATAGTTAAGTCGTGTGATTTTCGAACCGTTTCAACAAGAGGATGGAGCTATTTGTGGTGTTACCACGTACAGTCGCTTCGTATAGACTATACAGCTAGACCCTCATATCAACTGCATCACTCCCATTACGCGATCCGAGGGCTAAGTCTCATCCCTGGGGGAAAGAGCCAGATTGACAATAACCGTTTGATGGACACGTATTCAGACCTTTCCACTGCTCATACACCGCCCCCGCCCCCCCCCCCTTCCCTTCTCCCCTCTCACCAAGGTATCTCTATTCCCACGACGATCCTCCAGGGTCACTAACCTGACCTCGTCTCACCTCCTGCCGCTACTCTCATGTCATCAACCCTCAGTTTTCATCATGATGCACTTGGGTAACGTCTGAATAGATCTAAAAGATCTTGTTCATACTCGATCCCGCACCGTGTCGTGATGAGTAGCCTTTCTTGATCGTCCGACCCGGCATGGGAATTCTTGAAGAGCACGTCAGCCTTCTCTCGATAGGCTCTCTCCAGTCTCAAACCCCTTCCGACTAGATCTTTCCACTGGGTCAAGTCCATTCTCAGTCTCTCAGACCTGTCAGTCTGTACCTCAGCGTCTGAGACTTGGAAACAGGGGTTTGTGCCACTGTTTACCATCTTCACGACCTCAAACGCAGCCTCCAGTCCCTGTGCGTGAACTCCGGACTCTCGTGTGGCAACGAGACACTCGACACTTCCATCATCAGTCCTAGTCTCACTACCATAGCTCTCTTCCGGATAGGTCTCGGTTTCTATAATGTGACGGTCTCTTTGGAGGGCTGCGTCAGGCTGTTCGCCGGGGTACACACACACAGAGACGGCGCTCTTGGCACATGCCTCGCACATAGGCATCGATCGAGTACACATTTGCTTCTTCCGTCGACAACTTGTACAAGAGGACGCAGCAAGTACTTGGCTGGCCTCGTCTGTGCGTGTGGGTCTTGGCTCCGTTGTGCGTCCCGGTCTCAATTGCGCAACCAGGTTTGCGCTTTTGGTTGTCTGCTTTTGAGCTGCCTGCTCCTCTTCTACTGAAGTTGTATTGAACCCTTGGGGGTCCCAACTGAAGCGCTGGGACCCATTGGACTTGCGAAGTTGTGCTGCCTGATCTGTCTTGCGTGCTTTCTTTGCCGTAACCTGCGGTCGAGCCGGGCGTGAAGCTGGTCGCTTCTTCACGGCAGATGTCACTCGGTTCTCTACCTCTGACGTCGAAACGCGTTCTGGTTTCTGACTCGTAGTGGTACCTCTGTTGCCCGAGTCAACACTCTCAGAAGGTGACCGGGCCATGACTTTCCTGGTTTGTTGGTATAATCCATGCCTCGATACAGGTCGCAGTGTGGCATCACGGTACGCCGGATTGCTGGAGGAATTTGGCCATGAAGTAGCATCGTCTGTGATGTCCACTGTATCTCGTGGTGATACGTCCAGATGTGTAGCACCAACAGCAGGGCCCCCACTGTGACGCGCCGAATCCACCATCATATCATCCACGTCATCTATCTTAACATGTCCTGAGCCCTCTGCAGGCGATGCCGGCTCATATCCTCGAAACTGATCAGCTGTACTTGATCGTCGATCGGGGTTTTGGGCATCTTGGGAGAAACCGAACGGATTTGTCTTAACAGGGCTTTGAAGCCTCCAACGGCCTGTTTCCGAGATAGGAGCCGGTGTGCCGTCTGCGCCACCACGATGCTCATCTTTCAACTCGTTTGTATTCAACTTGTATTTATTCAGGGACCCAAACCCTAATTCGCCCTCCAAGTATGGTGTAGAGTGCTCTCTGCCAAGAGCACCTTGGCCCCGATCCAGACGATCAAAGAATGAAGGGGCCATCTCATCATCATTGTAATTGCGTTCAAGGTGTGGCCGGACTGTTGACGATCTTGCTAGGAGATGTCTTGGGACACCGAGGCCCCCATACGGTATAGATTGATATCCAAGGGCAGTTGACCTTCGGCGCAGATTATGAGATGAGGGCTGACCCGCCGAGTAATTTTGAGTTGGTGGCTGAGCCTGGCTCAAAGATTGACTCTGGTGTGGCCGACTCAGCGTGGCATATGAAAGCAGACTTGGGGGTCGCCGGGGAGGTGGCATGAAGGTTTCTTTGCCCGACACCAGGAAGGGAGAACGACTCAGATATCGGACAGGAGGGAGCGCTGAGCCTTGGGACCTAGACCTGTCAGAGATCTTGAGGTCCCGGGCAGGTTGGTGAAAGTCCATGGCAGACTGTGCCCTGGGGTGAGAAGATTTTTTCGAGGAAGTATTCTGCATTTCGACATAAAAAAAGCCAGCGTCTTTTGATAAATACGCTATGGCTGTGTGGAAATCTTGATGTGTCTCGAAGTAAAGCCGAATGATTTTCGGATTAACGCCCTATCAACAGTCAGGGATGTGGAGGCCAAGGACTCTGAATGGCTCTTACTGGGTACATCTGGACGAGGAAGGAGGATGGTCGTCCTTCGTCCTCACCCAACGGCAAGGACAAAGGCAACACCAGCTGTAGCACCTTGTCTTTAACATTGCCCCAAAACTTCCGAGACACTTCACGAGCTTCTTTGGGGAATCGATTCACTAGTAGATCGAGGTCCCATCGTGCCTTGAACGGCAGGAACCGGTAGGTCTACAGTTAGGGAGAGCTCACAGAGAGTTGGATACAGAATGTAGACTTACCATGATCTTGCCATCAATGTGTATTTCCATGATATGGCTGCCACGTGGGGGTGATATGATCATAAGCCTGAGCGTGGCGTCTCGAGCGATAGGCTGGTTTTGAAACTCAACCTCAATGCGCAGCAGCCGCAAGTTGTGGCTGATGTTACCTTTATTGAAATCCATCTTACGAGCGCCAGCAGGTTGATTCCAGGGAGAGTTGTGCGAGGACAATGATAGAGGTAATCCTGAAACAAGACAGGGTAGCAACCAGAGACTATCAAGAATGCTTGACTTGAGCGATGCCACGATGTGTAGCTCCCATAAGGGGATTTGCTGGTACCTGGTCAAAACGCGTGCGCCAGTCGAGTCTACACGGATGGGGCCAAACAGAGACGTCGAACGCACCAGGACGTACGAGGTAGGAAATGGCAGTCCGACCCAGGTTTTGAGAATATGTGTAGTGCTGCCCACACCGTTTTTTGAAAATCAAGAGAATAGTCTGGAAGGAGGGTACGCATTGGCGAAGAGGAATGTGTTGAAGACTGACTGGTGACGGAAAGGGAGAGAGGGAAGGGCAAGGGTAAGCAGATCTAAACAAACCTTGTGAAATGCTTGGCCCTCATAAACTGGCCAGAAGGCAGGAACTAGGAGACCTACTGCATTGACTCTTACCTCAAGCAACATTCACATATACAGTACTGGTCGTGACTGCTCCATCGTACCTTCTACAATTGTTGTGATAGAAGGAGGTAGTTGAGGTGGGTCAGCAGTCGAGCACGGACCACCCAGCCTGCCTCTGTAGTCACCTGGTCCGTGCACTGTCTAGCCCAAAAATTCCCCAGCTGGTCCTTTCTTCGCCCTGGCGCATTTCTAGTTGCGTCTCTCTGCAACTCCAACCCAGGGCCACTACTTCACGTCAAGGTCCATCGACAACGCGTCGCAAGGGAAGGTCTGAAGCTGTGGATGGCGCCAGACTCGACCAACCACCCAAACACCTTCCTTTTCCAAGTTATTTGAGATCTCTGCCTGTCGCGACTTGTCCCTGCTTCTTAATCAGTGATTCGAAGCTGCAAGACCCTTTGCGCCAGTCTGTCGCAGACCAGGCGACAACCATGGCGCCTTCAAAGCCAGTCGCACCGGCCATGGAGCACACCATTGATCGCACTCCCGAGTACGAGGAATTCATCAACAAACTCAGGGATTTCCATACAGACCGAGGCACCAAGTTTGACCCTGAGCCCAAGGTTGGCAATGGCCACATCGATCTCTTGAAGGTTTTCAATCATGTTGTCGAGTGGGGAGGCTATGACAGGATCACGGAGGAAAAGCTGCTGTGGCGCAAGGTGTCTCAAGAGCTCGGCATCTTCTCACACAATGAGGCAGCTGTCGCCTTCAATCTGAAGTCTGCCTACTATAAGAATTTGGCTGCCTACGAGATCAGAACTGTTCACAACAAGACCCCCCCTCCTCCTGAGATCCTCGAGGAAGTTTCGGCCAAGGGCGGTAATCTTCTGACCAGGACCCTCGAAAACTACCGACCCCGCGATCGTTCCACTGCGCAGAACTCCCCACAGCCCTCGGGTGACGATGGCACACCTGCTCGAGACAGCAAACAGGAAGACACACCCAGCTCAGGGAGGGCCGCCCGTGGGCTGAGGCAGGCTCCGCCCCAGAGAGTCATCTTCCAGCCAGACACTGGCCCAACCCGTCCGTCGCGTCACGCTTCAGCGCAGCACGCATCGAATACTTCGGCCGCAAATTCAGCCAGCGCGCAGACTTCTAACCCCAACTCCCACGCCAACGCCGTCTCCCATTCGCAGAGCAATGGTCACCTGCCACACAGCATGAACCGCTCTTCCTCTCACCAGATCAATCAGTCCGCTCCCAGCCAGGCACTGCCGGCGCACATCGCCCGTGGCGGCGCGTCTGCAAGCTTCGTTCCCCAGAATTACGAATTGCATTCCTCGACGATCACGAACTTCCAACCTCCATCCATTCAACCCCTGGCCCTCCGGCCTGTTGAAACGCCAGGCAACGCACCCGCCAAGTTTCTGAGACGATACCCGATGGCCGCTCCCCCTGTGGCGCGCCAAGCTCCAATACCCAGTAGTGAGTTCCTTTTTCCAACGCACAACCTATTTGTTCTAACGATGTGCCTTTGCAGGCGTACCAGTCCAGCCTTCTCCTTTTGATGGTCCGAACATCTACGCTCGATGCCTGTACGCACTGCGCTCGGGTCTACCGGACGAAGAAGCCTTCGCAGTACACCATCTTATGAAGATATCATACGAGCGAGGTGACAGATACAAGTTCGAAGGTTTCCCAGGTCTGGCCGAAGGTCTCGTGGACGTGGCACTAAAGGTGGGGGAGCTCTTCTACGACATCAAATGGGTCGTGTCCTATGATCCAGAGGCGGACGGGGATGACATCACGGAGCTGGATGGCATCAACGGCACTCAGGACATCCTTGAGCGCATCGCGCAACTGGTGCCCAGATCTTCTTCACACGATCAAATTCACCCCGCTGGCTTTGCAGATAAGATAGTCATCGTGACAGAGGCTGCCATGGCCATTCGCAACATGGTCATGCTGCCCGAGAACTCGCGTCACATGGCCGATTTCCCACCCCTGAGGGACCTGCTGTGTATCATCCTCCACCTACCGCCCAGCGAGACAAGTGTGGAGCTGAAGCACATCGCACTCGATATTGCAGAACAATTGACGCCGGAGCTGATCCTCGAGGCTGATGATCCTCTCTATCGGACGTTGCTGGCCGAACTCAAGTCAGCCGACCGTGGCTGCATTTTGACGTCGCTCCGCGCTCTCGCGCGGATTTCCATGAACTCGTCCGAGACGAATAAGCTGAGTTCCATCCCTCTGGACATCCTGGAACTCATCATCGACTGGCTGATGCTCGACGACGACGAGCTTCTCGACGCATGCTTGGACTTCCTCTACCAGTACACAGCTGTTGTATCCAACCTGGAGAATCTTCTCAGTTTTCGGTTCGCCAAGCCTGAGAAGCCCGAAAGCCTTGTCAAGCATCTGGCTCGTCTCCTGTCGCACGGCGCAAAGCAAGTGGTCTACACGCAGACGCTTGAACCCGAGATCAAAATCCCCTGCAGCGAGGACGTCGTACCTCTGCCCCAAGACCTGCAGGAGCGTCTGTTGGCCATGGAGGAGCCCGAGAGATGTTACATGTGGCTGCGATGTCTGTTTGAGGAAGACGCCGAGGCCTCTATCACTCAGATTGCAATCTGGACGGCCTACCAGTCATCCTTTAGCAGCAGGTTGTCTCAGATGGGCAAGTCCATGATCTCTCCAGCAGACTTCATCAGGAATGTGAATCATGTGTGGGCGACAGCTGGGGCACAAATTATTCGCGGGCCGAAGGGGGAGAACCAGAAGTTCATCATCAAGGGGATACGGGCTCGATCCCGCCCTGTCGATCCGGAGAACGAGGGCAGGGAGTATTTCCGCTGCCTGTGGACCCTGCCTGGTCCAAAGTACCAAAAGTGCAACCAATTTTTTGCGAATGCAGAGAGGATGTTTGAGCACATAATGCCTGCTCACCTTGGCGAGACATCCGATGACAATGGTCACTATGCCAATAAGGATGTCGAGAATCGATGTTTCTGGGCGGGATGCAACAAATTTGCTACGCCGACAACAATGTCTCTCAAGACCTTTGCGAAACACGTCAAGACGCATCTGGCTGCGGTACAGCGCAACTTCGAGCCTCCCAAAACACCCCATCCCACAAGCAACGACGATGGTTCTGCTTTGGAAGGGAGTGGACCGAGTCCAGGCGAGAACTCTGCTAAGCGATTGAAGCGCACCCATACTGTGCCGGCAAAGGTCTTCTCCCTCACCTTCGAAGAGACGCTGACCACCCGAGACGAGCGGAATCCTAATGTCATCCAGCCAGCCGGAATTCCTCTCAGCGCCGTGCTGATCCTTCGCAACATCGCCCGCAATGTCGTCAAGACAGAGGCGCAGGATGAAATCCTCAAGGAACAGGAGAAACAGGGCCTGGACGAGAAAGCGAGAGGTTGGAATGAGAGGCTTTTCCGATGCGTGCTACCGCGGCTGCATGAGGTCATGACGACCAATCGCGTGATGGCACCTAACATCTGTAGTCTATTGGAGCTGATTCAGGAGCAGTAAGAGAGCCATTGTGACAATCGCAAGAATTCACAGGAGGCGGAGCTTCTTTGTATGATTCGGACGGGGGACGACTGATTTTGGTGATTGTGATAAAAGAAAAAGTTTCTTTTCTATTTCAGGTCATGGACGGGTTGAGACCGAGCTTTTTTGTCTTCATGGGTGCTATGGTCATGGTAATACCCTCATGAAGGCGGCGTTGATGGATGGGCGCGCAACGGCGTAGGGTTTTCGGAGACGGTGGGACCAGGCATAAGGCCAGTCATGCTGTTGACTACTGGCATTGGTTCAGTAGCTGTTGCCCTAGTACCTTAGATAGATACCTGCTAGGGAAACAAATGTATCATCAACTATTCAAATCCTTGTTACGCCCACTGTGACAAATTCTCAATGTGCTTTTAAAGACGAGCTTCGTTCTCGAGCTTGGACCACACTTCCTGGACATATGCTTTCTTGTGGTCATTGCCATGCTAAACTGTAGTCCAGTGCCCTTCCCATCCGTTCACGCCCCAGCCCCTTTCTTCCTCTAACTCCTTATTATTATTCCTTTTCCTCTGTTTCCTTCGAAAACAATATCATTCACATGTATAAAGACTCAAACGTTAGGAGACAAAACACTGGAGATCACTGAAAGCTGAGTTTAAGAGCCACGAGGGCGGCTAGCGGTAGCAAATCTGAAACGCGCTGCCCCAAAGCAATGGAACAAGTCAGCAGAACAAGGCTTTCCCCAGTGCAATGAAAGCGACAATCGCAGGAGGCAAGGTGGTAGGTGGCAGCCAGCACAATTTTTAGGACGCCGGAACAGGTCTGCTCCCTACATGCAATCCTTCATAGCACATTGAGGAACAGGTCGGGGTCCAATACAAGTTTGAACAAGTTAGCACCGATCAGCGCAGATAATCTTGAGTGCCTACAACTTGATGGCATCGAACAAAAAAAGTATTTACAAGTAATAGAATATAAAACTTCCCGAAACTTGCTCCACCTCTTCCCCCTTTCAATAAGAGATGACTATATACGCCAGAAGAAAGAAAAATGCCCAATGTATGCACATGCAGCAGCGGGTTGTGGAAAACCTGGTCTAAGCTGCTTATTGATGATGGGGAGGGATTCTCTGCCCTCTCTCACACATGCACTCACACTCAACCCGTTCTGAAGGAGATGATGTTGGACTGGTACACGCCCTCATTATCCTCCCAGCTAGCAACCTCGGTGCCGGCGTTGTCAATCATGCTCGTCGAGCCGATCGTGTTGACAGAGTACATGTTGATGTTGGAGAGGGTGCCCTGCAGCCTGATGATGCGGGCTTGGCACTGTTCGCCAGTTGCAAAGGTGGAGCAATCTGTTTTTTTTTTAAATACCAACATTAGCTCACTTGTTTTTGAGATGGAGGAGATAGATAGAAATGCAAATAGTAGGGAAAAGAGACATTGGCCACCCGGGGGGGGGGGGGAGGGAGGAACGCGTACTCTGTGAGTAATTATCGAACCAAGAGTAGTGGTTGGCGCCGTAGATGAAGATATCCGACGAATCCAGAATGCGCAGGCCCCAGGCTTCGTCGCAGTTCCCGCTGACACCGGTACAGTCAAACGTCGGGTCCTGGAGGGTGGCGTTCGCAGTGAAGGGCACCAAGGCGGAGGGCAAGGGTTGGTAGTATGGCGTCTCGGTCTGCAGCTGCGAGGCAAAGATGTTGGTGGTGGAGGCGAACTGGTACTGGTAGAGCACGTGGTGCTCGACGGCAGTGCCGACCAGCCAGAAGGTGCCGGTTGTCGACTCGATGTACATACCACGGCCCGAGTAGACGGTGATCTGGGTATCGGAGCTGTCATCGATGTCGTGGTCGGCGGCCCTGAAATGGAAGAAAAAGAATCGACCGTTAGCCTCCTGTAAAAGCGAAATTGTTTTGTTTGTTTCTTCGCATTTGAAACTTACCAGAGCCACATGTTCTCCATGTACAACCCGCTCGATCCCGTGGTGGCATGCAGACTCAAGTAAGCCGCAATACACGAGTCGTCCACTGCTGCGCTACCAGGCTCCTTGGGACACTGCGAGACCTGCAGGTCACTACCGTCATAGCCACCAATGCGAGCATGGACATCCCACATGCCGCTGGGCGTACCGGCTGGGGCCACCAGGTTGTATTCGATCAGGACAGCGCCGGCGGCAGCGCCTTGCGAGGAGACAATGAAGTCGTTAAACGCAATATAGCCCGACTCGCCCGCGGTGCCAACCTGCAGCAGAACCTGGGGGTTGTTACTGTCCTCGAAGTAAGAGCCCGAGGCCATGAGCACGGGGAAGGTCTCTCCGACGATCTTGGTGCCCGCGGGGATAGAGATGGTGCTGGTGATGCGGTAGAGACCGTAGTCAATGTAGACGACCTGGCCTGCGCTCGCGGCGCTGTTGATGGCCGACTGAATGGCCGCTGTGTCGTCCGTGGTTCCATCTCCAACGGCGCCAGCAGTGCGCACGCTCACAAAGTCCGACGCCGAGAGGGTCTCGTATTGCGGCTTGGACTGGCTGTAGTAACTGGAACCAGATCCGAGCAGGGCAGCAGGGCGGCTGACAGCCGTGATGGTGCCCATGGTGTCAGTGGGCCCCGAGGTCAGCGTGTAGGTGTGTCCTTCTGCCCACGCAGCGATCGTGGTAGTACCACCGGCAAGAACGGTGCCGCTGTCGTTCTCGATCACGACAGGGGTGTTGCTCAGGACGATGTTCTCCAGGATGAGACTGCCATTGGTCGTCGAGGTAGAGGCCGTGTCATAGGCGGTCTTGATACCCACATCGACATTTGTGAAAGTGCTATCGATGATAATCACGGAGCCGACGACCTGGTCGGACGACGAATCCAAAGACATATCGATGCCCAGGGGGGCATTGTTGATGGTGAGGTTCATGAAAGTCCAGTCCCAATCCCACAGCATCTGGATGGCGGCTGTGCCAGGGTTGTTGAACTCCAGATTACGCATGGTGTACTGCTGGTTGCCGAACTGCGCACCGTATTCACCACCGTTGAAGGTTATGTCGGACATGAAGCCACCGCTGCCAGACTCCATGAAGATGCCCACGTGAACAACACCAGCGGTTGTAGGCATATTGAAGACCACATTCTGGATCGAGGTCGCCTGTGAGACGGGCCAGTGGATGCCAGTGCAGGCGGTCGTGGCAGCAACATTGGTCGTGTCAATGATCAAGTTCCGAATTGAGGAGTAGAACACATTGGTAGACACCCAGTTGAGGTCCGAGCTGTAGTACGGGTTGGCATCGATGAGGCCGAAGCCAGACATATCAGCCGCAGCCTTGAGTGTGGGCGGGTCGGTGGCATCACCAATAAGCTGGGTGAAGTAATCGGGGTAAATGGACGTAGAGATGAGGTAGGTTCCCGCAGGGAAGTAAACAATTGCCGGTGTCGCCGTAGTAGAATCCTGTGAGGGTCTTGTCAGCAAACAAAGACTAGACATATGGGGTGTATGACGGGCAGTATCAGGATTATGAGGGCCACCATGAGCCCCTCCTTTGCAGTTGGGCTAACTTACACATCCCTCCCCACATCGACTCCCTGCATCAATGGCAGCATTGATGGCAGCTGTGTCGTCGGTGACTCCATCACCTGGTCATCACAAGATAGTACTTGGTCAGCACACAAAAAGTCCAAACAATGTTACACATCCTGATGGTGTTGACTGACCTGCGGCACCATAATCCATAACGTTTCTAAACACAACATAGCCGGAACCACCATAGGGAGCCAGGCCCTGATGGGTGATGTCTTCCATCCACCATGCCGCATGGGCGTTGAAGGGAAGACTGGCAAAAGCCAGGACAAAATGAAAGAATGAACGCATGGTCAACCAAGGACGCAGCTTGTAGAAGGGAAGGAAACGAAACACGGGCGATTCCAATCAAGGGATACGAACACCTTGGGCTTGAAACGAGGACGATGGGACGAACACCATGCGGCACAACCAGGCAGTATATATTCAAACCATTTTGCCAACAAGCTTAAGGGCAAAAGTACATTGAAGACTGACATAGGGTGGCATATTCGCTGGGCATCTTTGCCATCCCTGAGCAAGGAGTGGAGGCCCACGGGGCCAAAGCGACCAGGTTAGCAAGGGATGGGTACATGCCGCTGCGTACATTTGGCCATGCCTAGGAACGGAGCATCGTGACATCTCGAGGCTAGCCACCTTCGCAGAGGGTGCGCACAACAGGGGCCAGCCACAAATGGGATTTGGCCGAGAGGGCCCAGGGGGAACCTAGATGTGTGAATCCCTGCCTGCATCTGCCTCTCCTCTCGAGGTCTATGTTTTTGTGTGTGTGTGTGGAAGTGAACAACAGAACAGGCGTGGCTTGTAGTCACAGACCCTTTCTAGACATGGCCACTTGACGTTCGCCGACCAGAGATTGCTGATCTCTTGTCTTTCACGAGACCTATGGTCTTGAATGAGCGTGTCATGGCACATGGGCAAATGGGCCACATGCCTGCCCGTCCCCCCTCTCGCAAGGAACCGCGGTCCAAATGGCAGATGGCAAAGCCCCCTACCCAAGGCATCTGACTTGTTCATTTCCTCTTCAAGTTCATAGCAGCAGTCAGGCAAAAAAGAAAAAGAGGGGGGGGGGGTGGGTTGTGGCGCTGAAGAGGAGCTGCATTAGCGATGCGGCTTCTAAAAATGCCAGGGTTGGTTTCCAGATTCGACAAGGCGGCAGTATGTGCCGACGAATGCTGATGCGGGCCGTGGTGATTCGTCGCCGCCAAATTTCAGGGACGAGGCATTCCAAAAGGGTCTCCAACCACGTCGGAGATTTGATGGTGGCAGGACTAGAAGGGGTGTCGCGACCCACTTTTGGACGCCTAATCGAGCTCACCAGCCCGACGGAGAGATGTTGACAAGGCTTCACGATCCGCGGGGACTGAGACGCGCCAACCCCACTGCTCGGTCCTCTTTCCGGATGATCTCTGCAGGTGATTTGGTCGACATCTGGGGAGAGGGTAGGGGTTCCGTTAAGCGGGTAAAACTCGAATGGCTATTCTCAGGGCAGCAAGGCCAAAAGTCGGTCGGGCAGAGCATCTGGATGCTGGCATCTCGATGCTGGCTGGTCGAACAGACAATTCTCCGAAAGTGCCCTGTGCCTTGTTTACGGGACAATGTCGGCCTTTTGGATCTGGCGGCACTGCAATATGCCATGAATAGAGCTGATAGTCGAGTCGGCAGAGCAAGACGATGGGTCGTTGTGCAGCACCTCTTGTCGTGGTGGCCCCTAAGGTGGATTGGGTTGTGTGTGTGTATATGTGTATGTGGGTACTTCGGTGAATGGATCGACCGAGACTCGTTGATCCCAAAGGCGAAAGAAAAGAAGCACTTTCATGTAAGGTCTTGCGAACTGGCTGGTCAGGCAGTGATCAGCCAAGGCAGGCAATGAATTAAGGACATGGTAGAACGAGAGGCAGCAGCAAAGACGATCGCAACGACCCTTGGGCCCCAAGTGAAAATTATCTCAAGCGAAGTGCTCCACAGTCCCATATTGTGTGGGGAGAGACAGACGGTCATGGGTGGAACAGTCCACTCACATGATCCACGATGCGCACTCATCTGGGGTGCAGCTGACTCTGACTTCTCGAAGGGACGGGACTTCGATTCACGATTGCGGAGGGTTTGCGAGGTTGGTGGTGTTGCAGTGGCCGAGGTCCCAGATGACATGACGTAACGTGCCGCAACCTGTCTGCTGCTGCTGCTGGAGGAGTTCTTCGCCAACGCCAACTCCTTCTAGTTCTCTTGCTGTGGCTGCATGGCTCACGAAGTGTACCGTGACGTGCGTGGCTCCCTGCCAAGATCTGAGTCGACAGCTCTCCATCTAAAGAGCTGTATGTCACTGACCTGTCGGTAGTCGTCCCTCTAGGCTGGATTGTGTGCCTGGAAATAGCGTCAGCAGTATGCATTGTTTGTCCCTATCACGATTCTATGCCGCCGGTGTTTCGAATCCTGAATCCTCGAGAGATTGTGGTTGTCCAGTTGGGGACACTTTTGGTAAGATTTGCCACAATATGAAAGCTAGGTCAATCCATCCCACAGGTAGGCGTTCAATTTTGGGTGGGTTTTTTCTTCATGACCTCCACCAAGACGACGACCCCTCCATCCTTGACTGGCTGGAACCTGCCAGGTGTGTTCCCTCTCGTTAGCTGACCAATGCACATATCATCCGCTGGACCCTCCCAGCCGCATAAGATCGTCCCTGCACGGGTTATGTGATGTGTTCACACGGGTATCTTGGGGCAGCACTGGGCAGGTGTCCACCACTGGACTCAACTCGGCGGTTCTCCAAAATGATGTGGTCAGTCATTTGTGCGAAAACTTCCAATGGGTCAGCTCAATGCACGATCGGGCCTTCCAAGATTAGCTGCCAGGGGGCTGCCTACGATAGCCGCACATGGCCGGGAAATGAGAGAGATTGAGGAAAAGGGCCGAGCTGGCTCGACACATCGTTAGTAATGCAACGATGACAAGGGGGCGTTTGAAGGTGATCTGCCTTAATAGAGCCTTGATCGGGTAGCTACGTAAAACAAACATAGCACGTCAGCATGGCAAGCAACCTTGTAAATTTCTGCAGCTAGATTAGGCCCCAGTTAGTCCCCAGACTTCCCCAGATTATTGTCAGCAAGGTCTTGTGAGGCAAGCACAGCCCGTGGAGGCGCTATGATAGGCTGCCTGACCACCTACCTGCCCTGCTGCCTTCCTTTCGTGGACCTGGTCATGCATACTAAATACTTAGTACTTAGGCATAGGCCAACGGTGAGAACTTCGGCCGAATTTCGTTTGCACTGAGCGGCCCACCGACGTTGCTACACACTCGAGTTTGGGCAGTCACAGAGGAATGCTAAAGTCATGATCTTCTTCTTCTTCTTCTCCTTAAGGGCTCGAAGTGGGTTGTCGTCTTGCCTCTGAAGCACCGAAATTGCGGCTGCTTTGGCCCGTCTTCCCGCTTCGTGTCAACGGCCTCACTGACCTGCGAATCGACAGCAAAGAGAAGAAGAAAAAAGAGAAAAGAAAAGGGGAAAAATTCCAATCGTCGTCAAACAGCAATGATCCGCTCTCGCTCCTCGCTCTCTCTAGCCCCCTTCCCTTTCAATCTGGGTCTCCAGACAGCGCTCACTCGTTGTTGCTTCCCGGTTTGTCTGGTTCATATACACTCTTTGGGAAGCCTGTGCAGCAGTTTTAAGTCCAAATATTGGGGATCATCCAATGAGGATGTTTTGGCCATTGAGGATAGAGGGAAAAGTTAGAATCTTTCAAAATCGATGGCTGAGGATCCAAAGTGACTTGCTCTCTCGATATTTCCTGCCTGTACGTGTTCCTATTCCGCTCACGCTTCCTCATTCTCAAGCCGAGGCTGTGTGGCATAAATGACGGTACTTGTGGGTAGTTCAGAGGAAGATCCAACAAGATTAACAGTGGCCTCTGATCTACGGGTGAGCATCTCTCACCAGCTAGCCCTCGTTGCGTATCAAACCCTACTGCGCTGATGACCATTTTTGGTTGGCACCCGCACACCATCGTTGGTTCTTGCCCCTCGATTCGGTGAAACACTTCAGCTCGAGCGTCTTCTTCGATCTGGCCTACATTGAGGATCAAAGTCTGACTTGGTTGTGTGCATACCAAGACCAGACTAGGTTGCGAGGACTGCCCATACCTCTATTGAGGTTGCCAGTGCTGACCGCCTAAGTCGAATCCTCGGTTCTTGACCCTGCATATGGTGACAAGGCAGTGGCCCGCATGTTTGAAACCTTCAACGGAACAGACATACATCACATATGGTGTCTGGCTGTGAGCCTGATCACTTGTTAGTCGATATGATGCATACAGCCATGACCTGGGCGTCCAACCCCCCATCATTGCAGAAGTTCGACCTCTGAATCGTAGAGCTGTGTGTTCTGGAAAGGCCAATTTGGCATCCGATCGACTCACGAGATCATGCCAGTCGATAGCTGACTTTGCTGTCTGCCATGATGCTCTCTATGGTCTCAGCCGAGTTCATGCACAATATATAGCCCAACCTAGGTGTTGAGAGGCCCGGCAAAAATTTATGGGACCATGCGATGGACAGAAGCGCGGAAAGAGGTGGAGGAAGGGGAGTGACCGCGGGGTTCAAGGTCTTTGGTCAAGCTGGCAGTCTTTGTCGATCTCGGTAATTACATGCTTGATTTGTCAAATAGAGAGGGCACGGAGGTGTGCCTATTCGCTATCAATCTGCCATGAAAACTTGTAATATGAGCTTGAGCACTGTCTCGAACCACACTTTAAAAGAGGAACGTACCAAAACTGTCATTTTCCACTTTCTATCTAGCCTGTCAAGAGGATGCTTGTCGAGAGCTTCAACGTTGACGAGGTTCGACACACGGTGGCATGAGCACAACCGGCTAGAATAGAAACGCCTGCCCCTTCCAGAGTGATGAACGTGGTGAAATGCACCATTCTGGAACTCTGGTAACATCGAGCGGTATCTGTTTCAAGAGTGCCAATCATGACCGTTGGCTGGGAGTAGCAGTGTTCTGACAAGTGAGTGCTGAACTGGCCTGGGCGTTCGCTACCTGCCACTAAACGGAGTCAAGAAGAATGCTTCGCGGCTATGCATGCCACTTGTCGAGAAATCAGTCCTGAGTGATGGCAGGTATGTCCAGGGAGACTGGTCGTTGCGCTGGGCCGCTGTAACGTTGGCTCCCAAGAGGTGTGATGCTCTTGGTGAGAGCGGACGAGACGACGGGTCTGATACTTGACGGACCTGCTAGGAGCGTATCATGGATCTATGTCCTCTCAAAAAGTCCCAAGTCAATCCTCATACATAAATCCTTGAGGTTTTCTCCGCATCTGGCCATGGCACCAGGCGGTGAACCCCAAATGTTGGCGGTTGGGCCCACACCACCCACCAGGGGCCGTTCCTTTCCCCGGATTTTCGAAGAATCTGGGGGATCATGGGTTCTCCAACTTGGCTTCCCCGGATTCTTGGGCTTGCTGTTTTCTTTCTCTCTCCATCATCTCCACACCGCGATCCATTTTCAAGTTCGAAGGAGATTTTTGGGATCGTCTTGGGAGAAATCTTGTGTCTTCCAACAAGGCCACGCTGTGACCCAGAACCTTAACAAGAGGATGCAGGCTGTAGCACAGAGCAGACCGTAATAAGTGCCTCATGATTGGCTGGACGATCCACTCTAATTTGGGTTCTACAGCAGCGGGCGGCGGGTGGACTTGCATCAGCGCATCAGGAGCCATTGCGCGGATGCTATTTGCAATGCCGAGGCGAGCGTTGGAAACCCCTCTTTTCGCTAGTTTAGCCTAGCAACATTTCCGCCCGGGGGTGGCTGGAGGCTTGTTCCCTGCTACATTCGACAGCGCCTTTCCCCCCTCCCCCACCCAAAAAGTTGCTTTTCTCCAATGCGGAGACAGACCTTGTGTATGCTAATCATCGTAATTGTTGATCCATGAGGATGAATGGGGAGTTCTATCCATCCCTGGTTGCAGTGGTAGAAGAGACGACAGGGCAGCCAGAAGCCACAGCGTGTGACATGGAAGGAGAGGGGTCAGGTATGAGCCCACCGTGCAAGTGCTGATCGACGCGTCCTAACTGGCCCCTGGCTGGACGGTAAGACCTACCACTTGAGCTACCGCCAAGTTGTGGCTGGCTATTGACGGTACGGAATTCCGGGCAGAGAATGCCTGTGTCTCCTGATGCAATTCTGCTGCTGGATGGATGCCAGAACGGTCCTTGGCCAAGAGTACTTATGCACCATGCGTAGTACCATAACTAGCAGTCCTACCGCCCCCCCCTTTTTTTTTCTTCTTCTTCTTTTAATTTCGAAGAGGCCGTGGGCAACTCTAAGAGGTGACTAATAACAAAGGGCATGACGTTATTTTCCCCGTCCACATGCTCTTTTTGGGACGTTTGTGACCTGCTGCAGGTCTTGAAGTCTAACGTCTTTTTCTCATGTTCGAGCTTGTAGGGACAGGGGAGCGGGGGTCGCTACCCACTAACACTTTGGTACGAGCTACTATGGAAAGTCCCCCTCTCTTCCCCCCGGCTTCTCTGCACCTACCCTGCTACCCAACCTAAGTAGTCTCACAGCAATGCCCCCAAACCACGGTACTGTAGGTCTGTGTTTCCTCATTGCGCTGTCCACCGTGCCACTTTCTCTGCCTTGTCTGCCCACCTCCAAAAAATCCCGTCCCCACCTCCGCAAAGCCTCCGCATTTTCGCCCACATTTTTTCCTCCACTCCCTTCCCAAATCGCAAGCACGATTGCGGAGTACTGTGCCTACCGGTCAACAGGGAAACTGAACAACGCAAGAGAAGGCGAAAGGCTGCATGCACGCTCTCCACTTGCTAATGCGAGCCAACAGCTCGACCCGACTGACTGACCTTCTCCGCGTCCCCAGGCCAGCAGCACCAAGCAAAGGAATCAGGTGACCATGCTGCTGCAATCCATTCAGAGGTCATCAATGCTCGATTGAACGCGATGCACTCTTCAGAGAAAAATCATTGAGGGCCGAGCAAGCAAGCAGCAGCAGCAAGCAGCAGCAGGAGCAATAATACCAGCAACAGTAACAAGCAGCCCCAGTAGCAACAAAAATACTCCCTGTCCTTGTCCTGCAACCTTTTTGGTGGTCACCACATCATCTCTCTTTTCTCCCCCCTTTCCTCCCACCCTTCCCACGTCTACATAACCACCTCTTTATCATCATTTGTCCATATTCTCTTTCTTTTCTCGGGCCTACCAACCCCGCCTTTTCTGCTTTGGGGCGCCCAAGCCTTCTCTAGCCCTCTCTCCCCTCATCAAATCCCCATTTCCCACCTTGTCGATCCATCATCATCAACAGCCTTCTCGAAGGCGCAGGCCTACAACTTCACCATCTCCAATCCACACATAGACCCAGGTGTCGGCCCAAGCCAGTCGGAGTCCGACCCCAAGGACCAAGTACTCGTCAGGCTGCGGAGGACAGATCGTACTTACGTCAAAGCTGATCAGCAAACCCTCAGCCCTGTCATAGCAGCCAGCCTTGACTCTGTCTCTTGGAGAAGGCATACCACGCGAGAGGAGAAGACACCAACCAAGATCTACAGTGCACAGTACGTATGCGTTCGTTTGACAGTTGACAAATTCAATCTCCCACCTGGCTATGCATGCTCTGCAGACCTTACAGTACTCTACACGCGACAAAAATGTGACTCACCTTCTATCGAGATTTTGACATGCTTGCAGTTGACAGTTGACCTTCGAGCTCGAGGCCTATGATCCCCTAAGCTTTCCTCAAACATTCCAAGGTTTCAGAGACATTTTCCGCACAAAACGTGTCTTGGTATGTGAAATTTTGATTTCACTGCACATCAAATCCAGACCTCTACTGTGATTGTTTCTTTGTGGTCTCCAAATTCTGCTCCGTCTTTTCCTCAGTATCTGCAGCACACGCTTTCACAAGCCTTATGAGACTGGGGACTATGTTGACTTTCCCCTCACTGGCCGCGCGCACGCACATACACACATACACACACACAGACCGGGCCCTCGCACTCCGTCACAGTTTGGGGGCCAAGCTGTGTGGCTGATGTCCACTACCGAGACGTTCACCATCCATCATCCAGCTTCCCCGCGTTTACCTCCCCTAGCATACTTCCCCCTTCTCCATTTCTCAAGTACATCCCCCCCACGTCTTCTGTTTCGGAGACTTCCATCATTGTCCCAACCTCGCCTCCCATGCTCCAATAATGCCTAGAATTGGGCACAGGAGTACTCAATCTCTAACCCATCTCCAGCAGCTAACTCATTTTATTACTCATAGAGAACAGCTGCGTTTCCCCACAGTTCTTGGAGACCCCTTCGAGAGTCCATCAGAATTCCCATTGTCCGTCGCCAGCAAGGTCACCACCCTCAAGAATTCGTGTTGGACGCCACACCTCCTCCACCTTGGCATCATTCCCGTGTAGGCACTGTGCCTGTGTAGGTTCTGGTTCTTGAGGGAACCTGCCCTCCTCTCTCCAATAGCCAAGAACGCCCACAACATCGCATTCTATTCGTCACCTGCAAAACAAAACAAAAGGCTCCCAAGACTTGCACACGGGCGATTCCTGACAGTGGTCCCTGGCCCGGCTCGCGTGGTCCCTGTCTCATTTCCCCGCTGCGGGCCACCAACAACGATTGTATCAGGACGGAGTCCATCACTGCCTAATTATCGGGTGGCAGTATCCTGCGTTCACAAGTTCTGTCGTGCGATCGACCTTATCTCACCTTGGCCGTAAGTGCCCTGCCAGACAGTATCACCTCATCTATCGTTAGCACGCATCGACCCCCAAACCCTGGCCTCTGAAGGTTACACTACAATACGCCGGACACCCTAAGCTGGCTCCGAGAGGAGGGGTAGTCTCCCAGAACAAAGAAACATCATTTTCCTCTGCGCCTTGACCTCGTGCTCCGCCCATCAACTCGGCAAACAGGACCTGCTTGTTGGCTGCTGATTCAGTCCAGTGCAAGAACGCCGCCATTCCGGGACGGTGCATTTGAGATATCCCCTCACGCGTGCGTGCGCACGCACACACGCCGCTGCGTAACCTACCAGCTACCCTCCGTTAACCCCAATCTCGAGCATCCCTCTCTGATCCTCGAGACCTCCCAGAATGCTCTCTCTTCAATCCCCGCAGGGGCCTAGTCCCCCAGGCGCTGTCGATGGGCCCGGCGATGTCAAGCAGCCAAAGCCCAAAACTCTGCCTTGCCGTTTCTGCGATAAGTGGTTCAGGTGAGCTTGTCCAGTCTGACCCCCATTGGGGATGATACTCCTGCTTACTTCTACCGTGTCTTCGATTTAGGCGAGTGGAACACGTGCAGAGGCATGAGAGGACACATACCAAGGAGAAGCCGTTCGCCTGCACCTGGGACAGCTGTGGAAAGAGTTTTGGCAGAAGGTGAGCATCATTTCTTCTTGCAGTATCTGAAGTCTTTGGGTACTCTGATGCAGGGCGAAGCAGGGCGGCCTAGAACCCCTCACACACCCGTTCCAGGCCTCCAATATACTTCTTTCCTCGTATTCGAAGCTACCCCAACGTGACCTAAAGCTATCGGTCTATCTATCCACATATCCTTCTCTTGCATCCCTTCTCCTATTTTCGCCTTGTCATTTCTCCTTCTCCTTCTTCTTCACCGCCCAGTCGACCATTTCGCCACCTATTTTCTCTTGCGTACTTGTGTTCTCTCCGAGATATGCTTACATGGACATCAGGGATCTCCTCGTCCGCCACGAGAAACTTGTGCATCTCAATGAGGGGAACAAAGATGGCGCTCCAAGCACCACCACACGGCAGAGAAAGGCGTCGACAGCGACGCAGGCGAGCCCAACCAAGAGCCAGCCCGACACCGATATGCTCGGTATGCAAGCACAGCATTCCCAGCCGCACTTTGCACCAGCTTCCGACACCACGATGTCTGCTGTGGTCTCCTCTCTCCCCCCAGACTCTCGCATCGCACCAAGAGCAGCTGCAGCATGCAATCTCGATCTTTTGTCTGACGCGGCGACCCACCTCGCTACAGCTGGTGATGTGAACAATATGCAGGCCATGATACCCGACATAAGCCAGGCACCGCCTACCCTAGGTCGAGTCGACGGCCTGCCATCATACAATGACCGTGGCCGCGAGCCAGATCCCGCCGTCTATTCCACATCTTTCCCAGTTACTACTGCCCCCTTTACAGTCAGCGCAGCGCCCTTTCCGATCACCACAGCATCATTCCCGGTCACGTCGGCCCCTTTTACCATGAATGCGGGACCCCCGCCGCCCCCATTCGAAAGCTACGACCTCTTCATGGACGACATCGGATCGCAGTCACACTTCTTGCCAGCTGGGGTGGACGCGGATCAGCCCTTCGGTGTTTGGCCTCGCGGCACGAACTCTGTCTTCCCGTCCCGATTCCCTTCGCTCGCACCGGAGGCTTCGACAGACGGTGTCAATCGGCTGCAGGAGGACGGGATGAAAGCTCCGGCATGGAGGATCTCGGCTAATGACCATGGGATCATCAAGAACCGCCTAGACGAATTCTCAAGTGTCCTCCCCAACGACTTCGTCTTCCCGTCGCGACATACCTTGACTCGATATCTCGAGGGTTATATCAGCGGGTTCCAAGAGCACCTGCCGTTCTTGCATATCCCGACACTGTCCCCCACCGAAATGGCGCCTGAGCTACTTCTTGCAATCGCCTCGGTGGGTGCACAATACAGGTTTGAGAGCCACCGCGGCCATGCTCTCTGGTATGCCGCAAAGGCAGTTGCTCTAGAGCAGATTCGAAGGCGTCATAGCCATGAGATCCACACACTGCTGCCCACCCCAGCTGCCTACAGTCCTCATTCGACACGAGCATCGCCCAGTTCCGGGTTTCGACACTCCTTCAATTCCGTGCATTCAGACCGGCCGATGACGCAGGAGACTCACCGTGAGCCATAGTACGTCATGTGTTTACTGCTTTAGATCCTCCTTTCTACTAACTACTTCATAGTTCTCCTAATACTTTTCAGTCGCGTCTAGAGACCATTCAGGCACTCCTGTTGTTGTTCTCCGTCGGTCTCTGGGGCGCCAAAGCCATCCTACAAGATGCCCTGTCCCTGCAGAGTCAGCTTGCCCTTCTCATTCGAGACGAGGGCCTGACCCAGGAGCCTACCCAGGTCAATGATTGGGATGCTTGGGTGAAATACGAAGGGAGCATCCGGACCAAGCTCATTGCCTACTGCTACTTCAACCTGTGCAGCATCGCATACAACAGCCCACCCGTGTTGGTGACCTCAGAGATCAATATGACACTTCCCAGCCCTTCTAGACTGTGGCGAGCAGAGAACACATGGCAATGGCGCGAAGCCAAGCAGTCGATCCCTCATTCCAACATAACCCTCCAAGACGCCCTGACGAGACTTCTCAGTCGACCCAATGGCGGGTCACTCAGTGATCTCTCGACATTGGGAAATTACGTCATGATCCATGCCTTGATCCAGCATATCTACCTGCTGAAGCAGACCACGTTCGCGCTGCCTCAGAGTCCATTCATCGCCGCCGTGGCATTCGACAATAGCGGTCTCAGAGAGCAGGATGTCGACCAGATCAGCGGTGCACTCCGTAGCTGGCAAATAGGCTTCGAAGAGCACCGTCTTCGGATCACGCAATCTGCCCAGCAGATGGGCAGTGAGAATACCCCGGGTGGCCCAGTGGCCTTCGACGCCACGGCACTGTCCCGCCTTGCCCATATCCGTCTACATACCGACCTCATTCCCGCCCGTGCACTCGAGAGCCGTGATCCCTATGTGGCTGCTAGCATTTTCAACAACATGCCACTCCTGCCCCGTGGCCAACGTCTCAATAAGGCCATCTTGCAAGCAGTGCATGCACTTTCGATGCTTGTCAAGGCTGGCATCAACTACATTGCCAGGACAAAGTCTCTAGAGTGGAGTATCCAGCATTCTCGTAAGCAAAACCGTCCTTTTATTTGTGCCTTCTGATAATTATGTGACAAAAGATAAAGATGATGGTGAGAAACTACCGCTAACAAGCACCCCTGCAGTGTGCAATCTGGAGTGCGCTGTGCTCCTTGCCAAGTGGCTGATCACTCTTGCATCGATGAGCCCAACCCAGATCCTGACAACAGAGGAAAAGACCATCCTGTCCTCTATCAAGACCATTGTCGATGAGACTGAATATGCTGTTCCCATTGACCCGTCTTTGGCTGCAGTCTCTGGGTCTGCTGAGCCAATTCAGCTGACAACGCAGCAGCAGCACAGAGGTGAAGTGTCGCTCAGTGACTCGGCCAAGTTGCGCCAGCTCGCCTCAGCTGTGCTGCGTATCTGGGCCAAGACCTTCAAGGGGGACCACATCTTCGAGCTTGTCAAGACTATGGGCCTTGGGTTGGAGGTTTACTCCAACATCCTTGACAAGCCTAGAGACCAAGGCCCCTTGGGGCGAATGTCCAATGCAGGTTTGGAGTAGCACAGCCAATATGTGATCAAACTGCCTGACACCAAGAGGAGCAAGACATGGAGCACCTTTGTCTGCAAGGCAGAGTCGGGTGGAGGGCGACATCACCATAATCAAAGGGGAGAAGGAGGAGATGACTAGAGGGTTCGTAATGAATGACAGGATCCTATGTCCATTGATGACTCGGTTTTGTGGTGTTTTTTCTTCTTCTGGAATTTTCACAGTATCAGTATGGAATGACTTGTGTTTGGGAAAGAAGGGCTGGTGGGTAAAATACCTAATTGGAACATTGGCTAGGGGTAGGAAACTGATGATTCTATTATGCGTGTTTGTTTTTAGGCTCTTTGCTGCCCTCAAAAAGAATGTCGTTACACCGCCTCTGGCCCCTCTCATCTGGGACCACTAACACCTATGGACATCCATGCTATTTATCCCCATCAGGTGAATAGTTAGCAAGATCAAATTTGTCAACGTCATTTATGTGTGTCTATTCCGTCCCAACCACAGGCATCACAAAAAGCTCTACGAGATGTCGCAATCCTACATGAAACCCTCATGGACAGCAGACTTCACTCAGGATACAGTACTATCATGATTGGACCCTATTCCATGATTCACTAGAAAGCTTGGGCGAATTGCCTTGCCCTTCATGGTATTTTTGGGGGGGGGGGGTTAAAGTGTGTGAGTCCGACCGTTACGCAGCTATATAGGCCACAGCCGTTTCCAGTCAGCTGGGAGTGGTCACTCCCTTTAGCTGTCGCATATAAAGTGTATTGCCTTGGAGGGCATTGTTTCCTTCTGACCAACCAACTAACTCCAGCTCCATCATCACATCACCATAATCGCACGATCTATGAGCCGGCAATTGGCTGAGCTCGTTTCTGTTACTGCGGAACTCAAGAGTGCGCTGCAATGTTCCAGTTGATTTAGAGACTCCTGATCAGACTTGTGACAATCCAGCTTGAGTCTCACGCAACACAACCTCTTGGTCTCCAGCACCATACGACCGCAGCACTGGCCCCAAACCTCGTGGATACGTGATTTAGAAAGTCTGCAGATGTCTGGATGCTCAAGGCAGGTCAGGGGGGACTGCGATTCCTAAATGAATATTTCCGAGTTTCTGCTGCTTCAGATCTGGGGCCAGCGTGATGTCGGTCTGCTTCGGTTGGGCGACGGGTGCCTCTATAGCCAGAAGTGGGAGACGAACAAGGACACTCACATCCTTAGGGACCTGACATCCCCCTCTCCCTTTCTTGCTTATTTTCTCATTTCGCCCTCGTATCAACAGTGAACGGTGAAACACTGTGTGCCTTACTGCAGGCTCTGTTTGCTGGCACCACACGCTGCCTTTATCAATGCTCACCACCTTTGGACGGCCCCAAACCCATGCCCATCTGTTCCCGAAAGACCGAGGCTCTTCGGGCTGGTTGGGGGTCGAAGGAATATGTGCCCATCCAGTGTCAGATACCAAGGCCGAAAACACACGGACTTGAATGGCGTGCCCCAACGGACATGAATCTCGACTTGTATGCGTGACCACGCCAGGCCGAGATCCCAGCGTCCACGTCAAAGACCGAAACAATTCGGCAGGAACTGGGTCCTTAAGAGGTACCCAGGCATTTCACTGGTTCTTGTGGGGCGATGCCGTGTAGGACGCATATTTGGTGGTACACTTTTCTTGGGCCCCGCTGGTGAAAGATCTCGCTGCGACGTGATGATGGAGCTCTGGTCACAAGGTACGGCGGAGCTAATACCTGGCAGTTGGTCGTTGTGATATGTCATGCCGAAGACCAAGGATGAGGGTGTCGCATTGATGAAAGGGTCTCAGGTTGGGGCCGAAATTTTGCGGAAGTCATGGAGCGGTACGGCCGAATGATCATGCAAGAGGCATGTCTGGTCACGAACGGTGAGGAGAGCCAGGCTATCAGCGGGCGATCTCCATCCTTGTGGAATCGGTACCATGTCAAGGGCATGAATGTTTGTGTTGATGAACAGGATCGACAAATCGGGTCATGTCTTCGTTTTTGTGATGTCCCAGAGAGGAACTGAGAGCGGTGAGGGCTGGGCCGAATGCTTTCGGGAAAGGATGATGGGGTCGAATTGGCTCACTTGGTGAGGGGGTATAAGAAGTCGAGGTTGGCCAACATCAATATCAGCATCGTACGATTAGCACATGCAGTGTATGGAGGAAGTGTCCTGGCACAAAGACACTTGATCACTTATTCTGCACGTGGGACGGGGCGGGGCGATGTATTTATTCCAAGGCATGGCGCAGGCATCACAACTATCCTGGACCAAACCTCAGCCTCACCTCCAACACACAAGACAGCGCGTTATTGGCCCTCTCCCCTCTTTCTACCCTGCCCTTGCCCGCTTTCCTTATGGGCCTGGTACCCAAAGCGAGGATGGAGAGGTCCAGACCACCCACCCACCAGCGACCTAAGGAACGTTCAACGCACGGCGCATCGGAACGTCCCGTCGACATCAGATCTTGACAAGCAGGACCAGACCCACAAACCACATGACGAAGCGGATCCCAGAAGCTTGGTAAAGCAGGTGGGCCGGCAGCAGATCAGGGATGTGAAGAGGGGAAAGAAGAAGAAGAAAACGTTCGTGGGTTGCTGCGATATGACCACGTCAATGAACTGGCAGCCGCAGTCCTGTGTGCTTGCAATGACGGTGTCCGAGGGCTCTCGGACGCGATAGGCGGCCTGGCACCTCTTTCTCTCCTCTGGTCCTCAGCCTAGCTGTCAGGCGGGCCCACGGGCCGAGGGTGTGGTGGCACCCTCTATCATAGTGCAATCCTTCAGGGGAGCACCAGATCCTGGACATATATATCACCGTCTGGTACCTGAAGCTTGGTCAGCCAAGGTCCCTCAACCGCAGGGCGATCATGGTGATTGTCTTGAGGGCTCTTGGTCTTGGAGGTTCTCGTGATACGTCGAGAGTTACATCTCCTCTATGTCCGCACTGTGATGCGAAAGGCTGTGATGCCCGAAAGGTGTCGGAGAGAAGGGGTCCAGAAGGCTCGAGATGCGGACAGCCAGGGCTGGCAAGACAAGCCAGCCCGGAGAGGGATCTGGCATCGTACGATTTTCTGGACGCATCGTCTGAGGATGGCGGACAATTTTCTCAACTTTTTCTTGTTTCCCTTCCTTTCTTTTGGTACTGGGTCCAGGTTGGGCAATTGTGATCGATCGATGTAGGCTGTGCGGCGCTTTTAGGGGCGATGGTTGGAATTGATAAATCAGTCGAGGCCCGCTCACTGTTCAGGTCGAACAGTTGGGGTTGAACATCGCAGCAGGGACGACATGCGACAGGCTGGAGCGACCGACCCTTCCTGCTCATGCATATATATTTACATATGTATGTACGAGTCGTCCCTGCCGCATCCCAAAAGGGTAAAAAAGGACCAAAAGAGTGCCCAGCCTTCAATCCTGACCTCGACCTGGACCTCGACCTGGACCTCGACTTGGACCTCGACCTAGCCGTTTACTTCCAACCTCAACGTTGATCCCCGAATTTGCCCACAATGTCAATGCATTGTGCAGACGACGGATCTGCGGCTTGTCTCTTGTATGGTTCAGCCTTACATCATGCCCAGGTTTAGCGTCGCACAAAAAGTTCGAGTCCTAACAACCCCGAAAGGCACCGACGACAGGACAGGCTTGGCCTCGGAAGAACCTCGAGTCCATGACACCGCTACATGTCGAAGGAACGACACCAGGAGCTGGGCAAGGCTGAGACTCGCAATCAATGACAAGACGACGGTGGCTGGGAGCAACTACAACTGGGAAGAGAGTCGTAAGATCGAAGACGCAGCTCCTACTGTTGTGGTATCCACCCAACGCCATATGGATCTCTATGATATGAGGTAGGCAGAGGCGGCGGCAGCAGCAGCAGCAGCAGCATCCCGGGCGGCGAGATCATCTCACATGCCAACATCAGACCATTTCAAGCCTCTTCGACGCACGAGTCGCGTCCGCCTGGCATGTTCTATCCAAACAGCATTCGATATGGCCTCGCCTCACGAGCGATGGTGACCCGTGAGGGGCATGACACCTCTCGGGTAGATGGTTTCGGTGGGCATTTCGGGGTGAGCCCTTGGCGAAGACTGGCTGCCACTGTGGCCCACTACACCCCCCTTTCGGATGCAGGCCACTTTCTTCCCCGGCTGAAGCATCGCAGCATTTCGCTGAGACTCTCACCGCAGCACACTAACAGCGCCCTTGAGGAAGTAGTCGGCCCAATACCTGCAACTTTGCGACCAGACCCTGCCACCTCCCCCCCCCCCCCAATGGTGGAATGGGCCCGCCGCCGGCGCATGCTTCATCTATGGCGTTCTCACCAGCCAGGCTGAATCAAACCATCAATCGTGGCTCGAAATGATCAATTTCGCTTTGACGAGAGAGAAAGACTCAGCCGGGCCCCTTTCGCCCTCGGTCACGTCGCGCTTCTTCCAGTGGTCTAGACCCCTACCGGCCAATTCGGGAGCTGAGCGTGCTGAGACACTCGCCACGCCGCAGTGTTCTACATGCTGTCACTCCGGACCCTCCATCTCGACCTGGTTCAAGCGAACCCTGAGGCGATCGAATACCCCGTGCCTAATACCAGGCGTGTGGTGCGCTCTGCCGCCATGTACCATTGTATCTGCTGGGGCCCACTACAATCTCGAGAGCTCCGCTTACGAGGTGGTCACCTGCATCAAGACAGATTCGCGAGTATAGCTCCCCTGTCCCGAGGATTTTTGGATCTTATTTAGCGACGATCTTAGCGAACTCAGCTCAATGTCTTCACTCCCGACGCGACGTCCAGATCGGGGAGGAGGGGTGATACGACGAGCTCCCAGCTCGTGGCCCACCTGCCTGAGGCCCTGTTGTTGGATTTTTCCAACTGCACGAGGATTGCACGAGCCTCCGGTCCACGCTCATCTCCCCTCATTTCCTGAACAACAGAGAAACCCAACCACGACAAGTCAAGGTAAAGAAGGCATCGAAACCTGACAGCCTACTACCAGGCGTGGGTTGCCAGGCACCACAGAAATCGCCAAGAATCGCCACTCGCTGGCTGCACTGGTCTCAAGAGCACCCTGTCCAGCGTCACATCTTGCGTGAGTACACGGGTTGGACAAGCCACAATCCTCCTCCTTCCAGCCTGAAGGTCGCCGGCCCCCCTGTCCATCGGAGGCCAGATGGCTGTATGGGCACCCTCATTGCTACGACACTCGGTCAGTGGAGGGCATCCGATTGGGACGACGAGGCTTGTGTCGGGAATAGTTCCTTGATGCACAGGATCGCGTGCCCTAGGCCGACAGCGACATGGACCAACCGCCATGGCGCAGATTTGTGACCTTGCTTTTGCTCTCCTTTAGTAGCCTGGACCTGAATATGGCACGAGCCAGCAAAATGACTAGGAGGACGAGGAGGAGGAGGAGGAGGACGACGACGACGACGACGACGACGATCACGACAGGCTTACATTCCGGGCACAGGTCCAGGTCAAGGCTCGGCCGTGCCAGAGAATGGATTGGATCTGATTGTATGAATGAATCTCCTCTTCCGGCGGCTGTGAAGGATGCGACAGGTTTGTGGCCCAGGAAATATCCCGACCCTCCGGGCCCACGGCCGGTTGGGGCGCTGAGACCGCGGCAAGGGGTGTGGGCACCCAGACGATTTGTCGCCGGGCTGCATCTGGATTGGCACAGTTTGACCACTTGCCGCTCCCCGTCCTCCTCCCCACGACGCAGTACTACCTACCAGTTAGCTATGTACCTGCAGACTATACCGTGCTACAGTTACTATAGAACACATTAGTACTATAGTAGGGCGCGGTGCCGCCACCACCGCTGCAGAGACCGGGAACCCCTTACCGCCGACATCTCCACACCTCTTCCGCCTCTCTCCCTGGTGGGCCAGCCCGAGCTTAGTCAAGAGTGGGATGCGCATCCCAATGAGCAAGGCTCAAACTTTATTTCATGTCTCTCGTTCACACTCCAATCTTTCGTACGCACACACTCCGTGCCCATCAAAAACCGCACCTCGACACCGAACCGGCGATCCATTCCCTCCGTCTCGTGGCATCCCTAGAATCCTCCAGACACGCTCCCAGTAGATGTGGTCCATCGGACGAACAATGCCCAACTCAAACCAGGTCGAGAAGGCCAAGACTGGCCGTTCAGCAACGTCTTGCCTCGAATGCCAGCGCCGAAAGCAAAAGGTAGGAGGAGGGAAGCTCTGAGTCCATATTCTCGCCTCGGCTTGAGCTAAAGTATATCAACCATCTGCTACCAGTGCTCACGCGATTGGCCCTGTAACCACTGCCAGGCCAGAAAGGTCCCTCACCTCTGTCAATTCGCCCCGAGGAAAGTGCCGTCGCCAGAGAGTGACGCTCCGAATGGTCCCCCCAGGTACGTGACGACAGGTTGTCTGCTTTTCGGATGCAGAAAGCCGTTCGTCCCACTGATCCATCTACTCCCCAGGCTGTCAAAGAAGCGGAAAGAGGACAATTTCGAGTCGGAGGACCTGTCCGATCTCGCCGATGATCCTAATCATAGCCTATCCGACGGGTTGGCCAAACTGGGCTACATGCCTGGCCATGAATTTTTTGCCCTTGCAGCACCCGGCGCCGATATGGTAGGTGATGACGTTGCTCGGGGATCTAAACTTGTAACTGACGCCAACCTCAGTCGTCTGCCAGCCGTGAAGAGGCTTGTCTTGGTCCTCAATCCGAGGAGGTCAGGACCGCGCTGAAGGTTATATTGCCAAAGCCTTACACAGGTATGCAATGCCGACCTCTTACGCCTCAAACCTGCTAACACTGTTCAAGATGTCCTTGTCCAGAATTTTCTAGAAGTGGCCAACTATCAATACTACTGCATCTTCCCAGAGCAGCTTCGCGGACAGAATGCAGCATGGTGGGATGCAAGGGCAGCGGGTCAGAGGCTCAGCCCCGAGCTCACCTGTCTCCTGATCCGTGTCTGCGCCGTGTCCACCCAATATCTGGAGACCTCGCTACGGCAGAGACTCGAGCAGGAGCTGGGTGAGAAGTCCCAGGCCCTGACGGAGCGCTTGCACGCAGCCGCCCAGAAGCTCAGCTCGTCGATCCCGAGGGGCACGGGTGGGGTTGTGCAGGTGCAGCAGCTCTTCCTTGAGGCGTCCTGGTTTAAGTCAGAGGCAGCCGTGGTGGACTCCTGGCATGCCTTGAGCGGTGCTATACGCGAAGCACAAGAGATTGGTATGCTGCGCTTTGGAAAACTGCGTGTTTGAGTTGTACACTAACATCTCGTCGTCTAGGCATGCATAAACCAGCAGAGGGGCTGCCTGACTTTGACCGTGAGCTGCGGAACAGGTTATGGTGTATCCTCTGGACGTGGGACTGGTACGTCTTGAGCTGCACGAGATACCCTCGCCCTTTTTGTTGCTGATCATGTGACTAGGCAAATGTCCACTCTGCTTTCTCGCCCACTTCTCATCGACCAAGACGACCACAAACTAGAGATACCCGATGGTCGATTAGAGAACATCACAAACCCCGAGATACCCCACCCCTTGGGCTCTGTCGCCCTTCAAGCACAACTTGGTCTCTACGTCTCCCATTTATTCCAGAAGATGGACTCCGACCGCTCTGTAAAGCTTATCCTCGACATTGAGGATGCTTTGGAAAAGTGGATGGGCACGTTCCCAGCCGCCCTGCGCGACCACCGGCCTGATACACGCTGGGATCAGAAGTACCACTACATCCCTTTTATGCGCTGCCAAGTCAACATCATCGCCTACTGCTATCTGCTTGCGCCATTGAAAACCTTTCTGTGCGGAACTGCCGACCCGAAGATCATGAATACACAACTCGGTGCCAACCTCAGGCTCAAGGGCGTCGATACGTGTCTGGACCTGATGAAGGCTGGGGAGAAATTCTACGACCTGATCTTCCCGCAAAGCATCAAATATTTCTTTATCATCTTCTTCTTGTTCGACGCCGCTACTACCATGTGCTCTGCTATCGTCCACGATACGGAACACACCCTACCCAAGCGCAGCCAGTGTCTCCGCGCTGTCCGCACAGCGCAGGAGCTGATGGACGGCATGGCGAACCTGTCTGAGTCGGCACGGATCTCGGCCTCACTTTTAAGGAAGTTGACTGCTACGCTGCCGCTCACCTTGGCAGAAAAACAAACTCTCGGGATCGGCCAGACGTCCTCCTCAAAGAAAATAAAGACGTCTGCCTCGCCCGAAGCACCCGGCTCTAATGTTACTGCGGGCGCAGAATACGGCTTCGATCCTCCCGGAGGCCCTCCCGGGTCGTTACCCGTCGTCTCGAATGGCACGGACAACACTTCGTCGGCCATGAGTTCGATATCGTCCGAACTCGATCAACAACCACTACCACCATCGTACGCAGCTGCTACGCAGGGCTATAATCCTATGCCAATGCAATCAACCCCGGCAGCAGATTGGCAGTACAACAACTACGGCGCCGGATTCAGCACCGGAATGCCCATGGCCAATCCTGCCGGACTGAGCACTGGCATGCCCGTCGTCAATTCTGGCGGGTTGGGAGCTGGCATGCCCGTGACCACCTCTGCCGATCCAGGTGACAGGATTGGTGGTGTTATCGGGTTGCAACTTGGAGATCCTCTGACCGGAACGTTTCTGGATCCGCTGTGGGGTTGGGATAGATTGAACATGGACATCGGGTACTCGGGGCCGCCCATGAATTATCGCATGTAATTGGTCCAGTCTTTGCTCATAAAAAAAAAAAAAAAAAAGGGACGTGCCCGAAGGGATCCAATGTATTCTGAGGGCTTATTTCGGGTGTCTGGGTGCAGCCAGCGTACTGCCTCACGAGAGGTGATTTCCGTCCTCTCCTGATCTATTTTCCACCAACGTGTGCTATGGTCAGGTTGTTGGTCGTCATCGCCGCTCGTTTCTGCGTTTCTCTTTCAATCAATGGTGAGACGGAATCGGAGACTGACTCGCCGCGGCCGGGAGTCTACGACGAATCCAAGTCTACTGTATTACTTAGCGCCCGGGGTAACTACCCAGCTAGCCTAATTCTATTCAAAAAGAGCTCTGTCTTATTGAGATTTCCTAATCTACTTAATCTACCCCTCCAGGCCGGGCGTCCCAACGGGCTATTGAATGTTCAGCTTACTGAGGTGATCAACCCTTAGCAGTGATCAATGACCACCTCCATAGCTGATCCTAATAATTCATCCTTGAGCTCAGATCCAGAGTGCTGTTTGAGTGCAATAGTTAGGGTGGCCTGGTCGGAGGCTCGCTCTATCTGTCAGCTCCGTACTAAGGTGTGTCTCCGAGCCATCTCCTGGGAGATGTAAATGTCTCAAGTTTTCATTGTAAATGCACATTGCTTCATAACCAACTAGTAACAGAGATAATAATCCCGAGTTGCCTGACTAGCCCTTCCTTGGTTTATAAAAAAAAAAAAAGTCTTCATTACAATTCTTTGACTGCTCTCGAATAGGTATCAATAATTACACGCCCCAAGCCTGTAGTAATGAACGGTAGCGATTTCTTTTGGGCCCGGGAGGAAGAGATGGGTGGTTTGGAACGGTCCCGTCCTGATTCCTTCCTCTGGGGAATTCTAGACACGAATGTTGTGAATACATCTTCATCTCTTCTTGAGAAGAAATTACTTGTTCTGGGTGTGTTTGACAATGGAAATAAGTTTAGATCTCATACGGACATCAAAATCAACTCTTAGCATCCCGTGTTCGTCCTGGGCTGGGCCAGTAGGTCATGAATATGAATCAGGGTTGACAAGCTATAAGACCAAAGATGATGGCTGGAAGGGCTATTTGCTTACATTGGAAAAAGGCTATATCGAGGGTGTTGCGAAAGAATGAAGGAAATCCTGCCAGGCCTATACGTTACACCCATGTGACGATAGATTAAATATAAGTTAACCACTGCAAATATCTCAAGTACTCTCGAAGCAGTAATTACTTGATTACTGTGACTCCCAAATAGATCATTTTATATTGCATTATTTCTTGGAAAAGACGCACATATGACTAGGATCATTTTATTCATAAGAATGTATAATGAAAGGAAAGTAAGGAAGGAAAGAAGAAAACTACGGCTCAAGCTGCTACTTGTAACGAAGTAGGTTGAGCAGGGCTTCAGTTGGCCTTCGCCCACGACTTCTTTTGGCATCCAAAGGGCCCAAGTATCATAAGAACTAACATCTGCTTCAGACTGGACAGGACTTTGTTGTTTCGTTGGTGGTCTTTATATGTTACTTCGGAATTTGAGATATAGGCTGGGTGGATGAATTATTATTTGTTGCTTCTTGTTTGGTATTGGTTTTTGGCGCACCGTCTACGAGCCATATTCTTCACTCCTACATCTGTGTGGCAATGCCGGCTGAGGGCCAGTCGTCATTCGATGAGCCCATGGTCATTCCAGCCCACCTTGGCCACCAATTACTTGCGGAAAGTTATAGACCGGGGGTCTTGAAAACTTCCCTTGCAACCAGTGGACGAAGGCCCTGGTCATGCTCGAAAATTATGTGGCAGCCAAGGAGAACTGAACTTCACGTGCGGATAGTTAGTTGTACGACAATGTGCAGAAGAGGGCCACAGCGATGAAGTGAGACGGCACCGAACTTTTCAACGTCAAAGGCCCCACGCCCTTCTCTTCGAGGAGTTTTTGGCGTAAAGTGTACGACAGCACCGCACACGTCTTCGAATTCCACCACACGAGGCTAAGGTCACGAGCTGGAAGGCTAAGATGCCTGAAGGCCAGCAGCTGGTCTTCTTGAAATCCCCCAAGATCTGGATCATGAGAATTGCCATCCGAGGAACGCTGCGCTCACTGTCATCATCCGGCGCATAGATGAGGAATATGTGGACCTCGGTATTCGGGACGTAAGCATAGCACTTGGAGTGCCTCAGTCTTGTAAGTGAACTGACACCTGCCCAGATCAAGAACAGATCTGCTTCCATGACTGACGCAAGAAACCAGATCATGGCGCTCACTTTGTAGCCAACTCGGATGGACCGGGGATGGATGAAAGCCATTTTTTGAATTTGATGGAGGTTAGTCAGGGTTGTGAGACGATAATCGACGAGAAGGAATACTTTGATGGAAGTATCCTATTGGCGTTCAGTATGAAGAGAGCTCGGTTCGGATACCTTTGCTCGTTGTTGATAGTCCTCTCTTTGGACATGTCGGACGAGAAATGGGACGAAATGGAGACGATAATAAAGAGAGATCGTGTGTCTGGTGTCGACCACGGATGACAGCTATCCCGGAAAGGAACGTTTCATTTTCCCATTCTACATAGAAGCCGAGGTGACGATCACGGCTTCTAGGAGCATGAACGAGGAGCCAACATTTTGAACAGTATATCCGCGGCTGTCAAGCCTCATTTTTACAGGGGGGTCAGTTTCCGGGGAAGGGAGATCCGACCATCTAGGCCCACTAAACAATTCCATAGGCAGGCTTCATTCTGGCTTCGCGACTCATCTCTTCACATTGATTTATCACTTCGCGGCAACGTCATTGAGTCGACAGCATTGCATCTAACAAACTCAGATTCGGCCATGCCTGCATCTGGAAAATGTACCTGGGAACGGATCATAAGGACCATAGGGACATCATTTGGGTACGCTGCAGGCGGATTGACTTCCCTGCGAGAACGATTAAATGGTATGTCAATGGTATTCATTACGTGCTGTGGTTTGCTTTCCTGTCAAGATTCCGCATCCCATCACTTTCAGCATAACTGTCATGATCTCGTCTCAACCTCCCTCTCAGCCGACCAACTCAAAGGGCCCCGTGTGCTGTCATCTCAACTTTTTTTCTCATTCTTTTGGTCCATCCCTTTTACATTGTGGGTAGTTGAGTATGATTTACCATGAAAAAATGCCGCCCGCAACCTCTGCGTCTGGAACGACAGTGGGGATCTCCACAGACACGCTCTGTTTCAGACCCGGGTCGACACTGGTATCACCCATATGACGGTATCCCTGCGCGGCTCTTTTAAGCTTCTTCCAAACGTTAACAGCCCCATGACGGGGCTTCCACTTCTTGGCCAGCCCACTCCAAGCTTGGTTATGATAATCGCCCTGCTCAAACGCAACCCTAACATTGCTCACGTCAGGCCTGAGAAGAGCTGGCAACAACCTGGGAACGGGCTCGATCGCCATCCTCATCTCTTTTTGCATCGTTCATCCAGTATGCACTGATCCCTGCACGTGGCATAAGCATATAATTGCTGGGATTTTGCCTGACTGCAGGATGCTGCCATACGTCTTGCCAGTATCATGAAAAAATCCAACCTCAACTTGTCGCGCTCGGATGAGTACATCTAGGATCATTATGTATCCTTAATAATTCATAGTTCATACTATCATAGGGGATGCTAGACTTGGCACTAGGTTTCTAAAGCGATCATTATGTTTACCCATAAAAAATCCCCGATGATCGCTGCTGCATACAGGTGCCCTTCTTTATTTTTGTTACGTACAGAGAGAGAGAGGGAGAGCATGGCTGGAAGTGGAGGTTGTTTGATCCGCAGTTTTGTTCCCCATGTTCCCGCAACACGCCGCACCCACATCTCGCTCTCCCAACAACCAATGATTGAACACGGCTCATACTTGGGCTTTGACACATCCGCCCGTAGCCTTACACTTTCTGTATGATTTTCCCCCGAGCCATTGCCAGACCCAAAACGTGGAGGGTCCACAATGTGCCTCTCTGGCGATCTCTGCTGTGGGCAAGCCAGTGCTCGAGCGACAATCCATGTTTTGGTCTTTTTTTGATCATATTCTCTCCAACCTGGTACACCATTCGCGCCTAGCTGATGGCTCGGCAGCAGTGGAAGCAGTAGAGATGCGGCGTGCCAGGTAGGCTGGTCCACGTCTCAACGATCGCCGTGCTTCGCCTAACCTTGTCTCCGCTCTCGTCCGCGTCTCACTCGTGCAGCCTCTTGACGCTCCCAAAGTTGGGACGAGATGGCTGTCAACTTGTGTGTGCTATGAACCTTGCGATCATAAGGGATGAGAAGTCAGGATGTCAGAGCCTGTAGCTGCTATCAAGACGAGATAAAAAGGTTCGTCTCCCCCCTCTCACTTTCTCTTCGTCCTGTTTTGTCTCGATAGCCATCCCATCATCCTTTGGTCTCCCTACCTCGTTCCTGTGGAACCTGTTTCTTCATTTTATTCTAATCTTTACTTTCTTTAGTTGCAGACGGGTTGATCCCACCAACTTTCAACTCACTCCATTCTCTTTTGAGCTGTGCTCTCCTTCCCTCTCTTTAGTATTTTATTTGATATATATACATCATACCCACCCACCATGAAGAACCTGGGAAACATCCTCCTCCTCATCGCGGCTGGTGCCGGCTATGTGGCCTCCATGCCCACCGGTGAAAACCCCCAGAACGAGATCCGTGGTGTCGTCGGTGGCGTTCTTGTTCGCGAGCCAAAGAAGCACCACGCTGCTGCCGGTGAGTTAATAATCTTTCCCCATTCGTGTCTGCAGGCACGTTAGCTAACGCATAAAAACTTCAAGGTGCTGCGGCGAGCAATGCCACTGCTGCCGCCGCCACCGCTGGCCAGGGAGCCAATGCTGCCAACGCTGCCGGTGCTGCCAATGTTAATGCCGCAGCGCAGCAGGGTGCTGGCGCCGATCAGATCTCCCAACTCCTCCAAGGGTTTGTCTCCTACCCTTTCTTAAGAGAACTTGAATTCTTGCCATGTCATAGAGTATGCATTGACTGACTTGTCCTCTCGCAGTCTCGTGGGCGACCTTGGCGGAGCTGGTGCTGCCGGGGCTGGCGCTACCGGCGCCGCCGGCGCGGCTGCGCAGCAGGGTGGCATTGCCTCCCTCCTTTCTGGTGTTTTGAAAGAGCGCGAGCCCGAGGCCGGCATCGAGGAGCGTACCCCCAAAGGGTGAGTCTCTCCTGCCCATCCTTGACCTTCCCCTGGGCCCTTTTCCCGCGATACTGACGTGTTCTCTTGCTCAAAATTTCAGAGGTAACAAGGGAGCCAATAATGGCGCCAACAACGCCAACGCCAATGCCAACAATAACAACAACAACAACAACAACAACGGCGCTACGGCTGCCGGAGGGAACGACGCATCTGGCACCATCAACGCGGCCGCCAGCAACGGGTCCGCTGGTCTCGCGGCAGCCGCCGCTGCTCAGTCTGCAGTCGAGCTCGGTCCTGGTGCGCTGACAGGTACTGCTGCAGCAGCCCAGGCCACTGAGACTGGCGCTGCACAGGCAAACAACAACAACAACAACAATAATAACAACAACAACAACAACAACGCCAACGCCAATGCCAATGCGAATGCTAACGCCAATGCTAACGCTGCCAAAGGCAATGGGCGCAACAAGAATGCTAACAACTGATGGTTTGGTTGACCTGGTTGATGGGATGATACTGTTCTGGCATCAGTACAATAACGGATCTAGTTGGGTGGATGAGAACGTTTTGAATCTTGTTCCCATCTACTCATGGACGGATCGTTGGTTTGCTATAGTTGACAGGTTATGGCGATGGACACGCAGATAGCCCGAGAACAACTCTGCACCAAAAACTTTCTCCAAGTATGAATTAACGCTTATTTTAACAATATTGTTTGTCCCTGGGAAGGAAAAGTGCATCTCTGTCGTTCTAGCAATGAAACAGTAGAGAGTATTACTTCTTCCGCATGTGCCAGAGTCTCCGTCACTTCTGTTTGGAATGTATTTATGACCTAGTCAGTCCTCGATAAGGAAGATGATGTGTATCTTCCAGCATTGTCTTTGCCAAAGCGGTATGGCTTTGAAGCTATACGGACGAAGCCTTGCTGGTATCGTAGGTCGTTACTCACAAGTTCAGAGGAGCAAATCCGATGTAAGAGGGGGAGTAAAGTGTTAGGCTTGAACCATAGTATGTACAGTGCTGCTCGTTGCATGCAGGCTAACGCAGGGCAGGATGCAGCTAGCACCCCCACAGCACTGTGGTGGGACCATTCACCCGCTGTAATGTCATGACTGCACAGTGAATGGCCCTGTCCGTCCCACTTTTAGCCGTTCAACCCCCCCCCCCCGGCTAAAACATGAGACACGACAGTAGCACAGTGGAGCAGGGGCTCAGGGTACGTGAGTGGGTGTGTCGCGTTCCAGAAGCCAGGTCGGTACAGTTGCGGTTGAGGTGGCAGTTCCTGACCCAGTCTGCCACTGTGAGGATTCCCAATCACAGTCCAGAATTGTCATGCCAACTCAACAATCACATTGTTGTTAATTCGCTCCGTCAAAGGAATTTTTGTTGGCAGCATGAGCATGACATCGCCGACAGCCCTTCGACATCCGCCGAGATCATGAGCCATCTGCCCCGGATGGGCCAGCTCCCCTCCAAGCTGGCCCAATCCCTCCTCCCCTCCTCCTCCCTCTGCCTCCTCCTCGTCTTCCTCCTGCTCCTGCTTGGGGACGCAGCCGCCTATAAACCTCTGTCCGACAGCTTCCTGCGCGCCGTCCCAGGGCCCGGCGCCGACTTCGACATTGACAATGGCGCCCTGCTGGCCCCGATCCTCATTCCACGGGTTCCAAACTCGGAGGGCTCCCAGAAGGTGCAGCAGCACTTTGTCGACTTCTTCCAGCGCGAGCTCCCCCGGTGGACCATTGACTGGAACAACTCTACCTCCAAGACGCCTGCGACCGGCTCGCAGGACGTGCCGTTCCGTAACATCATCTTCAAACGGGAGCCGCCGTGGACCAAGGTCGGGCAGGCGAACCTGCTGACGCTGGTGGCGCACTTTGACAGCAAGCTGACGCCCGAGGGCTTCATCGGCGCCACCGATAGTGCTGTGCCGTGCGCGGTGCTGATGCATGTTGCCAGGAGTATAGACAAGTACCTCACCCAGATGCACGACGAGATGGTGGCCCTGGGCGAGCTGGGCGGCACCCCACCGATGGATATGGGGGTCCAGATCGTGCTGCTGGACGGCGAGGAGGCCTTCGTGTCCTGGACAGACACGGACTCGGTCTATGGCGCGAGGTAGGCAGTGGTGATGACTGGCCCCAGGGTGTAACGGGCGGGGACAAAAGACGAAGGTTGCTAACACTTGCCCACAACAGAGCTCTGGCAGAGGCATGGGAGAACGAGCCGACGATGGCCGCCGCCAACTTCCCTAACCGATTGAACCAGATCAGCCTCTTTGTTCTCCTCGATCTCCTCGGTACCTCGGACCCGCACATACCATCCTACTTCCTGCCGACACACTGGGCATACCGCGCGATGGCGAAACTTGAGAAGCGCATGCGGGACCTTGGTCTCCTGGAATCCAACCCACAAGCTCCTTTTCTTCCTGATGCAGATAAGAAGTCCACTGACTTTCGAACGGCACACGTGGGTGACGATCATGTCCCCTTCATGGCCCGTGGTGTCGAGATCCTACACTTGATCCCGTCGCCGTTCCCATGGGTATGGCATACGATGAAGGACGATGGCGCCCATCTGGACATGGCTACAACGAGGGACTGGGCCAAGATCACCACGGCCTTTGCGCTGGAATGGCTCGATATGATGGAGGTATGGCCGCAGGATCAGTGAACGCGTCACGGCCACCGACTGTTGGCAATGATGACAAGAGAGACGGGCAACATAGTCTTTCCTTCAGATGACCATGACAAGTAGCTTGTCACAGACATTGGCATTACATGGGCGGGCGTTTTGGATCTTGGAAAGCGTTTGGGTCTTGTCTAGCTGAGGAATAATTCGAACCTCCTCTTCCTTCAAAATGAGGAATCAACTATCGGTTTCCGACTTCTTCTTGCTGTTACTCTTGGGTTCCGGTTCACCTTTCTTGGGCTCATTCTTCGACCCAGCCTCATTCTCATATCCACCCCCCTGCTTCTCGTATTCCTTGGCGAGCTTCGTGGCCTGGATACTGTCAATTGATTGTCCTAAAAAGCGTCTCGTTCGGGAGAGACACTGGGAATGGATGCCTGGTCCTGGACCTCACCTTCCATGCAGACCACTGGCCCTCGCCTCCACCGGACTTGTTCGGCTGGCTCTTGATATCTGTTGGGAACGATGATGATTGATGATTAGTAGTCTGCTGAAACCGTTGCGATACCGCCCAATGATCTTGCTCACCCTCTTTCAGCTGCTCGCGCAGCTCAGGATCGGTAGGCTTCCCCTTGGATGACGGCATATCTGCTTGAGGCGAGGTAGTTTACTGCGATGCTGTGCTGCGGCTACTCGGTAGTCCTTTTGCTTTCTTCGTATCTCGTTCACTGCAAATTGGTCGAGCAACGTTACTAGAACTCAGTGATCTCCAAACGAGGTCAAAGAAAACGATGGGATCAGGTCATTTCCTAAGCACTGGCCCCCAGGTGCATCATACCCCAAACAGCATGTTGGACGAAAGCAGATCCATGACGAACGAAGGAAAAGCGTTCTCGTCATCACAAAAACATCATTGAGTGGTGGAGGGAAGCTTGGATGTTGTGGACCTCCGGGCGGGACGGGTGAAGATGAGCCGGTGGTGGCCATTTTAGCTTTCCCGCCCTTCGATTGCATCACCACTTTGGTATTGGCCAGACCCCTGGAGATAGATGCCATGCATCCTGAAGCCTCCCCCTGAAGAATATACTTTCTCGAAAACGTTCACATGTCAGCAATTCCACGTATCCAGCTAGAAGCCGCACGCGGCATTAGCAGTCTTACAATTGCACGAGCGTTGTGGGTAGAAATTAGCAATATCACGAAACATGACGAACGCGCGGATAAGACACTAGATTTCTCGCATTAAATCCGGCTACATCGCTGAAGTATGACCTGTGTAACACCAGACTTTTCTGCTTTGCGGTCTCTTCTAATTGTGCAAGTGTTGTGTTCCATCTGTTAGGCCAACCACCCCTCCCTCCCCTCTGAGTGATCACTATTCCATAAGGATACTTTTAGTGAAGATGGGATCACCATCTCCAGCAATGAGAATAAAGGTCGCCCACGTTGACAATGTTGAGAAGGGGAAATTCTCTAGTCAAGCTAAGTGTAGGAAATGCATTTGTAAGTACTGCACCTTATTCCTTGCTCTTTACTTCGAACAATGTCTCTACTAACTGCCTAATCACAGCTCAAGTGCCGGTAGGGCAAGCTTGAATATATCTGAATAGCCTGTCAAACTGACATAATCTTAAGTGCCTGGCTTGGCCACTTACACGCATAAAGACTGCCTGGATCCCAGGCCGCAAGCCTTATCCTGGCTTGATTCGATTGCTAAACCTCCATCATTTCCTCCACCTTGTCCATCTGATCACATATCTCAAACTTTGTGTCATAGCTTCAAAAATAAAAGGCTTGTCAAACACAATATCCACATACATCACAGCACCTAGGAGAGCCTTAAGGGAGAAGAGAGCCGCATCAGACCATCCGCATGCGTTTTGCGACGGGCGGCGCCTTGACGCTCAGGCCCTGGTACAGAATATTCAGCCCTGGGACTAAATTACCCAGCTCAGCTGGACGTGTGAGGGAAATACGAGTTACAATTGCGCTGGACCGGGTTGGGTGGGATATCGAATGATGCTGAAGTGCTAATCTTCGAAAGCTGAATCCACATTTCATGAACAGCAGTGGGCACATCGAAACCTGTTATCTTTCTTGGTCATTCTACCGTGAGATGGCTACCATGGTTTTCTATTGGGTAGAAATTCTGGGCATATCTCCATCTCCATCCTCTAACGAGCATTTGGAGCGGACGAAACTGTGAATACAAGTCTTGAACCTTGTTTTTCAGCTCGTGGCCCCAGAGCCTCTAATCCGTTAAGATGTTACCCTCATGGGCTAGAAAATGACGACGAGGTACGGAATAGTATCACTCAACAGGCCCCTACTTCCTGCGGCCGCATTCGGACAGCCTCCAGCATGACTCCCAACAAATCTCTCAGCTTTGGATCACGATCTCGCCACTTGGAGAGATTCTGGAGCAGAAATTGTGGAAAAAGGACGATAATGGTGATGCGTGTTGATATTGGAGGAGTTGGAGAGGCTTCCAAGAGGCGTTGGTATGTGTTAAGCTGAAGAAAAAGAGAGAAACTGAGAAGGCGGTTGGTGATATAAAAGCGCACATCTCCTCCAAGCCACCTCCAGTCCTTGAAATCTCTTTTCTTCTTCAATCAAAGCATGATCATCATGCAAACTTCTTCTACCAGCATGATTTTCTAAGTTGGCCTAATCACAGAAAAGAAGTTTTCAATAATGCATATCGTCAAATATGCCCTCGCGGGCCTCGTCACAGCCGCGACAGGCGTCTCCGCTGGTGGTAACTATGGCTACCGCGGCCACGCCAAGGTGATCAACAAGTGTCCCTACGACGTCTTCCTCTGGTCCGTCGCCTGGAACACGGACGGCCCCTTCAAGATTGGGTGCGGTGAGGAGTACTGCGAGGAGTTCAGCAAGGGTGGCGGCGTCGCCCTGGAGATTGTCAAGGAGGAGGCAGACTACTACGAAGACTGTGACAAGCTCGTCTTCTACTACAAGCTGGACGACTACGGGAACGTCTTCTATGATCTCTACGACAAGTATGGACATCCGTTCGCGGGTCACAAGCTCGTCCTCAAGAGCGAGGATGCTCAATGCCCCAAGGAGATTCTGGTGGATGGCAAGTCTTTCCCCTTCCTGGCTGTTGGTGGTCATCATCATCAAGACCCAAATGCTAACGTTATATGATGACAGGTTGCGGCACCGATGATTATGACAAGAAGTGCTGCAGTGCCAAGGAAGATCTGTATCTCATCCTCTGCGCGGGAGGTTATGGGCCACCACCGGGACCGCCCCCTAGACCTTATCCACCTTATATACCACCACCAGAGCATTATTATCCTCCTCCTCCTCCTAAATATCCTCCCAGACCTCCTTATGACCCTCCTCCATACCCACCTAGCCCGCCACCCTACCGCCCACCCTACCACCCACCATCTAAGAGACTCAACGGCCGTGATGAGGACGCTACGGGCGGAGACTCGATCGAGTGGCAGGACAAGCAGTGGGATCTTGACAAGCCCGACTGGGATACAGATGCCAAGTGCCAGGAGAGCTGCGGCTTGAGAGAGAAGGGGTACGTTGCGTTTTACGACCTCGAGGACGACAAGGTGGATGCTTCTGAGTGAGCAAAAGGAAAGAAAGCCGAGCCGGAAAAAAAATAGAGGAGGGCCTATCGAAAGTTCTCACTTCTTTTTTTCTCTATTCAATGTCAGCTACGGTAGATTAGATACAAAAAGTCAATCCTTCACTACTAAGGAGCCTTTGAGAGCAACGTGCGTCGGCTCACATGTCATCTGTTGACTATCTTTGATAGTATTCTCCTGCTTCACCATTCTTATTAGAATATTTATTCATCGACTTGTGAAAAATGGACTGAGAAGACTTTTTGAGAACAGAATGCTCGAGTGCATAACTGTATAGAGAAGTTAAATTTGGTCTGGGCCACCCATATATCAGCTCTCAAAAGTTCATGATACATGACTTCACACGCCATCTTTGCTTTAAGGAACGCAGGATCTTCGTTCTCTACGCGCGAAAGTGTCAACCGAAGTTTCAGATAAACAGACTGGCTCTTAATCTGAATAGATTTATTTACATGAATCATCCGCCCACATCATTAAGACCAACGGCTTTCATAGCCTTGGGATGATAAGTAACAATACAATAACAAAAGGGTTGTGCACATTGGATACCAAATGCCAACACTGAAGAATAGGTCCCAAACAGTCCATGAATGTTGCCAAGCCATGGCCTAAACAATGTTCATCACACAAGGGTAAGTCACACCAGCGGCTTCCTTCCTTTTCACAATATAACTCTACGGAAAATCTTGCCCGGCTGCCGATGGTGATATTTCGGTACCCTGGTTCAAAAAGTCAGCCACAGCACAGTCAAGGATATCAGGCAGACCGCGTACCACAGTCGTCCCGACGACGTAGCGTTGATCAGGCTGGACCCGTTGACCTGCCGGCCGACCTCCGAACTGTACTGTCCGGCTACATTCCCACGCGGCCAGTATTCGCAGACGAGGAACCAGCCTCTGGTGCCGCAGAGACGACTTCCACATCCCACCGTCGTGCTGTTCTTCCAGACTAGTTGAGTGAAGTGACCCGTCTGCTCACTGAAGCCTGGCTTGTTGTAATTGTACTCCTTCACCTCATCGGCCCCTGCATAATGTGGTGTTCATTAGCTTTGAGGATTCAATCCTCGAATCCATCCCAGAGGTATAATGAGAGTTTTGTATAAATAAGACAGCAAACTTCTGAAATTATGAGTAATGAGACTGGTACAGGGCCTAGAGCACTCCCAAAGCAATGGGGGCGAACGAAGCTCAGTCAAAGGACACGCATACTCACATAAATCAACACACCCTGTCACATCGTCACAACCGATTGCCAAATTCTCACCATAAGGTCCACCTGAATGAGAGAAATTGCACTCGGAACCACTGCTGGGGGACACTGATCCCATCGACAACAGGTACGACGCTGCGAAGTCTGCGAGCGTCTGGTTCCACGAGACAGAGTTGGCATCGAACTCTTGTCGGATATAATTGGTGCTGTTCAGCACGGCAGATGTAAAGGCGGCATCGTTGGTGAACTGCGGCGCGTCGGATGCGATCACGGGTGTGGCTGTCACGACGTAAGTGATGGTTGTGGTCGGGGGTAAGGTGATGGTGATGCCAGTGGTGAGGCCGACGAGGCCTGCAAGAGCCGAGATCGTGTGCATCAGTCTAGTGTTGGCTGTAGTGCTGGGACGCTGCTCTTAGGGTTCCTTTCTTGGGCTGGTGTTGTTGAATTCTGTCTCTGGTACTTGTCAATCAAGGCTGATGTGCATGCCCGGTGTGGAATCGAAAAAGAGCGAAAACATACTTTTCTTTGTGCATGCGCCCCTTTGAGCAGAGGTAGAGGGGTGATATCCTTCCACTCGCTGCACCTTCTCACCATTCTGTTGATTCGAGAGGAGGTAGTTGCAAGACTTCGATGTCCATAAGCAAGAACGATTGGCATGCAGAGCTTCTTTGGGGTGGCCGGAAGCGCCAAGAGGTGGGCGCCACGAGAGGGCTCGTCATTGGACATGCAGCGCTCCTTCGAAAAGCGGCTGCCTCTTGTTCTGCCTTTGCACGTGAAGTTTCAAGGGATGTCTCCTATCTCTAATCTTTCATCGAAAGGTTAAAAAAAAGAATTTGTGACTCCTGCTCTTCCTGCATGGAACAGCTTGGCTTAGGACCAGTCAATCTGTGGAATGCATGCGAAAGAGAGGCACATTGTGTTTGTGCAACAACAGTAAGCAGCAATTCGTATTGCTATCTTCACTCAATAGAAGGAGTGGGGAAAGAATATGAAATGGAAGGAGGAGAAAACTTGTCTATGGTAATACTGCTTGGGGTATGCTCCATCATGCACAGATGATGAACACCTCTGTAAATGGAGCTTGAATATCATAAATGAGTGTTTGCCAAGAGTCTGCATCTAGGGCTCAAGGCTGGGTTGCGCTGAGCCGTGCACACACATACAGATTGCAGAATCTGTCACCACAAAAACAAATGACACTATCCGGAACCCCAGACCCTCCACTTTGGTAAAAGCTGATCACAATCGCTGGCTCTGATCAATAGGAGTGAGCCTTCTAAGGATTGACCTTTTGGTACCTCAAATCGAAAGGAATCTTGGTCATCCCCTGCCAATCGTTGGCCTCATTTGGATCCCCAAAAATGCTCAACGCCCGCAAGTACAGCGCATATCGCCCCTCGGGAACCACGGTGCCATCTGAAAGCCGGCCGGTGAAGACGACGTACCCGTCATAGCGGCCGCTGACATACTCAAGCGGATAGCCCCACACACTGCCTGCGATGGTGGTTCCGGCGACGACGGTGGTCGGGCCTGTGTAGTTCTTCGACAAGGGCACAACATCCGCCCGGAGCATGCGGGTGCCAAGGTCGAGGCGAGCCGAGGCCCACGGGTAGCGGGCATCGTGAGATGGCTTCTCGGTATTGTCCATTGTCGGGTACGGAATTGTGTAGGTCAGGGCGGGTGCTCCTTTGAATATAAGATCTGGGGAACGCGGCAGGGAGCCGTCCTCACGATCCAGGATTACAGCTTGCTTCATGCTACCAGCTACACCAAGGTAGGGTATCGTGAGATTTCCATTGTTGGAGCCATTGAGGACAAAGTATCCTCCATAGACTGGCAACGATGCATCATAGAGCACAAAGTCTTGAGGTGGTGACAAGGTGACAGTGATCTCAGCACGGCCACCTGCTGGGATGTTCACCAGCTTCTCTGAGAATTCCACCTCTGCACTCGCGGCAAAGATGCGGTTGGGGAAGCTGTCAGGGTATGAGCTCGTCAATGAAAGCGTGTACATGCCAAGCGCTGGGGAGTGGGACATGTGGTACGTCACAGTCTCGCCCCCAATATTTTGGATGGTGAATGTAGCGTTGGGAGGCAGGTTGTCCGTGTCATTGAATGAAATACCAGTCGAGTCTACCAGTGTGGTGGTGAAGGCGGCGTCGTATGCCTGTATAAGTCCGGACCCTTGTTGGGCTGTGGGTGCCAATCCGTTGATGGTGCCGGCCCCATCGTTCCAGAGATTCGCCTTGGAGGTGCTGCTTAAGATTCTTGCAAGTTCTGCAGGGTTCCGCTTTGTTTTTCGAATCTGCATCAGAAGTGCATATACCCCGGCCACGAACGGCGTTGCCCTGGAGATTGATCAGATCTTGCGCTTCCCTAGGCGCTCTGTGACAATAGATCGAATATTGGGAAGATTTACTCACATAGATGTGCCTGAGAAGACTGCATAAGCCCCCTGGTTTAGGGGGAAAGTGGAAAGAATATTCCCGCCTGGAGCTGCAACAGACGGGTAGAAAGCCAGCTCCCAAGTTGGACCCCAGCTGGTGTAGGCACTGGCGAACCCGCCCGTCAGACGGTTGGGTACCTGCTTGAAGACGACCTCGGCGTAAGATGGGTCGATGAAGGTGAGCCGAACTTCTGAGCCGTCATTGAGCAACTGAATGAATTTAGCGCCTTGCGCGGGAGTGATAGTCGCGGTCGACGTGATTGTCATATCTGGATACCAGACGGCGGTAGGCCCGAAGCTTCCCATATTAGCTCAACACATATATTCTCGGGTATGCCGAACTTACTCTTCAAGAATATCTGCATAAAATAGGATAGCATTTGCGTTGAGCAGTTGCGCATTCCTAGCCTTCACCGAAGGTTCGCATCCGCCAAGGCGAATAAGAACCGCGTAGCCAGATAGGTCCCCCGTGTCAGGTGCTAGACTCGAGCAGGCATCGTTCTCTACGGTTGAGTTGCTGCTCAGAGCCTTGAGAGGAAGAGAAATATTCAGAAAACTGGAATAGCCAGGCACCCATGAGAAAGCAGCAGGCTCAGTGGCGTTATCATGCGTGGTTGAAGCGGTATAGGTACCTTTTGGTAGAAGGTACGGAGTGACAATGTTGTCAAAGGAAGCCACTCCCGTAACATCGGTTCCGTCTGCAGCATCACTGGCTGTGAAAAGGCCAGAATAGCCGTCATTTCCGGCAGCCAAAGTGCATGGAACGCCCTCCTGTAGTACCAAAATGTTAGCAGTGCTTGATGAAGACAGAGCCCAGAAGATAAGCATCGTTGAGCTAGCTGGGAGATGCTTCAACATTTGATCCAGAGGGCCCTCTGCACGGTATATTTGGCGGCTGAGGGTCATCCAGAGGCAACATTCCGAGAGAGCCTTACGCTGATGATGCGACTAGCCACTACCCCGAAGGGTGTCTCGCTCCAGCCCCCAGCAGTTCCGAGGGACGCCGTGATGATATCGCTGCCGTCATCAAATGCCATCCCAAAGGCTGAGATAAGTACGTCGTCTGTGGTTCCGAGACCTTCGCAGCTGAAGACCTTGTACATCCCAAGTTTGACTCCTGGGGCAACGCCAGTGAAGTTCATCCTGTTCTTTTGAGCTGCAATGATCCCGCTGACATGGGTTCCATGCCCGATACAGTTGTCATACGGGTCTGGGTCTGGCTTAGGAGCATCATAACCCGTCCAGCTGTCGCCAACCAGGTCATAGCCATATTCAATAAGGCAGTTCTTGCCGAAGCAACCCCCAAGGGCGGGATGTCGGTAGTCAACACCTGTGTCCACGATTCCAATGCGAATACCATGCCCGAAATCTGCGACAACATGACATTAGAGGTAGCCCATAATGATCAAGATTCTATGGAGCATGTGTAAGGAGTCTTTGATGATCTTTAAGAGACTCTTGCAATTCGGGAAAAGGAATGAAGAAGAAAAAGAGGCGAGGGTGGAGCAAGATGAGGGGCAGGGGATGGTTTTCAGAAGAACTCACAGCTTTCAGCATGAAGTTTATCGACTTGGGTCATCACATGGGGTGAGAACTTGTCTACTATATTGTCGAACTCCTCGTCGAGCATAATGTCACCAGACATGGGGTTTGGCATAGTACCGTTCCTCATAAGTTCAGGAAGCGAATACTTTCTGACAGGCCACACCTGCCTGACGGCTCGTAGTGCCGAGATTCTGGCGACCTGATGCTTCTCGCTGGCTAGGTCCGTGACGCTGAACGAGGCTCCGCTAAACACGGTGGAATTGATGTTCATCCGTGGGTTGACAGAGATTCCACTGGCGTCCAGAATATTATAGAAAGAAGTTTGGTCCTTGAGCGAGGTCAGTAGTGCTCAAGATATATGTGAGTATTCGAGGGGGGAGGGGGAGACAGACATGGCCATCCGCAAACTCCACGATGTAAGCTCCAGCGATGAAATTCTCTTCAGTTGCAGCTGTCAAGTTCAGAGGTTGTCCAGCGAGGGCAGTACCCATAAACGCTGCTGTTATAAACGCCGGGCGCATTCTAGAGGTATGATGGTGGGTAAGTTCAGGATGATATTCGACACCTGCTGATTCCTGAGATCAAGCCCTCACCAGCACAGAGAGAAGAGTCCAGAAGCCAAGCTTTATAGAGAGTCTGCTCTCAGGTCTGCCTACTTCCCTTCCCACACATGTCGGCTGGCAGAGCAAACACATCTGCGCGAAGCCGTCCGTAGTCCATCAGTTGCCCAAAGAATCCAGGTTCTCTGACTTAGGACGAATAGCGGTATAGAGCACCATCAATACTCACGACGCCTGGGTGTATTCGGAAGCGGCAACTCCAGCTTTGGGAAGTAGAATAGGCTCTGGGTGGTACAATTACATCTCGTGCACTACATAAACAAAGAAAATTCGCCCGATTCCGGCGCTGGCTATCATGAAAGTTGAAGGGGATTGGCTTGTTGAGCGTACGAGCTCTTGCTGATCCCGTATCCCGTTAGGAGAAGCCATTTCTAGGTTCAAATCTGATGCCAAGGTTGAGAGTTGAGGACGCCGGTGTTGAGGTGGTCCGCAGCGGTGAGCACACCGGTCAAGCAATAGTAGCACCATTATGTATGACGGTGGTAATGCCATTATCACAGCATCGATTTTTCAAGCCCGTAAATGGAATGGAGTTCTTTTTACATTGAGGAAGTGCAGCTAATTGTTGGAAGACCGACCAATGACACGGAAGATGGCAGCAGGGTTTGGTGGTTGGTGGTGAACGTGCTTTTGGTTAGTGTGATTTACGTAAGCCACCCCCCAATTGCTGCCTAGAATACTCTAGTCCCGGCCATCCCTCCAACTTCCAACCTCCAACCTCGACTTCATCCTCCGCCGACGCTTTTCACTGCCTCAAGATCCCGAGAATCCGCAACAGCCTCATCCCTCGAGCAACATCCCGAGTGAGACTTCTTGAGACCTCCTGGTCTCTCGATGAACTCTCCCAACGATTATGCCAACAAGGATCTTCCGAGCCTCATGAACCTCGGACGGGCACGCATGGCATATATTCCGAATGGTCTACAAACACGCGGGTGTGGCCATGACTGCGGGTCACACGGGGCTTGACAGATGTTTGCACAACAATTGCACGTTTTTCTGGCAGGCGACACAACATTTTGACAAGTTTGAGAAGTAATACAAACAGCACATAACGTCAAGCAAACCATGTGTCCGATTTGAACCCGTCGGCATAACCTCCTCCGTCCAACTTCCCGGTGGTCAAGCAACATTACCGAGACTCAATCTCTCATCATTCTCAGTCGACATTCGTTTCCCTTCAAGTCTGCGCATATCTAGTTCTCCTCGTCGTCGTCAGCTCGCTGATGGCGAAGAAGAGAGGCATGGCAGGATGCTCCACGAATATGAGCAAGTGCAGCGTTGACTTGTCATTGGTCAGCATGGCTTAGTCATCTTGACACCTCGACCCTCTTGCCGCACACGGTGACGACGACGACGACGACAATGAGCATGAAAACATCAGCGACGCAGTGGTGATGAACCTACGTTGGGAGTCCATCTTTGCACGACCCTCTCGATAATTTCTCTTATTCGGACAGCAGTCACAGAAGTGACTGGTCTCCTTCATCGGTTCCAGCTCAGGCGTATCGAGCCGGCCAATCAGCGGCGTCGCGGGCGGTGTTGACAACACCACGCTCCGCTCTTCGAGGTCAGCCCAATGCACCTGTTTGGGGCTTCTCTCGTAAGTCGAGTACTGTGATCCGGGCACAGACTTGGCCATGTGCGACATAGGTCGCCTGTCATGGTGCACCTCATAGGACCTGACAGCTGGCGAAAGGGGACCCACCAGCGGTCGACCCGGTGAGTAGGAGTATTCCGCCGACAGCACGACGTCAGTCACGTCTTCAAGAGGCTTCCTCATACCATTGCGGGGTACGACAGGTACTCTTGGAAGACGTGTGCCTGGGAGCCTTCTCCTTGATGACGATGACGATGTTGATGATGATGAGGGCTTAGGCCGATAGTGGTAAGGGTCATACGACATGACAGAGGGGAAAGGTGAAGCAGGTGTGGAGGGGGCTGGGACCGAGTGGTCACGCGAGGAAATCTTGGACGACATGGCAGTGGACAAAGTCAACCGTCAACCGAAAACCCCTTAGGGAAGGGAGGAGTCCTCACTGAGGGCGTGGTGTGGGCTGGGTTGGGATTATAAGTGGTCCAGTGGCCTTATAAGTCCTCGCCTTAATGGCTTGTAGTATCTCTTGAAGTTTCGAGATGATATAAGGGACAATCCTGATGGATTGGAATATTGATGGATGAAAGGGGAGAGATGATGGGAAACGAGGTGAGGAGGAGGGGAGGGGAGGGGGGTGGCTTTTATACGGGCTTCCGACCTACGGCGCATGTAAGTCAACCTGACCAATCAGGGGCCGCACCCTCCTCGACCACCCCTGCCAAACTTGACCTCATCCTATGCACCTCGGATGCACCTATGGGCTTCTCTGAGCACACCCACCATGGGCTTCATGCCTGGAAACCCATGGTCCATCAGTTGGCCAATCTCGTCAACCTGGACGTTGAACATACGGCAAACTTGTAGGCCGGGTCCAGCGATGCTTTTGATGTCCCTGATACAGCCTTGCTCCCTCACTATGCCCCTCACTGCGCAATGGCGATGCAAAAAGGCCACGGACCCCAGGTTGATGGAGGGCCATCCCGTGTTCGATTGGATGAATATACTGGTGATGTCGCCTCCAGTCTCATATGTCTCGTGTCGTACCCAACACCTGCCCAGCTGGGTTGGATACCCTGCTATGCCCCGTGACGAACGATATGCTGGTCCAGTAGCCACAGGCGAAGCCTATTTGTCTTCCCCCACCCCTTCCCCCGAATCCCACTGGCCTCACTGTATCACATCAAGCCGAGCGATTATGCTTAAAAAGAAATCGCACCCCTTGGCATTCCATTCATATCATTCTATATGTTCCCTGCCTTTCTTTACTTCTCACAATGTTTCCTGTCTCGAGAGGACGTCTGTATCTCAAATTCAAGAGATTATGCCTGACTCAGGATTCCTTTTGGCCAGATCTTTCCTTGTCTTCCACTCCTAGCGTGCATATTCTTGGGACCTCCTCCCTCAATCCAGGGTCCATCGCCTGACATGAGAGATCTCTGCTAAGTTCCTGGTTACCGGTTCAACCCGCCCCAGTATGTAATCACTTTTCGGTACCTGCGCACCTTCTTTTCTTTCATTTCATGCCAGATCCCTAATCTTGAAGCCTTCTCTCCTTTATCAACAAAGGAAAGGGAGCAAGCGTGCGTATTTCAGTGATCAAATTGATTGCACACAAGGATGGTTCTGGCAGGCAACCTGGTAAGTACACAGTAAGCAGGATTTCCTCTTGGTCAGGGCACGCCATAAGCGAATTCGATTTCCAACCAGTAGTATGCATGCTTTAAATCTTTGTCTCCTTGATTAAGCCTCATCTCATATTTGAGTGTGCTAGTTGCTGGTAGGCCTACCTGAGGTGTATAATCAGTCTGAGTTACTTACGCCTCCCATATTCAGCAGTCGCCTCTCTCAATTCATCAGTATCCTACAGCGCTAAAGTGGACAATGCATTCTATCGTTTCATGGTACTCTCTATTGTGAACCATCGTATATACACACGTGCCTTCTACATCGAGCATGGAAGATCACAGGACTGCCACGGGCGCGGTCAATGTATGAACTCATGCTGTAGATCACCCTCTAACCAGATAGAGCGTTCTTTATGAGTGACGCCACATCTTGTAACAGTAGCTCAGGGTATGAGCTGAATAGTGTTTTCCGATACTATCTAAAACCAATCTCTACTGTCTGACCCCCCCTCGCCGGACACCCGTACCCGCCGGACACCTAATTTTCGACAGCGCCATACAAATATCAATATCCTCACACACATACACTTCCCTCAATATTGAAGCTATTTAAATAGTATTTTGATAGATAGATAGTCCTCTAGATGACGAATCTATTGATATAATTATATTTGTAGTCAGACGCCTTATGACGCAATTGTAGTGATATCGGAAGCTAAGGTCTGTTCCTTCCTGTCTTGATAACTGTGATCTTTTTCCTTCAACACTCTTCTACCTCAAGCCAGCCACGATGCCTTCTTACGCCTGGAATGAGGAGAATATGGCTGATGCCCTCTTCGATATCATAGATAACCATTTATCTTTGCGGAAATCAGCCAAGAAACACGGAATCCCCCCCCAAACGCTGTCAGATCGGCTGCGTGGAGGGTCTTCAGTCCAAGAGGTAAAACAATCTCAACAACGCCTTTCTACGACCGAGGAAGAGAATATATCGAGATGGATCATCAAGCAGGAAAGCCTAGGATATGCTCCATCAGCTTCTGCTGTTCGTGGCGTTGTAGCAGCCCTCCTCAAGCAGAAGGGAGATCTGAAGGCTCTCGGCCGCAAATGGATAGAGGGCTTCAAGAAGAGAAATCCTCAAATTCGCCATAAAATAGGCACTCGCCAGGAAGCCACCAGATACGATGCCTTCACCCCGAAAGCCGTCAACTAGTATTTCGACATTCGCGAGAAGGAATATGGGTGGATCGAGCCACAGCTTACAGTGAATGTGGATGAGGGTGGCATTATGACTGGATATAGTGAATTTCTATGGAATCCTCATCTCAGAGCCTCTAAACTGATGCTTTTGCTAGGCCTGAACTCGCTGGTCCTTGGTTCTTCTGAAAAAAAGAAGGCATTCCTCAAAAGTAGCCAGGACAGAAGCTGGGTTACCCTCATTGAAAGCTGTACAGCTACAGGCCAGCTTCTGGACCCAGGAATCATCTTCAAGAGCAAAGATCTTCAAAAACAGTGGTTTTCTGAAGATATGAAGCAGTCTGTGCCAACCTGGCGTATGATCACAAGTCAAAACAGCTGGACAAGCAATGAAATCGCGGTGGCGTGGCTTGAGGATGTTTTTCTTCCTCAGATGAACATCCTCCGTGAGAATAATATATCTCGGGCTATTCTCCTCATCCTAGATGGCCATAATAGCCATACTTCAGTAAGTTAAGCCTTGTGAAGCTCAAGGTAGTGAACCTCGAGGATAACGTGCTGATATAAAACAGCCAGAGTTTATAGCTTCTTGCTACTTGAATAACGTTTTCCTTTGCTTTCTCCCTGCACATACCTCCCACAGCCTCCAGCCACTAGATAACGGCATATTTGCTGTATTGAAAGCAGCCTATCGGAAAGAACTTCAAAAGTTGCAAGATCTTACAGACTCAGCCCCTGTTAACAAGATCAACTTTCTACAGTATCTCATTACAGCCAGAGCAGCAATTACTCCTAGAGTAGTAAAAGGAGGATGGAGACATAGTGGCAACTATCCAATTAATCGCCATAAAGCCTTATCTCATGAGGAAATCCAGGAGGACAAGCAGAAACGAGGAGCAGACGAGTTAGAGGAGGATGAGGAGTATGAGCCTATTTCCCATGGGTTTATCACTGCTATAAGCCGAGATCGAAGCTATAACGAACGCAGCAAGCTGAGGAGGGTTGCAAATCACCTTGAAGACCTTCAGGCTGAGGTTATCTTGCTCCGACAGCAAAATGCTTCCCTCAAGGCCCAGAACGAAGCCATCTCGAAGACCCGGAAGCGCAAGAAGATCCCCAATCCCAACAAGCGCTTTATGACTATCTCAGAGGCACTTGCAGCTGGAGAAGAGGCCAATCTAGCCCAGGAAGAGGAGGATTTGCCTGTTGAGGATGTTGTGGAGGTTCAAGACGAGGTTGACGAGGAGGACTCTGAGGACGATAATGCAGACATTCTACGTGAGGATTCACCACCAATTCGCACATCTTCTGAACGGGCTAGCCGTATGCCAAATAGATATTTGGAATGAGGAAGTTTAGATCATTTCGATGATATATTTATTATTATTATACAATTTGAATTGAATTACTTCTGTGTGTTTGAGTATATAGCTTTTGTGTGGGGCATTTCGCATTTTAGTGTCCGGCGGGTACGGGTGTCCGGCGAGGGGGGGTCAGACAGTATGGCTTAAGAAGCGCTCACGACGGAAGAAGGCTGCAAACAGAGATGACAAGACATCTTGGGAGACCATATCAACACAGAGGGTCGATTTGCTAGCGTCACTGTTCTTTGATCATAGCCCACAACAAATGCGGCTTCTCCAAACCCCACTTACTGAAATCCGTCGCCACCTCCTCAAGATCACGGAAGCCATGCTTCAGGTAGACGGGATGACCCATCTCCGAAGAGTCAAGATAGATCGGCAGCCTCTTTGCCTCTGCTTCCTCAATGCACTTCTTCAAGAGCAGACTGGCCGCGCCGCGGCCTTGATGTTTGGCTTCCGTGGCGAGTATGCCAAAGACTGTGTCGCTCGCTGCTTATCAGTAATCCGTTCAGAAAGCATTGAGCCCTCAGTTCTCGCCCGACGCAAATGTCACTGACGAAGAAGAAGAAAAAAAAAGGGGGGGGGGGGAAACAAAGTGTAAAACAAGAGGGAAAACGCGTAAAAGAAAACTTACAGATATGGGGCCTGCCTCCGATGTGCTTCGGCTGCAACTTATCGATCGTTCCAAATAAGAGCTCGCAGGCCTCTGCATTTGACCCTGGCGGGAGGCTTCGCGGCGATTTGGGCTTCACGGGGTGGTTCTGGTCATAGACAGTCCTGATTGCACAATTCATACCTTAATTAGCCTCTTGAGAAGCGAGAGCTCAGGGGTCTCCCATGGGGGGGAGGGGAGTGTGTGAGGTTCTAAAAGGTAAAAATGAATGAAAATCACCATTTCGCGACCGAGATCGTTTGCTCAGACTCATCACCTTCAATATCTGTGTCTACGACCTTGAACCAGAAAACGTTCGGTTCCTCGACTTCTTTCTCAAGGTCTCCGGCACGGTACTTCAGAGAATCTGCTAGTAGGGGACCAGGAAACAAGATATCATTGGTCTTTAGGGGCGCGTAGGCATGGCGCTCGATCACGGCTGCGCGGTACATGTCGGCCTTACCGGCGGGGAGCACCTTGAGAGGCATTATGACGGTGCTGCGGCCCTTTCTGTTCTAAAGAAGAAGAAAGAAAGAAAAAAAAGGAAAAGCAAGAAAGAGGGGATGGGGTGGCCTTCTATCGTAAACTATCTTAGCACCTCCAACCGAGCGGTATTGCTTGAGACTATATACTTGATAAGAGGTGGTGGTGTGTCTGCTTTTCCATCAGCAAGGGACACATGATGGGGTAGCCTGTCCAAACCCTCCGGCCCCGACGTTGCGAGAGAGTCCGAGCTACAGCGCTTACTTTGATTGGAGACAATTTCCGTCGCGGTGAGTCACTGACCGAAATGGTTGTAGGATTATGGATCTAGCTGCATTAGTCTTCCCCGATTGGTAGGCAAGTTTTACCATAGTATAAATCCATCCGCAGCGCTGGGTCTGAAAATATCGTGCGTCCCAGGCCGAGTGTTGTTGCCATCCAAGCCCGGTGAGCTGAATTAGGAAACAAGAAGTCGTTCGTCTCTTGCATTTCATCATATGGATGTCGCATGGATTCATGCATGTGGTTAAGTCACATTTATTCAGGACATGCGTAAGACAAGTTCTGGCTTTGTATTTGTGACGCACGCGGCTCGTATATCCGAACTAAGAAAATCTTTCAAGTAATTGCAAAAGTGAAGTCCAGCAGGAGATCTCAAGACGAGGAGAGACGCACTTGATGCCAGCCATTGCTAAAGCTCAATCACCCCCTTCCGAAACCTTTCTGCTGTACAACGGCTTATCATTGCAGGTCCAGGACCACACGTCCATGGAGCTTCCCATCATGCATATCCTGGAAGATTTGCGTGAGGTTCTCCAGCTTATCAGTGGTGAAGTGCGTCTTGATGATGCCCCTAGCCGCAAGGTCAAGCGTCTCGATCGCCTCCTGACGGTTCCCCACCGCGACACCAACGATCTTCTGGGCCTTTGCGATCAGTAGTCCGGGGAAAGCGTTTGCTATCGGCACCATGTCGCCCTCTGGGATGCCAACGCAGACGAGCGTGCCGCCAAAGCGGAGAAGATCAAGGGACCTGCGACAGCCCGGTCAGTGGAAAGTCCATAGATCTTTGTTTCAAGTTATGTGTATTTTCTTTTCTTCTTTTTTTTTTGGGGGGGAGGGGGGACTCACATGGCATATGCACCGTTCGAGGCCGTCAAAACCACGACAGCATGAGCTCCAAGCCCTCCTGTGATGTCGTGGACCTCCTTGGTTACATCCTTGGTGGCGGTGAAGTCGATGAAGTGCTCTGCCCCGGACTGTAGGACAAAGTCCTTCTTGCTCCCTGCGTCGATGCCGATCACCCTGAGGCCAATACCACGGGATGCAATTTGGGCTGCTAAATGTCCAAGGCCTTTTTGTGGGGGTAAAATTAATGGCTCTGTCAGCGACCTGATATCGGTTCATGCTATATATTCAAAAGGAAACCCAAAACGTGGAAGAAGAAGTGGATAACTGCTCACCACCACCTGCGCCCAATAGAACAACCCACTCCCCGCTCCGCGCATTCGACTTGCGCAGGGCACTATAACATGTCACACCGGCACACAACCTATGAGATGCTCGTGTCAGCCTACGATAAAAACAAAAAGACCATGTCCTCAGTAGACTGGGCGGAGCTCACATTGGCGCAGCGACATCCGATGCTAACGACTCGGGGATCGGCGTAACATAAGTCGCCTGGCTGGTAACATATTGTTGAAAAGTGCCAGGCCACTGTTCAATCGCTAGTCAGATGAAGAATTAGACAGATGGGGCGGGGACGACAACATCTTACGTAGAACCCTGAGATTTTCTGGTTGAAGCAGACGGCATCGTGTCCAGTCAGACAGGCCGCTGGTCTGCAGTGTTAGCTAAATGGCGACAGAGTAAGACGGGGCAGAGAGAGGAAGATTTTGACGGGCAAGAAATTTTATACGTACGACAGCTCCCGCAGATGGCCGCGAGCCACTTGATACCAACCCGATCTCCCACCTTCACCCCAGAGTTCTCTGTTCCCGGTCCCATTTTGACGATGTGTCCGACACCTTCATGACCACCAACCTAGTGTCCACCGTTAGCCAGTCTTGGGCAACACCCTCTCCACACCTTCGGCCCTCATGCGCCGGCCTTTGACATACCTGGCCCTCGGCCGTAGGAGCGGGCGTATGAGCCCATTTGTTCGTCATGAGGCCCAAGTCACTGTGACATACGCCCGAGTGGGTGCTGCCAGGACCTTCTCATCAGTTACGCCGGTCAAGAGGGGAACAAGAGAGGAGACAAAGAGATGAAGAAGGAAGAAAGGGAAACATATTGGGTCAGCAGGGCTCATACATACAGTCGAATCAGTACATCTCCAGCAGCAGGTTCTGGCATGTCCTTCTCGACCACCTTGGTGGAGATCTCTCCGGGCTTGTCGTAGACGGCCGCTTTGAATTTGTCGGGTAAAGGCTCGCCTGCCATATTGAAATTCTGCTGTTTAATTGATTATTCGATGAGAAGGGGGAGGGAGAATATGGTAATGCCAATAAGAAGGTGAGGCAAGTAAGAATGAAGACGATACGCTGTAAAAAGAGAGAGGATTGGTCGTGGATCGTCATAAAGTACGGAAGGCGCCCCCCTTTGGGCAGTTCTCCAACTCGGCTGTCTCGCAGTGGGCGTCCGATGACGATCCTATTTCCCCGCGGGGGAACGCCCCAGAGGAACCACAGCAACGCGGGGTTCACATTGGAAGGGAATGGTCTGAAACTGTTCTCCAAGGTGGATTGATGATCCTCTTCACCACTATTAGTACGAAGCTGGTGCCAAGATTCACCCGTCCCCTCCTGTGCTCGGTTGGATTTCTTGGTTGGGCGGGGGCGGGGTCGGGTTGTATTTGCTACTTCTGCCGACTGGGCGTCGCTGTTGTCTTGGATCTGAACATGGAAATCAGGGAAGGACAGGTTTTATCACGAAAGATGTGGCATTCAAAGCCCCTGGTTTTTCTTCATCAATAATTATATTTTAATTATTATCATGTAGTTTTATCTAAAGCGTTCCAGTGAGGAGGACATGACTGATACCAACCACGTCTTCCGCAACACTAGTCGTACGCATTTTTTGTGGTTGACAAACAACCTCTCGGGCACATAAGAACATTACCCAACAGACCTAAGCCAGATCCGCGCACGTCTTGGGGTACTGCAGGGACTCCTTGATGGTAGACTTGAGCTTGTCGCCGTCGACCTCGTAGATAAAGTTCACCTTCTGCAGGGTCTGGGCACGGGGAAGCAGGGCCTCCTGGTAGCCGATGATGTTGCCGTAGTAAGGGCTGGAGTAGGCGGTGTCGACATCCAAGTAGACTAGATATGATTGTTAGGTTTCTTTTTGTTTTATAAAAAAGACAAACGAAACGAAGGAGAGACTTACAGGTAGTCGAGTTGAGGACATTGTCAGAGTCCAAGACGGAGAACATGGCTGTCTCGTCCCAGAAGGGGAACTAGAGAATTCAACAAATCAGCATCGCCAGTCTGTGACCATCATTGAGGTCTACGTAGAGAGACATACCGAGGTGCCGTAGTAGTCGTAGAACAGAGAAGTGTATCCGTTCTTAACCTCGTAGACTTCGTCCAGGTAGGCTTGATCAGGGAACACCTGGTTGGCAGCGTTGCCCACGATAGCTAGATTACAAACATATTTAGTCAATGGATGTTCTTCCTAAGACACAAGACATGGACTTGGTACTCACTAATCTCGGGGAAAGGTGCCGTAAGAGCCGCCTTTGCACCCTCAGGATCAATCTTCAGGTTGATCTGTATCACCCTCACAGCGTCAGTCAAACAACTTCACGTTTCCTCCTCTCTGTCTCTCTCTTTCTCTTTCTGCTGGTTTTCACACTGTTATCGTTACTCACATCCGAGTTCAGGTCGGCCTGCAGAGTAGAACCAGAGGTCTGCAGAAGGGTGACATCAATGTACCCGCCCATGATGACCAGTCCCTTGGCCAGGGTGGCAAACTCCGGGTCGAGGCGGACGGCCATGGCGATGTTGGTCAGGGCGCCTCCGCTGTAGATCATGACCTCGCCAGGGTACTTGCGGACCTGCTCGACCATCCACTCGGCAGCGTGAATGCCGGCGAGGGTGCTGTTGGGGTAGCCCTCGTAGAAGGCAGCCTTGACGACCCGGTCTGGGTTGCCAGAGGTAGGGTCATAGCCGAGAGCCTCGTAGGTGAGGTTCTCGGGGGCGAATGCACCTTGCTGGATAAGAGGAACAGGTGTTAGTCACGGTGAATCTACGCATCTCTGCCCCTCCCTATCTCAATCTCTTCTCTTGCGCATATAAAAATGAGAGTTACTCACCCATGCCAGGTCGCCGTGCAGGTCCTCCCAGGTCTGGAACAGCTCGGGCGTGTTGATAAGGGGGTAGTCGGAGCCCTTATACACGGGGATACACGACGACAGGTTGCCCACCTCAAGGGTGGCGAGGCCGTGCAGGCTGGTCTGCAGGGCCCACGAGTTGCTGGTGTCGCCCACGAGACCCAGGACGTCCCATCCTGCGTTGAGGGCCATCAGGTAGGGAATGAAGCCGGCGGTGCTCCAGTCATTGTCCAGGATGATCTTGGTGCTGCCACAAGTGGACGAGTCGTTCTGGCGCGCGTTCAGGTGGCGCTTGACGGGACTCGGGGCCGCCAGGGAGGCGGTGGCCAGAGAGAGGATGATAGCTGTGACCTTCATGATGATGATGGTGGTGTTGGCAAAATCTTGCAGCTTTCTTTTCTGGCTTGACACACGAGCAGGTGGGCAGTGGGAGCTGGCAGCAGAAGAGTGAGAGAGAGGAAGGGCACAACTTCTCAGGCTGGTTCACACAAGACACCAAACGACAAAAAAGAAAGAAAAAAGTTATGCACGCTATGAGCCCAGGGGGCTGGTCTATATCTGTATTTGGTGTAGAGTATGTACATTAGCCAGTGAATTGCTATGACTGGATCGATCATATGCATCTACACTGACGCGATTTTGCGATTCGGCTCATGGACCTCGGAGAAGGCCGAAGCCCCACTGATAAGCTGCCGGCTTGGTAAATTGGAAATTGCTCTTCCATGATGATCTTTGAAGACAAAGAAGCTGATAGTCAATTTCATATCTTTCTCTCTCATTTCACTGATTGTGTTTTGAACATTCTATGTGGATGAAGGTTGTGGTTCACACGTGCAGTGAGTAGACAGGTTTAGTGGGGATGAATTGAGAATTGGAGGAGGGGTGACCAGTGAACCAGGATTTGCGAGGGCGGGGGTGGGTCTTTCAAGGACGAATAGCGTACAAATTGACTGCAGTCTACAGACTGATCTTCAACATGTGTGCATGAACCCACCCTTTGTTTACCAATGATCTGCCAGCTACTGGTGACAACTACATGTGTTGATGCAGGGGAAAGCCAGATGATGTGTTCCATAGGAGAATTAGCCCACGTGGGAGACAAACAATACTACTGTTATGATAGCTACATGCTTCATGGCATGCATGGCACCATACATGGTACTTGGCATTAGACTTCATAGACAGTCATTTGCTTATTATTCATTATCAATGGTCAAGCATACTTTGTACTTTCACAAGACAGGTCTAGAACTGCTTGATTGCAAGAGATAGACCATCTGCAGTATCTGCAAGCCGTCATCACTGACTAGCGTAGCCCTACGATAAGTGACAGCTCTACTAATTGCCTCTGTAGTTGTACCATGATAGGTAGTTACTCGGCCTTTGAGAAATACAGATACAGATTAGCATGGTCTGTTTGCCGCTTTCTCGAGATTGGCAGAGTGGGTTAAAGACTGGCTGCTGCGCCACCGTCGACGCTTTATAACTTGCAGCCATTCAAAACGCCACACGCCACACGCCACATGAGGCCGCCTTGCACCCAAGAGTAAAGTATGCAGGGGCTGCACAGCTCATGCTCTGTACATAGTACCTCTTTTCCCGTCTAGCTCCCGCTCGCCACCCACATCCCGTACGCGACGCGCAACGCTCTTTAACTCGTTCCACCGCTCCAGACCTGTCATTTGTGCTTGCCCAATTATGGTAACTAACACCTGGGGAGCACAGCCGGCTCACCTCTTTTGCGGGCTCGCTTTCCGGTTTCTCTCTTTTTCTCGCTCTCTTGATACCTCGGCACAAGCACAGTGGCTCAGGCTTTCTTCGAGATCCAGCTGGCCTGTTCTGTCCCACCGTATGTGGCTATGGCAGGTTTTCGCCGCCCCGTCGCTGTGGGGACACACGATCAACACGATATGGAGTGACAAAAAAAAGGCGAGGGGGGAAAGAGAGTAAGAGGTTGACAGATTTTTTTTTTTTGGGGGGGGGGGGGAGATGCCTTCAATCCGAATACGGAAATTAGGATGTTTCCATCGGCAGTCAGTTCTTCAAATTTTCAAATCAATTTTGTTTTTATATACTCGAAGGATCAATAGCGCCCGCCCCTGCGATCTGACACCCGTGCGCCCCCGGGCGACAAAAGCTCCATCCACCCTCGTACCGCGACCCCAGTCAGCTGAAGAGGAGAGGCAGGGCAGAGAATATGGCATGGCAGATCATGACGATGCTCGCATGCATGGAATCTTGGAAGTGCACATCGACCCCTTCTTGCGAGGAAAAGGAAATGGCTGGAGGGTGGAGGAGCAAGCAAACCGAGCCTCGCACGACAAGCCAATCACACTCGCCATGCACGGTTCTGAACAGTACCTACCCTTCCTTGTAGAGGTAAGAAGACAACATGGAATATGAATTTGCCAAGGGTCGTCGTGTGCATGGGCGCATTTCTCAGGCAGAAGGGCTGGCGATGAAGGAGACCCCAGGCTTCCCAAACCGCTGACAAAAGACTTCTCTCGGCGGGGTTTCGTCTGACGTCAAAGCGATTTCTGCTTGTTAGTTTGTTGTTCACCCCTGCCCCCGCACTCGGCTAATTGCTGGCCCATGATTCCCTTCGCTTCAAGAGGCGGCCGCGTCGCAGGTCAGGATGGCGGGGGCAGTCAGCTTTTTGGTGGTGATGGTCCTCCTTGATGGCCGCGAAAGTGTCACATTTGCCTGTTACAGTCCGGATCAAGCAGTCATACATATGTCCAACCAGAAAATCGGCATCGTATTACGGTAGGTCGGCAGTGCTTTGATGATGACGATGATGACAGTAATGCCTAGTGGGCAAAGGGACCCTGTGGTGGTTACATGTCGACCCTCTCGGTGCGTTCGTTGGCTGGTTGTCCCTAGGTCGGGTTTGCACGAATGACAACACACGGAACGGAACAGCCTCGCAAACCCAAAGACGGAACCAAAAATCCGACCGGAGTCCGATACTGATACCGATGCGCGCTCCGCCTACACGCCGGCACAAGGACTTTTAAGCTCAACCCCCAACGATGATTATGTGCAGGCGGCTAGGCCTATACTGCATGCGTCGCGCACGCCCAGTCCGTAGCGTTGGTATCGACCGTTCCAGAACCGCCTAGTAGACGAAAATGACTACACATGCAGTATACTATCTCGCGAGCGGGTTCCGAGAGGAGACTATACATGCGAGGCATGTCTAGCAACGGCGTTCGTTATAGCTGCTTCGAATGAAAGGATGCCGGTCAGTTGTTGTGGTTTCTCACAACGGGTCTGTGAGGGTGGAGACCTGGCCTTCAACTTCATCCTTAACTTCTTCCATATGAGAAGACAATATATATATATATATATGTTCCAAACACAAGCACCAAAATAATTTTGTATACATAGCTGGTCTATCAAGACTGTAGACATGAAATTGAGTTTGCTCACATGCACAGCCACCATGAACATGACCAGCTCTGTCCCCAAACGAGGGCACATGCTGCATCCCAACATGCCGTTGCTTCATACCGAAAAATTTGGAAGAATCATCATCCATGGATCCGCAATGCCAGAAATCTGCCGAAAGCCATGACCCACGCAGATTTATGCTTGATGCCCAAAGTGACTGCGTGTATACCACGCCCATCTGCCAGACGCCCCCCCGTCCCATCCTCTCCTGACCGACACTTTGCTCTCTAACCACCCCACCAATGTGTTCCATCCACACGAGAGGAAAGAGAAAGAAAAAAAACTCCCACTTTTATTCCCCAGCTGGCCGGGCCCCCTCTTCGACAATGCGAGTCTCGAGCAAAAGAGGGAATCCGAGGCAATCAGTGTGACCCGGTAATTCTTCGGCATCCACCACCTAGACGTGGCCCATCCTCTCTCCCTCTCTCTCATACACACACACTCTTCCTCTCTTGCTCGGCCTTTACTCTTCGCTCAAATGTCCCGATATCCAGAAATCAGGATTCACGCTCTGGGTTGCCTGCTTTTTTTTCTTTTCTTTTCTCTTTTTTCTTTCTTTGTCCCCCCCCCCCCTTCCCTGGCTCCGCTGGGCTTTGGTGGGGGCTTTGCGCGTCCGTGTTGCGAAGAGGGGGAGAAGGGGTGGCAGTGTTTTCTTCTTTCTGCCCTGGCAATACGATCAATGCGTAATCCACCCCCATACTGTGCTTCTCTCCTACATCATGATGTGTTGTACATTCCAGCAGTAGTTATTGAATCCTGGCAGAGAAGCCCCGCCGACCGGACACGTGGGCACTGGCTGACCGGCTAGGTCTTTTCCTGTCCCCTTGCTTTTATTTTTTCTTTTCCTCTCCGCCCCTTCTTCCGCTTTTCCTTTTGACGAATGCCCAATTGGTGTTGGGCATTATGCCCTGCATGCATGTAATGAAATCCATGTGAATGAGATGTAGCTGAATGTCCACGTATGTATACAATTTGTGGAGAATCACACAGCAGTCGGGCGTAGACGAGCTAACTAACTTGAAGTAATTGCTATTTATTTAGTACGAGAGTAATCGAAGCCCCCTGTTAGTGAAGCCAACATTCACTCACTTGATGCGGCACAAAGTCACAAGGGAATCAAAGTGAAGCAGGGACTGTAGTGGTAGTTTGTCACACAGACTCCACCGAATCTCTTGGTCCGGCGGATTCTTGGATTGATTTGGTTTGGGTTATGCTACCTTCTTCTTCTTCTCCTCTTCCCCCATCCGCCTCCCAGAATGCAAATGAGATGGTATCGTTGACGCTCATCCGCTCATGTCCCTCATCATGCCTTTCCCCAAGAAAAAAAACACAACAAGAGTTATTAGGAAATTAGTTAGCCGATCGGTGTGAATGACAACACACGAATAGCTGACAAAATATGCAATCATGATTAAAACGCCTAGCACCTTGAACCAGCCTTTAGAGAGGAAAAGTCAAATAAAACAGGTGAATCTCGTCACTGTTGAGTGTTCCAACCGCCTTGCTCGATCCTATGCGTGTTGTTGAGAGTTGTGTGTGTGTGTGTATAATAATGATGTGTCCTTTCCCCTGTGTAAAAACGCCGCGCTTTTTATTTCCGTGATGATAAAGGGCAAGAGACAACAAAAATGACAAAAAAAAAAAAGGTTTGATCATCGCGCAGCGACGCCAGACCCAGAGCTGAAGATACGCCCAAACATGCCTCTGACACGGCTCCTCTTGGCACCAGTGACGCCTGTCTCCAGCTCGCGCAGCTCGTCGGGGCTGATCTCGTACGGGAGCAGCGACTTCTGCTTGGCCAGCTGCGGCACGCGAGGGAGCTCGGGCAGCTCCTGGTCGTGGTAGTAGGGCACCTTGGTGTTGTTCTGCTTCTGCTGCTGCTGCTGTGCGACGATGATCTCCACGGGCGGGTCGTACGAGCTGTCGGCGTAGTCCATGTTGCTATAGAAGTAAGGGTCCTGGACGCCGGTCTCTGATGGTGGGGTGGTGGCACCCGTGCTGCCGTTGAGGGAGGCCGTGTAGCCGTCGTACGAGGGCGAGCTGCTGATGCTGCGGGCGCTGGAGCTAGAGCTGCTGCTCTCCAGGCCGGGCATCGAGTCGGCAGTGTAACGGGTATCGCGCGAGGAAGAGCGCGAGTGCGAGTACTTGTGGCGAGGGCTCTCGGGCGGTGTGGCATACAGTGCAGCCGAGGACGTCGTCTTGGTGATCTCAGCGTGCGCCCACAGCTCGGCCATGCGGGCCTCTGCCTCCTCCTGCTCCTTCTGCTGCTGCAGCTCCGCCTCCCTCGCTGCTGCCGCTGCTGCCGCCGCCTCCGCCTCCGCCTTGCGCCTCGCCTCCTCGGCACGAAGTGCCTTGGCCTCCATGCGGCGCAACTCTCTCTCGTGCTGTGCGGAGACTCTCTGGCGGATGGGCTCGAGGAAGAGGTCCAGCTCGCGGTACAGGTCCTCCCTGGTGATACGGAGCTCCCACTCGAGGAGCATCAGAAGCTGCTTCTCCATCAGGTTGACCTCGGTGCGAGAGAACTGGAAGTCAGCAGGGCGCTCGCGGCCCTTGTAGTCCCTGCGGGGCCCGTTGGCGTCGTCCCAGATCTCGGTATACCTGGCCCAGTGCTTGTTCTTGGGCGAACTGTCGTTGACGTACTTGGCGGTGAGGATCAGGGCGGCCAGGAAGATCCTGTGAGCGGTGCACCTCAGGCCCTTGGCCTCGGGCTGGAGCCGAGACTTGAGACGGTTCAGGTAGACCAGGGTCGACATGAGGGTGGGGACCTGGACGTTTGAGGACCAGACCAGGTTGTAGATGAATTCCTCGAGCGAGGGGAGGAACTTGTCTCCAGAGGCCACGGGGGGAGGACTCCTGGGAGGGGTGATGGGTAACCTTGAGCTGTTGTTGTAGGGCTGGTAGGATGCAGGTGCAGGTGATGCTGCCGTGGTGGGCGAAGGGGGCATCATGCTCTCGTCACAGCGGATGACATCCCGTGCTGCCTGTGCGAGATAGCTAATCATGTCGTCCGAGACCCTCTCATAGATAAACTCGTCCAGAGCCCTGGCGTTCAGCTCTGCAGGGCTGAGAGCCGTGTAGAATGTTTGTGATGCCATGGTGAGTTAAGTGATGTGTGGTTGGGAGTGAAGGATGAATTTGTGTGTGGCGAGGGCCCAGGTTTCCCTTATGAGTCTTCGCGAGATGGTGAGGCTGCAGCCTTTTTTTTTCTTCCTCTTGGATTTGCCTTTCTACACTTGACCAGCAAGTTGAAGAGAAGGGCAGGGAAAAGAGTGAGCACAGAAACCCTATTGGTGGTTGGGCTGTACCGGCTGATGAGGGAAAAGGTCGAGGTCAGTTTGTCAGTTGTATGCCTCGAGGCTGTGTGGAAGGATGAGTTGAATGAGCCTTGGTGGATGAGGATGATGAATAGAAGAAAGTTGGGTTGGGTCGGTAGTAGTATATGCCTTGCTGCTGAGAGGCTGTGTGTGTGTTGTCTGTGGGGACAAACAACGAATGAAAGAATGACGATGGAGAGCACAGGTAGAATCAAGGGTGCAGCAGCAGATGTAGAGAGGTATATGAAGTCTTGAATGTGTGAGGGAGGCTGGTTTGGGAGGGGAGGGGTTGTCTGGGGTAAAGAATAAATAAAAACTGAAAAGGGCAAACAAGAGAGGAGAGGAAACAACTAGGAGAAAATAAAGTATTTTGATATAATGGGCGAGCCAGAAATTAGTGACTTACGACAAGGTAGCTGTTGTATAGATGGGCCTCCTGAGCCAAGTCCCAAGGGGCTTTGTATGGCTTGGGGCTTGTTCGTAAGAGGGTGACGCGACTTTTGCCTGTTCACGAGGCTGAGCCTGGGGCGGGTTTTGCTGGTGGGGACCCTTGGGTTGCTACTGGGGGGTGCCGGGGTGGCCCTGAGACAAGCTGCAGACAGGGCAGGGATTTTGGTGAGGTGACCAGGTTGGGGCGAGACCGGGGGGAGGCAAGGGCGTTTCTCAATTCTTTCCCTAGGCGCGGCGCCCGAGGTACGTACCCTTTGCCAAAGATGGTGGGGTTTTTGGGTGGTTGGGTCTAGTCAGCGGATAGACCGTTCTGGCTTGGGCTGGACTGCGTTGTGTTGTGTCGGCTGGCTGTGGTTGCAGGAAGGTGAAGAAAAAAACAGGTGGTGCAAGCGGGCGAGACCCGGGTCGATCTCGTCAGGGCCCAGAATGACAAAAGTCGACTTAGGGGACTCTGACTGGCTCAGCGGGCTCGATGGGCTGCAGCAGAAGGGGGGGCCACGAGCAACGGAAGCCTGACTCGGAGGGATCTGCCTGAACTTTTGCAGGTGATGATTGGTACGCAGCTGCGCAGAACCGTCTGGCGACCTGTCTCAGCGTGTTTGTAGTAGTCCCTTCTGCCTGGTTGACGATGTTGACTATGATGATTGATGATGGGGCTTGAGGCGCAAAATTGTGTTGACTGATTGTCTGAAGGTGCGCCAAGGTCGCAAGATGTGGTCTTGTTGTTTTTTTCTTCTCCTTTTCTGGTCACTTCTTTGCGTGAGGAAGGCAAGGGTGAGTAACTGTTGTATTTTGTTGTTCGGTCCTGGCCTTGGCTGGGCGGTGAAAGTGGCTGAGAACGTAGTCGTATTCCGAAAGCGGGTGCGAACTCGAAGGAGGCTGATGAAAACGAAAAAGAAGGGGGGAAAAAAAAAGTCCAAAGAATCTTGCTTCGAATATTGGCTCAGATTCCCAAGGGCACAATGAATGAATCAATGCTCAGCAGCAGCTTAAACTCAAAATCAACGTTGGTGTGATGGAAAGAGTCAAGATTCCGTGACCGTTGTTGAGGCTTGTTCGGATGCAAGTGGAGCCGTCGTCGTAGGTCTGTCAAGTATCTAAGCCCGCCGCGCGCGCTGCACACAGGACCGTCGTCAATGCGGGAGAGGGAAGGTGTCAAGGTGTCAGGGATTCCGAATCCAGCGGATGACAAGAGAAAAACGAAAGATCGAGATTAGAAAAGAGAGAAATGGAAGGGAGGGAAAACACTCTGGTGCAGCCTCAAGCTGTTGTAGAACACAGGTTGAGCCTCGAGAAGGTTTGTTGTTCAGAAGTGCCCGGCGCCGACTTAATATTAAGGCGCAAGCAGAGCAGGTACAGTGCAGCGCAGTGTACTCAAGTTTGCCCAAGCCCAGTCAATCTCTCAGTGTAATCAGTCACTTTATTTCGCACCCTCCCAAATTAAGTCCTCGATGCAGGGTTTCGAAGTGGATCGACTGGACAGGTTTATTCTTGGCTCCGCGGGAGATCTGCTGGCTGGCGTCTAGGAGATTGGTGAAGCGCTGGCGTTCGAGCAGACGCTGGCCACTGGGGCGCTGATGATTCGCTGCCGGCGCCTCGTGGAAGCAACGCGGCTGGACGGCGCAGCTTTCCTGGGGCAAAAGACCCGGTCTCAGTGTTAGGCTTGGCTGGGTTCAACCCCCCGATCCGGCGAGCTGGTTGGATTACAGGGAGCGGGAGTGGTTTCGACCTTTGCCTAGTAGGTGAGCGGGGCCTTTCTGTATGTCTCTTTTTCTCTCGTGTAGACCACGGTGGATCTTTATTTGAATCGTGGGGCGATGGCGATATCGATGTTGATGCGGTGCGATGCGATGAGATGCGCCCAGGGTTAATTATGGAAAGTCAACGTTTCGTCGTAATTGGCACCAGTTCGGCTATACGAAACATCTCCTCCCGTCTCTGTGTGGGGTGACTGGTGTTTGGCAAACAAACAAAAACGTGTGCTCTAGGGCTGAAGGAATGGATCAGTAAGTGAGTGAGTGAATGCATCAATGAGCAAGTGAGAATCAACGAGTGAACATCATCTTGACGGATCAGATCGAGGGCCAAGGAAAGGCTGGGCTGGGCTGGGCTGGGCTGTTTGTACTAGGACAGATATGAAGACAAATTGCCAGAGTACAAGAGATGTTTAACATGAGCCGAACCCAGGGCTGGATTGGAATCGGTCAATTCGATAGCTTCGAGTTGATTACCTGCCCCATCTTGGAACTATCATGCATCGACGAAGGGGGTTGAGGCGATTCGCGGTGACGCTAAACCTCCTAGGACCGCCACCCCAAAAAAGGAAGGGCGGGAGAAGCCCGATTTGGAATTTGGGGCATCTCTGTACTACATACTTATGCACTATATGGCAGGAACGGATCAGGGATGGGAGAAGGAGCAATCAATCAATGCTACTTAGCTACTTCGTTCCTCATTCCAGTCCTTGTCGCCCTCTGATGACGACTGCAAACGCAAGTCCAGGGAGGATGGGATGGGATGGGATGGATGGATGACAGATAGATGGGCACGATTCACCCCTTTCTAATTTGCGTTTACGAATCCTCTTTGGCTGCTGATGCAACACTACCGGTCCTTGTTTCCATTCTCGGCGGCCTTACTTTTTTCTCCGTCTCCTCTCCCATAATGAACGAACACTGGCAGTCTGCAAGAGATTCGTCAGCAGCCCTCTATTGAAATCCCCTACTCCTTGTCATTTTCAGATTTCTCCTGTTCTGCGTTCAATAATCCAGCTCTCTATCGACACACTATAGCCTGTTCTGATGCGACCCTCATGCAACGATGGCGATAGACCTGGTGCAGGCACCCCCACAATGCATGCACACCATATCAACTCTTTTTCTTGGAGAGGGAGGGGATGTGGGGGGAAACGCACCTATGAGCCACCCATCTGTGGCAACAACAACGATAACAAACAACCGCTCCCTCGTCGGAGCATCGCATGATCGCTCATTTGACCTGCGTCGATGGTTGGTGATGACAGCAGCACGCTGTCGACACATGAAACAGTGGAGTCGACGTACAGAACCAACCCCCTGCCGAATGCGTCCCAGGGGGGCGGGTTGCACTGTCAAGGTAAAGTCGACTCCTCTTTTGGGTTAGCTCGAGGATGAATAGAAAAAGAGACTTTTGTGGATGTACTTGCTGCTGTGGGTGTAAGCCTCAGCACTGCTGTTGTTGTTGCTGCTGTTGTCTTGTCTACGGATGGATGCCTTTTCTCAGAACGGGCCGCTGGTCTTCAGACCCAGACAATTAACGACGTCACCAACGAACAACAGCACAGACAGACTTGAACTGCCTAAACTGTGATCCGGGCCCTCAAAAACCGGCCAGGTGGATGGAAAGGAAAAAGGGCAAAAGACATGGATCCTAGGCAAGCAATAACACAACAGGAGCATACAAAGCACAGCCATCATTCATCAGTCAGACGCTTGTCAACTTTCTCGCGTTCGTCTGAACGACCAACGCAACAAGCTGCTTCCGGGGAAGAGGGCCGGAAGGGGTGGGGTGAAGCCAGCCACGTCTCGGCTCCACGGAATACCTGCCTGCGCCAGGAATGTTGTAGCAGCCGCCCTGCCGCCACATCAAGCTTGCAGCAGATCCGGCCACATCTGAGAAGGCTACTACTGCTATAGTACAATACTATACTCACTCAGGGGTACCCACGGCGGACTGGTTGGCGCCCGCCATCTTTTCATACGTATGGTGACGGCAGAACTTTTCAGCCACTGTTTCTTGACATCGTCTCACCAGTCAAGTAAAACCTGGATGCCCTTGGCCGCTTTCCTTTTACCTTCATGAGCAGCGAGAGAGAGAGAGAGAGAGAGAGAGAGAGAGAGAGAGAGAGAGAGAGAGAGAGAGAGAGAGAGAGAGACACCATCCGTCTCAGCTTCCGACGGTTTGAGCATCGTGCAGTAAGCCCAGGCGCGAAGGCCCCAAAGGTTTAGATAGTCCAAGCCAAGAGCCCGCCGAGCCAGCCCCGGAGAAGGTGAGGTGGTTGAGTATGTTCCGCCCTCGGTCCTCGAGCCAGCCCCCGGCCCGGGACTTTTGTGTCTGGTCTAATGCAACTAAGCTCCTGGGCAGAAAGGATTTGAAATTCAGAATCAAAAGTCTACTACTATGGTACTACGTACGAAGAAAGGCACGGTGCGTCTTACAGGCCGGGGCGCTCGTTCCTCCTTCTTCACGCCAGCGCACCACCTCTCCGGGTTCGTCATCCACCCAGCACCCTCGCTTCCCTCCGCCGTAAAACGAAACAAAAATTTCCGTCTCACCTGTACTACTGCACATTGACTGGCTGGCAGTGGATCTGCCAGTACTTTAGGAAAACCAATAAGAAGAAGAAAAAACATGCGCAGGAGCCCACAGGCAATCGATTCTCCGAAGGTCGTCCGAGTAGAGAAGAATTCGTCGACCTTGATACACCGCCCGTCTACCCAGCGTTACTACATGGTGTGTACCATAGTAGAGACTGCGACCACTCTACTACCACTGCTACTAATTACTAGATCAGTCCGGATGCTCCGGGCACCCTGGGCGCCCCGCGTCTTTGCGACAAGTCTGTCTTTTCTTCTTTTTTTATTCTTTTCTTTTCTTGGCGATGGCGTTTGTCGGATTTGAGAATCGTGCCCAGCGTTCTTGAAACGCCCCGCCGCGTGTTCCTGGGCGCCGGATCCAGGGGGGAACGGCGAAAAGCTTGACAACCAATGCCATTTGCGGATGCGCTAGCGACTCTTTATCGGTGGTGGTGGTGGTGTCGGTGAGAACTCGGTACCAGCTGGCTGGTGCGGTTAATTAGTGGGAAGCTGGCACAGAGCCTTCACGGTTCAGCTGTCTGCACCGTACCTGTTGTAGCGGGTTTAGGCGACGCATGTAGCCTTCCAACTTGGTCCTACTACCACGGTATTGTACCGCTGAACAATATTTGCTCCTGAACCAGAAATCGCAAATAGATTTGTCTAAGCAAACATGCTCTCACTTACAGAAGTGTGGTGTGCATGTCACTATACATATCACGATATGATGATCTCGTTTCACGGTCGTGGGCCCATGAGCTGGAGGAGTCCATCTTCCACGCGTCGTCTTCAAGACTCATTCATGCAGCACAACAGAACAACAGAGGGGTCTACTGCCAAGAAAAATTCCTGTTGAGCAGACCGACTGGACTGTCAAAAGGGGGTTGCTTGCATGGCATGGATTGATCATCCCCCATCCCCGAACATACCCATCCATCTATCTATGCCCGAGGCGGGGCTGGTGGTCAGAATTTAATTATTATTTGCCCACCAGCCAAACCTCGTCCTTGCTTCTCTTTTCAAAAGCCCAATGACAGTCGAATACGTCCCGTCCTCCGCTTTTCTAAACATGCATATGTAC